CGGCGCAGTGCCCGGGGGATTCCAGAATCTGCAAGCGGATAAAAATGTAAGTAGGAAGAACATCTACTATCATTTAATCAAGGCGAGTTGGCGGAGTTCAGTGCTTCCAAGGAGTGTGCTCTCCTTACAATATTTGCGGTACTGTGCTGGACATCCATACTAGACCCGCCCTAGAACTAGATCGGACTAATAAATTGGCGGGAACAATCGACATTCATTCCTCCGCCAAACTATCAGGCGGCCGATCAAAAAGGTCTTGCGTGACCTGAGGAGTACATTCGAAGTTACTAGACAAGTTGGGGCAGCGAGCGGAGACATAGATGCTAATGTACTTGACAAATCAAGTGTCAACTTCTTCTCGCTATATACAATAGGCCAGCTACGAGTAAAGTAAATCATATTACTTTCAATTGCAATCCAGAACACTTTCCGTGTTCTACTTGCCAACGTTGTGCGTTAGTAGTATTCTACGGACGCAAGACATGAAAGTTATCGAGCAGTAAATCTATTTTACACCCCTAAAATCCAAGTCTAAACAATCTACAAATGTCCTTAGAATCTGACTCCAGTTTCACAGGATCAACAAATACCTCGTGGTGTTTACTCGAGCACAGCCAGACAGATCAACAGAGGGGCGAAATTTATGTATATTTTAGACGTAAATTTGTTGTATTTAGCCAGACCACCTCGGCCTCTGTCTACAGTCCCTGACCTGCATGTCGTTAGATTTCCGAAACTATATTTTTGGAAAGCCATTTCCAATATATATTGAAAGGAACTGTATGGACAGTCCTCGAAGTGTCCCTTCTGAGAGCGCTGCAGTGCGACTTAGTTAGCCCCTCTCCTTCTTACCTAATACCTGTCCTTCCTGTACCGAAACCAACTCTGTCCTAGAGTTGGCAATTCTCTGATATACAGATGTAGCGCAGCCATCGCTATTGGATGTTCATATTAACTGTATTTTGTAATTTTTACAGTATTTAACAATATATTTATATAGCCACCATGCTATCTATCTAAGAAACAGTAATTTCAAAATTGGCTGGTGGCTATGGAACTAGTTGTGTATAGCTGCATAAGTGTTATTGCAAAATTGCTATTATGCAGGTTAGCGAACTGTAGGTAATCCCGATATGCAGTCGTTTGCACCCCATTAATAGACGGTGCGTGGTACAGGCGTAGCAGTAACAAGGACATCTTAACCAGATGGATCATATGTGTTCAGGCGGTCAGATCTTATTGGGTTGCCTAATATTATATCCCTATAACCTGCCACCTCCCGGAAATTCGTCAGCCTGGATTACTACACATTAGTACTTAGTTACCGGAGAATAACCAGCCCCGCACGTAAATGATTCCGTCCGTCTTGCTGTGCCATCACACCAGCCTATAAGACTCAGACAATGCTTAATAAGCTCACTCTGGTTCCCCGAGTCAGCGTTATGCATCTAGGAACAACTCCACGGTCTCAACAGTTACTCACAATCAGCATCCATCAAACAGACGGGCAAATGCATCCACTTGGTGGCGTCATTCATGATAGCATCCCTAACGGCATATTTGTGCCACAAACATCTCTTCGGGTGGGTGACTACTGATCACCTGGCCCTTAGGCCCCGAGCGGAGGATATACTATTTTCAGTGGTAAATGGTAGGCATAGTATTACTGAATCTGTAATCTGCAGGCTAACAAATTATCAGATAATGCCTACGTCACACCTGGTTTATCACCCAAGCTTTGAAGGATATTAATACGCTCGGTTAGAGCTTCCGATGGGAAAGAAGACTGCATTAGCCATTACCAAGATCCCTGCAAGGTGCGTATCACCGCTGCGAGATATAGCGGTCAAGTTGTTTTGAATCCAATACGGTGTTAAAATCCTCCATTGTCTTATCAACCGCCGCCGATTTATGTATTTAACTATTGCTAACCATGTCCAAGGCGGTCCGGGCAATTCTGGAGTGAACCAAGTTCTAGAAGGGAGAAGTCTACAGGCAATCGCCGATTCGGAGCAGGATCCAGGAGATATCAACTCAGAAGGCAATGGCTCTATAGTTACTCTTAATACCGCCGGCGGCAAGTATTTTAATATTATTAGTTTTAACCTAAGAGGAATTAACAATACTACACCGCCATTCTTCTGTTTTTGTAGCTCGGCGCCACGGGAAATGTGGAAATTGCAGTCGTCTGCGGAGGGTATCCTAGGGAGTTCTGAGGTTGCATTTAATGCTCTCTGGGCACGTTCCATGACTTTGGGCATGAGCTGTTCCTAGACTTCTGAAGCCGGCGCGTTACATGGCCAAGAATAGATCGGCTGACATATGGACACAACTGCAGTGGTGGCTGATATGGTAGAGCTTATCGAGCGCCATGGAGAGTGGCGGGAGATCGATACAGAGACAGTACTACTATTAACCCACCTAAGTAAGTGTCTCAAGGCAATACTATCCGGCTGCGGAACTGCTGGAAAAGCGAGAGCAGCTGCTGTACCGGGGTATTTTGTATGGAAGCATTCACGGAATAACACTAGCAGCCATGTAGCCGGGTTGTATTCAACGCACCGTAATTGACGGCGTGTGCAATGACCCTGACTACTATGCCGGAGGCTGGATCAAGAATTTGTACGATTTGAATAAGGCTTGTAATAAATTCTTCGAATAATGTCACTCGCGAGTGAAGGGCCGGAGGATATCAAAGCTGGTACTCAACAGCTGATTGAGAACCTTAAGACCACTCTCGTTCCCGTACCTGTATCTGAAGCCTGTGGACTGGATATAATCACCTATAGCAATGGTTAAGTATATAATACTAAGCTCGCTCTACTTACCGATGGCAATGTCTAAGAATATGGCTCAGCTCTTAAAAGATCTCTCGCACAATAACCGCTCATCTTTGTCAGACTTCAAGAATGGGGAGGAACCATGTGCAGATCCGGAGCAACTAACAGTCCTAGGCGATAATAAACTCGAGGCACGGGATAGCACAGGATAGCACAAGATAGCATCGTCTGTACAGACGGGGAAGACATAGATGGAATTACAAAGGGCAAGTATCGACGATATTGGTGGACTCTCCAAGGACAACGTAGGGTCCCAGAAGACGAATGGGCTCAGGCGCTCCTGCTGTGTATTAGGTGCAGCACGGTGAGTTAGGAGCTTCTAAAATAAAGGGCGAAGTGTCTCAGGGGCGAATATCACCTAAAACAGTTTTCAGGCAACACATCGCATCTGTTATTGTTTATTGGGAACAAATATAATCTAGTAACTCCCCTCCTAAAGTTAGTAGTCCTCTATGACCTTGAAATTTTTTATAAGTTAATATACGGTCAGTTCCTTTGACATGGGGCGCGGGTTTCCCAACTCTGCTGTATTGGCGCAGAATTCAGTGGGGGTAGGTGCCATCTCCAGTGCACATTTCCTATGACCAAGGACCGATGAAGCGACTAATCAATAAAAATATTGCAGCATTTCTCTATTAGTGCCCCATATGCACAGCCAGGATAATCCGCCAGTATTTCCAAACGGGCAAGCTCCTTCATCCCGGAACCATTTGCGAAGTGGACGAGCGGCTTTTTGGACTCCTGTCACGGAATAAAACCCACAATTTATGGCTGTAATAGAAGAGCCTGGCGGCAGCCCTCGATGAAGTCCGGTACCCGTAGAGATCTACTGCTAGCTAGCGTGAAAAATAAAGAAGAACCTGTATACAATACTTCAAGAAAGGATATGCTTCTACCTCGCGAATATAGAAACTACCGAGCTTATATTTCCAGTGACGCTTTACATCAGCTTGAAAGGTTTGGTAGAAACATATTTAAGCCTTCGCATTCGCGTCACAGTACAGGGAAAACCTATTAGGGAAAAAACCTATACCAAGGCATATTCACAGAAATCACACAACTCTTAATCTCCAAAAGCAACGTAGATAAATAATGCCGCTATTTCTCCAAGTCCATTATTTTTATTACCACGGTACTCAATGCTGATCAGATGTAATTATCCACATTAGCCGGCGAACAGCCCAGGTATATATTGGGACATATAAGCAGCGATGGCGAATTACTCACTGACAATTCACACCGGGATGCAGAATGCATGAATATTACCGTTAACAGTAAAAATCCGATCAGTGCAGGTTGTTTTCATGGGACATAAACAAAACATCGTACCAGGCATATTCGGAGCCGAAGAACGACAAAGGGACCCAACTGCACAGAGAGGCACCTGACTTTTGGCCAGTTCGTCTGATATTTCATTTTGCATAGGAGTAGCCATGTTGGCGGTAAAGAAATATGAGAGGAGGAAAATGCAAGGCAACATGTTCTGGCCTAGCAGGTATACCAAACAGTAAAAGAGGGGCAAAATGCACCTAAGTAAATATGTATAGGTTAAGAAGGAAAGGAGTTATTAGCTGTGTAAAACCCTTTGAATCACAGCTACGAGACGGAGCAATAGAGGGAGCTTATATACCCAAATAACATCAGTCATCTGTCATAATAATTAGCACTAGTTTATATTCTCTTTTCTTGCTTTTGTCCGACAGTGTTACATTTTTGAGAGGGGTTCTCAACTTGTTGCACATTGCCTCCGAACAAGCAAAGGGAGTACAGTACACATAGCATGTATCAGGGACCACGTACACCACCCCGGTGTACGTGGGGAGCGTTGTACGTGGTCCTGTTATGTAACGAACTGAATGGTGTGCTATGATGCGAACAGGAGTATATACTGTAGCAGTCAAGAGGGGTGGTAAACAACCGTTTAGAAAAAGTGTAGTTTGTTACATAATGAAACAGTTTAATAATAGTTGGTAAGGTTAAATACCGGTTAACAATGGTTTCAAAATAGGTACATAGTTCTGGTTGAGGAACGGTTACAATGATTTGGTCTTGATTGTAGATGTCTGTTAGATTTTCGGGGTTGTCCCAATTAGGAAATAGAGTACGGTTTGTAAGAAGGTCTTGTTTGAACGATTTGAGCTGGTTGGGCTCTTCTTGATTATGTTCTCTGTTCTTCTGATGATCGGCGTACTTCCTCCGCTTAAAGAGTCGAAAGCCTCGCAATATCCAGACTCTGCAGGCGTTGTGTTTGAGGGAATAATTGAGGGTAAGCATAGAGATGCCATCCAGACAAAGACAGACGAGTTCGTGCGATTGGCCAGACCAGTAAAGATCCATTGGTGGTCAATGGAAGAACTGCGGGAGAAGTGCTACGGTGTTACCGAGGGATTTGAGCTGCCTGAGGGAGAGGTCATGGGTAGAGTTGTTGAGATGGAGGGTCTGGGAAGTTATCCCTGCGGTGGAACGCATGTTCAGGATTGCAGTCAAGTGGGGAAGATTGTGATGAAAGGATCTCGCGCTCTAAGGGAGTAAGTAGGGTGTCATATACAGTCGTATAGCACGTCTCAGGGTATCGTCGATTGTGTGAAGTATAGAATTTCAGGGATTAGCATCGGCTTCTGGGGAAGTAACAGCCTTATAGATGATATTTCCGCGATAGTGCTTACCCTTGAAGTGTACTCTTAAATACTTGATTATATACAAGCCTGACGGCTGATTCTTGCTTATTATTACTAATCAGTTCAAGTTGATCCTGGTCCTTGAGCTACCCTTTCTTTAGATATAACCTCTTTCTCTTCCCTTGATAGGCACTCGCTTATAAATGCAAGCCTTTTCTCCTTAATACCAAACTCACTTATACACATAAACATCATTAGCTCCCGGAATGTTGAAGCTTTAAGAGAACCCTGACGATAGTGACAGATATCACGAGCAGAGTTAAATAACCGTTTTTAACACCAGCGCCAGTTGCCGGGATAGTAAGAATATCTCGCGCAAGTTTTGCCAGTGCTAGAAGCTCATGTTAATGTTCCTTCCAGAATGCACGAACACCAACTTTTGACCGATAGTGCCTACTCAAAGTGTTAATAAGAGCCTAATGTCAGGGCCTGAATCAGTAGAACCTGTAAAAGACAACGGGGACAACGGGGACAACTTGCAGTCTCTGGGGGAACGAAGCGGACCAAAGGATCTGACCAGTTTCGAACATTTGGGTTATATTGTTTTATAGTGCGCACTATGACCCGATACATAACCAAGCCACGTTGACTAGGTACTTTTACGCGTTGCAGTGCACATTAATGTGGGGATAGTCATATTTTCAATTGAACAGGGCAATGTGTGTAGAGTATGATCTCCACATAAATAGACTAAAGTGCTTGAACAGGATATTTTCTTTGTTATTATGGCCAGGGCGCGACAGTTACTTCCGATTTTTTCCTATAGTAAGCGACCACGAGGCTATCCGGAGGGGCTTCTTGCTTGGGGAATTAATTATTTATTGATCCTACTAGGCTTCTTCTGTTGGCATAAATGATCGCCATTCCGGCTATACTCTTGATAATGCAGTCCATATTCAGGCAGACAGTTTCGGTATTGTTGCAGGTAGAGGTCTCCAGAGAACTGGGACCACTCCTCTCCGATTCAGCTCTTGTAGATGGTGGGAATACTACCGCGTATCCGCGTTGGAGCAGTTATGAGGCTCCCGCTGAGCTGAGTCCATATCACTCACCAGGCTTTCAGGCCTCCCTTCCCCTTTCCTGAAGGTGGGAAGGAGAAGGAAAGACATTGCTAAGAGAGAGATTATTTCCATACTAACTGTTAATTCAATGCAAACGGGTCGAATTTGCAACTTCAAAAAAAGACTCTGGAGCACATGGATGGTCTAAATTCTACCTAAAGCAAAATATAATACTCATCAACATGTGGAAGTTAAACTCGGTCTTGTTTAACTGTAACAAGACGGAAGTCACTGTTGGAGGTGGGGTCTTGATCTCTGAAGTTACTACAGCTATATCTCAGAACAATGCTCTTGTCCACACATGTAACTGCCCATGTGTCGGGGTCCTGGGTGCGGGCTTTGGCAGTGGATATGGCAACCCTCAAGGTTTGTATCGCGATCGACAATATGCTGTCGCTGAACGTAGTCCTGGCGGATAGAAAACTTCACTCGATTGCGCCCACGGACAAGGATCTCTGGTGGGCACTCCACGGTACCGGTCCTAACTTTAGCATTGTTACTTCGTCGACCTTAAAGTCGTACACTGTCTTGCTAGATTAATAAATCGCCTGGTTTGGTCAACTTATCGACTTTGGAGGCAAGATCGAAGATATTGGTAAAGGCAATTAATAATCTCACCTTGGCCACGGAGATAAGTATCTTTACATATTTTATAACTAGTAGCGCTCCAAATATTCACCTATAATTATACTTCCGCCTTTCTACTACGGTTGGGAGAAAAAGGCCAGGATTGCATTCAAGCCCCTCGTCGATCTTGGCCTAACAGATAATACTACGAGAGAACTGCAGTATGCCCACTGGAACAATAGAGCAGAGGGCTTCTCTACTAAAGGCGGGTACAAGCCGGCATACACTGCTGGTCCCGCCAAAACGGTTTCCACCACCTGGAAGGCTGCCTGGGGTGAGTATGTTAGCTTCGCTAAAATAAAAGGCTCCAGTCAGAGCCTGGCGATTATAAAGGCGTACTCCTTAGAGAAAGCCGATCTTGCCCTCAGTCATCGTCGGAGTATGCCTGGCGCAACAAGGTTAACTTTAATACTGTGGCTCTCCATCGTATTATAACAAGAGTCTGGAGTCGAGTGCAAAAGCTTTTGGTCCTAAACTCCGTGATTTGTGGCAGTCTACGGACAGCCTTGATTCTCCGGCTGCGTATGCATCCCCTTCTATCCACCGGCCTTTTTTCTCTTATATTTTCCCCTTTTCTTCCCATCATCATCGGGAATTCTTGTGAACAGCTTGGCTAACACCCTTATTCAGGTACATTAATTTCGCCCATGAAGATGAGGACCCTTCGGCAATCTATGGCGAGAACGTTGACCGCCTGAGATCCATCAAAGCCCAAGTTGATTCAAACAATACCTTCAATCAATGGATTACCGTGTGAGCGATTAGTGATCCTATTATTTTAACATGCTCTGCAATTTCTATGCTTATATAGATGATAAAACATTGTAGATTGGATTACATATAGTTATTATCCTAATTGGGAAGACCGCCTCTTGAATTAGGTCACCTATTTTTTCTAGCATTTGGAGTAGAGAATAGGGAGTATCGCTCATCCAGAAGGAAACTGTCTACAATATATACCACCGATTGTTATTTCTATACGGACATTGCCTATAGAAATGCCTGATGGCCCTTCCAGATGTTTGCGTCTTCATAAACCTGGGATTAAAGAGGGCAAAAACTAGGACACAAACTAATCTTCCAGTCCATCGATTACGCACGTTTCAGCGGTTTCTCGGACTTTAACCAACAGTATTCTTGCGCAGTTGCATCTTAAAATCTTACAGCGATGTTGGGCAGCCGACCAGCCTGGGTTCTTGTTCTTCCAGACTAACTTCACCGAGGGTATTCATCAAGAATATTACCCTGCGCTCTCCTCTTCTCTAGACCCTCTTATTAGTGTAACTTGTCACCTGTTGCTGTACTAGTCTACTAAAGCCAATCTGCTGGCTAGTGTCCTTGTTGGCCCCTAAAAACAAGTGTTTACCCGCCTGCTTCACTAAATAATAAAAGAACTTCTCCCTTTATAAAGAGAAACGTCCGATCTCTCCCCAGCACGCATATTGTTTCCACTTTGTATGCGTGTGGTAGCACGCTTGAGCGGCTGAAGAATCGCCACATCGGTTCTTCCGAATATATTGAATAACCAACGCGGAAACGCGTCCAGGAAAGCTTATCACTATCAAGATTATGCAAATATTTATCTAAGATAGAGCAAAGAGTCTCAGCAGAACTCGGACCGTCTGAAGCTGTCCTACCAACCTTAAAATCAATAAGCCCATCTGGCACGGTCTTGCATGTATAGTTCTTAGCCAAAAGTTTGAATAACGAATTTTCTTCAACCCCCAATTTCAACATTTTATTAATCTGTATTATACCACACAACAACTTTTAAAATTAATATAAATTATATAATTAGTTCAAAGTACTACTGTTAATTATATAATTGTATTTTTTTTAAAAAAAAATTCACTATATTACAAGATATATCACATATAATAAATAGCACTGGAAAACAAAATCTTGTAGTTTTTAATTGCTAATTATAAAAAAAAATAATAAGTATATATAGAAAAGGTACCTATACGTATACTAAGTACTCCCTAATTATATTAATACTTTTATATTAAAAATACTATATATATATATAATTTTGTTGTGTTATAACTAGCTACTTATTATACATATATATATATATATATCTCCACTCCACATAATCTTCCTATTACAAAATTTTACAATACGTATTTTAAGCAATCTTTATATTATAATATTATTATTAAATAATATTATATAAACTATAGTTAATTTAGTATATTTTTTTATATATAAATTTTTTTTTATTAATGTTGTTTAATATTTTTTATCACAGGTACTAATAATACTCTATTATATAATACAATAAAAATTATACACAAAATTTGACAAGTAGTATATAAAATATCAAGCAATTTTTCTGCTTTTTTACATATTTTTATAAAAATTTACCACTTATATTGCGTATAATATAGTTATTTTAATCCAAACCATCTTATATTGCAGTGCAATATCGCTCATCACACGGCCGGTTAGGTTAGGGGGACTGGACGAGGTAGTAGAACACTATGAGCTGTAGGGACAGTCGAATAGGGGACGGGGGCCCCAGGGGCCGCCCTGATGGCGGCCCTGGGGAGGACTGAGGGAATTCTATTGAGTCTTCTGAAGGAATGTATTGCCTAAGCTATCCTTGATGAGTCCCCGTCTCTCTCTCTGGTCTGCTACTTAAGGTAGCAGACCGCTATTTAACCTAGTGTCTACCAAGGTCTTCCAGTGCACTGCCGTGGGATCCCACATCATACGATCCCAGATCGTATGATGTGGGATCGTGTCTTTGGAGTGCCTACGTGTTGGAGCCATATTCGTCAGGCACTATATATCTTAGTCATCCGGGATGACAGCAGGATACACATGTTTTTTACATGGCCATGTAAACCATGGTCGGGTTGCGCGTTATGCAAACTTTAATTCCCGACTGTACACAGCACATCTTATTCCGCTCACAGCCATCACTCAGTCACCTGGCATCCAGGAAATATTACTCGTTAATTAACTAGCTACTTTCTTTACTTTTACCCCCAGTCCTCTATGTCAATAGCAGCATCAGTAGGCAATTTCGTCGTTCTAGGAGGAACTCAAGCTATACCTCGCTCTCAGGCATCAAAATCCACAACATGGGGGCTGTGCAGTACGTCGTTGGGAGAGTCTCGCTTTCTCAATTTTATTCCATTTAAGCTACTTCCGTATGCATATATCAATCTATTTACATTGAAAGAATTTAGCCCCTGTTCCTCACCTCAAATGCTATCAAATTCTACATGCTTGTCAACATTGCAGCAAAAACCGTAGCCACGACCGTAGTAAGCAGACCATTGTAGATTGGTGTAGCCGAATTCTTGTCGGCGCCCTTATCACCACCTGGATTCTCGTTCGTCACTAACTTTAGACACGTCATCTGGGACGACGTCTGCTTCACCAGGCTGCTATTTCCCTTACCGGCGAAAACGGTCAGCACGGCGGTGATTTTATACGCCTCATCGTATACAGCCTCGGCAGAAGCATTCCGCTGTAGAGAGCATGGAGTCAGTCAAGGGGGATGGAAAGGAAGGTATAAGAACTACTACATTCACGCACCAGTACCGTATTCTGCGTGATCTCGGCCAGGTTATCCGACTTGGGCTGGATTGGCCAGCAATCTGACGAATTCCTGACGGGGGAGAGGTCACCCAGCGAGGTGACCGTGAAATTTCCCAGACCGTGACCTGTGCCCGCTAAATCCGCGCATCCATCAATAGTGTCGCGTTTTAATTGGCTCCGGAGGTCTGCGCAGATATCCTGTCCCTGTGCGTTGTCGATGGCCATGGTTGCGCGCTTCGTGAGGTTGTCGATGCACTTTTGCTCAATAACAGCTGGGCAAGTGCCGTGAGCCACGCGCGTGTCGGTGAGGTTGGTATTGCCTGGTAACTTTGGGGCGGGGAATTTCTTTGCGGGAGGGTCGTGGAAGACGACCGCGCACCCGGCCAGGTCTTTCTCTTTCACGCGTGAGGGAGTTCCCAAGTAATATACGGACTGGAACGGACTGTTGTCCTGTTCGGGATCGCCTGACCCGGCTGACATGTTAACGCCCTTGACCAGGGAGAGGCCATCGAGTGATGAAGGAAGGTCGGAAATGCGGGTTAAGCCAATGCCAATGAACGTAGTGTCGCCGACTGTGCAACGGTCATTAAAGGGGCGAAGTCTGGCTGAGCCGGGGACAGTGCATTTTTTTTTTTTTTTTTTTATTTTATTTTATTTTATTTTTTGTGCAGGGGCTCTTCTTTGTTCGAAATATATCCTACTCCGTAGTTGCATCGGGAAGGCTCAGTAGATGAGACGATGACTGTAACGGCCGGAGTTAATTCTCACTGTCGGAAGAACCGGCAAGTTACAGCAGGGATATTGGGGGCTTGCGCTTTACAAGGTGTTCTCAGCTTTATTCGCCATCATCTGATCTGATGAATGGGCCGTAAACTCGCGTAATTTATTTTGCAGCTGAGCTGCCCTTGGTGGCTATGTTCGTGCATTAGGAAGACGAACACGCCGCAGAGGTAAGCACTAGTGTCTCCCTCTTGTGTAATGAAGAGCTTGGCCCCATTGGGAGCCCAACAGAGGATATGTTTATTAATAGCCGTCATCCATCGGACCCCCCTCCGTCTGCCAGGGCAAAGGATATTCTATGCTGGAGGTAGAGACATCCAACAGGTGATCGTCCTTGATCGAATGTTTCATCTTACGGTCGCCAATGAGAGAGCCAGTCACTCGTCGGGGTTCAAATCTGGCCATGGCCACCAACGCTTGGTTTTGTTTGGGGCAGTCTGACGAAGGAGGTCTTCGGGGGAGGGGCCAACGACGAGGGATGCGAGACACAAGGCCCTTAATGATAAGCAGCGGCTTCTATAAAGACAACTTTCCGCAAGAAATGAGTTGATTCCAATTAGGACGCATCCACTCTTTTAATACCAACTTACCCACGTTCTTTTGCATTCGTTTCTTCTGCCCATCATGTCTGTCGTTAGAGCTCTTGGAATCATCGGTAATATCTTGAAAATCGTCTCGTTCGGCGCGAGCAACTTTGGCGGCGGCTCTGAGTCCCACTCTGGCTCGACTATCAAGGTTGCCGTGGCCCTGGATGGTCCCAGCGGGACATCGAATGCTGGAGGGGATCTGCTCGACATGTAGGTTATCAATCCACGCAGCACTTCTTCTCCGCTCTGGACGGTAAATAGCGGCTGATAGCTGGCACCAGACGAATCTAGAATGACGTCGGGAAGTTCGTCGGCATGAAGGCCGACCCGGGCACAGTGAACAATGGGAACTTGGGGGAGGTCAAAGTGGACCACGAGAACCAGGGCGCCTATACCTTATTTTCTGCAAATGACGATGCCATCTGCGTCGCCTGGGTTACGACGACCTGGAGCGACGACCGTGGGGGCAACAAGTATGCGGTCTCTGGCGACTACGGCGAAGCGTGTGGCGGGACTTGGTTTGAGAGCCATATGTACACCGACAGCAACAAAGAGCATCAGCCGAAGTGCTTCTGGATCGACAAGAACGGCGACCAGGCAAAGACAGTATTCCAAGTGCGCTGGCCGGCCTTCAGCGAGTCCGAGTATGATTCCAACTCCGACAAGGACCCGAAGCGCCTGTGCAATAACATTGACTTCGGATTCCGCGATGAGAAAGACCCTAATTCTATCAACTATTGGACTAGTTCTAAGAAACGCAGCAGCCCCCTGCGCGTCCGACAGCCCATCGCGCGTCCCGAATGCGTCAAGTCGGAGCTGGTCGTCAGCGAATTTGATAATCATTCGGCGAAGAGGCTGTGCGAATCACATACCTCCATGGGCCCGGACTTTGCTCATATACGCGAGGGCCTCTTTTGTGACACGGAACATAAAATACTCTACCCCTTCTGCAACGAGAAAATAACCAACAACTGCTTCGATCTCGAAACTCGCTCAATTCACCATGAACACACTGGGCCAATCGGCCATGGAAACCTCACGGCGCTTGTCAACACACAGAGCCTTGTTAAGGGCCCCAATGCATCGAAGCCCATGAAGGGGCCTAGCGCCTTCGCTGCTAATAAGGCCACGGAAGATCGCTATGAGCGGGTGCGGGACTGGCGCATCCAGGGAAAATAAGGTCTCAAATAACTCGCAAGGCCATCGACTCGTTCTGGCCTGTTTCGAATATGTATGCAATACAATTCAATGTAGACATTTTTAACCGTGAGAAAATTAAGAGAGATTGGCTCTTAGAGCAAGCACCTGTGTTTGTGCAAGACGCCCGTAGAAGAATGGAAGGAGAGCTCTATACCTTTATAACTGCAGAGCACTTCCAAATTTGTATCACCGTGAGTCGTTAAATATCGGAATTTTAACGGACTCGCTCCCTTGCTAGTTCCTCGGGCATTGAAAAAAAGATCCATTCCGTTCATCTGAATCGAATTCCATATGGTCGGCCACGGTTTTTGGTGCTGACATGGTAAGTTTTCTATATCACTAAAATACACAACTATAGAACACAAATTTACATATAAAGCTTAGCGTGGCCGGAAAACATCCTCTCAAGATACAATATAGCCATATGATATTTCACCAATCCTATTTTAATAGGAGTATCAAAGTCGGAACTCTCCGAAATACGCATATTTCTACTACTTTTATGTGTATCTGGAATCTCGCTTGAGTGGCTAATCTTTTGGAACAATCAAAATAGCTATGCATGATCTTCGCAATATACCGAGTGGTCAATTATAAGGACACTACAGGCGCTGCTAGAACTGCAGCACGATCGGTATAGTGGTAAAGACCAAATGCAGTATATAACACCTCGGAGTTACCGTCAAAAGTAAACAAAGATAGCCTCCTTTATCGGTCAACCAACAAGTTGCGAGCTCTTCGCCCAACCATCCACCGCGCCGTGGCCTGATCCAACCTCCAAATCCAGCAGAGATAACGTAGGTCACATCGGATTTCAGATTCAACGGAATATTGGATTGAGGGCACTGAAGCCTTCGCAGTAAGGTCTATACGGTCTAACCCATGGTGATCCCATTCTAGATGGAGCGGAAGACCTCTTCGATAGAGCTTGCATCTGTCACATTGCAAAGGGTTTGGATTCGAAGCTGAGAACAAGCAATAAGACTCAAGGCTGTTTGCACGGCTTCCTTTGCTATGTCTGCTCTGTCACGAATCCACCGAGTGTTCGCTGGCCTCAATCATCGTTCCAGCACATTCTGGACCTAGGGTATTCTGAGGGCCCTTGCCCAATACCGTCAGGACATCCTTGAAGCAGACTTCGACTGCTTTAGAGTCAATGAGTGGCTGGCACAAGTCGTCATCGGTCCAATGCAGAGGAGACGGTAGATCTTGCGTGCGGAATAAACCGGACTGAACCAACCTCGCTCAGTAATCTTGTACCGGACTGCTGCGGTAGAGGAGCGTCATGGAGCTTGTTCGTTAATTCCTCGCACTCGACGCGCATGATGTGCAACATTCCCTCCATTTCCACAAATGCGGGTTCATATGGCTCAGACTGATGCAAGATACTGATCCAAAAGACCATCCCCAATCATGCGCACATTGTGATCAACGTGGTGAGTCTTCATCTCGCAATTCATGTCGAGGGCTAATGTACAGATCCGTCGGTTAGTTTTCTTATTCCCAGGGGTGCGCGTCCAACCATCAACAATGCTGTATTCAGGGCTCTGAGGGGAATGAACGCCACCTGCAGTAACCCAGAGGATGGAGTTGCATTTATTGGCAACTCTCTATACGTAGGCGAATGTTTCTCTGGTCATGTCACTGAGAAGAAGTCTCTCGGTCTCTATGAGAAACACAACCTTCATCTCAGCGAGGCCTGGCAGCGAAGCGCATTCTTCAAGACTACCACTCTGGATTGTTGATCCCACGTAACAAAGCTGCATCCCTTGTCCCGCCTCGCAGGAAAGGGTCTTCTGTGGAAGTCGGATGAACAACAAATAAAATAGATGTAGCTGAGTTAGTTGTATTAGCCGTTTTATAGCCGGTTACGTCTTCACGCTGTTGGCCCAGAAACTCGGGGGTGGTGACTTGGACACCGGAGAAGCCAGTTTCCTTCAATACATCGTCCCACTGGCTCACTGTGAGCGCTGGACTCCATGGTCTACCGTTGTCTATGTCAGCCTATCAGCCTTCCATCAAACCGGTAATGAAGTCAGCTCAGATTATTTTTGGACGTGTGATTTCGTAATGCATCAGTTTGCCGTAGCCAGTCGCGTGTAAAGAATCGCTACCACAAGAATTCTGGGCTGTATAGGTCACATTTCTATTTTAGGCAATTACTTTAGCTTTAGAGCGTGTCGAAAATCATCACTTCCGGCCAGGTATTGGGTGAAATACCGATATTCGAAGGTTGGTGGTTGGGCATTTGCAAGTGCGCGAGCTTACATGTCGGCGCTAACGGTTGTGACAATGTCCCAATATGGACTAGCTTCATTCTGACAATGCCATCTGCCCCGCGCCATCCGCCTCAGAAAAACGGTCAGAACTGTAGTAACTTCCATACCTTCAGGTCCAATATCCCCACTCCGTCTTCTTCTTCTCTTTCCTTCTTTATACTCAACTTCTTGTATGATAGTGCTACAATGCGATAGTTTCTTGGTATTGCTGTGCAGGTCAGAGTGTAAAGCGCTAAACAGAGCCCGTGCGGAATTTATATAATATAAATATGAGGGTTACTGAGATACCCGTCGCACCGCCTACCCCCCACGCCGAAATTGGGCCAATTCAGCGTCCGACTACGTTATTTAGCCTAGTTCCTGGGTGCCTCCGTACTCCCTAAATCCCAGACTCCTTCATGCTTCCAACAATAGGAGCGGTGGACGTAGATAATTTTAGTTTTTCGGGTTTGTTCCAATGGCCTGCCGTAATGTAGGGCAACAAAGCAGTTAATCGACTGGCTTGACACCGCGTTTGGACTATTTAGCGAAACCAAAAGCCCAACGTATTTAATTTAATTGTAAACTAGATAACCGAGGTATAAAATTAGTCATTTTTGCTAGTCATTCTCTGATCTTTGCTTCCCGACTATGCCATTTATTTGGCCATCCTGCGGTTACATGGTGCCACTGTACAGGATAATTTCTCGGGCATATACTGAAAAGGGGACCCTACATGCTTACATGCGTCAGAATAGTTATCATGACAGAGGAGACGAATTCTTTCAGCACCTGTTAGACCCTATTAAGGATCGTGTCGGATCCATTTTTCGGAGCTGTTGCTTCACATAATATACTTTGTTTATTAGATAACCCGCCGACAACAAGAACGTGTCGTATTTGCGTATTTCTCGGACTATATTGCATAGAACATAAGTGTACGCAACCGGTACTTTCGTGTTTAAAGATAAACTCTGTCTTTGTACTCCGGACTAAATCTCATCCGACACTTAGCATTCTCCATCTATCTAGACCAGTAACCCACTCCATATAAGCATGAGAACAGTTTACCAGACGGGTTTGCTTAGAGTATTTTGCATATTATTCTTCTGCTAATCTCCTCTTTTGCATGAACTAATCAGGGGCGGAGACATATATTAGAAAATTTGTGGTTCTCTTAGACAGAGAGTTACTTCAAACCATATAGAAATGTAACTGTACAGTAAATTATAGTAAGAGCTTAAATATAATGTATATAGTACTGGCTTTTGGCTTAACTTGCTTTATGACCTACTTCCATCAAGGGCTCCCGGTATAATAGAGGAAATAGTCAACAAAATATATATAGCGCTTGTCTAGATTTTACACTATAACATTGAATAATATGCACACCACAAAACCAGCTTTTTTTATTATAGAGAGTACACCAAGTACCGCTAATAGACTAGATTTTGCAGCATTTGGCTATATAAAAAAAAAAAGAAAGAAAGAAAAAAAAGCAGACATACTGTAGAGTCTCTAACAGTCACAATTACAAGCTAGAATTTTTTCTCCTCAACATGCTATACAAAAAAAAAAAAAATAAGTGTCATAGCCAATCCCAGGATCTTAACTATTCCACTGGACCAAAAGACCACTATATCTGATCCCCACTGGTATCAGATATTCCTGAGCACCTTATATAGTAGCGCTCTGTAATGTTAGGTGACGCACCCACACCTAACAATAAGGCTCTTACGATTCTAAATAAGAAGCTTAGTTAAAAAGTTAGAGAAACAGATACAGGGCTTTAAACGAGCATCTATTCTATGAATAGAGCTCGGGAAACTTAGTACCTTCTAATAACATCTTCTTGGTACTAGCGTTGACTGTTGTTCACGAATGTAATTATACTACGTATTGCCGTTCAATTTACTATAAAGGGGAGAATGTTTTTTCAACCAGATAACCAGGTTGCACATAGTAATTACTTGCTGAGTACATGAGGTACTATAAGCAAGTAAACAAAAGAACGCATGTGGAATTTATGTTTAAGCATAACAAATCTCTTTGGCTAAAAACTAGAATTACTGTCTGTCAAATTTACAAGAAGAAATCTCATAAGCCAAGTGCCTAGCTATCCCTTGGGCATAATCCCTGCGGAAGCCTGCATTAGTGCCTGTTAAGCAAGTTATAATGCAGCCTCACCTGCAACAGCATGATCCTCTAGCCTTGTGAACCTCAGTGCGTCTCAGTGTTATTGCCCAGTTTAGAACTATTAGCTGCAAGATACGCCTAGCATATTTAAGGATCACAGGTTCCACAGTAATAAATGTTGGAGCTATACTGTATATCTGTTGCTCTGTGGGAAAATGATGTAGGCCTTACATGAGGATGCATTTTCGTGGAGTCCATTGCCCAGAGCTCTCCTGTCAGACTGGGGCTCCAATACATCCAAATCAGTATCGCAAAGATTTAGCTGCTTAATAGTATAGTACTCTGTAAATCGAATCAGGTTGTATGCCCAGAGTTGTCAGATGCAAGTTGTGAGCTTATTATCCTGGATCTCAGGATATCACTATAAATGGATATGCCCATTGAAACATCCCCCCCATTGCTTTCCCATCCAAGGTTCATGGAGACGAACTAACAACCACGACCTGGACAATATAACTTCTCCCAGGGCACATAGGTATATGTCTACTCAGGTTGGTAGATTCATCGCCCCCCAAACTCAACAGCACATTGTTACTGATTGCTTTTTGCATTCAACCTGTCACTCTTTATTTGAATATTATGCACCTGTCTCGCCTTATAACAAGTCAGGTGGCACTATGCCTACTCTGTCTTTTCCTGTTGTCTGCCATCAAGCCCGCCTCTGTTCTACCAAGTCACAAAGGAGGCCGCCATAGCATTTTATTTGGAGCTAATCACAGCAAGAACCACTCCTCTGACAATCAAAAGAAGCCTGGACTTGGTGGACTATTTTCTACCAGTTGCAACAAGGGTCACCATGGCTCTGGAGAAGATAAGAACCACAATTCCTCAGATGATAAGAACAACACGGCATTGGTGGTTTCTTCTCTGGGGGCGACAAAAAGATTCATGGCTCAAGGGATGATCTGAAGGGCAGCGTGTCAGGCGACGAAAAGAAGGACAGCTCCTCTGAAGATAAGAACAGGCATGGCTTGGGTGGTCTCTTCGGGGGTAACAAAAAACCCATGGCTCCGGAGATGATAAAAATCACGGCTTCTCTGGCGATGGGTAAAAGGATGACTCCATTGATGGCAAGAAAGCGTACAATGGTTCATGAGAAGATAAGAGGCCCGGCACTCCTGGAGATGGGAAGAAAGATCCAAAGAACCCTGGTGGAAAAAAACACGAAGGGCAAAAGTAGAAAGCATCAGGAGAAAAAGCATAATGGTACCTCCCAGGAGAAGACACCTGATTCTTCTAGGAAGCCTCCCCACGGTTTTTCTCAGACGTGGTTCTCCCCAGGGATCTGCCTAGGCAACCCATTCTTAGATAACCAGGTGCCTTTATCAGAGAACAATACAATGACGGGAGCTATATACGTTGAGAATAGTCTAATAAAAAAAGATTGTTTCAAAGCTACTGCGGAATTTAATCCACGTAGTGTATGACTTACGAGGTGGAAAACTAAATCAACTCTATTCGGCGCCTGCAGCAAGAAAACTAAGCATGGAGAAAGTTGGACGCCATGGTAAATATCACCACCTTCCACCGTGCCCAGCTGCCTCACCCCTGTCGTTTAACAGAGCAGACAAATGAATACTGCAGACAGCTTCACGCAGCTCCTCACACTATATATGGATCGTAGAAGCTGTTAAGTATCAGGAGTCCTCGGGGGCCGCCGTCAGGATAACAGGCCCCAGGGAGAACTATCAGAGTTCGTATATGTCTTATTTAAGTAGATTAATTACAAAGCTGTCTGTCTATCTCCAGTCTACTACGCTAGTTGTCGCCATTTATCTCCTACAAGTAAATAATACGTAGGATGCGTAGGGACATAATAAAGGAGTGCAGGCAATAATTTTTTTATAAATTGTAATGTGCGTTATTTATATCGTAATACTATGTGTCGGATTTTTCGAACTTACGGAGTCGGTTGAAACCGCACCGCAGAATCCGTTCGGATTCCCGTGGATTCTGCGGATCCTGCCTTTAGAAACCGCAACTGCACGCGGGTTCCCCGTCTAGTGACCGAATCCGCACCGCTGCGGCGGCGGTTTTTGCGGTTCCTCCGTGCAACTCTAGATAATGTGTGCCAAAGAGAAAATTAACTGTAACGAATATAGTTTTAATCATATTGATACAGTTTGCAAAGCACATAATCTTGCGCCAGGGAACAGGTTATAAATACAAAGTCATGTGCACAATATGCCGTGTTTAGTACCGAAGCGCAAGTAATGTCCCATAAATAACGCTTATGAGTCGCCAGACATTGACAGGATTGTTCTGAATATTATAAAACACTGCTATGATCTCCCCAGTTAAGTGCCAACTCACACTATTAGCTCCTAGTATGTTTTGACAGGGTCTACACCCTGCGGTGTTCCCAAAGTAGTTTCAAATTGGAGCTTCCACCATTCGACGAGTTCACGATTAGACATGAAATTGGAAAATTGTGTTACTCCAGTTGTCGGATCGTCCCAAACAGTATTGTTACCCGGAGTCCCCAAGTCCTTTCTCACAGAATATTGCCGACTAAATGTCTTCTGGGCCTCATCACTGAGCAGCCAGCTCATGAAGAGCTTGGCACTCTCTCGGTGTTGGCTTGTTGCAAATATGGCACCGGACTGCGGCCAGCTCATCCGACCATCTTCCGGAATCTTGATGGCCGTATTTTGGCTAGTGCGACTGGTTGTGAAGGTAATACTGCGGGTTGAGTTTGAATATGACAGGATGTCGCCCGGAGTCTGCGTACCGCGGACCCATTGAATATCCTGCTGTGCCAGCGATTCGAGCCAGTCCCATCCGTATTTCTCGATAATTTGCACAAAGAGAAAGGCAATTGCATCGTCATCGTTTGGATACGTCAGGGCCAGCTTACCCTTCCAGAACGGGTCAACAAAAGCATCGTAGCGAGAAGGGACTTGTGATTCTTGCAGCCTTTCTGTATTGTATATGATGTTTCCGAACCCATCTGGTCAGATGCAGGTGTTAAAAAAGCTCTTCCAAAGGCCGGGATATTCTTGGGTTTATGGCTCACTTATAAAGAGGGGAGTGTACGCTCCGCTAGGGTCTTTTATAGAAGAGTATATATTATCCCACCCAGCAGGTTTATATGACAGCAATCTCCCGGCTCTCTTCCAGCGGTCGAAGTCATGCACGGTTTGGAGTATTGCAATGTCTGCCCCGTCAGACCCAGACTTTTGGAATTCGCGGTCTACACGGCTGTCATGATACTTGGACACATCCACCGTCAAGTTGAGCGGGATATTCGGAAACTTGGCCTTCCACGCACTGACAACACCAGAGGCTTGGCTTGGGGCTGCAGGTCAACAGTGAGCTTCATGGCAAAAAAATACATAATGGCCGTGTAACACTCACCATCTCCACCCCAAAGAACAGTTAATTCCCCAGATTCGGTGCTTGCTGCGGCATATATTTCGTCTAAGCTCCTGGTATCGGTCAGAATTCCTCGACTTGGGTAAGAGCTCTGGGTGGTAACAGTGGCCAGGGAGGATCCTGCGAGGCATAAGAAAAGAAATTTTCGCATCTTGAAAACAAGAGTGGTTTGGGCGATTGTATCGAGCAGTAATTGTAATTGCTACTACTGACTCTACTGTAGCCGCTTTTTCTCGTGCCTGGTTACTCTTGAACTGACTTGGGTTGGTATATTTGATTATGTATTAACTACAACTGCCCTTTTAAGGGAAATTTTAAGCCTAACTGGCGTCTGCCATGTGTGTTTGTACTTAAATTTGGGTCGCCTAGTTAGGCAAAGGTTTTCCGATTCTGTCGATCTTGCGAGAAAACAGGTAGTCTGCTTGCCACGATACTGCGTAGGTGTCGAACAATTGCAATCTAGCTAGCAGCCAATAGATACCTGAGAGTCGGTTTCCAAATCCATCGATGTCGTGCTGACAAATCTTTAGCAATTGGTCGATAGAACCTTCCACCCTCTACCATGGTTTCAGAAGCTACGGTTCAAAGGGTCTATGTCACCGCGGCTACCCAAAAAAAATCCCTCATCTCTCCACATCTTTCAGCCTCAAGAATTATGTAAAGGCAGGGCTGGCTGATTCCGACTTGAAGAGTTTGGTTACCAGCTGTGGCCTTTACACTAATGCCAGGCTTGTGCCAAACCATAAATTAGTGAGGAGCTAGTCAGTATGTTCGTGCAAAATCGGTGGGCCTAAATTAAAGTTTTATCATGAGGAGTTGCCAACTCTGTTTTTTTTAGTTAGTCAGGATTTCTTCTTCCTGGTAGCCCCCTGATATAGAACCCTTTAATTTGTAGTTTTTTTTTTGGTGCGTTTCCCAATACCCGTTCCATCTCAGGCCCCGATCGTCCCATTCACGTACATCGAGTCTCTACTATCAATCGTTTACATTAACTTATTTATAGCTATAGTAAATAGTTATACTACACGCCCCGAGCCTCCCTAACAGTTACATTAAGTATATCCCGCTTTGCCAGGGATGTCTCATGGTCTAGAGGCAACCTGGCTGGAGGTTCCAAATTGGTGAACTGCCGCGGTTGGGCAATTGGGACGGTATTTCCTCAAACATCAATCAAGCGGAAGGCTGTGACAAGTATGTTCCTGTAATGCTGTTATGATGGTGATCGCCACTTCAGACTGGGATATGTTTTAGTTTCCGAAGTTAAAATACTGACTGTAATGGTAAACTGCTTTCCTCCTTTCACACCTGCACTTTTTAAAGTAAACGTCTTACCCTGAATTGTGCGCTTCCACCGGTATCCGCTGATACACTGGCCAATTAAATTAACGGTCGCTTCAACTCGAAAATGTAAGCCTTGGCCAGGCCCTGGGAAGCATGGATCTTGGTATATGTTGCTGCCATAACTCTAAGGGATCGGCAAGTGTCTAGTGAAACCGTACTATTTAATGTACTATGAAGACAAGATAATGAGTAGACACAAGCAACAGTTCATCGCTACAGACCTATTCTGTAGTCACGTCTGATAGGCCGACCCAAAAGAGCAGACAAGGGTCACCAACGGCCATCAATAATGACGTTATGAGGAAATCTTCTGGGTTGGTCGGTGATTAGCGTTCCATCTAAGCCACAGAGGCATGGTTACCTGTCGTTGAGTACCAATTGGGTGTCTAATTACCCCCACGTAGAGTGTTTGGCAATTGCGACCTTACTGAACTGGCGGAATGTTAAAAACTGAGGCAAACGAACGCTTGTCTCTTTGTACTACCTCGCACGAACATCCCGCGCAGGACGTCCAATGCTGTGAAAGTCTGCGAACTCTAAGACTTGGAAGTCGTTAACATCTTCTTGAACTTTTAATGCAGTGCATTGAGTTTTACGCACTCTAACATGTTGAATGGCTATGTGTCTGTGAATCTCTCATCTAGCCGAACACTGAAGCGGGCGGAAGTAGTGCGACTAGATATTCAGGCGTGCGGCCTAATGTAATTCCAAGGAAACGGATGATGCTCAACATAATTCGGTGAGATGGGATATACTGGCTGGACGACTCCAGAGGTATTGCCAGCACCGTTCGAGTATAGGTCTTCCGTGATGAGTGATTGAGGAGCTGGAACAGCGAAATAAGCATTGGCAACGAGCCCTCCAAGGCTCGTATTTATTTGGTATTCTGGCTGGGAATAATTACATGCGCCCAAGGGTGGGTATCATAAATGATACCGGAGACTGAAGTATGGTCAAACTGTAACGAGAATATTTTTTGGCACGGAATAGGGTAATAGGCGTTCAGCTAACATAGTATGTGTCTTTGCAGGGTAAGCTATACGAAGCCCACGGGCCGACCACCGGTTTGATTTAGTATGATCGATTAGGAAGAGCACTTCCTTCACCCCCACGTTGGCCCCCGTGTTCTTCCAGAGCAACCCGCCTACTTTACCGATTGTAGGAAAGTGAGGCAATGGTGGGTTACCTGTTACTCAGGGGTGTCCATTTGATTGTCATCTACAAGCAGATATCAACTAGTACCTAGGAATCTTTCAATAATAAGCATAGGACAGGTAATTAGCCGATCATCATCTAAAACGTGTCTTCTACATGAACTCACGAAGGCGATAGCGGGATGTGTCTATTTCTTACGTGGAGGATGATCATTCCCTATAACAACCTCCCGGGCTAAAAATTTGCATATTCCGTAGATGCTCAGCCCTTAGAATTGCTTATTTTAGACCTTGGCATCCTTCCGAGAGGACCATAGGACTAGAGAACATCCCCTCTGCAATCTATGTTAAGTAGGAGTACTAGAAGGATGTGATCACTACCGAGTTCTAAGTGTGGACTACCTGGACAAGGCATTGTAGAAGAATATGTTTTATCGATGGGTAACAAAATAGAGCTTCATTCCGATCATAGGTATCCCAGGGTGGAAAAAAAGAAATATGGACGTCCTGGTCATGGTTGGTTATGCCCGTTAGTCCACAGAAGAGACGCTTCAACGGCCTGCTTAACACCTGTTGTGAAATTCAGGGGAAGTGATGCGCAGGGAGCTATTCTATCAGCTACAGGCCAACTAGCCTAATTAGGAAGTAGATGTCATTCAGTGGAAACACCAGGAATCGCGGTATCTCAACCAACTGAGCCTAAAGGATTCAGGGGTTGAATCGATCGTCAGATACTCCGCACCGCCAAGTCGGGCGGATTATAGTGTTTCCGTAACAACACCCGAAGTCGGTTGACGGCAACTCGTGGCGCATGTGCTCGTAGTAGTAGATGGTGCGTGGGGGATGTGGTGGAGGGTTAATGGAGATCAGGCCAGCTGAAGATCATCAAGAAATCTAAACGCTGGCCCTGGATGAGTGTCCTACCCTCGCCCTAAAAACATTTTTGTCTTCCCAGTCAACCAGATCCAAAAGCCATAGGGCACGTTAGCCTCTGATATCCCCTACATTTTAAACTTAAAGATTGGAGTAAGCTAAGCAATCCACGCTGATGTTGGAGACGCTCGATTGGTATTGGACTCCAACCATTCCCCTCCGGCCTCGAAAGCGGCGGGAAGCTCTCCCAAACGCCTACATATCGCCGGAAACCATCGATCGTCTCCTGACCGCCTGTTCCGCCCGCAACATCACGGTCACCGCTGCCGCCTGCCTTACTCGAAGTCCCCGCCATCGATCTACGGAGATACCTCCCTGTGCCATAGAATGACCCCGCCGCGGCCGTCTCCATCTACCATACCGGTCTTCCCTTCAGCATTCCTGTTCCCTCGTCCGATGCAGATGATGCAGAGCGCAAGGCGGCATTTTGCCGCCTCTCTCAGACCTTCACCACCCTCTACGGCCGGGATCTCACCCAGGAGTCTCCGCAGAACGTCATTAGCTTTCTGCCGAAGTATGTAAATCAGGCCATGCGGTTACTGAATGCGTCACAGCCGGATCCGTTACGGGGTCCGGCGCCTCCGGAGGTGAGTTCGATGGGCCATGTAAATGGCCTTCTAGAGTCCGTGGTGGTGGGGAAGGAGCGGTAGACTCCGCATGCCCGGCAAGTCTAGCAGGCGTCGATGTGGCGTGTCGCTACTTGGACAGTTATCAGGCCGATAGCATGCTGATGGCCGCGGCAAGTCTGTGGCTTACGCCGAACACAGCGAAGAGATAGGCATGATGCGAGTGACACAGCCCGTCACGGGTAAGTGCTTATAAACAATCCAAAGCCGTTTGCTTCCCACCACCTTATGGTAATAGCACATGGGAAAAGATATACCAGCTAGTAGCTCAGTGAAGGAACGGATTTCCGTGTATACCAGGATAAACGTCATAATCTCACTCAAGTGATGCACCATCACCCTCCCCTAGTCTGCGTCAGAAGTTGTTATCCCATTTTATTCGATGGAATCCCCAGTATCTGTGCCGATGAGATCCGTGGGTTGGTACCGCTCGTTCCAACAAGTTAATACTATTCAGTCCATTCCAACCAACGGGACTCAGGCAGATAGTATGTATGGGACGGTCACAAGGTAGGTACGTACTTATAAGTTTAAGTCGTAGCATTTCCTCTATACAATCGTCGTTTTGGATACGTTCTGCGGTTATTGTATAAAAGACTAATAGTTGTGTGGTTCTACACTAGGATGGTGAGAATAACACATAGTAGATACCGGGTCAGAAGATTCTATAGTCTTTAGCATTACCAAAAAGGTCATTTTAAGTCATAAAGAGAGATACTTTCTTAAGCGGAGCTGTCAACTTAGATTCTCCGCACCGCCACTTTGCGTAATGATTGCTTCAGGCCCACTGTACTTATGGAACCAATACATAAGATTGGGTCTTTTTTTGTCTGTAAGAAGAGTGCATGGTTCTGCGCAGGGCACTTCGATTGGCTGCTATGAATTCCAGTCACATCTATATTGGAGGACTTTCCGCGGCTAAATGTAGAGTTTCCAGGAATCAATTAGTACCAATAGATTATATAACAGGGAAGGCTATATATATATATTTACCTGTAGTTTTTATTCCAAATTTTTAAAATAATTATCGAAGGTCATAAAGGGCCACAATTTTGCAAAAACCCCACAACCCCAACAGGAACCATATCAACATGAAGCAGCAAACCCAGAATCGCACGCTCTCCTCGCCATCAGATGCCGGAACCCAAATCTCCCAGTCCCCGGAGACTCCGAGCGAGTCAGCATCCGCCCCGAGCGACACCCCTACTGAAGGAGATGACTTTGTACACATTATGGAAACTGATGAGGATCTCGAAATGCAGCTTCAATGGCAGATTAGACATATGGCCATCCATATGAATCAGTATCTCAGCTTTCTGCGCAATGCGCTCCGCCAAGGAGATGATCCGAAGGAGCTGATGAAGAGAATGAGTGAGAAAGTCCATATGTTTAATATTACAGAGAGAAGATTTAACATACTAACGACTGTAATATCAGAGATTATTGAAACAGACCCGGATGATCGATCAACCGCCTTCTGGTGCTTGGTAGCTATGCGAGATCGCTTGTTGACTGATGCGCGAGAGATCGCGAAGATGATTGATACGTTGGAAAAGGAGAGAATTAGAATGGATACAGGGTCTTGGATTGCCGTGTAAGATACTTCTTTCAAACAATTTCATTATGTAAAGAAGCTGACAACGTAGTATATAGGTCTGTCAGCGCGGTGGTGAGTTTCCTGGCATTGGGTAGGCTTTCACTCGTGCCATGGGGAGTGTATGGGTTCTATAAGTACATCAAGTTTGCCACGATAGGGGGCTATCAGAAAACCTTGAGGCATGTCGTTGATCAGTTGTTGAATTGGGAATTTGGAGACAAGGACAGATACGAGATGCAGATGCGTCAATTTGATATGTGTGAACTACTAGATAAGATGATAGGTATCTAAGGCACCGAGTTGATGTCCTGGTTAAGAGCTAGATTCAGATAATACATTAAATGTTGGGAGTATACAAGTCCAGCTTCCCGGATATTCATGCAGTCAAGTTAGCATTTAGAACACCCAAATTGGTACTATTTTATCAGGCATAGGACGCACTTAGTGTCTATTCAGATTTCATTCTTTCATTACTAGTGTTACTTCAAACAAATTCTGAACCTACTTCACTGCTTTATTCTACACATATCGTTGCTTCCCAATCGCCAATGCAGATTCTAATCCCGCCTCTATATCACCGATGGAAATAAATGCAGTCGTCCGGCGGTGCCATGGATATACATGTCTGGCTGGTAGCTACAACCCGCATACCCTATGTCCGACATGTATACCACGCCCCGTATATCGCCAAGACATCCCAGAGTAATGATACAAAAAAAATATGAGTGAAAATAGCCTGAATAGTTACTAACCACTGAATTACTAATTAGCCCATTTATATCCTGCGGCGCCTCCCGCAACACAGACCAAGTTTCCATACTCCATGCTTCACAAGTCTACACCGGCAAGGCCATTCCTGTTTCGCTACCAAGATATCGTACTTAGCTAGGCTTGGCTGTCTTAGTGTTGCACGACTTCTTTCCTATACTGAGGTGATAAACTTGCTCGAGACTGAGATCATCTTCCTTAGAACCGGAAGCACTTCTTTCACCCTTCATCCTTCATTCCTAACCCATCACAATCTACCGCCTCCTCTCCAACCCCGGATATGTACCTCTTCCCCATCTCCATTCTCCTCACCTTTGCCCTCTAAGCACAATGCAAACAATACTACCGAATGGATGACATCCCCGCAGACACCGTGTCCACCCGCTGGCTGACCGGCTCCATGCGGGGAAAGGGAAAACTGGACGTCTGTCTTCAGCCGGGCGAACTCTGTCTTAGTTCCAACAGTCCGGTCTAAGAATCTGGCTGCACCGATCGGATCTGGTCCTCGGACGCCTGCCCCTCTGTTTGCCCCGATGCAAGATCGAACTGGATGGATAAGGCGCAGACAAGCAGTTCTGGGCCTAGGGGGAAAGTCACTTATTGGCAGGTTGTTGCTTGTGCGCCTGGGAGTGTTAGCTATCGGGGGTATGGTGATGCGCCAAATTGTTGTGGAGTAGATCAGTTCGGGTTGATGTATGCCGAGGCTGGGGTCGAGGGTGGAGGGGAATCAGTCAGCGATGACAACGCAGACGGACACGGGGACGGGACGGCTACGGCTCCTACGGTGACTAGAACTGGGTCTGGGACCTGGTTTGGTACGGTTGTCTGTGATAAGAGGAAAGGCGTAGATGCGTGTCTAGCTCGCTAGCATACGACGGTTGGTGCAATTGTGGGTATTCCCCTTGGAATGGCATTTTTGGTAACCCTGGCGACACTGAGATGGTCTGTTAGTAAACAGAAGGAGCTGGAGAGAAGGTTGAATGCTATCGGTGAGTAGGCTTCGATGGGTCTTTATTCGCCGTATTCGAAAGAAGGCGTAAGACAGGCCAGAGACCGGGGAATCATGCCGAGTTGAATGCCATGCGGCAGTATGATTCGGATGGGAAGTAGGGTATGATTCCATGTTGTGATTAATAAATCTCATGTAAATAATATTGTTGTGATCTCTGTATTCTCTCAAAATATAAGATGGAAGTATCAATCAAGTTCTATTAAAATATAGACAAGATAAGTCGATACCGCAGAAACCTTCCTAAATCCCAACACCAACCAACACCAAGCCATTATAGTACATGTGCATATAGTCAAGTCTATGATAACTTTGATATCAACCCATCGATTTTCTCAGCCAAATCATTCGTTTTATACGGCTTATGTAGGATATCGTCCATTCCCGCCGCCAGCATCTCCTCCTTCTGTGCTTCCCTGACATTGGCGGTGACCCCCAGTACTGGGACATGCGTATGCGTGTCTTTCTCAATTTCGCGAATGGCTCTCGTCGCTGCATTTCCATCCATGATTGGCATGACCTGGTCCATGAGCACACAGCTGTAAGAGGTGCGTTGTACCGCATCCAGGGCTTCCCGGCCATTTCTGGCCTCCGAGACTTGGAACCCAAGGGACTTCAGCTTCCGAGAGAGAACTTGGCGATTAATCACGTTGTCTTCGACTAAAAGGATGCGGCGGGATGATTCGGAGTCCCCGGTCGCTGTGGGTTTACTATTCAGGTTTTGATGGTTTTGAGGTCGCGATGTAGCCTCGGCCACAGGGTGCTCTATCTGACGGAGCAATTTGGCCGTATGTTGAACTCTCTCGTCGAAGGCCCCAGGCGTCACGTCCGAAACTCCGGCCACCATGGGCGGCGTTCCGGAAATCTCAGGCTGTTTTGTGCGTCGATTCACGCTGGTTAGTTCATTGCCCAGCTTGTGGATATCACTGCACAGCTCGTCAATGGAGTCAGTGCCTCTCGGGCATGGGTCATCGACCGCTCCCTCTGCGATTCGTCGCACAGTGAAGTAGAACCCAAAGGTACTCCCAGAGTTTTCTTTGGAACTCACACCGACTTCCCCCCCGTGTAAATGGGTCAGCTTCCGACTCACATTGAGCCCTAGTCCCGACCCGCCGTAGATGCTCTCCGTCAGCGGCGTAGCCTGCTTGAACCGTTGAAAAAGCCGTTTCTGGGCCTCGTCACTGATTCCAATCCCCGTGTCCTTGATCGCAACCATCATGTACACTGCGTCGCCGGTGCCCCATTCGGGTCGTGACGTCCCGTCCATGCGCGATGCCGTGCCGTCAAAGTCGAAAAAGACCACGTTCGGAGGGTACGAAGAGGGTCGTTCTCTCGACGCGCCCATCGATACGCGGATGCTCTTCTCTCCACCTGATTTCGCCGTGAATTTGATCGCGTTCGAGACCAGGTTGATAAGCACTTGACCCATTCGATCCATATCAGCCACGACCCAGTCCACAGCGCAGTCCGCATACGACTGATCCAGGATATACTCGAATTGGATACCATGTTTGCGCAGCTCCGGCCGAAACATAGTCAACGTAGTAGCGATCTCTCGTCGCGGCATGACCCGTCGCGGGGAGAGAGTCAACATCGAAGCATCCAGTTTCGAGAACGTGAGCACATCGTCGATGATTTTCTTCTGATGCGCCACGCAGAACGATATCGTATCCGCCGCGGTAGCAATCTCCGCGACGTCAATACCCTCCCCCTCCGTTTTCTTATGAATCGCCTCGAGAATATCCTCCGTGCAGTGTAGAATCGCAGATAGGGGATTCCGCACCTCGTGACTGATCATATCGATGAACCTCTCCTGCTGCTTTTTGCGCTCCTCCGCTTCTTCAGCGATCCTGCGCTGCGATAGCTCCGCTGTCTTCTCCTGCGTGAAGTCCGCGATGATACAGATAAACCCGCCCTCCTCGTCTAGATCGAATTGATGCAGGTATGCCGGATCCAACGGCGTGAGGATCACTACGCGCCACATGCTCCGGTGTTCCCGGATTCGGTATTCCTCCCGACATCGTCGCTTCAATCGTATTGCCTCGTGGTATGCCCGCGCGACCTGGGGATAGTCCTCCTCGTGGATAGAATGCGACCAGCTCTCGAAGGTTTTGGGGCTTTGCGTCAGCATGAGTTCTTCGAATCGTCTGTTCATGAAGACCCTTTCGTCGCGGGAGTTGAGGACGGCGAATCCGTTCGGGAGGATGTCGGCGAGCTGTTGCGCTGAGATGGTCCCGCCGATCGGGAGGGTCATGATGGGTGGTTTGGGAAGTAGTCCCCAATCTTCAGCGCTAGAGGGTATAAATTAGGTATTGACGTTCGTATGGAATGTTCAAAGGTATGTACAATAATAATGGTGATCAGCGTGGACACGCAGACAATTCATGTGGCGTCTTACTAGTCCAAGACCAACGTCAGTCGGAGGAGGAAATCGGGAACTGGAATGATTCGGTTGTAAGAGATAGAAAGAATGAATGAATGGTTCTAGACTTCTCTGCCCTCGGATGCGCCGGTGGCTTATGGATGACATTTTGTGACGTCAGCAACCCTCCTAAGGCTAAAGACGGATAGCTTTGCCGGTTTTAATTATACCCTCGGGTATCTCTATTCTCTATTCTCTATACTCTATGTCTATCTAATATATATTATCTGACATGTCATTCCTTTGAATTAACGGCTCTCATCCGCGATAACAAAATGCAACACTCCCGGCTCTGATTTCCTCCCGTGCCCAGTCTCCGACACATAGATGCATCTCCGGAATGTCTGCACCAGGGATACCAAGAAACCCTGGTCCTTCTCTTCGTGATAATTATCGCCGAGCATGGACTGCATGGCCTTGGTCGCTTCCTCGGCCTTGTAGAACGGAATGCGGCTGAAGAGATGATGAACGACATGATAGTCAATAATCTCGTGGAAGAAATGCCGTCCAATGAAACCCATTGTTCGGTCAACGGTGGCCAATGCTCCCTTCGTATAGGTCCAAGCTTCAGGACTATAATGTGGCAGGGCGACATCGGTATGCTGGAGGTAGGTGATAGCGACTGCGCGTGTCAGTCTACGGTCACAGAAAACGAGCAATTGGAAGGAAAAGGACAAGGGAACATACTCAGCCAATGATGGACCCAGAAATACGGCACACCGTACAACAAAGCCACGTTCCATCCACCAATCTGAGTAGCGGCATAGTACAATACCGAGCCCATGATGATCAATCCCAGGTCCGACAGCACCACCTGAATCCATTGAGACCGACGGAAGATCGCTCCTACTGGGTTGAAATGGCTCGCAGGCCCAGTCTTAGTCTCGCCAGGCCAGCTCTTCGTACCAGCCGTGACATTAAGAAGTAAATACAGCTGCCATCCGAACAGCTGGTGTCCGACCAGCTGACCGAAGGACACAATGGGGGTTTCCTCGGCCAGATGCTTCAATTGCTCGATCCGCACGTTTTTCTTTGCCGCCAGTTCCTTGTCCGTCCACGGCACGAACACCGTATCCTTCTCCATGTGCCCGGTGTACCGGTGATGGCGAGCGTGGGTGATCTTCCAGGAGAAATAAGGCACCATGAGGAAGGAATGCGTCGCCCAGCCGATGAAGTCATTCAACCCCTGGTAGGGCGAAAAGGCACCGTGACCGCATTCATGCGCCAGGATCCATAATCCAGTGCCTACGCAGCCCTGAAAGAAACTATATATCACCCAGGCGAGGACACGAAGTGACAACGAGGGGAGAAGGTGGATGTGAAATGCGCCGTAGGCCAGAATCGCACAGTAGAGAATGTCGCGTCCGAGGTACAAAAGCGAGATGCTCAGGGAAGATTCGAAGCAGTGTTCGGGGATGCTGTCCTTGATGGATTTCAAGCTTGGGACGGAATCTGCTGTGGTCTGGTGGAAAAATATTAGCGATTGAATGGTGGTTCTGTCTGATCAACATACCTCGTCCGCATTCTTCGCGGACTTGCGAAGTTCCGCCATAGTAATTAGTACCTGTAAACAAGACCGTAGGACAGTGAAACACAGATACAAAATCTCAGTGGAAATTCTTCCTAGAACGGAGGAACTCTCACAAAGGACAACTTCACCCAAAAAAAAAAAAAAAAAAAAAAAAACTCCCCAGGAAAAACCCCGAATTTCGCCCGCTATAGCAGGCCCCCAATTGGCCGCTGCTCGGGGAGCTTCTGGAATCCATTTGGGGGAACATTAAGTGGACCGAGATAGCATAGCCTGCCGGGTCAAATCCATACAGAACGTCTTCTAGTCCGAGACAGGCAAGTTAATCGCTCGCTTATGGACCCGATTCCACCGCCAAGCTTTTTGTTGTGCGGTGGGATTGAATGTGTCTTAAATTTTGATTACCCGTTGATTTCTTGAAGGGAAGAGACATATTTATCCTATCTATTTATATAAAGCTGCAGCACGATCAGTCAGATATATTGGGTAACTTACATCAATTGACCGAGTACATGCAGACTTGCGCTGCAATTAATTATTCGGCACCCCGTCTGGTTTTCTCCCACACAAAGTCGGCACTACGGACACGCTAAAAAAACTAGTTTTCTTGCCGCCATTTAGCCCTTGTTTTCTAGCCTCAATGCAATGAGGCTAGTCACACCAGACTGCCCTAGACTGCTTTGGGGACTAGTTAGGAACTACATAACACACTAAATTGTGACCGCGACTAATGTTTTTTGGCCAATTGGATTTCAATTGGTCTCCTCATGGTTGGATTGCTGGCTTGGCTGCAACTTAGGTGAACTCTATACGCCGACAGGAGATTAAGCGGTTAGGGGTTTGTCATGTGTAAGGCACTAGAGAGCATTTTTGCTACCATTTATTTTTAGAAAAGAAAATAAGAGTCTATATTTTAGCTCCGACACAGTAAATATTCATCACATGCAAAAGATTTATTTAAAAGGGGAGTTCAAGGGCCACGCCCTGCTTGCTTCTTATGGTCTATAAGAATTGATAAAGAATCAATTGGAGAACGAATATTAAGCCAGATGTTGGATTGCAACACTTAGGTGACAGCAGCCACAATTAATCTTCTCATACTAGGTAACTAGCTATCATGACATCAGAGCGTGTCACCAGCCACATATCAACAGAAATCTTTAAGGGGCACACTGTGGCGTACTTGAACGTGGTGGTGTCGTTATAGGCCTTGCGCATAGTAGTAGAGAGCCTTTACTTTAATTCGGAGAGGTCAGAATTTAACTGGTTCTGATAAACTCCTCCAAGGGGCAATTCCGCAACATCGAGAATCATTGTCTCCTTGTAGATGCTGTCTGTGCAGTCTATGTTCAGTTAGCCAAGTTTCTTAAGATTTACTAATTTAGAAAGATTACACCGACTCTACTTGGACGAGATTCAGGAAGCAGCCAGAATATAGTTGACATGCAACATTCCCCTTGAGGATTGACATAGGTTCAGTTCATTCTGTGGACATTGCTGTATTTATTTTGCTGAGTACATAGGATCATCTGTCCCCGCTTTATGATGACCATGTCCTTATCAGTTACCATGGAAATTGATTGGCTCCTTTGGTCGGCTAGATGATGTTGCTCTGAACCACTCGAAGTTGTGCCGTCCCGGAGGGGCTGTACAACAGTCAAATGTTTGGGTATCGCCGCATTTCATAGGCTTAGTGCAGCATTGGTGCTGATTACCAACAGCCTTCCTACAATATGTAAGATTGTACTGGGCCGGAATATGTGTTACTGCTGTCATAAGAAGAATTAGTTATATTTGTCGGAAGGTCATATCTTTATAAAGATTGGCAATAAAAACTTGAAGCTTGGGAGATAATTTTAATAGAACGCTCAAAATAAATGTTGTTTGTTCGTGGCACCTTGTATGAGAGATAGGCCATATGTTTAATATTGATTTCAGAGAACGTCTATTGATACATTTTTCACTGTTGCTTTCAATCCATCACATAGTTTAATTGACTTACAGGAGAAGGCACGAAGAGGAAAGGAATAAGAAAGAAGGCGTAACTAGAGGGAATCATTGGATGCATTAAAGAAATACCCTTTAGACAACCAACTAGTTAGTGCACTACTTCCAAATTTTGCCCAAAAATGCGAGATTAGCGTGAGCTTCTATCCATCGGTATAGCTCAACAAGCATTTCCGACACAGTGGAGCTGTCTGTTTCAAATGATTTATCTAGTAAGGCCGTCCTAGTTCACGTGGATAAGGCAACGCAAGCATGTATAAATAAATTCCTAACCTCTGGTACATGTTTCTATACTTTTGACTGCCTTAGATAGAACCAAGGACCATGGAGACTCGCGAATATGCGTACAAACAAGGCAATGAGGGCGAGGATCTGTTACTTGACGTCCACTGGCATCTGGGATCCCTCAAGGGAAAGACATCAATGGCTATTCAATAGGTATTTATTCTTCCAATGAGCACTTCTATGTACTCACCTTCAATCAGTCATTATATTCCATGGGGGTGAATTTGTACTAGGTCCAAATCGATAATTCCTCAAATCAATCGAATCTCTCTGTCGTTTCGGATTCGTTATCATCATGCCCAATTTTCGACTCTGTCCTCAGATATAGGTATTCGGTGGGACGGTTACTGACTGGAAAGTCTGCCTGGAATGGACCGCGTCTTCCTTGCCGGCAGTTCTTCACACAGATGGTAATGTTGTCAAGGTTGACGTGGATCGAATTGATTCTAATTTGAATCCAAGGCAAACACCCAAATCCACATCTCTGTAGTTCTCGATTTCTACGGCGGAAAATACTACACAGACCCTATCCTACACTCCCTGATGCCATTTTTTTTATCCCTCCCCTCTAGCAGATCAGCTGTTCTCAGGGCCACAGGTATCAGCCGCAACACCATGGCTCGGTCAAGGCGGCATACTGGCGCGAGATGCTTGGTTGTCAAATGGGTTTAATCCGGTAAGCACCTTACTCTTGTGACGAAAGATGAAAATTATGGCCGCATCGATGGGCTAGTTCTTTCTCGCCTGCGCTTCCGCCGGCAATGTTTCTACACGTGGAGTCGGATACTGTCACCCCGGTACGAATTAGTGGGCGGGTTCATGAGGAACTAAAGTTTTTGGGGGTTGAGACGGAACTGGTTTTGGTGCCAGTTAAGGACCATATGTTTGACATGGCTTATGGAAGCGATAAAGATGAGGGGTATAAGGAGCATGTGTGTTGACGGTTTGAGTTCTTGGCAAGGTTGGATTATGTTTAAGGTTTTTCGATATACAGAGTGCTGCAGGTGATTAGTGTGTTTTAGTAATAATGCATTAAAATTATGCACGTACATTCCTTTCCGGGGCCATCGCATCTCGTCTTTACATCCTAATATTGGCACAACCTCGTGACAAGAACGTGTCAGAATAAACTAGTCCAGATCGGGACATCATATGAACATATATATACTCAATATCTCTCATAGAGAGGTTGGGCAGAAGATCCTTCTGAATACAATCAATTCAGACCCCCCCAGAAAATCGAACAGAACGAATCCCGAGCCATGTGGGAATCCTGAGCTGAGCTGCAAATATCAACGATGGATATACACTCGTGATAAGAAATGAGGGTACCGTATTACCAGCCGTCCTACCAGGAGTTCCGGCCGATGCTCGGTTTCCAGGGGGCAAGTTCCACATTTTCAGAATGTGGGTGGGTTATATCAAGACAAGATCTCTTCATGTTACGGGCAAACTCAGGCTCATCATGCTGAGGTCGTCTCTTTTGCACTCGCACTAGGATCTAAGTGTAATTTTCCAAATTTTTACAATATGATCTAGGAATGAAAGTGGCTTATCTGAGTTTAATGCTTACTTAACAGGCATGCTCAAAGGGCTGCCAGGTAGCGCCAACTGCCTTCATCCATTCATACCGCTACGCTGCCAACCGCATGGCTGACAAGTCTGAAAAGGCAGGTAAGCCAGCGCTTACTGTCCAGGAGAGAGCTAGGTTGAACATTACGATACCTAGAGAACTACCTCTGTAGTTTGGTGGTGGTATGTTCCAAGTCAACCTGAAGACTGCCTACCATCCAGGAGAAAACGAGTTGCCTCTGTAGTTCACCTACGAAGCGGCTGGCTGCTGCCTGTTTATACCGCAGAGAATCTGCTCAAATCTGCTACCACGTGGACAGCGGCTGCTAACGCTTACTGGGGCAATGGGGACTGCGTGCCGGGGTCTTAACGGGTGTTGAACCAGACCTAATGGTCTACTTAGTTGAATGTGGATGGGTTTTTTGTATCATACCCCATCGGGGTGGGATATTGATGTGTTTGAATTAGATCACTTGTATTAATTAGCCCTAATAGATCAGTCACTAGTGATTGCTATATTCTATTTATGGCTACGTTGATATTGATCCCAGTACTACCACGCACAAGACCCTTTCATATTTTTCTACCCCTGCTAGTCTACTGTGTACGAGTATTTTATAATCCGCGCAATGATCTCCTCCACATCTGTCCAAATACGTTGCCGATTCTGCAATCCCTTCAGCTGGCTCCAGTTGCGTTTGATTTGTGTATAAACCTGATACCAATTTGTTCTTGCTCTGGGTAATATGAGTTGGCGCGGGGTCGTCATTGGCATCGGCACCAGGAGATCGAGGTAATCTTCAATATTGCCCCCCTGATACTCGTCACTTAACACGCTGGCGTAATGTTGCCTTTTCTTGACGAATAACTGGACATCAGTTGCAGTTACAGTTGTCCAGATGGAAGGGACATGAGCACATTCGGTCTCATCCCATGCTTCCCAAAGCCAGGGCATCTCATCGCGAACCAGACGGTACCAGAGGCCGACGGGGAGCTGTTCAAAAGTGCGGGAAGCAAGTCTGAGGTTTGCAATATCCCGCGAGCCGAGAAAGCCGACAATGTAGAGTCGCAGTTCCAAGGGGAGTGATGCTAAGAAATCGGCCGGGCGGGCTTGATCTGTGAGAATTTCTGTGTGCTTAACGCGCCTGGACAGATCGAATGCCCCAATGTGTGGAGAGAAATGATCTTCCTCTTCGTGGACGGTAGCGAGAAGAAGAGAATCTAAATTGGGCACATAGAGCGGGTTTGCTACCAGGTACTCGTGGCCGTGGTTGTGGCACCACCACTGCTGCTGCGCCTCGAGCACGTCCCTGTTGCGAGGGAACGCATCGAAGTCATCTGAGGAGAATTCTGTATTGCGCCATTTCATCAGGCCGGAGACGTTGACGTGGTTGAAGCGGACCTTTGATAGGCGGCAGAAAATGTCAAAACACCAGGGATGAAAGGGCATAGCGATGGAATCGGAATCCATATCTTGTGGCTGCCGTGGGTTAGCATCTTTCTCCGTAGCTGAAGACCAGAGCTCACATCAAAATTGATATTATCAGCATCGATCTGGTCAAGCCCGCCTCGAGGAGGAGACACATCCGCAGGCTCCGTATCGCGCGATCCTGTTCCATCACTGAGGCCCGAGAGAAACCAATCTCCGGAGAGCTCCCAATCCTCGTCTAGGCCGTCAGGCTGCCAGTCTGCCTCAGAGGCCTCCTTGTGAACCAGAAACTGTGCGGTTCGACAACCTCTCATCGCCTCCATAGAGATTCTATGCCCAGAATATGCATGCGCGTCAGCACAGGTTGGGCCGGCAAGATGTTCTAGTTGTTCTATGCTATATCCCTCGGGGAGCTGACCCGAAGTCAGCGGGAAAATAACTTCGTTGCGGCGATCCCTGTGGACGGGAGGAGTCCAGGCGGGCTCTCCGGGCAGCAAGCTCTGCGGGTTTCCGCTTGACAAGAGCCAGTCACGATACCACTGGTCTTCTTCCTCTGCCCTCTTGCCATCGCCTTCATCATTCGGTCCGCTATCTTCCCCAAGGCTCACGGCATCCATGGATTCGTGATCAGAGCCATATTCATATGGCACAGTGTCTTCCTCTCTGGGGACATAGTCAGCATCCCGGATCACATCGTTCTCCTCTTTGGGATAACGGACAACGACGCCACAGCCGTTTTGAGAACAATAATCCAGGTCTATCTCATCGATATCCAGGTCCGGCTGGCACCCCGTGTAATCCCATTTGGCCCAGTCCGGCTCACCCGGTGCACGGCTGCGGGAAATGTTAAAGCTCACGCCACAGAAGTGGCAGTAAATCTGGCGGATGCATCAGCGCATCCGCACGAGTAAGATAAGCCAATAACAATCCTACTGCACCTCAGAGTATCCTTCCAGTGAATGCTGGTTAATGGGCCCGTGTTATACATGATTCCCCTGGGGATGAAGACATACCCATTTTCGCACTCTGTCTTTGCTGCGTTGGCAAAACTCAGCTGCTCTCCAGTATCGAAGGGACGATCGGTTACTTAAAGAATCTTGCAGCATCGGGATCCGTGGATCTCTCGTGGAACCGTTGTTCCTGGCCCTGAGTGGATCTACGCCTTGATCTTCCGATTGGCCTCCAAGCCCGTATTGGACGGGCTGGTGGAGACGCATACCAGACACGCGATGGCATCTTGGGTAATTCAAGGAGTTTTCAATATATAATAAATATTAAATAACTATGGGGTTTAATTTGGACAAGTCCGTTCACTGGAGACGTAGTGTATGGAGAAAAGATATGTAATGGTCGGAGGGTGTTACTCTGAGAAACCGATAAAACCAAGCTGTTCTAGCAATCTCTTCTCCACAGGTCGAAACTATCATCTAGTATTAATAGTGTATTATGAGACAGTTGGGCTTCAGCTGTATGAGGATGACAGGACAGCAGCAAAGTAGGAAGAAAGAGGTTGGTCGGGGTTGTTTGCTCGCTGAACAGAATATATTATTCTACGCCTCAGTGAGGGTCTAGTTAGTTCAGAATTATATGGCTACATAAGGCCTATAGCTGCGAAAAGCCTGAGAAAATAATAATAATTCTACTAATAATTGCTGCAATGGTAATAACACACTCACCTTCCAACAAATTGGAATCGTGACAGAAGCTGTACTCCAGACCAAAATCCAAAATCCTAGCCCCTTTCCATTCAAGATATGCCTCTATGATACAAACAATGATTTGTAGGCGGAATAAAATACCTCATAAAGCTTCATTCTCATACTCCGTGAGTATTTGTTGGGCACTATGGTTTCTTTGTACAGTAAAACCCCTATATAAGCAGCACCCGATTTAAGCAAAACTCCGGTATAAGCAAATGAACACGGTGTCTAATTTGATTTTCCATATTAATATGCTTAACCCCCCGATACAAGATCTTTGCTTAATTTTTCGCCCTTTCCTATATAAATTTGCCTATATCGAAGTCACAAAATTGCTTATTCAGATATCACACTTTGCTTTAAAGATGGCTAAGAGGACGCGTCGCGCTATTTCAAATAGCCAGAAGGCTGCCCTACGCGCTCAACATCATTTAAAGCCTTATCTTTCTCTGGCATCTCTTTCTAAGTGGTTTGAAGAGACATATAAACAGCCAATTGACCGCTCCTCGATTAGCCGAATCCTCTCCTCTCGATTTGCCTTCCTTGACGACATTCAAGCGCATCAATCTGAAGATAAACGACGCCGTACAGAATCCTGGCCAGAGCTAGAAAAGGCACTCTACAACTGGATACGGAGGGCTGAGGGACAAATAACAATATCTCAGGAGATTATTCGGCAAAAAGCAAGGGATTTCTGGCCGGAGGTCTATCCAGAAAGGGAGATGCCGCAGTTTAGCAACGGCTGGCTTCGACGCTTTCAATCACGCAGAAATATTAAGTGGAGGAGTCAGCATGGTGAAGCTGGAAGTGTATCTGAAGATGCAGCTACTGAAATGGTTATAATCCGTCACGCTCTTAGTATATATGCGCCTCAGGATATCTTTAACTGCGATGAGTCAGGTCTATACTGGAGGATGATCCCGGACCGGAGTTTATCTACACGTTTGCTTCCTGGCCGCAAGAAAGAAAAGGCTCGAATAACTGCGCATTTCTGTTGTAATTCAGACGCTTCAGAACTCCTTCCTATCTGGTTTATTGGGACAGCTAAACGTCCCAGAGCCTTTACTGCAGCTGGTATTAATATTGAGAACCTTAACTGCACTTGGCGCTCAAATAAGAAGGCATGGATGACTGGTGATATCTTTAAAGAATGGCTGCTCTGGTTTGATAGAAGAATGCAAGGCCGAAAAGTTGCTCTTTTAATGGACAATTTTTCTGCACATGAAGCTGCATATAAAGAAGTAAACCCGCAGCTAAAGAATACACTGGTTATATGGCTTCCATCCTGCTCAACGTCACGGTATCAGCCTCTTGATCAAGGGATTATACGCACATGGAAGGCATATTGGAAAAACAGTGGGTTTTATATATGATGGCTGAGTACGACCGTGGTTTTGACCCGCTATCTACTATGACAATCTTACAAGCAATTCGATGGGCAATTTCTGCCTGGGAATTTGATTTGTCTAGAGATACAGTCAGAAACTGTTTTCAAAAGGCCCTTTCAATTGAATATGTCAATGAGCTTAATGATGAGCAACTTATTGACGATATAAAGCAAGGACTTCAACGCCTAAAACTCTCAAATAGTATCCAGGACATTATGGATATTAATCAGTTTTTGAATCCCACAGAGGAGCAGGTTGATGATAGTCTTATAGATATTGACTCCGCAGTTCTGTCTGAAATTGCACCGCCTCCAGCTTCAGATAGTGATGAGGAGGAAGATCTACAGCCTCTACCAATAATTACACCTACAGACGCTTTAGAGGGCTTATATAAACTACGACTCTATCAGGAACAGCAGGTTGATGGAGATAAGGCCCTTATTCGGCTTCTTACACACCAAGAAAGGCTCCTTCTGGAGAGAAGAGCTCAAGCTCAGCGTCAGACAGATATCCGGTCATTCTTTGCCTGACCACCCACCTCCACCTTATTAAGCTGCGGGGCCCCCTGGTTGCCAAAAACATGCAGAATATAGGTTATATCTTATAGAATGATTATAATAATTAATATATGCGTTCTTTAATTCAGTATGGTGCAGTAGATTTATATAAAGCTATATAAATATATATATTTATTACCTTGTTCGGTATAAGCAAAAATCCGGTATAAGCAAACTTTTAGCCGGTCCGAATTCTTTGCTTATATAGGGGTTTTACTGTACTTGCTGTTTTTGGTGTGATACTGATAAAGACGGACACACCGAAATTATGTTCGTACCTGAATACTGTAAGGCATGGTATTGAATTCTGTCACAACCAAAGTTCCATAGTAACTGTTCCAAAAAAAAAAAAAAAAAATAAAACACATGACACATCCCCGGAATATATTCGATCTCCCAAGGAACAACAAAGGTCATATGGCCGGGGAGTTAGAAGGCACAGTAAATTCAACTGTTCGAACCCTCCATACTTGGCCGCTGTAATTGTTTACAATCCCACAAATTAATATATTGCTCTGGATATTATTGGACGTTATTGCCCATTAGTGGAGAATCCAGTGGGCCTATTATCATGGTTTTTGAGCTATCCGATCGATCCAAGGACTAAAGAACCCCGAATATTGCATTCTCTCGCTTGGTCTTCGATTTGATATAACCCTGTGCATTTACTCCGTCCAGTCCTTTTTTATTTTTTATTTTTTATTTTTTTTTTGAGTTTTACAGCTCTTCATTGTTCTTTTGTCTTACTTTGCTACTGTTTCCATGTTCTCTGTGATCCACTCCAACAATTATTCTATTGTTGTCCAAGATGATATACAACACTGTACTCACGTTGGCCATGGCCACCTTAGTCTCAACACAATTTACAGTAACCTCCATGATGTTCCCCTATATTATCGGCGGTCCTCCACAACCTCTAGCAGCATCGATCATCGGCAACGTAAGCTCTACAAATATTCATCTACTAAGCCGCATTATTATTCAACCAGTAGTAAGGAAGTCTAACAATGAGGTAGAATGCCACGGCCACAACCTACAAGATTAAATGTGCCCCCGGCACGAACTCCAACGATTGTGATATGGGACCGGGAGGCCTCACTCTTGTCGCCAGCCCGCAGACTACCGTCTACAAAGTAGACGGGCCAGATCCTGAAGAAGTCGACCCAGGCCCCGAAGAAAACATGTAAGCCATATCCTGTCCCGGTTCTATCAGATGATCACTAAAGCATGACTCTTTGTTTTTCTAACAGCCATTTGACCATCATATGTTCCTTTGGAGGAAAAACCCGTGCAGTTTGCACACAGGTCGCCAGCGAGGAGGATGGCAGTTACACTGCTATTCTTCAAGAAAGTGAGATTAGTTTTATGCCTGTCACTATTACCGCTGGGTCAATTACTAGAGCGGTTGCTATAAGTGCTAGTACTCCAACAACTACAGCTAAGTCAGGAAGCAAAACTGCATCCACTGCCACTAAAACCTCGAAATCTGGTACTATGTCTTCCAGCTCTTCGACTGTTAGCAACGGTGGTGCGCCACAGGTTACTAAGAGTGCAAGAATGTTTGTTGGGCTTACAATCATGGCTGTTGCAGCTGCTGTTTTGTAGATTGGACATGCAGACGGAGAGATTGTATGTATACAACGGGTGTTGCAGACATATGCCTTTTGTACTGTATATAATTATCAGCTTACTTTATTTAACAGGGAGATGCTCATGTTCCCATACAATTTCATATTACCAAACATCCCTTCGACACAACACATACGCATTTCATACAGCCCACATGCCGCGTCCAACTAATCAACCGGTCTTATCCCAAGCCCCTCACAAAATTCCACAAAGACATTCACAGATCCTTATACGTACCCTGCCTAGTTACCATCTGTTCTTCAATCGGGAAAAAAGCACAACATCTAACAGAGCAGAACTATGTACAATAATATCAAAAAAGCTTTGCTAAAACTTCCAACCCCTGAATCTTTACTCGAATTTAGCACCACCTGGTGCTCTTGGTGCTACTCGTTATAGAGGGAGCACCATATTACCAACACCCAGTCAAAGACCCTGCTCGCTGCGGTTTCACAATAATATTGGAGCCTAGGGCTCTTCGTGGATTGCCTGTGCGGATTCATCTCGCTTAAGTACGGCTGAGAAGGGAAGCACTGTTTTCAACACCCTGTAGTCATATGTACTCGTTTCTTCCTCATAAGGACATTTATAGGAGTCTCCCTTCACTTTGCCACTCTTCTGCGATCAACAAATGTCATTACAAGAAACTCCTGCCCACAAGCCAGTACATCAGACCCATCGCTCCTCGCGTAACTTGGTATAAGAGATCGAGATCAAAAAGAATATTGGCCTACTGCAGTGGCACAAGGAGACATATTTACAATCAAATTGGTCATAACGGTAATGAAAATATGTTGGAATGAACATACGCAAGAATTGGACAACGGTACTACCCATACAGTGGCATCGAACTTTGAATGTTGGGTATCACAGCCTACGTATCAGGATTGGGTCTTTCCTTGCTTCTTTGTTTTACGTTTTCCATCTTGTGAGGCCTACCTCATCGTAGTAAATTGATTTAAGTATCTTCCTGAGCAGCGGAGTGGAATATTCGCCATCATTTTCGAAAGATCCAATACATGTAGTACAAACGTGCAAGTTCCCAATCTACGGAACATTTGTGTAGCTTAGCCAACTGCACCTCACCTCACTTGAAAGAATCACATACCTCAGCAGAAAGACGTAGTCTGACACTAAGGAGAGGATTAGAAAAAGCATGTGAAGATGGCCATTCCATATGACATCGAGCCCATGGCTGCTACCCATTCAGCGCACCGACGCCTCAGGTGAGCAGGGTACTGTTCGCGATATTGTAGAGTGATTTCTAGAATATTCAGGAGATATGCAAGAACTATTGAATAAGCGACTAATATTTGTGGGTTCTGTGTTTAAAAGTACTCGATACTCCCCTCCTGAAAAATTGTCGCAACCACCAATCGTCAGGAGAAAGATAGTCAAGTGGTTTCTGTAGGTGCAGAGTCTGTTTTTCGTTCTGCAGCTGCCGCAATTTGGCTTTGCCCGTTGCACTGGAGTATCAGGCATAAGCTATGGACGGCTCTATAAGGAGATAAACGTAGGTATACCTTAACCCTCCGTAGTCTACACGTGTTTCAATTGTGTCATGGTGATGGCATGTGTTTTATTGCAAGTAGATCGCTGGACTGCGAGGTATTCCGAGCGCTGTGATGCCTCCAAACTGACGGAGTACTAAAAAAGGATTGGGATGGAAAAGTAAATCAATCTTAAGACATTGGATGTTAAGAATACTGGACAGGTATCTTGGCCAATAATGACTGACTCCACATGTTATAATGCTAAGAGAGGCAGGGCTTAATATCTTCCTCTTCTTCAGGATCGGCCACTTCACTTGATTATTTCACATGATGTCCTAATATTTAGTTTCCTCTAACAATATCACACGTCCACAAGCGCTACAATTAATATGAAGCTACTGACATGTTACCGACGCCTCAATAATCATGCAACCCATATTCCGCTGTGGAAAATGAACCTATTTGCTCTGACGGCGCATTCTATGCCGATTCCATTGCATAGCATCTTCTGCATAAATGAATCCGCCCAGACACATGATGCCAATATGGATAAACGTTTTGAACTGGACTGTCAATCCGCGGAAAATTATCGATGACGGGCTAATGAACCTGGACACCGCCTCGACAGGCTTATAGACGTTATTCAGAATGACACTTGCCCTAGGGACGTATGTTCGAGGACGATGGAGAGATACTGAATATATTTCAGGATACTTTCTTTGAAGGGACAATGGATGCGGCATATTAAGAATGATATGAGCGATCAGGGAGACGGAGCCAAACTATGGAACTACGTTAGAATAATTAGGGAAGATATAACATGGTTTACTAACTTGGAATGCCCCAGATAAGAATGCCCATTTAGTCTGGATTAGGACTTCTTCTGGGGGGTCCAAATTGCCATTTCTGCTTGATGAGGATGCCATTGTCATAGGAATCTCCACTTCCGCGCAACTAAATTAAACTCGAAAAGAAAGGATAGATTAATTATGCGATCTATAATCAGAAATAAATCCAATATTAACATGACTATACGGGATCCAAAATACATTGAACTGACTGGCTTTAAATACCCTCTATTTTTATATGACGAAGGGTTGAATGAAGTTAAATTCAATGAAAGTTTCTTTATCATACGCTCGAGGATTTATGGGACTAAGTGCTGTATTAAAATCCAGACCTCGGGGTCTCGGTGTTTGCATCACATGATACAATTGCCGGAATATCTAGATTTCGGTGACACGCCACCGCGGAACTCACTGTAATAATTCTTCCGACATTTTATGAGACAAAAAAACTTTTTACTGATAAATATAGCATCACAAGTACTTGCATAGTAATCTTGAAGTTAATGGTAAACCTGATTTGACCTATGTTCAACTTGGGAAGAATAGAAACATGAGGTTGCCACATACCAAATTCAGAAATAGCACTCACTGAGGGTAAATGACCTTTCTAAATTAAGGAAGATCATTACACCCATGCCCTATACCTCCTCTTACGACGTGTCACCTTCTGCATGACATAGAAAGTGTAATATTCCAGCCACATGTTCCAATATTTGAGAGGCTTTTATTTGCTTTCTCAAGCTATTCCAACCAGATCCGCCGGCCTTCTCCACATCAGTACCTTGAGTAATACAAGCTCAGTAACCCCATCCCAGCATAATGTAAACTCTGAACCATTAGTCATAGAATACATGTGAAAGTTGCATCTAGATATCAGAGTCATTGTATAGCTGAACAGTACCTTACGACGTAAGTATCCATGCAGCTAACCTAGCTTTATGATTACTTAAACATCTTTGCATCTACTATGGGAGGGTGTTGCATGAGCCCCTTGAAATGTGGAAGTTGACTAGTTCCGTCGGGTACTTCAGAGGCGTTGTTGCTTTAGGTCTTATAATGTATTATCATAGGTATCCCTCACAAATTATTGATACTCCGTGCATGGAAAGCTGTAGGCAGTGTAGACACTTGTATCACTTCGCTTAATTTTCCAGATAGATTGGAATATGGAAGCGGAATTATTCTATCTTGTGTAGATAATTAGCCGTTCAGTAGTGGAACATCCGACCGTTTGGAGGCATCATCTGAACGTTGAATACCATTATTATTACCGTGAAATCGGAAGGCTGAGAGACAGTTGTATGTTATCTATTACGACAGGAAATAGTTTAGTCTACAGACAATTAATATAGATTACATATGTAGGAGAATAGATATCCGTAAAGTTATATCTCTAGGGCATTGCGAGCTACTGTTTGACAGCTAGTTTTCACATATATTTAGAACGTTCAGATACATTTCATATTGACTAGAATCCTATTAATATCAACTAGATACAACGAGAGAGTGATAAATCAGACCATGGAGTAGGAAAGCCTTGAATGGTTCGCTCAAGGAGTGACAATATTGAACGCCTTGTTAGGAGCAGTGGTGAGACACCCGATCGTGTTCCAAGCGCTCACATCGCCTGTGACCTTGAACTGGCTAATGTCAGTAGTCTACCCAGCAGCTGCTTTTCCCACCTGGGCCACTAACTTCTGATGCGACAGCTAGACAGTCAGGGTCACCTGAGTGTTTGGGGCTTCAGAGTACGACGCGCAGCAAATGCCATGTCCTGTCAGGGCACCATTGCTCAACCGTAAATGCCAGCCGGTGTCGGGGTTTAACCCTTCAGGCATGCCGTCGACCATGAAATTGATAGTAACTTCTCCTTCTTGCAGGCCTCTGGTCCGTCAATCTGGATGACCATCGGTCAAAGAGCTCATCTAGGTTCAGTACCATAAGAGACTGCGGCGCCATGGCGTTGATCGCTGGACGAGGAGGGTTTTCCAGCTCATATGCACCTGTCAGGTAAATGTTCTTCCAGGTGCCATTCTTGGCGCCGTAACCCAGTTTTTGTAAACCGATCCTAGCTCTTTCTTTTCTTCCTCATGTTGGGGTCAGCAAAGACTGCCTGGTCCGAGAGCATGGCGGCGAATAGTAAGTTATTCTTGGCCTGTACGCTCTGGCCTTTTTGAGAACGGACGTGGCGCCGCCCATGCACTCCATAAATTCCCTGACCTCGTCGACAGGTGCCATGGTCCACAGATAAGCTGGGTTTCCATCAAACCAACCCATGTATTTTATCGTAGATGGCTTTGATGTTGTGGCTGATCGAACCATAGTAACCGCGGAGATTCGTTCGATCATTCAATTGAGGAGGCATTTGAATTGCCTTCCGCAATTTCCACGGGCGTCTTGCCATCATTGAGCTGCCGAAGTGTTTCGTCGTGCATATAGGCGTAGTAGTCGCGTTGCTCAGAAAGAAACTGGTCACCAGCTTTGTATCTTCTGGATTCGTATCCTCTGGCTGATAGTCTGCAATATCCCATGTGCGCCAGTGGTGGCTAGAAAACACCAGCTTTGATTTGTCACCAAGATGTAAATAGTACATACGACCACAGGGTGTGGAAAACAGGGCTTCCCGTCCGCTCAGCTACCCGGCTGTTGTATGTATATTTTTCATATTTTTATATAATGAATGAATGAACTTGTTCAGTTCTCTGTGGGCATGCATGTATGTCTATTCTGTAAAGACATAATCGCAGGGAACAGATCGTGAAAGCAGAGGCGGTTTGCCTCGATGATTGCAAATTGCTTCAGGAGAAACTATGTCTGGTATAGGTGCTGAGAATATCCACTGACCTCAAGAAACATGAGGCAAAACAGGAGTACCGTGACTGGTGTTAGTGATCTGTCTACAGGAACGTCTTTTAGCAACGCTAAGAAATCAGCGTTTCTCAGGTACTATTTAGACGCCATATGCGTCGCCGCTGGAAAAGCAGAAGTCCACAAAAGATAATAGCACCGAATTGACGCAATTAGGACGGCACAGGAAGCCTATCGCCAGCGCAAGTAAACAATCAACTCTGTCTCTGAGAAATCCGGTCGAAAGTTTACGGAGAACTGCCAGGGAATTGGATCGGACATTCGAAGCGTACAATTTGTGTGGAAAACGTCCAGCCTACTAACTGTCTTTGGAATCACCCTTAAGAGGGAGGAGTCTACAACAAATCCGTAAGCAATTTCTTGCGAATTCTGTAGCAAGTCGCCTCATCCAGGTATCGGCGTCATGAACGGGCGCTCCCCGCATTCCGATGTTGTGCAGGGTATGGTTTGGATTCTCAGCTATCTAAAACGCCTTGTACTAGGGAAAGAAAAAGACCACCTCCGCCAGGGCTTCAGTTCCAGGGGTGAGTTGGAAATGATCTTGAGTTCAACAATTTCCTGTCCGAGAGGACCATCCTTTGTGATGCTGTACGCGTGCCACCAGCGAGCTGGAGCCCGTGGACAAGACCTGTCCCAGCCTACAGCAGATCTGTCCAGTGGATGATCTCTGAAGGGTCTCTCCGTACATGTAGATCGACCGGCGGGACATGGCCGCCCCGGCGTACACATTCTCACTGACGGCGTGTTCAGCGAAGCCGTCGGGACCGATGATTTGGAGGTATGAGCCAGCTTGGTCCACGATATAGCCTGGGCTCCACCGAAATGGTCGGCATGGCAGTGTGTATAGAGCAAGGCCTTGATGTCCGCTTTTTTACCATGGGCATCTTCGCGGTACTGCTAATAATCTCAGTCGCGCTCTTTGCTGTCTCTACGCTGGTCAAACAGTCGACAATAACAATTCCGCTCGTGTTCGGAGGACGAAGTGGTATCCTGGGGAGAGAATGGAAAACTGAGAAAGAGAAGGATGTCAGAATCCTCACAGGGAGGCTCCTCCCTCTTTTATATCTCCTGAGTCCCCTCTTTTGCCTCAGAACAATAATCCTCTGTAATTTCATGAGCCGTAAACAAAGCCACTGTCGTGGTCCAGGTCTAGTCTATCCGCTTAGTTCGTACCTCGGCGTGAGGAAGTGACACGTCCAGACGGCTGAATGATGCCCCCTTCGGTGAGTTCCGTGTTTGTAGGCCAGGATCGTTATCATGCATTTATTAGACCATGCAGAATAGTCTGTAGAGATGAGTCGGACCAGAAAGTGGAGATGAGAGGCCAAAGTGTATGACGGGTGCAGAGTGGCGGCAACTTGCGGAGTACCTATGTCGCAGCACTGCCGAAATGGCAGTAAGAAAAGCTATCCTTTAGTAAAGAATTCACTCTACGATCGATAGCTATATGACACAGGACTATTGAATCAGAAATAACCTTCCGGAATCACAGTGTTCTATAGGGAACGACCATTTTGATCGCTAACTAGGATTGTAATAGAGATAGTTCGCAAAACACAATTGATGCATAAAGAATCTGCGATTAATCATACAATAGTCTCTGCAAAGTAATCGCCCCCAAGTCATTCGTGCACGAATCATAGCACTCTACGCAGCGCAACGTTAGCCACAGATCAGCCGTCAGAACTTTGTCTTACTGTCTTAGCAGAGAATAGGACTTGTGAAAGCTAACGCACTCAGAATTAATAAGCTAAGCAGATAGAAGCACTTGTAGGCTTGAGCTGAAATTGTGTTGCAAATGTCAAATTTTCCCCTGTGATTACAGGGATTCTTTCAGCTCGTTTCTTCAGTAGGTGAAACTCTTCTCTATTAGGATATGCAATCCACTAAATTCCTTCCATACCCTAGTACGGAGTAGACAGCCGCATTATTGCGAAGCAAATAGCAACTGGGTAATATATTAATGCATAATAGAGGGGTGCTGATCCCACGCTTTTTAACATTGAAGACATTTGACACGCACCCCAAGTGGGATCGGGAATCTTATAGGTCCCAATATATATAACTTCCGGCACAGCCCACCGATTCGTTTTGTCTAAACCTATTCATAGAGAAACAGACACATTAATTTTTCCGTCGCCGAATCATCTCATGATGGATATCTGGTCGGCAAATTGCTCACATAGACTGAACTAGATACATGGAGCCCGAAACCAGGGTACTTTAAGTCCCATTATTTTGCGAAAATGCACAGCCTCAAATAGAGCATCGAAATTTGGGCGACTGACATGTAGATTTGAATATCGAGGGCCGCGAACATCATCAAGGCGTCAAACTCCATTCCTTCAATGTTAGCCCACATTGGTATGTCTCGTCTTCTAAACTCTGCCAGGCATTGGAATAGAAAAATATTCTATAAATTACCTATAGCACTGTCAACCCTCTCCTGCGAATAGATTACTTTGTTCTAGGTGAGCCTTAATCTCTAAGATAGCTCTGCATTGAAGGTACAATCACAAGGCATTCCTGCATCAGAACTATAGAGCGTGCTATAGATACAGGGTTGCCATGTCAAACATTCCATCCTGTTGTCTCTGAGGTGGGTATGTTTACGGGCATTGCTGAGATCTACAGATTGCATCTCCCAAACAAATTACTGCGTCATAACTCTTCCCTTAAGTTGGTACCCACTAGAAACTCAATTTATCCATAGAATAAATAGTAGCTACACTATTTTCCTTTTAAAAACCGATAGTGGCCTAGGAAGGCTAGGTAGCGCTCAGAAACGCGCAGCAGATAATATATAAGGAATATGATCATATGAAATATTACAATGTCACCTACCCAACTGGTACAGGAAACAGTGCATTTCATGGTACGTAATAACACCACTTGGGCTTTAAAAAATATAATTGCAACAAAATTTAATCACTAGCTGTTGTCCAAGGCTGCTTGAATCGTTTATAGGCGCAACCTAAACGAAACAGTACTAGTTTCGCGACAAGAAATATAGGCAGTGCTTTACAATAAGTCCAAGATAGGTATGGTCTGGGTTGATCTCTTAGTATAAATAGTTTTATAAGGATACGACTGCAGTACTCGTAGTTAGAGAGGCAGGACTAAAAATAACTAGGTAGTGTGATTATACTTTTTATATGCTTGCTATACCTGGTACTGTATATACAATTTTAATGACATCATTGTTACCAGTGCAAGTATCACATAGAGACCTTCCTTTTTCAATATTTCTAATTGTCTTATACTTCTGCTTGTACTTCTGCATAACTGTACTGACCCCGTCGTAGAAGGCAAATTGCCAGCGTTATCTCTCCTACAACTAAAAATAAAGCCAAGTAGTCTATATCATGTACCACTTCTAGAGCATGCCATTCTCCTATTGATCGTTTTCAGGCCTACTCATAAGTAATGAAGTGATGATCAACTTTCATCTGCACCATCAGTTTAAACAATCAGTCCTATACGTTATCTGAGTGTTGCCTTTGCGCTATCCCGAAGATCAGACAGCCAATAATTTCAGGTCTGTTTCATATTCTTTCTTGCTAATGAATATTCCGCTAGGCATACTTCAACTATGCAATTCTCCTATTTTATTTGTATTCTCATTGCTGGCGGCTATAATAGGCACTCAACTGGAGCAGGACTTTGAGAAATCGTCCTTGCACCCACGACAGTGCTAAGTGAAGCTGTGTATTGATGATTGTTGCAATTTGGTAATTAAACAGGAGGAACAAATTGTCCTAAATTAGCCACTTATTACACCTAGGCTCCGTTTCCTGGGTACTTAACGAATTTTAGCATGAGCTATTAAAGCTCGGTCTTCCAACACTATATATGCCTTAGAATACCTATATGAATTATGATCTTGGTAGTCCATGCCTCCTACGTCCTCTTCTTAGTACAGGTTAACTGTCACATGATACGGTGGATAGGGGGGAACCAAATATATCTACATCAGGAGGATGTGACGGAAATTGGAGTAGGTTGATTGATCCTGAATGTCTTGCCCTACATGTGGATATATTAAAGGTATATACTGTACAAATATATCAGGAGATGTTGAAGAGACGATTTTAATGTTGTAATGAGGGTATATTTCCTCAGTGAGAGCGCGACTCAGGGAATAAGAAATATTCCCTTTCAAGAAAATAGCATCCACTGAGCAACCGAAATCCAGGGTCTTCTCAATCCCACTGATGCCCATGACTTCCTGTCGTCGATTCATCATATTGGTATTTCTCCTCCATCTCATAATACCGATTAAACCCTACACCCTCACACACCTCCTCATACGACAAAACAGTCGGTGGACTCCCCACCATAAACGAATCCTTGATAGCCTCCAACGCCTCCCGGATACTCTTCAGTCTGGCCGCCACCAACGTGAACGGATACGCCACAACGGAATAGCCCATCTCTGCCAGATCCTTGGCGGATAGATTCTCCGTCTTCCCGCCCTCGATTATATTCGCAAACACCGGGAACTCTAGTTCCCTACGCAGACGTAGCATCGATGCCCGGTCCGGAAGCGCTTCAACGAAGACGCAGTCAACTCCTAACTCGATAGCTTTTCGGGCTCGCGCTAGCGCCTCTTCGTACCCGTGGATCAAGCTATCCGTTCGAGCCATAATCCAGATATCCAGGCCTTCGTTCCGCGCGTCTACCGCCGCTTGCCATCGGGCGTATGCTTCGCTGCGTGATACAACGCTTTTGCCATTTGTATGACCACAACCTGCTCCTTTTAGTAGCCTATTCTTGAATGCCGTGAAAAGAGTTGAATGGCATACGTTTCGGCCACGTTTGATCTTCAATCATTATCCCTGCCGCCCCGGCAGCCGCAAACCTAATAATTTACAATGACTATTTAGCTGATTCTCGGTCATAGTATCCCAAGAAGAAGAAAGGAAGGATATACCCCTCCACTGTTCTCCTCACATTCATCGGTCCTCCATACCCCGTATCCCCATCCACTATAATAGGCACACTGGTTGCTCTGACCACCTCTTGGATTTTCCCTGCTACCTCCTGAAACGCAATATACCCTGTATCTGGCAGCCCTAGCGCAGATGACATTGCGAATCCGGATAGGAACACAACAGGGAATCCCGCTTCCTCGCAGAGCTTGGAGCTCAGAGCGTCGTAGCTGCACACATGCGCGACAATCTTGCTCGGGTCGTTGTGGGCTTCTAAAACCATGCTTCGCAATTGGGATGTCTTGAAGGAAGGGATTCTGCCACGGCAGTTGGTGATGGGGACGGAGATGGTTTTGGTTGCATCGTTCGAGGTGATTATAGGGACGTTGGAGGCGAAAGTGAAGGGGTAGGGGGTTGTGTTGGCGATTGATTTGGACATCAGGATTATATTCGTCTTTAATTATAGAGAAAGGTGTTATTTCTTATTGATTTGTTTTGGAATACTCCGTAGAGTCGGGAGATACATATCAACTCTCAAGCAATCGATCGGAGTCTCCGATCTCGGCGAGACCCCGCATTTGTACAAAAAACTGTTTGATACTTGGCTAGTACTAAATAGGAAACAAGATACGAATTTGGGAAAGGCCTTAAATTGATGGTTTTGAGCTGGTGGGGGCTCTTATTGATTGTATTAATGATTATGATGGTTGTCCTTATTATCATGTTCATTCGCTCGTTGAGGCCTTGTTCGGGGGCCCCACCGTAGGCGTTTCCATTCTTTGATTTCCAAAGAGGCTTACTCTTGGCTTCACCATCACACCTCCAGTCGCCGTCCTGCAAAGGGCGCCGAAAATGGCCTCACGGCACCCAATTAAATGGGGCCTTAGCCCCATCCAGGCCACGATGGCTTCAACACCTCTCCCTCGCCCTTCACTTTCATTGTTTACCTCGTCCCATTATAATCCATTTCTCTGTAATCCTCGCGCCCTATACACACATACATCTCCTATATATATTCACACCAACCCGAATTTGTCCAGCCTGTGTCAGTTTATGCTTGGTTATTTAGTCATGCAGTCTCGCTACTGCTTCCGTGCACACTATATTAGTAGACACCAGTAGTTTTTGTATTTAAGGGAGAAACGATGAAGCGTTCGCACTGTTAACGAAGTAAACTTAGTTTTAAAGAGAGTAACGGTTCTAGCGATAGTGTGACAAGCAGCAGTGACTTAGATAATTGGTTAAATATTACTTTTAGAACAGATCCCAGAGAGACTAACATTTAGCCACCGGCGAGAAAAAAACATAGAACAAAAAAGAGCAATCCTGCTCGTAAGTCAGCGCTGAACGACGGCCCAGTGGAATTTGTAAGGGATCAACCATAGATGATATTGATTGATATTAGAAAGAAAACTAAGCATGAAAGGGATTTTCCCTTGGGATTTCTCTCGGGATTTCCCTCCCGAAAGGGACCGGGGATGGGAACGGGTCTAATTTCTATTCGGGAATCGGATGGGAATCGGGATCAATATTATTAAATTTAGGGAAAGGGATTATCCCATACCGATTTCCCATAAACAGGGAATCCCTTCCCAACTTCTTGAGACAGGATTAGGGACCACCCCCAGGATCCCATGGGAATGTGGACGGGACCAGCCAGACCCTTCTCGGGGTCCCGAATCCCGTCACGACGGCCAGCCGGTAGGTTGGCACGGTGGCACACTACCCCCTAAACATGCAAGATATCGGGCTTCTGGCGTTGCTTCCCAGGGCTGAACATAGTCTTAAATTAAATTTAAAAAGGAACTCTGCCCCACGCGCTTGCCGTCGGTTTATTTGCTTGGTGGTTATAAAGAACTACAGGGTACGGTGATTGGAGTATACCTTTACCGGGTCTTCCAAAGCCATGCTGGTGAGCTCTGGGCACCATGTCCTAAATACGCGGATAATTGCGAACAATTTCTTACAGTAGATTAAGTAGTTAGTCTCCACGGGGTCTTTTTTTTTTTTTCCCAGAGAAGTAAGCCACTGGCCGTATAGTAAGAATGCTAGCTGTCACAAGATTAGAGGATAGCCTTACTCAATATCTTCTTGGACAGGTTAAAATAGGCTAGGATCGGGGCAGTGGAAACGCCCCCTTCAAAGTTGGACGGCCTTATTACACTCTGGTATCCACTGGAATATTCGTATCGAACCTTTGTTATTTCTAAAGCAGTGATATAATGGCCTCGCTACGCTTAGTAAATTAGTTTAAAGGATAGGGAGGCTGGGAAACCCCAGGAATAAAACACTGGTAGAACTCCGCGAAGCTAATAAAGACCTGGGCGTCTTTAACTAACTGGGGTCTTTCCCAGTGGCAGGTTACCTTAATCTTTCCAGGGTTCATGCTAATGCAGTCTGTGCTAACAATAAGGCTAAGATATTTAACTTTAGTGACGCTGAACTCACACCTGTTAATGTTGATATAAAGAAAACGCGCAAGAGCCGCCGGAGGACCTTTAGAACGTGTTTAGTGCGATCCTTGGGGTGGTCGCTATATACAAGGACGTTGTCAAAGTACGCAGTGCGCAAAGCATCTAGGTAGTCTAGAACAGATTTATTAATATAGCTTTGGAATGTCCCGGGAGTGTTAGAGAGGCCAAATAGTATAACAAGTACTTAAATTGTCTATAGCGAGTGTTGAATGTAATGAGCTACTTCTGGCCCTTTTCAACACATTGGATACCAAGAGAGCCTGTTTGCTTTAATATCGGAAACAAGTCCCAAGACACCCCTGATGCTTGCAGCAGTAAGTGACCACAACTTAATGGTACAACTGCTACTGGAGAGGGAGGAAGTTAATGTAAATACTCGGCCCTACAGGGAAACAGCACACACCCAGGCAGTTGAATATTGCCATGAAGAAATCGTTAAACTGATTTTTTTAGCACGCCCTGGTATTAAAATTAATACCCGGAGAAAGTATCTGGTCACGCCATGAACACAGGCTATTAAGAAGGGCTATCTATCTGTTCCAATGCTCTTGGCAACATGAGATGGCTTGGACCCGAATCTCCGAGAGGAAATGGAAGAGATAGCAGCACTATATCTTGCCTATGAAAAGGGCTTCTACGAGCTGGTTCAGCTCTTAATTTCACGACATGATACGGATATTAATTCCATAAGCGAGAGTTAACGGAGTCCACTGACACATGCTGTATGGAAGAGAAATACGCACGTGGCCAGGCTACTGTTGGCGCAGGAGACCTCTTACATGTAGGTCTCCCAGCCATCGATGGCCGTACTCGACTGATATGGGCAATCTATATCTGCAGAGACGGCATAGTCATGTTGCTTCTGGCTCGAAATTATGTTAACGTCAATGCAGCAGATATGGATGGTGAAACCACGTTGCACTATGTTATAGAGCAGCAAGATCTAGGGATGGCAGACTTGTTGTTGGCCCATGGGGCAAAGCTGGATCTAGAAGATATAAATGGCATAGCCCTGGGTTATGCTTATGGAGAATAGCAAAGAAGATGAGATAGTTGAACTTCTCGCGTAAGTCCGTCAGAGGGAGGGAGGGGCTTAAACTTCTAGTTAGGAACTATCGGAACAAGACATACTATTACGCAATCCAAATTAATATAGTGCAACCAGTTCTGGTGGTGTTATATCTTACAGGAACTAATCCTATTCTCCAAGTACAGTACTTTGGCCTAGTTCGCTCTCATGCAGATTCCACTCCATTACATAGTAAACTAGTGGTTACTACTCCTTGGACCTTATTCCCACATGGTTACATCGCGCTGTGTATCTATCCTGATAAGGGAGTGGATTTTTGGTCCCCCTAGAGACTTGTTTATATTCTCTCAAGAGTTAGCCTGGTTTTTGTCTCACTTTGGAGAACAATGTCCAAATGAGTATTATACAACAATCTCAAATGGTCACCGAGTACTATATAAAGCCTGCAAAAGAGTAAGAAGAAGCTGAGAGATCACGCTTTGATTTCTCTCTCCCACTCACTTTCTAGAAAACTCAGCCACCCTGTTTCCATCCCCCTCATCCTTTTTCTAGGCGTTGCCTTGAGGAGTTTCCCCAACCCAGCAACCTCTATCACCGGGGCATGTTTGGCTCGAAGTCGGGATTTCTGCGTCCCGAGCAGCATGTCTACGACCATGAAGGAGGTATGTTCACTTGGGCATGATGTAATTTCTATTGCTAACGGAGCTCCAAGTATATAACGTCTGATTTGAAAATAAAGCTTCGTCTCCTGGATGCTCAGATGCCGCGAGATGGATTGTCTCGAATGATTTGGCTGTCCTAACACAGCTTTGGTGTCGGGATTTTAAGGAATAACGCGGCCAATTGCCTGATCGGAGTAGAGTACAGCTTACGGCATCAATATTGCTTTTTCTGCACAAACCGGAGAAGTTCATGAGTTAACCGCCCACCGATCTATTGCCTGGCAAAAGGACGGTGATAAGGCAAATGCTACACTCCGGGCTAGTGCCCAGGTTGCATGTTACTACAAGGTCTGTATACAATGAACAATATTTGGCAGTGACTTGTAAAACTGATTAAGTACAAGCATTTTACGCTCACCATAGACCTTGTCGAAGGCATTCCCATTTTGTGTTAACCTACAGCAAGGAGTATGTAAAGGGTTATTGAAGGATGGAAAAATAGGGTCCTCTAGTCCAGGCTTTCTACGAGGTGTACAAAGAGGTCTTACTTTTCTTCAACCTAATTCTATTCATACTTCCGCTGTTTTCTACTAACCAGGCTTTCCGCCGTTACACGTCTTGCGCCGATATCCTTGACACTGTGGATTCGATCAAGCCTAGCGACTTGCCAATACAAGTAATTTCGAATAGATCTTGACATACTCCCGTATTTAGGCCGGCTAGCGAGCTAAATTAAGAAGCTTCTACTGGTAGGGCGAGAAGTGCTGATGCGCTTGGAAAGGAATTTGGGGCACTTGGGGAGCGCAGCGGGTATAAACAGAATGTCATTGCCCGTACATATTGTCGGTGGGCACTTATGGAAGCTGGAAAGAAAATAGGCTAACCTGATTGCGCTAACCAAGCCACTGATGTACCACAGATAAGAAGTATTCCCAGGCAGCTCGAATTAAACATGCCTCCCATAGGGAATCAAAGACATTTGGTCGGTTGTATGCACACCCTGCTTGCGAGGTGGATTAACCGGCAATATTCTTAAATATCGCGTCCTGCCACGAGCAGATCCTGAATCTGCGCAGTATGGGCATGCATCCTAACAAAAATTTATAGCAACCTCTACCTGCAAAGGTGGAGTTTGAATCCCAGCAATAAGACGATGTTATAGCCCTTGATACAGAAGCCATGTTTCTAAGTGCCCAACCTGTAAAGGCCAATGACCCCGAAACTAAGGGCGAGATACAGTTACAGCTACGCCGAGTCCAGAGCCAAAGAATAAATTATGTCTCGAGGAACTTAAATGCCAACGCGAACTCCAACAAGGCACTCAAATTGGAAGTATTTATGAACAGACTCTTTTCCACTATCGCCGGCGAGCTCTGCCGGAGCGGGGCCATCTAGCTCAGATTTGCCAACAAAGACAACCACACGAAGTTCGACCAGGCAGGAGGCTATGCAGGAGCTGGAAGCAATCTGCCGACAGCATTATCCGGTTGCCTATCGTTCAGGCCTACGACCAGTCGATGGCAAGTGCCCGTGGTACATCAATGGATACATAGGCATTCTCCTTTATATAATCCTATTTGTACTAATCTTATAGGTTTTTGCCCATCGACAATGGCTCCATCTCTATTATTTCTATTAGAAGAGACTCCGCCAAATGAGCAGCGGTAATTTTGCGGAGTTTTACTTTGAGTCCGACACGTGGCTCAACAGCCGATATAAAGAGTATCGGCATTGTCATTACTATCTTAGTAAACCTAGTGAATTACTTCGCTGCGATCTGATTATATTCCGGAATTGCCCAGTCAAACCTGGATACTACCCTTACTGTCTGGGCAACATGGAGCTAGGGCCAATCCAACGAATGGAGCAATATTTAGGTTGTAAGTATGTGGTATAACCATGTTTAATCGCACTTAAACTACACGTACCTATCTAGTGTGTTTCAATGCGGGCACCCTGCATGTACCCTGAAATGTGAGTTACTAGCCGAGCTGTTATTTCACCTTGATAATGTCCACTGCTGTAAGCCTCCCCGCGGAAAGAAACGAGCATTGGAGGCGTGAGCGCTGAATGGAGAACCGAGAGTGTATTTGCGATTTCTCTGTTGTAGTTTATCCATTATATTTATTTGATAATTTAAGGCAACCATGCTTTTGTGGGATTTAATTCCCTCCGAAATTTATAGTTACTCGTGGTAGGTGCTTATTATATTGGATAGCAAGCACGGTGCGTATATGGAAAACCGCAATGAAAACTGAAAAATTATTCCTTGAGACCATTTTCTCCAAATTGAGAGTATCCTTTCTAATCTAATGTACATAGGTTCTTGGCCAGCAATTTTCCCGCCGCCCGATCTATAGTCCCGACACTATCACTCCTACTTTCACCCTCTCGATCACACCTAAACTTAGATTGGTTCCCATTGTCAGCGGAAGATTACGGGAAAGTTTGCGATACGTGCTGTGTGAACTGGTACGTTCCCAAAGCTTGTAATATTGCAAAAGCCGCACTTTGCGGTTACTTTTGCCGCCAACCTAAACAGAATCCGCCTTTTGCCCTTACACCACGACCATATATACATTTAATGATCTTCCAGTTTATGAGTTTACACTGTCAATATGTCTACCCCTGCCAAGAGGAAGCGAGCAATAGAACACATGAACTGCCGTCAGAAATTATCGGGGCATCTGATGAGTACTCCTTTTATCCAACGCAACTATAAAATACTAAGAATAAAAAAGACGCTTTCAATCAGTTTAACCCTGTGAGGTACGACTGCTTCCTCAATCAAGCTTGTTACGGAAACACTATAATCTACTTGACTTGGCGGTGCGGAGTATCTGACGACCGATTCAACCCCTGAATCCTTTAGATAGTTGAATACCTCATTAAGAATATAGGGAACCGCTTAGTAGGCTCAGTTGGTTGAGATACTGTGATTCCTGGTGTTTCCCTGAATGACATCTACTTCCTAGTTAGGCTAGTTGGCCTGTAGCTGATAGAATAGCTCCCTGCGTACCACCTCCCCTGAATTCCACAACAGATGGGAATACAGCAACCACTATAATCACCTATTTACGAAGAACCTAAGTGATCTTTCTACCAATGATTATGTCGATATTTCCAATGCCCTATATGATGGTGAGATCTGGGCTGTCAAGCACATCACAGCTACAAAAGGTGAAGCATGTGAGCATGGAGAGGATAAAATCCGACTCCAAAACGACCTGGAAAAACTTAAGGAGGCATACCTTCATCTACAGGATGAGAACAAACAGTTAAAAAATTGTCTTCAATTCCACGTTCAGAAATCAAGGTGGCTACGACAGTCGCTAGCAAAAGTCGAGAAACAGAGCCTTTCAATAGTGAAGATTATGGGGCAGTTACAAAACGCTCTACAATAGATTCTAAACAAATGTAAATCGAGCAATACGTTTAATATAATTGGTTCTATTTTATTAAGATTATTCGCTCAGGGAAGAAATGGTAGATAGAAGGATATTAATTTGGTGCATATTAGTAGCCTACTTAGGAACCTTTGTAGTAGTAACAACGATCAACAGTTTTACCACTGCGACCGTCGTGCTCACCACTATCTAAAGGAATAGGAAAGACTTAGGGTGAGCTAAGCGCTCGCCAAGGCGCTAGGGTTTGTAGTATCCCGAATCCCGATATTTCATTTTAAACATCACTCGCAGCGAATCGCAGGATACAAAACCATGTACATATTTGTCACGTGAATTAAGGCGCAGCAGTTGACAAGTCACCATGCATACGGGTTGTTCCCAAATACATCAACCGCCCACACTCCCACTGCTTAGCGAACTCGGACTCGCTGTTGCTCTATGACACTCTATGTTTTCAGACGGACTGGGAAATATATAATTTGAGGTAACATTCGCCATGGCCGCAACTCGATGCCATCCATTGAGACCAAGTCGTACGACATCGCTCATTCAACGTTTAGCGGACTCTGACTGCAGCCCGGAGGAAAAGAGAGCCTTAGGAGCATGGACGAGATGCATGATTTACATCTTCGAACGCAACCCGAAACTCTACACGGCGGAAGCCGCCGCTATATCGTTAATTGTCACCAATAAGGAGTACCACTCCCTCATATCGGCCTTTGCAAATACCATTATCCAAGGTACCACAGATGGCGATATTCTTGATTCAAATCTACTTATGAACTTCGGGTATGCACTCCGTCGTGCTCCGACTGTTTTATCTGCGGAGAACGCCAAACTTGGATCAGTGCTTGATAGCCTCAAAAGACGGTTGGATAAAGCAGGAGATCGGGCTGAGTGGGAAACACAGTATCAGTTGGTCTGCATGCTGTCGACTATCTTGGACGCTATGGTTGACATTCAGATTGCTGGACTGGATCGAGAGGAATTACATGAACCGCTACTGCGACAGCTTAAAGCCCTGAAAGTTAGTCAGGAACCTCGTCTGGCCCAGGCTGCTGGTTATGCATACCAAGCTTTACGCTATGTGCCGGACAATGAAGGCCCTTACCAAGCACTTCTGCGCCATAGCTGGACACTCATTCAGGCGACAGCAAAAATAAGCGGCGCAGTTCCAGCGATGGACCCTATGAGAATTATTGATGCTACGTCCGAACTGATGAAAATGTTCTCTCTCTTTAAGTCTCTGATTGAGGCGGCTCAAGACGTGCATGATGCATCCCAAATCATAAAGAATAATGTGGTAGAAAGCATGGGAAACTTATCGAAACTAAAAGGCTGGTACATGGCTCTTCGATATACCAGAATGTTGATTGACGCGAAGGACTTTCAAATGCTGCAAGATTTTATCCAGCAAAGGCGCTGTGGCGATGAAGAGCCGTTCTGGTGCGGCTTGTATGCCCAGCTTGAACAAACCTGGGTAACTGGAGATGAAGCCATCAGGGGTCAAGTTGTAGATTTCATAAATCGAACTCTCCCTCAGAGAGGATTAAAATATCAGCATGTTCGAAAATGGATTCGGCTGATCGCTGATACACTTGGTCAGTCTCAGTGGAAAGATATTGCTTCCGAAAGACACCATTGCTGGAGGCGTTGGCGGAATAAGGAAGACCAGCGCAGTCCACAACCGTTTAACGTACAACAAGTAAATGTGAAGGCGCTTCCAGGTGAACTATTAGAGGAAGCATGGTCCAAGTGTGAGGATGCCCAGAGATTCTATGCCGACATGCAGATACGCGAATATTATAGACAAGGACGGCAACTTGAAATTCGACGCCTTTCTGGAAGTCTGCTGGACATGGACCAGTGTTATATCAATCTTGCTGTCATAGAGCATTCACGGGGGGATGACAAAGACCGGTTAGATAACACAAAGACGGAACAAAGACAATCTGCATTTACCCTTTTCAACCGCTTGAAGGTCCAGACACCCAACACAGATAAGAGTGTGACATTACCTAAATTATTCGACGAGCGTAAAAGTCCGGATGGCACTATGGCTAGACCCAAGCGGATCCTGATTCGAGGACGTGCGGGGGTAGGGAAAACAACATTGTGCAAAAAGATCGTCCACGACTTTCTCTATGCTCGATTATGGGCGGAATACTTCGACCGCATTCTGTGGATGCCTCTACGTAGACTCAAAGGGACATTAAGCTTGGACAAGCTGCTTGAGGAATATCTTGCCTTGGAGAGCGATCGGGACTGCCTAGTTTTGGCGCTGCGCAAAACGATATTCGATCCGATCGATAAAAGGACCTTATTACTCCTTGACGGCCTTGATGAAATCTGCGGAGAACGACAGGATCCCGGAATCGATCTAGCTGAAAAGTTGACAAGCCTGTTGAATCGGCCGAATGTTATTATCACATCTCGGCCATATGCAGTGAATCTGCCCGACCTTAATCCATTTGATCTAGAATTGGAAACAGTTGGATTTCTCCCAGCCCAAGTCCAAGAGTATGTAACCAAAGTTGTGAAAAACAGAGCTATGGCGGAAGGGATCCAGGCATTTATTGACAGCCATTGGCTGATTCAAGGACTGGTTCAGATTCCAATACAGCTAGACGCACTATGCTACAGTTGGCACAATGACTTGAGATCTGGAGGTGTACCTAAGACCATGACTGCGCTTTACCAATCCATCGAGTTAAAATTGTGGAAGAAGGATATCTTGCAACTAGGGAAAAAGAAGGATGGACGGTTGTTCAGCGAAGCTGAAGTCCAAAAGTTACGAACCCGGTCGCAGATCAAACCCCCGATAAATAATGAGCTCGAATTGCTCGAGTTCCTTGCATTTACTGGCCTAGTGAACGATATTATCGAGTTCGATCAAGACGTCCGCGATAAAGTATATGAGCAGTCTCACCTTTCAGAGATGTCAGATAACACCCTTGACAAAGTCTCATTTCTGCGCACATCAGATCCTTCTTCCGAGCATGAAAACCGGGGATACCATTTCCTCCATCTGACCTTCCAAGAATTCTTCGCAGCTCATTATTTTGCCCGCCACTGGATATCTAAAAAACCACTGCTCTATCTCAGATTCAGCTCTGTACATCAGCAAAGTGAAAAGCAAATTCCACCTGAGAAGTTCCTACAGCAAGAAAAGTATAGTGGGCGCTATGACATATTCTGGCGATTTGTGGTGGGACTGCTCTCAGCTGAAGGTGAGGAACAACTGTGCAGGCTTTTTGAACAGATAGAGGACGAGCCCCGCGACTTGCTGGGACCAGCACATCAACGGCTTCTTATACATTGCTTCAGCGAGGTGGCTCGCTTGGAGAGCAGAGTTCGCTTAGAGCACTATCGCGCGGAGATGGAGTATCAATGTCAACAATGGTCTCTCCATGAGTATAAGCTCCTTAAAAAAATGTATCTCTGTCGTGAAAGGGAGTTTCCCGAGCAAGTCTTGGTGAAAATGCTTAAAATGGAGTTAGGTGATGCTAGAGCTGATATCCTTCGAGCTTTGGATAATCGATCACCCCTCCCACCAAATCTTCTGGAGTTGATATGTACATTTTTATGTGAAAATACGGATGACGATGTCAGGCGGGCTGCAGCTGAGACTTTAGGCCGGCAATCCTCCTTGTCGGAGAGCATCCTCCAAGCCCTAGTATCTCGATTGGAAGATACGGATAACAATGTCAGGTGGGCTGCAGCTGAGGCTTTGGGCCGGCAATCCTCCTTCTCGGAGAGTGTTCTCCAAGCCCTAATGTCTCAATTGGAACATACCAATAAAGATGTCAGGCAGGCTGCAGCTGAGACTTTAGGCCGGCAATCCTCCTTGTCGGAGAGCATCCTCCAAGCCCTAGTGTCCCGATTGGAACATACCAATAACAATGTCAGGTCGGCTGCGGCTGGGGCTTTACGCCGGCAATCCTCCTTGTTGGAGAGCATCCTCCAAGCCCTAGTGTCCCGGTTGGAACATACCAATCACGATGTCAGGTCGGCTGCAGCTGGGGCTTTAGGCCGGCAATCCTCCCTGTCGGAGAGCGTCCTCCAAACCCTAGTGTCCCGATTAGAAGATACCGATCAATCTGTCAGGTCGGCTGCAGCTAATGCTTTAGGCCGGCAATCCTCCCTGTCGGAGAGCATCCTCCAAGCCCTAGTGTCCCGATTAGAAGATACCGATCAATCTGTCAGGTTGGCTGCAGCTCACGCTTTAGACAGGCAATCCTCCTTGTCTGAAAGCATCCTCCAAGCCCTAGTGTCCCTATTGGAACATACCAATAACAATGTCAGGTGGGCTGCAGTTCACGCTTTAGGGGGGCAATCCTCCTTGTCAGAGAGCGTCCTCCAAGTCCTAGTGTCACGATTAGAAGATATCGATAACAATATTAGGTCGGCTGCAGCTTACGCTTTAGGCCAGCAATCCTCCTTGTCGGAGAGCGTCCTCCAAGCCCTAGTGTCCCGATTGGAAGATACCAATAACAATGTTAGGTGGGCCACAGCTAATGCTTTAGGGAAGCGCTCCTCCTTGTCAGAGAGCATCCTCCAAGTCCTAGTGTCCCGATTGGAAGATACCGATCAATCTGTCAGTTGGGCCATAGCAGACATGGCTTTAGGCCACCAATCCTCGTTGTCGGAGAGCATCCTCCAAGCCCTAGTGTCCCGATTAGAAGATACCAATAACGATGTCAGGGTGCTTGCAGCTGCGGTTTTAAGTTGGCAATCCTCCCTGCCGGAGAGTATTCTCCAAGCCCTAGTGTCTGTATTGGAACATATGGATCCATATGTCACGCAGCCTGTAACTCAGGCTTTAGGCCAGCAATCCTCCCTGTCTGAGAGTGTTCTCCAAGCTCTTATCTCTCGATTGGAACATACCGATCAATCTGTTAGGTGGGCTGCAGTTAAGGCTTTAGGCCAGCAATCCTCCTTGTCGGAGAGCGTCCTCCAAGCCCTAATGTCTCGATTGGAAGATACCGATCAAAAAGTCAGGTCGGCTACCATTCAGGCTTTAGGCGGGCATGACAGCTTTTATTCCAAGCTTCCTAGCTTGCATACCCAGAGTCTACATAGTTTATATGAAATCTGGGTGAAAAAAAGTATTCAGGAGCAATTCTGCTGCTACATACATGATGGAAGCATATATATTGATACACTGGATAAGCGAAGAGAAACTCCCTTGTATTTAGCGAAAGATGATATCGTCAAAGCTTTTATAACAGCGGCGTCTGAAATGGGAAGCCCTAGCTTTGGTATGAACAAACATTTTGAGAGATAGAGTTCTTATTCAACTTCCATCGAATTAGGTATAGCATGATTCTGTGCATCAGACCAGTACTATTATTTCCTACTAATTTCTTTCTTGAAAGGGGGTGTGGGAAGTAGGTAAATTTATGTACGATTTATGTTAGCCACCGCCACGCGTGGCAAAATATGACCAAGGTTTACAGTTTTCAATGTAAATCAATGCATTCACTATCTGGCAATCTGTAACAAACAACAAATACATCTATTAGACCACTGGCGGCTTAATGTTGCTTCTCATAAGGTCTTAGAGGGATACTTCCGCTTTGGTGGCCTCCTTTGGGAGTGGACAGTTTTCCTAGACCACTTACAGCAAGCTTTCGGTGGCCACAAGCACCGGATTTCCCTGAGGCTCTATCTGTATAAAAGCTGACGAGCCTCTTTGCGACAGAGTTGACTCTTGATGGCTCCGGCTGCCCTCCGCTGGATGCTGTCTCGCTTTGAGCAGGGGTATCTTGAGATATCGCTGTAGATTGGTATCTGAAATCCAAGTCTGTCAGGGTAACAATCGGATACTGTGGCTTTGTTCCAGTCATGGCTTCTCGGTATTGGCCATCCTGCGCAATGGCTAGTTGATACAGTAAAACGTCAACTTGAAATTCGGTCAAGCTGTCCATTATATGCCGAAAACCCTCGCGAGCACGTGGTATTGGTGACCGATGATGAGGAATATTCTTGACTTCTGTTATAGCACCAACCCAGAACTGGTCCGGGCAGGAAGGGAATTCCGTATAGCTTCTCTGCTTCACGTTGGAGATTATACAAGGATGTAGATATCTTCCATTCTGGTTTATTACTACTGCCTTTAGGTTCGATCCCAGGCTCGACTTGAGACTCGAATCCTGACTCAGCTTCAGACTCGGTATCAGACCCGGATGCAGGGTCAGATTCCGACCCGGATTCATACGCAGCTTGGAGAGATCTGGACTTGGGTACATATCCCTGCTTAGGCCTATTATCAGGCGCTCTGAATTCCCTCTTTTTCTACTGTTTTCCAGGTATGCTTTGGCAATATTCCGTAAATTACTCCTATTTAATATTCCAAAAGTCTGGCCAGCCAAACTTTGTAACAGCATCCTTCAATCTGTCCTGCACTTTCCGGAATTTCCTTAAGTGGTGAGCCTTATTATTGTAGGCAGCAGCAGCATCTCGAAGCTGATCACATAATTCAAAGAACAAATTTAGATTAACCGGCCTATCAATCGGCCATATCTTGTCTTTAACATTTTTAGCTTGAATTTGAGCGTTCAAAGACTGAAGTTGCTTGATTATCGGGTAGACTTGATCATCCGGTGGACTCCCAAGGAGTAATGCAATCAATGGGGTTGTAGTATTATACTGCTCAGAGTAAAGTGACATAGAGTGGAAATTCTTTTAAGTCTGTTTAACAAAGACTGCTTTGGCATACAGTAACACAAGGCCCGTCCTAAGAAAATTTAAATATTTTAAAGCTACTCTTGCTACAGTACTGCTGCTGTTAAAAGCGGCATTTAATTTCGAAAGGGGCCTTTTCCTCCACCCAAAATACTACTTCTGCTGCTCAGTTCAAAGACCATATTTGTACCAAGTAAACAAATAATTACGTGAAGAACTGCCAGTACAACAGAACAAGTTTCTAAATATACCGCCTCAGAGCGTCCTCCTTAGACTTCGTTTTCGCAGATTTTGGACTCTTCCTCGACCTTTCATTAGATTCTGACTCGCTTTCATTAGGTGTATCGGATACTGTTCCAGAATCTCTCTTAGACTTGCTAGTAGCTTTGTGATGCTTTTCATAGTGTCTTTCTGCTTGTGGGATTTGTCAGACACATTTTGCTTTCCTTGTATTTTGACTCTTTTGTCGATGATTTCTTGGACTTGCTCGTAGAATTCTAATAGTCCTCGGATGATGAATCTTCGTGTTTAATTTGTTAGACAAATTTTGTTTTTCTGTCTCTTTCTTATTTGATTTATCAGACGACTTACCCGATGGTTTTTCGGAGAATTTTTTTTTTTTTTTTTTTAGATTAGACGAGGAATGTTCCCTGTCCTTTTTTCGGGTGCTCTGTTCTTCTTAGATCGGCAGATATGTAAGTCCGTCATCTGTTTAAAAGACCAGGCCTCGCTTTTTATATTATTATGTCTTGGTTCCCTGGGGGCACCAGGTACGCCTTTGGATGTTATGACGTCTAGTGTTTCAGTTAGCACTTTTCTCGATGTAGATTTCTTCTTCTCCTTTCGTCCCTACCGTTGTTCTAAAGTAGACTCCTCTGGAGAAGACTCCTCTTGAACCGGAATTTTTTTATGCTTTGATTTCTTGGCAGCATCAAGCATGTCTTTTGACGCTGTGGCGACTAGTATTCTTCAGATTCTGATAATCTAGAAGCCTGGAAATATTCAGAATGGGCATTCTCGAGCTCTGATAATCCAAAAAGTTAAGTATATTTGAAGTCTATTTCCTCAAACTTTACTTCCGGATACTCTTCCTTAACTTTTCTTCTATGATCTCCAGCGGTTGTCTGTCCCGTAGAGCTCAGGGGGTTAGGTAATATGCCCCTATAAGTGCTTTTATTTCTCTAATATATATTTTTTATAGCGCCCGCTTGGACGTATTTTAGCTGCTTCCTAGTTACTACTTTGTGATAATCTCCCTCTTGTTTAATTGCTATTTGATAAATCGGGGCACCTAGTTCAATAGGGTCACCCCATAGATAAAAGAGAGACAATCTTAAGACTGTGTACACAGTTTTAAGACTGCCAAATCCAGCGACCGTCGGTCCAGCGCACATTCACATAAGTTTCTGGCTACAAGCCTTTAGTGTAGGTAAAAAAACAAATGTTGGTTTATTATTATATTCAGAATCCACCCCTAAGTGATAAGGCCAATTTATTTTATATTATCCCTGCTGCTATACTTTGCATACTTGGAGGAGCGCTGTTTCCTAGGTATTTTCCTGTGCGCCAGAAATTACTAAGGAAGATAGGCTCTCTGTAAAGAGCTGGGGCCCGTTTAACGCCTCGGGCCTATGGTCCCTGTTGTCCCCGTTGTCCCTATTGTCCCTATTGTCCCTATTGTCCCTATTGCCCCTATTGCCCCTATTGATCCCGTTGTCCCTCGGTGATATTAAGGACCTGCCATATTCGGTATGGTCACATGGACTCACTTAGACACCCATCTAGATAGTCAGCTCGCCCGGAGCCCCCTGAATTGAAGAGAATTGTGCCTCGCGAACAGTAGATAAGAACCCACTCTTCTCCCTCTTCGCTTTTTATTTCCTTCCTCCTAGCGATTCCTCTTTGTGTATATCTAGTCATTAAATAGCAAGGCATTTCGCCCCTTTACAATATTTAATTCTTATAATTGTCTACTATCTAATATATTATTATCACTTTTAAACTAAACTTGGAAACATGGAGCTTCAAAAACCAAATCTACAGTAAGATACATGTAATGCCAAGAACTATCGATGATTATTTGTATTATCGATAACTGGCCTACTATAGAATGCATTATGGACGGTTATTGAATCCATACTAATCCATACCGAATATTAGTGGAAATCGGTATTTTTCAGTCAGCTGAATACGCGTATGAGCTAGTATCACCGATCATAATCATAATATTAATATGCATTGAAGAATGAGCCCTCTAAGGTCTCTAACTATCTGAATCTATCTGGGAGAGCTGGATAAAAAAGGTGAAAAACAAAAGGAATAAAGTCGGACCGAGAGGATGCTGAATAACGGGTAATATTGGCCACCTTGGTCGACAGTATTTTAGGAAAACCAGCCTGACTGTTACAGACGGAGAAGTGACATTTGCACTCTGCATTCCATGAATGCAAGGGTTGGGACTGAATTAGTTTCATAGGATTAAAGAAGACTGACATTCATGCACCATTATCTGGTAAATCTATCTCTGTTCGATGTTGCCTTTGCAAATGCCTTGGGCCAACAGAAAGAATTGAGATTTTCATCGTAACCAAGTGGCGCTATCCTATTGCATTAATACCGCCCGGAGATGCAAGGGTGCCCTAATATGCAAACAACAGCTGGCAATTTCTTGCCAGCAGTACCCTTAAATATGTGACCGAGATCTAATTTTCCTTTCAGTTCTAGTAAATCCTAATCCTTGCAAAGTAAATGCGTCAAGCTCATTCTGTCTCCTGAGTTCAGCCTTCCTCTCATCCGTAACTAGCGTCGGAAAGACAGCCAGTGTATACGGCCTGACCAGCACAAAGATTATTCGAAATCTGTTTAATTTTTCTTCGGTCTATATATTCTTGCACCTTGCTTCAAATCTCAGCGAGTCTAGTGCACTTTGCACTAGTTAATTTACTTACTCATCATTCGGTATCTTTACCCGCTTCCAGGAGGTATTCTATTGTGGCTCCACTGCCAAAATGTGGAGTCTAGTTGAGTGGGACAGACAGCTTGATCTCTGGTTCAGCGATGGGAAGCCCATCGACGCCCAGCGACCCATTGATGACCTCGGAGGGCGTGGAGGTTTATCCCCTCGTTTGATTGTGCGTAATCTTGGGTTTCTTGATTTGACTGAGATAACTTTGCCTACGACGGTAGCACTCGATGCCAACGGCTCCATTCTGAGATCTATGCCAGACTCCGAGAGAACTTGCCATATAGGTGATCGAGCCTATAAAACGGAAACAACGCATCTTGAGCTATCTCTCCAAATAGAGGAAGATGGCAGTTTTACCTTGAGTATAATCCGACCTGAAGAAAATGAGTTAGCCAGTGATGGAGAAGGCATGCTTTTCCCCATCTATCCGAGAAATCCCCAAAGCACTTGGTCAGTCCAGGGCGGTATTGACTTTCCATACAGAATACATATACGTTCACATGCCAAGCCCTAGTGTGTCAGGGAGGCTCAAGACAATTCCAATGATATTGCTGGACGATGTTTCTTTCATTAAAACCATGATAGGGCAGAAATACGTGCCGTATCAAAATGTGCCCAGACCATATGGAAAGCCAATCGAAGAGATAGAAGCGCTCGGCAAAATGCTATTCCCCTTCTCGAATCACAGCTTTGAGCTTGCAGTGTGTGTATACGATTGGACAACAGGGTCATTTGCCCGCAGTGTCTTGTTCAAAATCTTCGAATACACAGGCATCGCAAAAACACCATTCCCCATCGATCTAGGCAGTATTGCCAAGCAAATCTATACGAGTGATTGGGGCACATATAACCCAAGAGACAAGGACTACATGAACTCCTTCATGATGAAACCAGCTGAGTCGCTGGCTGATGTCCTAATACAGCTTGGAAATGTTGCAACTAAGCTCCACAAATTGAGCGATATTCAAAATCGTTTGCTGTCTGCGGCGGTACAATCACTTCCACGAACATCAGTTATCTCACGGCCACAGCTATACAGTGGCCAATTAGATATGCGTCAACTCGGGCTTGATCATTTTGGCATTGAGTTTCTCGAGTGTCATCTCAACAAAGGCCCTGTAGACGAACCGCTTAGCATTCCGTTCGCGACCTTCATGGAAAGCCACGTTACTACTGGGAAAACTTTAACCACGAAGGCCGTCTGGAGTGCCACGGACACAATGGACATGGCCATGAAATATTCCAATGGAATCCTGTTGATTTTTAACCCCCCACAAGGCTCTTTGGTATGGGACGGGGTGACTTTCATAACGCCTCTGTCAGCAAATGAGGCATTGATGGAATATGCATTCCTCCCAAGGACTCAATTTGAGGTGCAGTCAGTTCATTGTGCTAAAATTATGACCAAAGAGGTTGTGGTTATTACCCTACAGCAATTACACACTGGCAGTGGTGCACAAGTGGCAAAAATTGACTGTCGAGAGTAAACTAACGACTAGGGGTACCCGGGAAGACAGTATCCTTGAGGAATCAGGTTTAATTATTTGATACCTAGGCATTCTTATGTTCCTTTTTGGTTATTTGAAGATCTCTATTATAAGATATGACATCGGACGGTTGGAGATGGTTTCCCCACTTTCGGTTCTGCGCTATCCCCACGCTCCTGCAACTCAAAGCCATAGACTTGAAGCTGTTCCCAAGTCACGTAGAAATATAGATTATAATTTCAAGCTTTTACCAGGTAGCTATGTCACAGGCTGAACCTGTAACATACTATAAAGGGCGCTAGGTGCGACTGATCGAAGATCAGTCGTCTTGTACCTTTTTATATGGTCAAGTGGTTTTATCTCTACTAGCGCAGAGACAACCAAACCATCACAAGCTATGGAATATATCACCACGTGTTTATTCAAAAGAACGCTTGATGAAAATGTCAGAGCAAGTGAGTTATATTTAGTGAATAGTGCAGCTTCTCACAGTGTGATAAGAATCTCTATACGGTTTCAGTATTGTACGGAATACGGGATGTTGCGCTTGACAAGAAATAGTGTACGATTAATACGTAGATAATACAGAATCGAATGGACTATGGGGCTATATTATTGATTTAACCACTTGGTTAGCTTAATAAATCAACCCCTATTTCTACCTTTGACTTTAAGCTCTTTTTGTTATGGATCCAAGTAGACACCAGGATAGAAGGCCATACCACCCCACCATAAAAAAGATACAAGTTGACTGATCAGTTGATCAGTCATATATAACCACAAAGGCCCTTCTGAGTATCATTACTAGGGCTCATCTCATAACACTTTTAGCCCTTATAACATCCTACGGAAGTAAGCTTATCCTTCCTAATCAGGTACTTATATAGCTATTTAAACAGGCTATTTTTATAGTTCAAAGCCTTTTTATAATCTGCTGTCAGGGCTCCTTCTACTTATAATACCTGTAAGACGGCGCTTCGGATAAGATACCCACTACGTATATATTATATTCCGTAATATGCCCTCTATCTATAATTCCTCCATGTTATATGCACGCAAAGTGTTAATTAATCTGAATATAGAGTTGAAAGCACCGGCGGACATATCGGCGAAACCCTTATAGCACACTTAACATGTTAAGAATCTGGACGCAGTCCTACGCAGTAAAGAATAATGTCATGGGTTCTCTGTGGTCTTTTCTTTATCACAACTCAAACGATTCCGTGTCTGACAATTCAGATATCAAGGGTGTAAAAAGTCCACAGAAGTCCCAGCAGGTCTCTTGACGATGAGTCTGATATGAGCGTCATTTATTCAGAGACCGTGCTCAAAGCCTTCCAGGACTGTCTAACATCCTGGGCAATAAAGATGGTATCATCTGGGACTTGGTCACGAATGGCACCATCGATGAGGGAAAGTCTGGTTCTTGGACGACAGATATGCATCACGACGTTGTCAAGATGTTTTTGAATATGGCAAGAATGAAATCTGAAATAATTCGAAAGACAAGGCTTCCAAGTACGCACAGTGGCTGCGGAGTGCCAGTGATAAATCTCTCAAGGTATCGTACTCTCCTATCGTTGTTTACTACATTCCATGCTAAGATCATATAGGTCACCGCACTATGCGAGAAGGAAAGAAAGCCAGTTGTGTGGATACATAGAAGAAATCATCCAAAGATTCCAAACAGGTCAAAATCTGGCGAAAAGACGTCAAAGACGCTTTGAACTCCACGCATGTCGTCAGCTCGAAGAAAGCAGCCACTGGAATGCCCCGACTGGCATTAATGAACAAAGAAGAGAACAACGAGCGTAAGGACTTCAATAGACACATGTTCCCTAACCGAGTCACTGGTTCAAACTTCTTCCGCTCGTATCTAGGGCAGCTTGGACGCATATCCGGGCATCCCCGAGTGGCAGATAAACTAAAGGAACGACTACCGACGTTGGACCAAAGCCTGATGACAGTCAAGAAGGATATTAAGCGGCTAAGTCAACAGCAGTTTACTCTTGTAATCTATCAGCATTTCCTGTGATGCCTCGGAGAATATAAGTTTAAATCGAAGCACGAAGCCGTCTGGGGCACCCTCATGAAAGCCATCACCTGCATGGCTCAACTGTAGATATACGTGCGAAACCTGGCCAACTTCGTCAAGGTCGAAGCCATGGTGCGATCCGCGGAAGAGACTCATCCGGAGATATTTGCCAAGCAGGCAGAGCCTAATATTGGAAAACTGCTGCAGGGGTTGTCAAACGAGTATGACAGATATACGATGATTTTATTTCATCGCTTATGCAGGTCCTGTTCGACGCCTTGGCGAGTTGCCTCTCGCTTGAATTCTTCGAGTAGCTGTCATCTATGATCAAGTTAATAGCGGCCATATCAGCCCTGGGTTTAATTTGAATCTGAGGGCCATCTCAGCAAGCACACGTCTGGGCTATAGGAAACTGGATCAAATTGAGGCTCGGGCGCCTGAGGCACAAGATCGTATCAGAGCGTCGATTGGGAAGGTATATCATACACATGTAGTGCCTGTTTATAAACACAACCGTGCTAACTAAGGTCCAGAGAATTGATCAATCAGTCCGAGTCCATAATTCCCGGGATCGCGTCCACTCGGAATGCCTTGGACTCGCCATTAATCCCTCAGCTGCCAGCGAACCAGAAAAAGGCCCTCGTCATAGGCATCCGGAAAGGCTTTGAGGGTTCCCATCACCAAGATTGACGAGGGAAATGCAAGAATACGACTCACCCGGTGAATCTAGGTGTGTGCAGGAGGCTTCTATTTCTCTACGTATAGCTAAAATAGCTATATGATTCAATCATAAGGTTGATCAACAGGATCTAGATGATGTATATTGATACGTATGTCATAACAAGGTTCCCCGCATTTCGGGGGAAACCTTATTATGAGACACAACCAAACATGATCAACAAACATACTACACCATGTCTTACAGGCAAATTATAATCTACCGACTGACTCGTATGGCCAATCAAGAGAATATGGCCAAAATCACTCATACAACATGCTGTACAGTCATGATCTAATATACTATACTGGCCAATCAGGATCTTCATGGCTAGCCGATTCATCCGCTGAAAAACAGCATGAAATCAGGCATAAATACCTTGTGGTTTTCTAGCTATTTAAAAAAGAGGCAAGCAATTCAATCAATTCACACGTCATAACAATCTTCCTTCTTGCTCACCATAGTGAGCCATCTTCCTATTCGCCCTACCTCCTGGCAGCTTGCCAAGAGTTATTCCGAAACATCCAGGTTGAAATTTCAAAAAGGGAGGCGTCTGTGATGATCGTTGCTGCCTGAAATGGGTCGTGCTTGTATATGTCTAGGACTGATGACGCGGCTTGTCGTATTGCAAAGAATGCGTGGTTTTGTTGATTGGGAAAAAAATGACAGCCAAGGACACATGGCAGGGGAGAAGGGTTCCATTTTTCCATGGCTGGAAAGCGACTTGGATTTGAGACCTTAGATTTATTCCAGTTCCCAACATGGAAGCCCAGGGGGGACGATTATCTGCCAAGCTCACTGCCACCACGAATATTTAACATACTTCTCAAAGATATTTTCAGTCCTGCACTAAGCCTCTTAGAACAGGCATGGAGTGGACAGTAGACTGGGAGTGTGTGCTGTATTTAAGGAAGAATGTAGCCCACTCTAGCGTTCAATTTAACTCACAATTAAACGATCAATTCTATTCTATTAGAGCTAGTACTCCTCACAGTTCGGCTTGATAATCTTTTCTCAATTTGCTATGTGCCACCATTAAAAATGCTACCTTTGTTTGTATTCATACTTTTGTTTGGTACTACAATTGCCGTGACGGCCACGAAGCCATCGAGTATGGAGATGGAAAAGAGGAACGCAGAAACTTGTTGTGGAATGACACCTTGTATTCCTGAGCGATGTAATGAACCTGGAACACCTACTACCTATGGAGATGGACCACCAACTGCTACGGATTATGGAGATCGTCGACCAAAGCCTGCACCTCCTGAAAATTGCAAGTACAAAGATCCTAATAAAGCTTGTTGCGAAAAATGGGTAAGCCATCACTCCTAGATGGGTTGATACAACTGCTATGGTACAGCGCTCATGGGGTGGATGATGATGGATAGTATCAAGAATTTCCGGACAAAGATAAATGGGCTTGGGGACGAGCAATTTGTTGGTATAATTGTGATGAAATAGGAAGGTGTAGCGGATGTTATAAACCTTATTCTTCCAATGGAAAGTGTCGATTGGATGATTGGGGACCTTAGGTAAGATATCACTCCTAGATGGATTGAAATAGGTACTATGATGCAGTTCTAACAAGATGAAAGATGGATACAGACAGCCGCTAAATCAGTCTGACAACTTAAACAACTCTCTGCTTTTTGTCAATCAATTCGTCCTTCTCAATTCAATTCAATTTGTTCCCCTTAGAACAGATTCCCCATCTGTGCATACTAGCAGTAGTAGGAGTAGTATTCATACACTGACCTCTCGCCTAGGCGATATGCAAGTGACCACTATTCTAGATACATGAATGTAATTCCATTGTGATGTTCCAAAGCTTCCTGAGGGCGAATTTGGAGCCTCGCCTGGTAGGCCTGTGATTGTTTCCACTTCCTCACCACCTTGCAGTAAGGGGGGAGGCTTAATACCATTATGGGAATAACCAAAGCCATTTCAAATATGAAACCAAGAAACAAAAAGATACAAAGAAGTATTTCTTTCGGAATTTTGCAACTCTCTCAACAAGAGGGCTTGAGATATGTAACCGTTCGAATAGCACATCTCGAGCGAAGGTGTTGGATTGTGCATACTAGCGTACAGTAACATGCAACATCTCCTTCCCTTTCCAAGACATATAGATTTATTTGTCGTAGTTTCGGGACTCGAAGATGAACAGGACAATATCATATTTCGGTTCGTATTCGTACCAAATACGAAGAATTTCCATAACTTTCCGGTGAAGGGGTTATCTCTGACTTGACTTTCAACGGCGCCTTGGAGATGTGCTCGTCGAATCCGGCAGCAAACGGCACGTCGTTTTCCACACCCGCCATCCGATCAGGCGTCCCCGGAGGGTGTGGCTGGAGATTGGAGATCTATCGTATCTTCAGGAGAAAGTCCAGAAGTTGCCTCCTCCTCGGGCTCCACGGTCGCGATCTGCTCTCCTTTCCGTCTCCTGAATCACATCTCCACAATCTCGATAGTGACACAGACATCCATGCATCAGGGAGCTTTCCAACATTCCAATCCATCCTATCCCTGATAGCTTCGACTATTTTGCATTCTTGAACTGATATTTTACCCACCTCTGAGGCTCCATGCCAAGATGCAACCACGCCTGCACTACGACATGTCGCCTGGGAGAAAAGCGAAGAGGTCGCCGATGGCTGGGTTCGCCAGTTTTTTTTTTTGAACCCGACATCCTACAATTGGTTGGCTTGGTCAGACACCATAGTCCTGGTGATGCTGTTGAATTCAGTTTTCTGGAGAGAAACGCATACAATATCTTTTTCCAGATAAAGTACAAGAATGCAAACAATGCTATAATATGTTTCCCCCAGCCAGGTGCCACCATGTTTCCTCAAGAGAAAGTCCGCAATGAAGTCGCTATTATGCGATGCATTTACAATCAGACTTTAACTCCCGTTCCTTTTGTCTACCACTGGGGGACAAAGAAGGAGAGCCCTCTGGAATTAAGTCCCTTTATTACTATGGACTATGTTGACCATAATACAAATATGTATGATGCTCTTAACACACCTGGGTGCCCAAAAAAAGACCGTGGAATTCTTAACCCGGATATTAGTGAGGCAAAATTAGACGCTCTTTACAGAGGGGTCGCAAGTATTTTGCTTCAGCTTGCTCGACCATCTCTACCCCGGATAGGCTCACTAGACCAGGTTGACGATTTCACCTGGAAGGTGACACATAGACCTCTATCAATGCTTATGAATAATCTGATTCAACTGGGATCCTTACCACAATTAAAACTACCAACCACAATATTCGACACCGCGTCCTATACTTTGAAACCCTAGCAGAGCTGCACATCGCTCACCTCATGAATCAGCGCAATGATGCAATTGACTCAGCCGAAGACTGTCGACGCAAGCTTGTTGCTCGATATCTTTTCCACAAACTCGCCCGAGAACATCGTCTAACAAAGCAGTGGGCGTCTTTCGATAAAGGCCTGTTCAAACTTTGGTGCGATGATTTCCGCCCAGCTAACATCCTCATGGACGAGGGGCTGAAAATCGCCGGAGTTGTAGACTAGGATTTTACATATGCTGCCCCAGTCAAATTCTCCTTTGCGCCACCTTGGTGGCTTTTAATTGAAAAGCCTGAATACTGGCCTCGAGGTCTTGTCGCTGGTGTAGCGAGTATGAACGACGCCTTCAAACCTTTCTCAGCGCGATGAAATACCAAGAGGACAAGGCAATTGAATAGGGCTGGCTAAAGAGTACACAGCGGCTCTCTGGCCCGATGCAAGATAGCTGGGAGAGTGGAGACTTCTGGATTGCGTATGCGGCAAGGAATAACTTTGCCTTTGACTTAATATACTGGCACAAGATTGACCAGCTATTCTTTCAGCCGACCTCTTCTTCCATCGACGATGTTTGGAAGCAGAGACTTGATTTCTTGGAGCTTGAAGAGAGAGCTGATATCGTGTATTGGTAAGACTCCGCCATCCTCATCCCAGTTGTATATGCTATAATCAATCCTAGGCCGAAGCATTAAATGGACAGACCCAGTTGAATAAATTCGAACAGTGGTTTAGAGAAGACGAGACAGTTATCAACATTGCGCAGGATCTAACGGGCTATGATGATACCGATACAGATGCTCGCATTGGTGAAAACTTTGATCTGTAACTCTAGGTTATAATTCTCCGCTCACTATACTTCGATCAAGGGTGATAGGAAGCACTAGACATGCTCGATCTTTATACTCGTTGGACTTTTCATGTGATTTTAAATTCTATTGTAAATAACGGAATATCAGATACTACAGAGTAATCTATTGAAATGACAACAAATGATTCCGTAACTATTCAATTCTGCTTCTCTCAGTTTTTATCACTCTAAAATTCTAACAGCCTACGTAGAGGCTATGGACGTCTATAGCATATATCTATGCCTTTATATCGTATTTCCGCTGGAATTGGCCATCCACCTGCACTAAATAATACGTCCCCGAAGCGAGGGCATCGACGCTGCCTTTAGGCGTGAAGTCTTTCCGTCCGTATGCCTGTTCCCTCAGTTGACACATCTGCGGTTGTTAATAGATAAAAATAACAAATAAAAGAAGAAGCAGGAAGAGAAGGAAAAAAACTCACCTCATTATAAACCTCCGGGTTCACTGACATCCTCCCCCGCAACCTCGAATACAGATCTATCTTTTGCGCAATCAAGCTAGTATCCCCACGAACCCGCAGCGTGAGCAACGTACTGGCAAGTCCACCTCCATAACTATACACTCCAATACGTTTACTTAGCAACTGATCGCTAGCAACGTTGCTCACCAAGCTAACCAGTCCTGCCCACACACTTGCCGTGTACATGTTTCCGCAATGACTGGGCACTGTCAACGACGGCTTCACGCGCAGAGCGAACCTCTCCTCCGCGAGACCCATGAATACTTTCTCGATCCTCTTGTCGCTCAATGTGCTCTCCACGTCCATGGCTAGATACTCCCCAGGGACAGAATCGAATCCCTCCGGCTGGTCTAGGTAATCGTCGAAGAGTAACCGGGCATAACTCTTAGCCACAAGCTTGCAGTTTGGTGCATGAAAGATGAAGAAATCAAACATGTCAATCCCCACATCCACGTCCTTCTTCTTGTCTTGGACTTTTTGCTTGTACCGCTGGTAACATCCATCCAACGCCTCCGTGTAGCATTTATTAGAAAAATGTCCGTTAACGAGAGGATACTCAGATTTAAAATCAGCCTTGTAGAAGTCATACACATGACGCATAAACGATGCGCGCACTGGCTCCACCACTAGTGGTGCATTAGGCCCAATCAGCATGGCGATACACCCTGCGCCGCCAGTGGGACGCGCCGCCGGTGTATCATATATTGAGATATCTCCCGCGACGACGATGGCGTCGCGTCCGTCCCACGAGGACGACTCGATCCAGTTCACAGCATTCAGGAGAGCGCTGGTCCCGCCATAGCAGGCGTTGTAGGTGTCGATGCCTTCAATGTCTGGGTTGTCGCTGAATAGCTGCATCAGTACCGATTTGCAGGACTTGGCTTTGTCCAGGATTGTCTCGGTGCCGACTTCGAGGCGGCCAATGGATCGTGTGTCGATGTTGTATTTGCGTAGTAGTGAGGAGACCGTTGTGAGGGCCAGGGAATACAAGTCTAATATGTTAGCTTATCTGTCTGTTGAGGGGTTTGGATCGCAATGGTTACCTTCGCGATCGTCGCAGAAACTCATGTTAGTCTGGCCCAGTCCAATGGTGAATTTTCCGGTGCTAGCGCCGAGATATGTCTCCAGTTCGGGCTGGGGTACATACTGCGCATGTTAGTCAATCATCATCTACACTGCTCCATTATAGAAGTACGTAAGAAGGATAGGAAAGAATAAACTTACACGACTGGGGAAATAAATCTCCATGGCTTTGATGCCAACATTCTCAGCGCGCGATGCCATATTGTATCGTGGAGTACGAAGAGTATAGAGTTTTTGAGAGAGAAAAAGAAGAATAAGACACCGGTAGGGATCACAAATAATCCCCTTTATACCAGCACAGCCCCAGGATTGTGTGTTGTGGGTTAGGCCCCAGTGCTCCTGTCTACCGTGTATATCGGAGAATACCTCGACAGGGTTTCAATGGGGCAAGTAGCGCCGTTTTAAAGAGTACAGCTGCATTAATTAGGAACTAGAGTCGATCTAGATACGAGATAGGCATGATGGTCCACTGGGTTGAAGGGCGAAAAGAAATTCCGCATCGGGTAGAAGATGAAGCATCTCAGATACCGGTATTCCACGCTAGATGGAATAATACCCGAAAATCATAACAAGCTCGAAATGTCATCTTCAAAAAATCCTGGTCACTCTTTTGGACGGCCACACGGGCTGAGCATCGAGATTATTATGATGTACAAAGTGGCAGGTAGTATTCATATGTGTTCGTCTGCTTTTTCGTTTTTAATTCGGTACTTAAACTGAATCATTACCTTCTATGTTAACGAAAACACATCTGAACCTTTAGATTCGCATGTTAAGCACTACCGTCACTATTCTATTCACTTTCAGTAAAGTCCAATACCAAGGATAGATATTTCAATCCCAGTGGGCTGTGGTATTTCGAAGGTTTCCAGGAAACGGCCCGAGTTGAATATGCACTTTCAATCCAATTTTATGTATCCAGTTCATTTCGTCAAAATCTAATAATGCAGTCTTCTTCCTACCATTGAAATATAAACAATAAAGCGCTCTTATACTGGCCTCATCATACCCATCGTCGTTGGAATCGGCCACTAGACGGTCTGGGAAGAGGGCAAATGTCAGAAAGGGCTCCGCGCCTCGATTACCAACCCTCTGGTAACTGAGCATGGTAGACTTTTGGATCATTTTGGTCACAAATTTCTAGTTGACCCCAAAGTCAAGTTCCCTGGCTAGATTCTTTTGGACACTATCCAGGGCCTGTATGACGCTCGCAGGTGTTATTGCCCGTTCGCCCTCGCTGATACCGCCATTTTCAAGGCGGATCAAGTCTATTATCTGGCATGCTTTTTCAGCTGAAATTTCCCCCATTAGGCAGAAGCCTATGTGGCGAGATTTGATAGGATACTGCAAGACTAAAAGGAAAGATGGAGACAATGAGAAGGATCGCTAACGGAGGTAAGTCCCTTTAAATTGGCCTTGTACCTAGCCAGGCACTTCGTATCACCCGGTACACTGCAGGCATTCGGGGCTATTTGTAGGGGTATTTATGGTAGGCTGGGTCTCATAAGCTGACTCAGTATACCTCTCCATCAGACCCTGGTTCGTTCTGAAGCTGCCGCAATTTTCGTCTCTGTTGATTTGACCGATAATGAAGATCCAGGTTGTTCTCATTCACGGGTTTCCTCTTTCGGCTAGCATGTCACCAAGTTGCGGCACGATTCCCTGTCAACCCCATCAACTGAGATGATACCATGGATCTAGTTTGCATTCCTTCCACGAACAAGGTTGATGATTTATTATCCTCCAGCTTGGGTTTAAATTGTATGTATTGTCGGTGATTTACTTAATTTGCGAACAATGTGTTGGGACAAATATAAGTACTTGCCCCAGAATATATAGAATTATCAGGAAGTGGTAGGTGTTGAAAAGGAAAAATTCAGGCAAATATCAAACACAAAATAAGAATACGTCAAAGAAAGAAAGAAAGACAAGAAAAAGACAAAATCCAAGAGATAAGACATGAAATTTCAAGGCTGGTAGACAACCCGAGATCCACATCACCTGAATACATAGCATGCGTCGTGACATCCCAAACCTCGCAAACCGCACTTTGAGTAACTTATCCTTTCAGTCACTGGGGTATTGGTTCCCGACTTCCTGGCCTGCTTTGCATCAAGTAGAGTCTTGAGGTCGTCGGAATGGAAGGAAACATTGCACACCGGCCATTTATTCTCGACATTCGATAGAATAGTATAGGAAGTTCTATTATCGAGGGTGTCTGTGTACGAGAGTGTATTCCTTACGATAGTAGCTGTAATACTTGGCATTCTACATGTAGTTGACAAAGACCATCCGTTTGTGCTAGATATGAATTTAGCACGCTCGAAATGGTCGCATATCAGATGTAAGGGAGAAGAGACGAAGAGCACTCTGGTAGGGTCCTACATCTACCGACTGAACTGTTAATATCAAATCACGCGTCCCTCCATTGATGTCTTCATTCCCACAGTTCTTGAATATATACTCTACATCCACCTGAACCTTGGGAGAAAACAGTAGCTCATGGTTGAAGACACCGAACCAATAGGCCTCGTGGTCATGGAATTAGATACTGAAGGCAATGGGTAGGAGGCCGCGAACCATGACCGGGAACGAGTCAACCCGGCACGACATCGCACGCGAGAAATCGTACTAAATAAGATGAAGCAGGGGACGAGGGGGACCGACGACGGTGGCCACGCAGGCCGCAACTCCGTGACAGTGCAGAGAGTTGGGGCTTTTCGTTTTTCGTTGCGTGCAGTGAGACGCTGACTTTTCCTTTATATTTATATACTGCGGCCGCTGTCTATCTTTCTTAAGTAGGATTTATGGGTTTAAATGACCTTAAAGGACCTCGAGTTCTTGTTTCATTAGTGAAGCGCTTGAATAGCTAAACACTTCAAAGTTGGGCTGCAACAAGTCAATAGAACTTTAAACTGAATTGAATTGAACGCTAGATGGTATTTTACGAGCAACGTAATTAACTTGCTATCGCTACATATGATTATTTAAACATACGCTTACTTGCGCCTGCTACTCCCCAGTCCCAGTACCCACATCAATCATGCATTTATGGTATATTCATAATTCGTTTCAAATCGTGAAGGGACAGTGGCTTGATCAGGTAATCGTCTATCCCGGCCGCAAACGCCTGTTGTTGCATACTGCTCGAGGCCACCCCAGTGACGGCCATGATGGCGGCGCGTGGTATAGAATGGAGTTCCTCGTATTCGCGGATTTTACGCGAGGAAACAATCCCGTCCATAATGGGCATGGAAATGTCTGAAGTCAGTCAGCATGCGTCCAGAACCCGCTTAACCAGGGTCAGTAATCATACCCATTAACACATATTCAAATCTACCTCCCGAACTTTTGTACTGTTCCAATGCGGCTAGCCCATTGCTGGCAGTTTCGTAGGTACAGCCAATTTTTCGCATGAACGTGGACAATATCTGAGAGGCGTTAGCTTATGAATCCACCGAAGGAGCATATCTCCAACCTTGAGGTTAATATCGTTGTCGTCTACAATCAGAACACGCATATCTTTGCGGGGCGGTATCTGCGGCGAAGGAGGGGAATACTCGGACACGTTCTCCTTCGCAACCGGTGGCGACTCGGTGCCCTTGGCGAGCGCAAAGGCTTCGGACAATGATCGCCCGCGGTTGGGAATCCCGGAGAACGGACCAGAGATGGGACTCTCCGCGTAAGGGAGGGCTTCGCAGTGAGAATGTGCAGACCGCTGCAATGCCTCAGTAATCTTGCGTGGTCCAAGTCTATTCCTTGTCAGTGACTAAATTGCAAATTCAAAATATGAAATACGTACGGCTGCGATAAATAAATCACATCGGCGCCTTTGATAGCAAAGTTTCCTGGAAGAGATACGCCTTGTTCCCCTAAAACAAGAATTGTTTTGAACTTGGTCTCGATGGAACCAGTTCCGGCGATCTTCTTCAATGTCGATTCCTCGATGACTCCAATATCCCCGGACGACTTGTCAAGGGACTCTGCAAACGAAACCGTCCACCCTGGCTGGCTCAACAGCACGTTGCTCAGCGCACAGCGAATAGCCAGTTTACGCTTCGCATTTGTACTCAGCTGTTTAGCCGGTGCGCCATACAAGCTAGCGTAAGCATCCATGCCGATTAGGCTGACCCGCTTCACGGTCCTCGCACCTGGAACATCTCGTCCTGGGATCATGGCGCGCGGAGTGGATGGATCCGGAAGGAATTCCACGGGGATGAACACATCAACTTGGGTCCCCTTGCCAACCTCGCTTTTCAAATCGACCGTGCCACCAAGATAGGTCACAATCTCTCGCACGACACTCAGCCCGAGTCCAACCCCTTCGGTGAGAACATCCTCCTGTGTGAAGGGTTTGAAAAGCTTCTGTTCCAGAAAGTCGCGCGAAATTCCACATCCAGTATCGGTGATCGAGATGTGCGCATATACGGTCTTCGAGCCAGCCGATCTTTCCACGCGCTGCGACAAGGAAACCTCAATGAGCCCCGACCGCGTGAATTTAAACGCATTGCCCAGTAGGTTCATGACGACTCTCCTCCAGCCCCCGGAAATCGAATTGATCGTCCATGATGGCTGTTCTTCAATGCGGACGACAACCATCAAATCGTCCGACCCATCCGACCCTTCCGTACCTAGACCAGCTGGCTCATTGCCAGCAACTGTGCTGCTCACATAGCGACTGGCGATTTTCGAAGCATTAGTGCGTGTCCGATGACTAGAGTACAAAGCCTCCGCAACGTCCTCAACCAGAACGTCCATCTCAAACCTCGATACCAAGTGATCAAGTTCGACTTCCTGCTGGCTGTCTTTCGTCTTGTTTAGATGAGATATATTAGTCAAATTATTGATTTTGGTGAAATCGAGTCTATCGTGGATCAGCATACAGTCTCCTGTACAGGACCTATCTGCACTTACAGGTGGTTCATTGTATCCAGTAGAGTCATACCACATGTTTCGATCATTTTGACGATATCTTTCTGGGGTCGCTCTAGCGGCGTGGTCTGCAACAGCTCGGTGCTCGCCAGCATACCATGGAGCGGCGAACGCAGCTCATGACTGACACTGGAGAGCAAATCCGACTTAGACTTTTCAGTGGCTGTCCATCCAATTTGGAAATACTCCGAGGCTACCACGTCGCCAAAAACCTTCAAATAATACAGATCCTCCTGTCCAAACAATTGTTGATTATTGCCCGTCCAAGCCACAATCGCAGTAAGCCAGCAGGACTTATCCCAATTCCATATAGGACAGAAGACTAAGGAGTTGGCGCCGGGGAACGCTTGTGCCAGACGAGAATTGGTGGCGAAGTATAGGGCACGTTGCTGCCCATTAGCGCTACTCCAGTGCTTGGTACTGCCGTTAGGAGGGCACCCGCCCGGATGTTCCGGATAGAATATCTCCCCTTGCGGAAACGAGACCAACATATCACGCAACAATCCTTCGTTGAGAGCGAGTCTGAAAATTCGGCCACTCTCGTGCGCCGACTCCGCAATGGACATTGCCAAAGGTTCGCACAACTTTTCTGGGCATGCGCCTTGCGATGATACACCAGGTGAAAAGGCTCCAGGAGAATGCGCCATAGTGCTGACGTCGGAATCCTTGGAGAGCGCATCCCAGTCACTGGCACTGGCAGTGGTATGTGAAAGGCTAGTAATAATCATTAACTATGAAACCGTACCGCAGAGAGGAGTCCGTACCTTCGGGGGTTGCTTTGGGCGGCATCTAAAAACAGAACGCCGTCCAAGCCCATGCACTCTTGTAGCAGCGAGCTGGCTCGGGAGAAGAGCAACGATGTAAGGGGAGAAGGGGTGACCTTCTCTGGTACAGTTACTAGGTGAGACGAGTCATCAGAGCACTTTCGTAGATGAGTTTGATGTTTCTCGCGGGACGGGGGGGTGGGAGGCTCGATAATCGGGAAAAATGGAGACGACTGTGCCTCATCCCTGGCTTGCAGCCTCGCTGAGATGGGCGAAGTATCACGGCTTTTATTCGATGCATTAAGGGGGGGATCAGAACGATAAAACTCAGGACTCTGGCGCAAAGTATTCTCCGCTGCTGGTCGTTGCTTTTTTGGAGCGATGCGCTCACGACCCTCCACATTTGGTAGGCCTTTAACTGTCATAAGTGTACTTAGTAAACTATTCAACTTTCGTTGACAGTGTAGATCGTAGATATTTTCGAGATGATGCACAACTGCGTCCGCAACCACTCGTAGATTAGTGACATTGCTACCGTTAAACACCGCCCGAGGTTTGTCGTCTACAACGCAGTACGTGCCAAAGGTGCCCCAGCGAGAACTATATAAGGGCATTTCCGCATAAAGCCGCGTTTCTGGGAACCGAACGACGAATGAGTGCTTTTTGAGGTTATTCTCAGCGGCTAGGTCATGAATTATGCGAGATGAACCATTCGATGAAATATCCGATGTGCCACGTCCACGATGTCCATCCACTTCTAAGCCCAGAGTTCCAACCCCCATATCACCATTTTCGATCTTATATTGGCCACTTGACGAGCGAGAAGCTGTCGCTCGAGCTATGATATTTGTTTTCTCATTGTGAATCAGGGTGACAAAGGCAGCGGCACAGCCGGCATGGAAAAGCCCCAGCTGGGCTATAGTTGGGAGGACAGTATCCGAAAAATGAGCATTGGGAGTATCGGACGGAGTATCGGACGAAGTAACGCGGCCCTGTAACCTGTCGATCTCGCCTCGTGTCGTAGAATACAATCTATTCACGAAAACAGTCAGTGGCTCGTGTCTTTGAACTACAGCAACAGTCAGAAAATCAGAGAATATAAACTTCACATACCTTGACAGCTCTAGAGCAACCTTTTCCGCATTCGATCGCGCGGTTGAGTCATGGAGCGCTGTTGAGCCCAACAACACCATATTGGACTTTATGGCATAGTATGCCGGCGCCACCCACTTGTTCACTGTCCGGAGCAAACAAATCGGGGGTCCAGGAGAAACGGTAGCAAGATATATGAATCTCGAAAAGTACCAATATTCTGAGACCAAGCAAGCTTGGGTTGTTTTAAGCTGGGAGTCGGCGATAGTATAAAGGCTAGATGATTTATCCGGAATCCCGTTAGTAGTGTCGGGAGTGGAAGGTCTGGGCCAGAATCGCCAGGGATTTTCTCAGCCTCTCAGCCAAACATTGGGAAGCAAAGAGCGCCACCGCAAGTAAGAGGGTCATCGATCCCCCGGACCGTTGGACGAGCTGAGTAACGGGACCGACCGATCGGTTCCATGGTTCGGGCATCTCAACTGCCCGACTGTCTTCCGGTAATGGCCTCGGTTGCGTTTGTTTTAAAGGAACAAAAATGTCAGATTGTCCCCAGTGAAGATGTAGGGAGTACTATACGAAGAACCAGCTGTTGTTTAATCTATCTTTGTCTCTTAGTTCATGTCACAAGAAGCAGTAGGCATATTCCCAATGGTCTATGGGGGCAGCCCTACCAGGTAGCAAACTGGAGCCGGTCCAAAGAGTGGTCTGGCCGCACCTGAGGTGGATGGTGTCCTGTGGTTCCCGGTTGGAGCGGAAAATAAGGAACGAATGGATTCTTTGATAATATCCGCATTCGGAGGCAGCACGGGATCATCAGGAATCCATTCGCCGATTGCCGCATGATTGCTGACTCACCCCCGACGATAAGATAACTATCTACGGAGTAATTCTGCTGCTGTGGATCTGTATTTCCTATGATTCATGGAATCAATCGGTCACTCCTCGGTATATTGACTTTATAAGGAGTTCTAGTTGAGGTGTACTCGTAATCGACCCAGCTTGGTTGGAGTTATTGCTGTGGCTACGGCAATGAATATTGCAGTGTCCAGACAACTCTGCATGTATGCATTACAAGATACTGCAATATTCATTGTCGTATGGAGTAGACAGTGCAGTATTGAAAATGGGTCGTGGAGGGCACTGACAACGTTGCATTCAGAAGACTCAAAGTCTGGTACCTAATTGTTCAACCTAAAGAGGTTGTCTGGTTCGGGTCCATTGCCACGGTGACAGCGGTCGCCCGTCTTGGCCTAGGAACCATCAATCCTAACCCCGCAAGTCGCTCTCGAGCATCCATACGTCTAGTATATATTTTCAATGTCAAAGATTTGATAAGTCCAGTGCTCTGAATCTACACTTCACACTATGCGTGGAACTGGCTAAAATAGGGTAATAGGGATATAGAAGCCTATCGGAAAAATAGAGTTGAGTTCGGTTCTAGGTCCATGCAAGACAGACAGATCCACGGAACCTCTACGGAGACTCATCGAGAGACAACCAGTCAGCGACTCAGGATTTGTTTCGCAGAAATTCCGCACACAGACAAGACTCTCCCATGTGTTTCGTCCGTAGTTGTCCAGTCCTTGGCATTTATGTCCTACGCTCAATAATGTATAGTACGGAGCACAGTGAAACCCGGTTAAATTCAATCATTTTGGACTGCCTCTTCAGATACATTTAGAGGGGTATTGCATTTGTCAGAATTTATGGGGACAGGCAGCCTATTCTGCCCATAATATAAAATTTGGTAATTTATGTAATTAACATCCAATGTATTATATTTACTAATATAATTGGTCAGATAAGTGGGTATGTGTATTTTAAAGTGGATTTTTACCGCCTTAAGTGCAATTTTACATGGGAGAAATCAGGGTCGATTGCATCTTATAGATAATGGAGTTTGTGCAATTTTATATGAGAAGTAAAACTAGCCGCCAGAATTGCTTGTACTTATTAGTAGATATTGCAATTAAGGAGGTTATTGCATTTAACAGTCTTTTACCATATGAAGTATTTATCCGAAACGTTGCCACATTTTGCCACTAACTGTGCCCTGGCCAGTTATTGCTAAGTTTCTTAGCGTGCCAAGCTTTGCAGCTGCAACATGTATGCAAGGTCCAGGCCATGTCGATCAACATTCTGAGAAAACTTGAAACTGATATAAAGGTACCGTGTTATCTAGTCAGTATAACGTCCTGAAGCATCCACTCGTTTGACTCGAAGCGAGTCGCCAATATGCTCGATGGCCTGTACCACATGTCAGTGACCACTATACATTCTGGCAAACTCCGTCTATAGGCCACATATATTTCAACCCTAAGACAGCAAGTCAGCATAAAGAGATAGCATTATAACTGAGATTACTGGTAGCGAGTAAATCTACCACATCAATTGTAGAGATATTGAAACAGGCAGCTAATGGGTAAGGCAACGTGACATTGTGAATTGATGGTCAGATAGAGATGGCTTTGCTGGTAGCCTTTATAGTAGGCAACTCACGTTGACAGGTTGCTAATCCAGAATTCAACATCAATCACCACATGTGTAAGCCTAGTGATACAGATATCTCATTAAATATCCAGTCACCTATGGAGTGAGAGCATGTCGGCGTGTGCCATAGATATTAAGCACACAATATTTTACAACAAAACTATATTGATAACCAATACTACTCATCGTACCGGCGCATCTATGCTCGGATTAACCGAGAAAAATGCCTCCAGATCCATGGTATAAAAATCAAAATCCCACCCCATATCCGATATGGTAAGGTCCAGGAGATCATCACTTCCTACACTTGCTGGGTGAATGTCACCCTGGAGTGGATTGCCCTGGAAATCAGACAGCATTGGGAGTTCCCCCATTTCGAGATCGGTTAAAGAGCTTTCCGGTGGCATGCACCTCTGAGGATTTGAAATATTGTAGGAAGATGGTTCCACAGTATTGACTATTTGATCTACGCCATAGGTCTGGCTTTTTCGACTCGACTGAGGCTCCCATTCGTAGGACGGATGAATTTTCTTCAGGGTTGTTTGGATAGCGTCAATGGTGCTTTGAATCGGATCACCTACCCGCATTGACGAGAGGCATTGGAGAGACGCGTAAATCCACGGCAGATGCGTCCCTGCAAGGCCTTCGCCGTGCATCAAGTCATATATTAAAGAAAAAGATGCACTTCCTAAAAAGTACCCATGGTACCGGAGTTCCTGCAGCTGGATTAGTCCGATGATGCACGCTCCATCGCCTATCATGGGGAGGGCAATACTCTAACTATATCATTGATGATCGATGCTTCGTATAAGAAGTGTATAGTCCTGCAAGCAGCACTGAGGGCATGGTTGCATGCCTCGTTGAGCCATGCAGGAACTTCAGTAGGACGCTTAGCGGCATCACTCGTAGTAGGAGGCAAGGACATTTTCATATCCCTCTGCCATCGCCCACGGAATATAAGAAATGGTCGAAACGTCAAGAGGATCGTATGGTAGTAAACTGGATCTTCAGCTCCTGCTTTCGTTGAAACGGACAAAGGGCCGGTTTACTCACGCATATTTAGTATTGTTTGCCCTACACCAATCTCCCCCAACTGGGGAGATTTATCGAGGCCAAAGCCTAGAGCCTGCCACATTTTCCCATCATAGGAGCGGAGGTCATCGGAGATTGACCGAGCAATCTTCCACATCTGTAAAAGAGAGTCATGGCGTTGGCCATACATTTCTTCTGAAGATCTCGATATGGCTTTGGATAGGTATGCTAGGGCTAGCAAGAAAGGTTCATCAGGGGGCCCAATACCGATGTCCCTATGTAGTAGTGAAGTGGGTCTCCCCAAATGGAAGGAGAACCAACTGGAACTTGTTAATTGGACAACCATAGCATGGATACAGAGACCAAACGAACGTTTCATAAGTAAATAGGCTCCAGAACGTAGTCCTTCTCTCTTCCACACTATCGGCCGCATCTCTGCCTTCATTTGATGCTTCCTTGTGCATCCCTGCAGATATCGCCTTCCGGGCTGCTGCACCTACATGAAGAAATGCTGAATTCGGCCTACCCTGGTCGGTCTGGAAATAGGAGTGCTGGCCTCCATGTTAGCTGTTTGTTTTGGGTATGATGAACCAACAACTTATCATTAGTAGCCATAGCTGTACGGATTGCAGGTTGACAACGTCATCTAGCATCGCACATGACGATTTGACTCGTTCGAAGAGCACATCACCCCAGCCGTAATATTCTGTGCCGAGCGACCCAATAGCTAGAATCATTAAAATCATACAATGACCCCAAATATCAGTGCGTGAATCAGGAGCCTGATAGTATAACTCCCAAAGCTGCCGTTCGAAAGTCTCCTTCGGCCGAAACGGCATCATGATGTACAGCGACGACAAAAACCGGCTCAGGAACATTTTGGCAAGGTCATATGGTAGAAACATTACAGGCGTATTCATTGCGTTAACACTTTTTGTTGGATCCTGGGTGCCCACGGGAGTTCCAAAGAAGATGCGCCGAAAGCTGAACATGTCCAACCCAGCTCCGGCTTCCTGGACCATGCGTGGCTCTTCGGAAGAAGGTGCATGTTTGGATGCTACCAAGTCTCTGTAAATTTCATGCATGAGCGCAAAGTGAGAGGTTGACCCGTAGTACAGCTGGGCCTTGCATGATGGAGACTCCGTATGCGTGGCTGAGACACTACTGTCGAACGTGTAGCTGACGGATGGTTTCCGGCGACCTGAGGCATGCGGCACTTCGGGATACTGCTGCTGTGCGACATCCTCGGGCCGCGTGGCTTCATTCGATGCGCCTGCATCACTACCCTCCCTATACTGATGTTTTTTCTTTCGCTGTCGGGTGACATCGCGATACGCGCATGGTGTACCGCGGAGATCGCAAGTTTTGCATGGGCTGGCGCCATTGCACTTGATCTTCCTCTTTCGACACTCTTGGCATGCTTTGGGTATCCGCCATCCTACTGGTTGCACAGGCGAGTCTGCGTCGGCCATTGACAGTATCGAAGCTAGCAATTTCTGGCGGAGCTATTTCTGGTGTCATTGATACACAGGCAAAGTCGGATGTAGATTAGGTGGGTTTATCCGTTATTCCGAGGTTGCGGATCGCGTTAACTTAGTCCTTTCTGTTACGCGAGCGTCTGCGTGGTTGGCAGTCACGTGTAGCAGGTATGGCTAACTACTAACTATACAAAGAACTAACTAGTTATGGTAATTTTGATTATTCAGCACCTTTATCGGTCACATGTTGTTGATGATACAACATCATCGGATCGCGTATATTTCATATATGAGTTAGTTTGCATTCTTCATTTGTTTACTTCGCCTTTTATAAACGCGAGATGTTTTGAGACCTAATTCTATCGAGGATCGATACTTGCGGATACGCGTATTTTTATGGTTAACTTTAATGTGCCGAGTGGTAAATACGCCGAACCGAAAATTTTCATCACAACCACAACAAATTTGAAGCTTTACAACCACCAACTCCATTAAATTAGACTATTCAAAGCATAAATAAACAGATATTTACTAGGGCAACTTCGTGTAGTATGTCCAATAGTCCCACAGCCACTGCAGCGTGGTGGAGCTCGCTGGCGAGGGACAGATATATCATCAACCTGTTTATTAAGCTACGTATCAAGCTGCTCAACATGTAATATCCAGTCCTCATACAGGAATGAAGAGTCAAGTGTTGAGGACTCCGACAGCCCGAGAGCAGCCTTGTAAAGCATATTGCATGGTAGGCAATGGTATAAATGAAACTCGGTCCTCCCCTGTGAAGCCCTTGGCCTACGAATAGAGACTATTATATCTTGCAACTCAAATAACTCAGAAATAACTCGGACTTTGAGCCTTCCGTGGCTGGTATTGGCTATGTACTGGTGCATCCTAGATGGCTCTGCCCCTCCTTAACCTGGAAACTCGCTAGCAGTTTCTCGAATTGGAAGTTGCCGCATCTTATTCTCTCCATCTAGTTCGTGTCGTTGTTGTACTTGAGCTCCTTCTGCGCTAAGCTCTGCAGGGCCACTCTTGCCCTCCGTCTGGCGTTCTGGAGAGGTAATTTGTTTCCGTTTCCTCCTGCGGCACAGAAAGAACAGGGCTATAACCAAGCTTATAATAACAGCTGCCGCTACACCCACCCCAACACCTACTTTTCCCCCAGTACCCAACTGGGTTTTGTTATCATGGATGGGTAAAGGTGGTAGTGTATTATTACTGGCAAAAGAACTGCTGGGGTTATTTTCTGCCCCTGACGATGTGGAGCTGGCGATTTGTGTGGAGGTTGTCGATGTAGATAAGAAGATAGTAACAGTTTCCTTTGAGTCCATGGATGCTGTCTTCTGTCCCTGGGAAGATAATGAAAGATCAAACCGCCCAGATTGATAATAATCTTGACCATGGATGACCCGGATACGATAATACGCTGCCACTATGAAGGTAGCCTGAATGTCATATTCCTTTGAAGTAATATTAACATTGTTGGAGAGTTCTTCGCCAGGTTCCTCTCCACGAGGCCCAGCTTGGATGAAAGATATAGTTAAAGGGACGGTTATGTCGTCGGTTGAGTTGTATGACCAGGTCATGGGAATTCCTCTACCTGCGGCGCCTCTCCATACAGGAACGACATCACCCTCTTGGGGATAGGTTATTTTGAAACCTATTAGCGTTATTGGTCAGCTATTGAAGATGAGGAAAATCAATGAAGTTCTATTACAAACCATTGCTAGAGGAAATGGTCACACATAACAAATAAAACAAGAACTCATAAATAAACATGCTATCGGCCGAAAGTAGCTCCAGCACAATACCTTAATACCTTTATGGGCATACCATGTAGAGGCTGTAGGCTTGAAGGATAGCTTTTGTATAGTATGTACGTGTAAAAAGGCGGTAACAAGGAAGAAGAGGAAGAAGAGGAGGAAGAAGAAAATTAATAGGGGAAGGCCATAATAGCGACCTTAAAGGACAATTCTTGGCCAACATGATATGCTGCTGCATCTAGCATAGTCTAGTTGCTTTAAACCGTATCTATTGCTCGTCTATCTGCAGACCCTGGTCTAGTCTCCCTGCAACCATCGCTCAAACCTACCTAGGTACCTCTTTCTTTTTGTTACGGAAACACTAGTTATAATCCGCCCGACTTGGCGGTGCGGAAATATCTAACGATCCATTCTAACCCTCAATCCTCTAGTTAGGAGAACACCTCAATGAGAATATAGGGAACCGCTCAGTAGGCTCAGTTGGTTGAGATACCGCGATTCCTGGTGTTTCCACTGAATGACATCTACTTCCTAGTTGGGCTAGTTGGCCTGTAGCTGATAGAATAGCTCCCTGCGCATCACTTCCCCTGAGTTCCACAACACTTTTCTTTATCCTTCTTTGCACGTGTTTCTTGGCGACATGCGATACCTATATCTTAGGTGGATGTAAGGCGATAGAGTGTTTTATGTCAAGGCTATATTCCTTACAACTCTTTTGTTCCGTAGCTTGATCGGGATTTATAGAGTTTGAGAGCTGCTAGGGAACACCGTACCTACTATGCCTGATTTAGAATAGTTGACTTTAAACAACTACGTCTACTAAATACAGTGTAGTTGTCAAATAGAATGGCCGTAGGCCCTAAGAACCATGTGATATAGAAAAAGTGGAATACCAGACCTCCTCCACGTACCCAACATGCTGAAGATTATTTTATTCAACATTATCTACTAGTCGAAAATTATTGAATACAGAGGAGTCAACCCTTATTTTATGGATTATTGATATGGATCGTCGTGGCTTGCCTCCCCAGATATCAACTGTACGCTATTTAGCCCAGCTACTTCTCTTTGCACGAATTCCATCTGCTTCAGCTGTTGGAGAGCACTGGGTATCAAGATTTATCAAGCGCCGCCCAGAAATTATCTCAAAATATACTAGAAAGTATAATTACCAACGGGCAAAGTGTGAGAGTCCAGAGCTTATCCAGGAGGGGTTTCAGCGGTTCCAGAATATCATATAAAAGTATGGGTTCTATGCTAAAGATATCTACAATATAAATATTTGGCAGGCTTTCAAATGGGTGTTATATTATCCGCTAAAGTTATCTGTGACGCTGAGACAAAACAAAGCAAAGCTAAAGCAATCCAGCCTGGAAATAGAGAGTGGGTTACTGCTATTGTTGCAATTAATATATCTGGATAGGTATTACTACCATATATTATCCTTGCTGGCGAGAATCACTAATCTCAGTATAAAGATATACCAAAAGACTATCACATCTCCGTAAGCAAGAATGGATGGACAAATAATAGTATAGGCGTAGATTAGCTACAAAATTACGTTAATCTTTATACAGTATCACGGACAGTTGGAAGATATCGTTTTCTAGTTCTAGATAGATAGTAGCTATGCTACTGCAGAATTTGATAAATTCTGTACTAATATGGAAACTATTCCTGTATAAAGTTATTGGGGCGAGTTGGTAGTCTTTCAGCGATTGGCAAAGAATCAAAACAAATAGTGTCCCGGGTGTTTGCATTGTTTATCATAATGGACTATACTATTTCCGAATTCCAATGCCTTATCAACTCAAATGCTGTTACCTACCCAGGAAGCAATATATTGCAAGTTTTTCATTGGCTATGCTGGCTGCCAAGAGTGCCAGCGTTTGGCGTTATGGGCCGAGTAGCCAATCTCCGATGTCATACGGCAGGATAGAAGCATTAGCTTCTTGTCTAACCAACAAATTTGTGGCTATGCAGAGCGGCCAAGACCACTGGCTTTGGGGGCGAACAGCTACTATCCAATAATCAATATAGTAGGTGGAGTAGGTGGACTGGGTTCGTTTGAGTTAGGTCAGGCGTTATCGGGTGAGCGTCTGCCGACGGCTCACCCCATCTATTGTGCACTCACCCAAGCTCACCTAGCTCGCGCGACCGTAAAGTGGCCTCACCTGCTGTTGTATGTATATCCGTCCACTTTTTTTGACTTGTCAGGTTCAGCGCCTGTGCCGCCCTGTCTTCATTCAGGTGAAGGTCCTGAAGCCCTCTCTAATCGTTACCCGCCAAGCCTGAGTTCGTGGCTGTTCTGTCCATCTGCCATTCGCGTCGTTCAACCTCTTAACCTACTGTTTTCGTAGGGTGAGAACGCCATGGACATGCTTTTCTTGTTTGCCCGCGACCTACTACACCAGTACGCTTAGTACACGAAGTATTGAGTGTATACTAAGGCCGTTTATGACTCTGTTTATCTTCGTACTGTGACGGCATGATCTGAGCAGGAACATCGCTAAGTGTACTATTTTCCTTTAAAATTATTCAAATTAGACAGTTTCGTAAATAGCGTGACCAAACTATTAGACACATCTGTTAAAGCGGTGCTGGCCATATCATACATTATAGCTAAAATCCCGTTCAAGTCCTAGCAAACAGTAGGTTGCTTGCTGTTGTTTTCTCACGATCAGTGAGGCGAAGACTACCAACTCTCCATATAGGTACATGCTGGGAACTCTCCGTTTCGGAGACAGAGAACGGGATCGAGAAGAGTAAACTGGACTTGATTTTCGACAAGTTTCAGAAAGCAGATGGCTCCATGACGAGAAAATTTGGCGGTACTGGACTTGGCTTATCCATCTCAAGAAGCTGGTCAATTAATTTAATGGGAGGGGATATTTGGGTCACGTCGGCCGTAGGCGTAGGGAGCACCTTTCACTTCACATGCGCCTTTACGTCTCTGAATCCGCCTAACCAAGCAGGCCTTAGACAAGTTTGGTCTCCACATTGATATCGTGCACCTAGAAGATGCTGCTTCGCTTCCGAGAACCCTGATTTCGCATGTCCAAGATCCACGCCGGCAGTATTATGCCTTGCTGGTCCAATCGATGGAATGTATACCTTATTTCCGAGACTTTAATAAGTTCAAATCTCTCCCTGTTGTTCTAGTTTGTCTTGTGGTGTCAGTGTGTATGAATTCCGCATTAGATCTGGGTATCACATCGTATGTGACGACACCATGCCGCCCAGTTCTTGTTAATGGCATCCTTCCTGCTCTAGAGAGCCGACCTTCATGCAATAAATCGGAGCAAACACGGCCCTGAGTCACTCTACTTGTCGAAGATAACAAGGTCAATCAAGGAGTAGCTCTCAAGGTATTAGAAAAGTACCCCCAAAAAACCACTATAGTGGGAAATAGACATGAAGCTCTGGATGAGGTGCGGCACAAACAATACAATATTGTTTTGATGGACGTTCAAATGCCTGTGATAGGTGGATTTGAGCCGACCGTCCGAATTCGAGAGCATGAGAGAGTCCATAATCTTCACACCCCTACTATCGCCCTCACCGCTCATGCCATGTTCGGTGACCGAGAAAAATGCATGGCATCTGGGATGGATGACTACCTTCTGAAGCCGCTGAATCAGAGTCAAATTATGGAAATTATTCAGAAGCATGGTGCTCTTCGGGGTGGCTTGTGTTAATGCGCAGTGGAAACCTCTCCCACCAGAGCTCCCCCAACATTAGCAGCTTGCTTTACCAAGGAAGCCAAGCTGGCCGAACATCATTATAACTAGATGAAAGACTTTTAAAAACAACACTGGAGCAGTTGAAATTCTCTGCGACGAAATTCCATTATCTACTTAACGGGAATAGATATGCCAGCACCTATGTAGAGATGCTCACAAATGTATTGAGTGTATTCCTTTAGGACTCGGTTGCACAGAGGAGGGTGCAGGAAAATAATCTGAGCTATTCTCTGGTTACAAGAAAGCTGTGGATTCCGAGAGTTTGTCCATATGGTTGAGGGCCGATCCATCGACTGGGTAGGCCAATTCATGGCTAGGATGTGTTCCGCGGAGCATCAATCTCTGCGTGGAGCCCAAGTCGTGGAGCCTCACGTCCGTCGACCCAGCCGACCGGTCCATGATGCTTATAGTTGTATATCAATTCGTGTTGTCGATGAGATCCTGCTCGAGCCCATGGTAGAGCACAGGTAAAATGGAGTATTTCCACAGGCTAAGATTCTGCCTCTGGTTCGTCAGAATCGTAGAAATAGGAAGACAATACCGGCAGCCAGAGGGCCAGTAAGCAGGGCAATAAAGCTCCAGTTAAGCTTGACAAAAACCTGCGGGGCGAGAACATTACCACCCACAGTATCGTTACTTGCATCTAGACGGTTCTTGGTCAGTGATAATGCAACACTTCCCAGTGAGTGTTCTAAGCCATGGCTGAGAATGTGGTGTTGTTCGACAGGACCACTGTTGTCTTCCTTTAACCATGTCCACCCTGAATCTCTTATCATCACATCGTACCTATATACCTGAGTCATTCATCACGAAGGTTTCAAAAAGGTTGATGCCAACATCCCAGAACTTGGAACAAATAGAAAACTCAGTGGCGTTGGTCCACATCTTCCCGCCCGGGGGAATGTCCACCGGCTCGATGCCGGTGGAAGCTCCGTAGCCTGGTTTCCAGCAGTACACGTGCTCTGGGTCAGAGATAGTGTCAGCGTGGACGTGAAACAGGTACATCTTCCCATAGCCTGATTCCGACGTGTGAATCGATGTCTTGCCACCAGTGACAGAAACACTGTAGTTTCTGCTGCACACAGATAGGACGCATTGCCGGAGAGAGTCGATCTGAACGGTCTTTTCCACCATAGAGCGCACGCGCTCCCGGTTCGACGAAGCATATGGAAAGCTGAGTTTAGCACGCGCGAGCACCAGCAGAGGGCATGTCGATGAGAAATCGACCGGAACCACCCATCCAAGAAACATTTACCGGGAATGAGATTCCATTGCCCTGTGGAAGGGACAGATGACATGGAACAGTTGCGTCGTTGCTTGGGTCGTTGGTGTTGGCACGGGTAGAATTGAACAGAAGATGACTGCAAGTGTGTAGGGTGGCGCGGGAGGTGATATCCTCGCATTTACTACACCAGCCTGCTGACTGAAAAGGAGGCCAGGTGCTGTTTACGGAGGGACAGTGCGGAGCAATTTTACAATCGCAGACATTTGCGGTCCCAACTATACGTCTCGTAGTAACCGACGCGCTGGTAGCCATCCGAAGGGCCTTTGTCGTTGTTCACAATGTCAGTACCACAGTTAGAGGTGCACCCGAAGACTCCAGGCTTCGACGTGCCTGGGTTCCCCGTGGGGCCTTTGGACTTGGTGCAGAAGCTGGAGTCAATACCACACTGGCCCCATATGTTGCAGCAAGAGTTCAATGGGCACGGGTTCAGCATGGCAAGTTTTGAGGCGTCGGTAATGGGCTCGTCAACTTCTGTGCCTGGAACTTGGGGCCCACAGACACTGCTGGGGAGAACAGCAGGCATAGGGGGGTTGCCAAGGCTAAGACATATGTTCTGACCGGCCCCAAGGTTGTCACAGCCGTTCCAGCCCCATGTGGTGCCATTGTTGAATTTATTTAAATTATCGACTGTTAGGCTCTGGGCAAGACCGATGTCGTAGCATGTATCGCCTGAACGCGTCGTGTATATATAGCAGGTGCCATTATTATAAGGTTGCGGCTTTAGGAACCCGTCTGTGCAGCAGACACTTGAGCCAATCTGCAGGCGAGAGCACATGTCCTTGGAGTTGTACTTGTAGAACTGGTCGAGGGTAATGCCGCATATCTTGGCCAGGGACTGGCAGGTGTCACCCGAAACAACCTTCCTCTTAGTGCAGTATTTGGCGGCGCGAGCCAGTAGACGCTTGCCCGGAGGCGTATCAAGCTCCTGAGCCGTGGAATTAGAAATTGTGGTGTTCCTGCCTACTGAACGTTGCGGCACCTCCCAGATGCTAACATCCGGGAGCGAGGTCGCGTCGCCGAGTCTGCTCTCACATTTCCCTTTACTCCATGACACAAGAGCGGCCTGCACAGCGACCAGGTCCGCGATGGGCGACACGGCAATACCAAATACATGGTCTGCGTCACACTGGTCACTGCAGAGCTGCATGAGCATGGTAGCAGGAACAGCTCTCTTAACCTGGGAGAGGAGCCGGTCAATGGCCGAAGAAGCTGTGGCTTTACACAATGCCTCGCCGACATATACACCGACCACCGTACTATTGTAATAGCCTAGCATAATATTTTTAGTGCAGTCCGCCCCTGCGTGGAGGTATGCCTGCACCTGCGTGAGCGCGTTGAGCCCATGGTCGTTGGTGCCTTCAGCTGAAGCAGCAGCAACTCTTTGGTTTGGACTCACGAATAGAGTTACTGTTATAGACCGAGTCGCCAATCGCCAGAGCATTGCTGGTCTTCTTATTCCAGCCGTCTCCTGCGGTGCAAGCGCGGAACTTCAGAGTCTTGGAAGAGTCATTGACAGAAGTGTGAATAGCGAAATTAAAAAGAATTGGCTTGTGACAGAAGGAGAGCCGGTCAAAGGAAGGGTAGACAGTCCAGTCCTGAGACCTGTGGCTGGCGCACGCCTCTGGACATGGTTGGAGCTGTGACTGGAACACATCTGGGTGGTTCAGAGTAGCAACTAAGCTGTTAGACTGGGCACCCAGCGTCGATACCGGTGTGCTAAATGCGATGATTAAGCAGAGAACCGCTGATGCAGTGATCCAGAGACTCGTGTACGGCATCTTAGACTTGGAGGTTCAATGTCAAGACGCAGGGTAAGAAAAACAGAGCAACTTGAAGGGGGATAAGAAACAAAGAGAAAATAGGGGAGAGGAGGGCATCTCTAATGTAAAGAAATGGCATGAACAGGCCATGCCATTGCTTTGTAAAAAGTGGTCGGCTGCGTATGAAGCCGAGATCCCGCTTGGAAGTGTATAATTACAGTCGTACTCTGGATGCAGCTAGCAGCTAACCATGGAGGATGGATTCATTTCCCTGCTAGGGTTAATTAGATCAGGCTACGTTGGAGCGCCACCAACGTGTACTAGACATCTATTGTATCTGAGTTGTCAATCAGAGGCATTATCCTGCCTGTACGAAGACGTCTGGCATGTTGTGGGACTGGAAAAGTAGACCTCGGCAGGACCCGGCGGCAGGACCCCCGGATGACCTAAAAATTGGAACAAAATGCCTAACCGCACGTCAGTCCTTTTATTATATATATATATATATATATTTGTTAATAAATAGTATTCCACAAGACGGCAAGGGCGTGCCAGATTTGACTCCCACTGCATCGCTTTCCTGTCGCCTGCCACCCGCCTTCCCCTCTGGGTGTAGCTCCATTACGCTGCTCCCATTTCAGGAATAGCGCCATTCATGGCCGCTCCATCACACGTCTATGGGCTTCTGCTTTCACCCATTGGCTTCATTCTGTACGGCCATCCGGAATTGTCTATGAAATTAAACTAGAGAATTCTGGAGATTTCTGCTGCAATGCGAGCATCTGTGATCTTCTTGTTTAGGTTAGAAGATGTTGGAAGCGGTTGCTTATCCTATTGAAGGGGTGGCCAGGTGGCCGCGACAGATATATTCTAGCTTACATAAATGATGACTAAGCGAGGTCGAACCGGTGTGCTTGGCGGTATGTTCCAACAGAAGAGTGGAGTCATGTGATCTGATACTTGGAGTAATTTTTAATTTTCGGCAATGCCCGGAGAATATATTTTCCGCTCAAGTGGCTATTATGTTTCTTCGAAGCCATAGGGAACTGGCAACTTCCGGTTATTCTCCTCGTCTGAACAGTCCTCGCAAAGATTTCCCAGCGGAGCATCGAATTCAAGTGACAAAAACAATAACGCAATGTGTTCAGGACGCTCACTTTAAAATCGCCAGCCATGATGTCAGAGGGTCAGTCAGTTCTGTCGGATGATGGGCGAAATGTCCATTTTTTCGACGGTTCGACAGGTGACATGCTGGGTGGGCTGTTTCAGAATGGCTCAGTTACCCAAGCCAACTTTATCGACATGCTCAACATCGTCTTGGTCGTTGTACCGCAACCACCTATTGTAGCGCGCCCACTTACCGTCAAGGCGAGGTCCGGGCAAACTATCTCACGAACCAGTCAACCACTGACGCCTGGAGATTACGATATCTGTGTTTCTGATGGCGGTAGGTCTTCTGATGTCCCAAGTAATGAGAAGAAAAATTCCGGCTAAATTGGATAGACTCCATTGAACTCAGTGATGAACCGTTCATGCGCCGACTCCCTTCCTACAGTATTAGTGGTCGCGAGGTGGATTTTAAGAATGGTGTGCGGGCTAGGGACGGAAAGTGTGTCTTTACTGGGATCGTTAACCCTCGCGCTCATCTGAAGAAATGGGCGGGCTGGGAGGCATCTCACATATTCCCTCTTGAGAAGGAAAGCTATTGGGTTGAAAGCAATTTCAACCGATGGATCACCAATGCGGACTCGGGGAACCATTCTGCGTCCATCCACTCGATCCAAAACGGGTTCCTCCTTCAGTCACACCTACATCAATTGTTCGACGACTACTCAATTTCGGTGAATCCTGATGTAAGTGATTTAACCCAAGACGGAAGTACATAACGGATGTTTAGCTTATTTATTTAAAGGAGAACTACAAGATCACCTCTTTTATTCCAGATGTCGTTGGGGTAGATGGAAGAACGCTTGACCCTGTGTGTCGAGACCCTGCCGACCCGAACCACATCTCAGACCACCTCCTTCGCTGGCACTTCAGACAGAGCGTTCTCGGAAATATGAGAGGAGCCGGAGAGCCTTCGTTTGAGCACGACTTCCCATCTGGCTCGGATATGCTCAAGGAGATACGTGAGGGGCCATTTCCGGTTGAGCGGTTCGAAATGGAACTTTCGTCCAGACTGCGGGGATGGGAACGACATCAGAATTTGGTTCAATGATGTGATAACGGGAAGGACTGAAGACCAAAGAGACGCAATGAGAGATGAAGGGTGGGTGTTTGTTCGTTTGATTGTGTGTTTACACGGAGTACTATATATTGATACCCCTAACTGTTGCTGAAGTTTTTATCCACATTCTGAATGATTTTCACTACAGAGAGAGAGACGATAATTTTATTCTATATTCTACATGTAAAAAAGGGGTCGAGGATCCTCTAGAATAGAACGAAGAGCACTTTCAGGGAGTATATTATTTAGCCTTGCTCTTAGCCGCTTTGCTTTCTAATGCCGAGGCAACCACGCTCAGTTATAGGATTAAATAGTTTGTTCTATGGTAAACTATACGTTTCAACCCTCCCTAAGTGATAGTGCGCTAACGCAATTTTAATTTAATGCTGGCAGTGGCAGAGTTAAAAGGTCAAGGCTCAGTTGAAGAATATATGGAAGATGGCAATGGGGCGTTAAGGATTATTGGGGAGGAATGCATAAAGCCTGACCAGACTTAGTTATAAATAGATCTAAAAAAAAAAAAAAAGAAAAAAAAAGAAAAAAGAAATAAAATAAAAGAGCTTTAAAGAAAATAAAGATGTGCTATATTTCCATCGAGTGTTAACTTATTTAAAACAACAATGCCTTTGCTATAATCCTCCTGTATATATAAAGACTTGTCAAACTATGCAAGTTACTATAGGTAGTACTCGGAGGAATATTTATTTGTCCGCAACAGTTGCGCAACTTTGCTAGTATTCTCGAGTTAATTCTCGTCGCTGCCATTGTCGGAGCTCTCTTCCCCGGTCTGGGAATCATCGTTATATGACCGTGACTTGGCTAGTTGTTGGGAGCGGGCTATTTTGTAGTGTCAATTCGGAAAAATACCATTCTGGCACCTAAAAACCCATGAGCCCCAGGAGAGCCATAATACTAGTACATTAGGTTATATTCAGGTCGTATTTTGTATCGACATATGTCAGAAAGGCGGCCACGAATTTCTGAATTATTTAAGTAATGGAAGAAAACCTTTGAGCAAGCGTAAATAGTTAAGTGTGGGTAACATCGAAGGCCGTAGAAGCAGCCTCTATTTAATACCCTTTCCTGGCGGAAACGGTATCGCATATGCATGATGAAAATGCTGGATAAAGAGTAGACATAGGAATTAGGATTAACCACTCTGTGCCATTCCCTGGTGCTCCAGCCTAGATCTTCCGGACATCTAATCCTTCTCTTGACCCCAGTCCCCGCTGAGGCTGCCGCCAGTGCATCCATTGTCTCCACCCGGCCTCAGACGAGAGGGAGTTGTGTGGGCGGATTTTGGTGGTACGTGGCGAGAAGTTAGGCAGATGGACGGCCTAAAAACAGCCTCAGTTTCGGCCGTTTCTGGCAGTCCTTTTGCCGTCAACCACTCTAAAAGAGTAAAAAACCTTTATAAGGAAAAAAGCTTAATATAGTTATTGAGTTTATTTATTTCTATAAAATCAATAGAAATAAATAAATATATAAAGTGGCAGAATTTTAGTGCATATAGGATGCTATGAGGGAAATCACAAGAATAGACCAGGGTAGGAACAGTTCTTTGTCTCCGAAATAGAGATGGGCTTTATCTTTACTAGTTTGGGCCAACGTTGATCATGCTGTCCACCTGCCCTGAACTAACAGAGTTTTTATCCCTAGTGCTGTTCAACTCATGCAGGAGAGTTCTGGCAAGAATTGATAGAAGAGCATTAAAAATAATAATAGGCATCCTATACATTACACGGCTGGAGCGGTATATTGTAATATTAAAATACTTAAAGGGTTGTCCCGCACTTAGGAATATTCCTTAGATTTAGTTATCTATCTATGTATCTATATTTATTTATTATATTAATTCTGTGGAGACTATCTGTTGACTGTATCTTACATCCATCTTATATATACGGTTCTTCGAGGCCGCTAGAGACACAATCATGGTTGTAATACAGCCTATTTCTCTTTTCTTATGGGTAGTTGGTCTATTAGCCAGTATCAGCTCTGCTGCGCCGTCGACTGGTACTTGAGGAAGCCATTTTTAACATATCAGAACCCCTATTATCCAGCAGGTCTCTTAAGAAGCGAGAAGTATTCTTCCGCTGCGGTAATCCTCAATTCTCAGGACTACTCGCCCAGGCAATCCAAGATGCCAGCGCCATTGTGAGAGTTGCCATATTCCTGGCCATGTGCTACCAGTGTCTATCTTCTTACTACTAACTCGTAGGGCAGATGTCCAACATGGTTGCCCATCTTGAGTTGGCAATCAGTCTACAATATATGACGAGAACGGCTCAGGGGAGCTAAAGGCTAACAAGTCGACCCTTGCACAGCGCACTTTTGACGAACATAATGCATTCGCATCCTACCGCATGTTTATTACACGCCACTACTGGGGCCTGGCGATTCGCGAAACAAGGACGGATTCAACAAGCTCAAGGGAACGAGAGACTTGGCAAGGACGGTGCAGTCTCAGTTCGAAGCCTACATTGCAGGTCGGTCCATACCTTGGCTTCGGGGCGGATTTCCCTATATAAATATTTACTGCGATGACGCTGAAGTTGTCTCGCTGAGAAACAACGATGGTTTGACTTATAAAGAGCAGTGTGAGCCTCCCAGTATACTCCTAGTATCCAATCCTAGCAGCTAATATGTCGGTCAGATCCCAATCGTGCAAACCGTAAGGACTATCCATACCAGAGTGAGGTGGAAACTTTCGATATTTAACCTTGCTAATTATGTTATAAATATACAGCCTCTCGGGCTGGCGACGGGTCATTGGTTTACTGGATCTCCCAAAGGGAAAGCGCACAGTCGGACGAGCGAGTCTGGGTCCCCGTCCGGAGTGTTTGCGCACTCAATGACGAGCCTAATCAGATACGCTTCGGGCTTGTGCCTCCAGACCCACACGTCAAAGCACATACGTCCAAGGCGACCTTTAACAGGCTTGACGAAATCATGGACTTCTGTCCAGTATTCTTTGATAGGTGGATTACGAATGACACCCGCCGCACACAGAGCGGTCTGCATTACCGAAATCTGCATGTTAGCATCGGCTCAAGCCCGACTAACGACCAGAAAAGGGCTGCTAAAAGATTAGTAACTGAGGCTGACTTCACCGGCCCCGAGCCCCGGGCTACTAAATGGCTATCTGACTTCTTGGTATTAACCTTGATCCACGAGTCAACGCATGCCATAGCGTTCGTTGGTGAGGGCAATGCACTAAGTAAGTTTTTTCCTTTCTCTATTCCTTCTCCGTCTTGACTGCTCCAGGAATGGATCTCACAACCTCCACGCAATATATATCTAATATAATACCAGTCGATTTGAGTTGCAAAGATGAGGCAGGAAACGTGATAGCTCTTTCGACTTTCCCTCCTTGTATGGCGCAAATCGCCAAGGGAACAAACGGGTTCGATGCAGCAGGGAACCGGCAGGGGGGGCACAAGGACGCAGAAGCGTTTGCGATGTACGCCATGGGTAAGTTCTTCCCAATTTACTAGAAAACGCGCTCGTTTTATATGGCTGACATTGTCCACCTAGCCACATGGGTTAACGCTGTGTCTTGGTTCAAGGGATATATGCCAAAGGATAGGGAGACTTATAAGGGATAATTCTTATTTGATAGCCGGCCCTACATAACGTCCGGTCCTGGAGGTGATAGGCGGAGGGGCCGGTTAGGTAGAGTGAGTGTATGTCTACAGTATAACTCTTAGATCTTTACCCCTCCTGGTAGCAGTAGCTTTTTCAAACATAATTAAAACTAAGTGCAAACTTGAAATCTATAAACAAATGCAACAAAAAGTAGCGGAGATGAACATACCAAGGAATCTTTACAGAACCAAAGTTAGTTTCATTTAGTTAAATACATACTACCTAAACCCTGAGTATACCAGTTATTAATTTGGTTCCCTCGTTGTCCCATGTCTCACCGTGTTTCCAGGAAAGCCAAAATTCCTAGAGATCCTCATAATCCTCCTCTAATGGTAACAGCATTGGCTCCAAATATTCGTCATCATAGTTATAGAAAGTATGTAGCTCCGAAGAAGGACTAAGTAATTGCGTATCACTGTCTTTAAGTGTAGCCTCGCTTCGTGGCCAACTGTTGTAACTAAAACTGATCCCGGCGGCCGCGAATATCGCGCTCATGGTATACTTATTATCTGGTCTCTGTTCCGCATCGCATCTAACCTGCTTCAGGCTGGGGAATTTACCCTGTGATACAGAGTCCACAAGGCTGAGCAGGCCCTTTACCAAGCGTGGAAGGGCATGGCTGATAGGGCCAGCAAGATGTAGTGATATAATGCTGGGGGGAAGAAGCTGGACCAGGAGCTGGGAATCTGCGGGCGAATCTGCCAAGGGGCGCCTGTATAACTCGCTTGGATTAAAAAACAAGTGTTCCAGTGCAGTGAAGCCTTGAAAGCTAAAGGTGTTTCTACCGTCAGTCCTAGTGGACAAATCCCGCAGTCGAAGGTCGAGGTGCAGCGATTTAAGGGTTGCGCAGTGGCGGCTAAGATATTTCACAGCATTAAATGGCTGGAAGTGATCACTGCCATCAAGCATAGGGCAACGATATATGTTTTGCATAGGATGACCAGTAGCCTCGTACACAAAGGTGCGTAGACTGTTACAAGAAGAAAGAAGGCCTTCAAGATCCTGCTCACTAAGTCTGCTGTAAGTGATACGAAGGGTCTTAAGATTTGGCAGGAAAGGAAATAAATCCCGGCGCCTAATACCACCACACATGTGGAGATTAAGCGTCTCCAGGCATGTAGACAGTTTAAAAATGGTAAGCGCACGCATGTCCAGTCTAAGTAGGTGATAGCATGACTGCCTTGATGAGGCATGCAGAGAAATATCAATGGTTTTAAAAGGCAGGCGCGAAATACCAGCTGCATATAAATCTGACAAGGAAACACTGTCAATCGGAAATGTGCGGACTTGAAGGCTACAGTGTTCTAGGTTAGGCAACGCAGCAAGTAACATGGTAACCAGATCGCCGCTTGGTTTAATTCTCAGTGCATGCGCAGCATTCCTAAGCGTGGCTTGAGCCTCCTTATTGTCGATAAATTCCAGCAAGTATGGGTGGATATAAATCCTCTTTACAAGTGCAGCCAGGTCTTGTCGCTGTGTCACCACCCGCATAAAAGACGTAAGTCGGCCATTCCATACATAGATCATAGAAAGCCACGAGTCACCGTATCCAAGGACAAACTCATGGTACAAAATGGCCTGAGCAATGCCGCAAAAGCGCCTGGAGACTAAGCATAGTGAGAATAGCGTATGCCGCTCCAGGGAGTACCAAGATGGCTTGTCACGCTGCTGAGTGCCATACAGGTTTGTATATGGAGGAATTAACTGATCCTTTCCACGACAGTGCAAGCAAAACCAGCCAAAAATCAGTTGCAGAGTCTCTGTTGGGAGGTTTGCAAATTTAAGTGAATTTTTGGCCTCCGACCGAGTAACAGGGGTCATCCTGACTGAATTTGTGGCCTGCGACCGAATAACCTGCTGTAGGGGGTGTGAATTGTATGAACTATGTCAAGGGCTGAACCTATAGAACGTATAAGATAGGCTATGTATAAAAAGGAATCGTTGAACAAGGAAAGAAGGAAGGAAAGGTCAGGTAAACAAATAGGATGTTCACGAGGCACGATTCTCTTCAATTCAGGGGGTTCGCCTGCGCAGGTTACCTTCGCTGCGTTCGTAGCCTCCGGGTTGCTCCTGGATAGGCTCCATGAGAACTCAGGGCGCTCAGCACACGCACTTACGTACTCACCCCACGCTCCGGGATTGATCCCGGAGCAAAAAGCGGCGCTACGTCGGGCTGAAAACAGAAAGAGTAAGAGCCCAAGTTTCCGCAGAAAAACAGTTCGATAGTGTTCGCTTTATTGCTAGTCTAGCTGACGTGGCCTGTTGCGCCGCATGTATGTACTATAAGAGGATGATTACGATTACATCCGTCCGCCCTGGGGCCATATCTTTAGAATAGGTAGCTACATAATTACTACTACTACTACTACTACTACTACTACTACTAAGCTACTGGTAAATGGCTCGTGCTCGTGGCAAAAGGAGTATGAGACTGCTGTCGCCATGGGGAGGGATTACGTTGCCAATATCGTTGAAGTCTCATGGAGGAACATAATATTTCCGAGGAGGCCAAAGAACTTTGCGGGGAGAATATTAAAGTGACAATCATTGACTTTCGGAAGGCTGTGGAGGATACCAAAGCCAGAGATGATGTATCTCTGGGCACGAAGTGGTATCTTCAGCTTAAGTGTAAACCTTGTTTGGAGTATTGAATGCCCGAGATTTCATCGCTGGCCCTCTTACAACGACAGGCAGCTGGACGGTATAAAGAAAGAACTGGATTCCACAAGAGCCCTTTCAAAGCAAATGCCTGGGCGGCCGAGGTGGATAGTGTGCACCATCCTCCGAGAAGGCTGTGGCAAATGGCAATGGAGCCGTTCATGCCGTAGCCTCCAAGGGTGAAAGTGAGCTGAAGAATAAAAATGACATGGACCATAATATAGACCTTGTGAATATTTGTGCACGAAGGAATTCAAGGGTATCAGTGGGCTCGTGCCGCATGAGAGAGACACCACTACACGTATGCCATCTTCAAAGCTGAATGGAGATGCTCGAAAGGATCTGGAGAACATTGGTGTAACAGTTAGTTTCAATATACATATGCGAAGAACACCGCTAAATATCAATAGTCCATCCAAGCACCAGGCGGCTCTATCAGCAGTAGGCGGCAATAAGTATCTTGTGTTTCGAGGGGCCCTTATATGTGTTTGTGTGCTTTTCTAGGAATTTTCGCCCAATACTTAGGCATTGTTGATCATAGTCAGATCATCAGTTAGTCTGATCCAAATCATTGAACCTTACAGATGAAAGGCAACCTGATATTAGGAGATTTGTCCGGGTTGGTGGGGTATATTGTCCAATTCGTCCAGTTCACTTCCGATCTGATTTCCAAAGGCTCTGAATTGTACAGTTCAGCCAGCGGTACCGCTGAGACAACGATAGAGCTGGAGAAGGTTAATGAGCGGCTTTGGACGTTCAGCTCAAACCTGCAGAACCCGGAAACAACAGACGTGAGCTTCTTTTGAGCTCAAGTGGGTTGCCCAGTAGACAGTCACCACATATATAACTTTGACAGACCTGGCAGGGGGCTGCAAAGCACTATGAGACCAGCTCCTGGAGACGACGCGGAACCTCCGTGTGAAGGATGGCCAATGGCGGCGATTCAGAGGCTTCGTATCCGCTTTGAGGACCGTCTGGGAAGCGGTAAGATTGCTGATCTGGAAAAGCCACTGGGCCTATACCAGAGCCTCCGTTTGCAGCATTTTTTCCAGGTACAGAGGTATTCCACAAGCGTGTTCTGTTAATGTATCGACTTTGACAAGATTCACTCTAGCGATCAACAGTCATACCTGATGAAAGTCACTACGATCTTAAGGCAGGATAGTAATAATCTCAGGCTTGATCAGAACTCTAAGTTCGATAAATTTCATGGGGGAGAAACTGTAACATTTCCGCGAACCTGTCAATCTTTGTAGAGCCATCAAGGGAAGAAAGGTCTTCAGAAGCATTCGTGATGTTTTCAACAACAGTCAATCTCCATTATTGAGCGTACATCAAGCTGATGTCCTCTACAATGGAATGGCAGATCTCGTTTTTGCAGAACAAGAACTGGAAGATGTTGCCAGGGCACATGCTGCATTGAAAAGTCGAACTTCCTTCACGTCCAGTGCGCTATGAAAATATTCCACTTGCCCATAAGAGAACATTCAAGTGGACTATTACTCCACCTGATGAGCTGGAAGAAGAAACCGACGACCAATTTCAACCTGGGTGAGAAGCGGCGACGGAATCTTTTAGGCATCTAGAAAAGCAGGTTCTGGGAAGTCAAATCTCATAAAGTTCCTCGCTGATCACGATCTGACTAGGTCATTGTTTGGGGAAGGGGGTAAGCCCGGGGAATTGGTAATCGCAGCGCATTATTTCTGGAACCCATGTACATAAATGCAAATGCCTCATGAAGGACTCTACACAACTATACGAAATATTTCGCAAATGCCCCGGATTGATCCCGCATGCGTATCTCAACGTTGGAGACAAAAGGAGTTTCAGAAGAGAGTTTTGACAGGTCGATCTCCGAATTGCATGGCACGCTGAAAGCTTTCTCGGTGCGTATAGATCTGCCGACAACGTACTGTTTCTTCATAGACGGCATCGATGAGTTCGGCGGAGAACATCCCGAGCTCTGTAGAATCCTCAGCGACTTATCTCAGTTCGCGAATATCAAGCTGTGCCTTGCCAGTTGACCATGGAATATCTTTGTTGCCTTGGTAACAATCCCATACGAAAGCTCTGCGTAGAAAGATCTGACACGGATCGATATCCTACAGTTCACGGGAGCCTAATGAGTCATCGCCGACGGACCATTCGCCAGTTTATGTGGAAGGATAAGCAGTCCATCATCGAGAACATAACTGCCAAAGCACAGAGTATGTTTCTATGTGTTTTTTTCGTGATGAAATCCTCTGAGATGGCCTAGCCAATAGAGACACAATGCGGGAAAACTGTACAATAGACTGGAGTCTGCTTGTCGACCTCGAGCGGTTCTTCAAGCATATGTTGGAGGGGGTGAATCCGATTTATCATGAGAAAATGGCAGCTTTTCTAATCATAGAATGTAATGCGAAACAGCCATTTCATTTCCTCGTCTACAGCATGCATGAACAGGAGTACGTGGATAAGAATTATGCGCTTAACACGGTGTCCAATCCCATATCTGATCATGGAATGAGTCAGTTATAGGATCAACATCGACGACCTATCAATGCGAGATGTGGAGGTTGGATGTGAAAGTGACCTCAGTCCAGTATATCCATCGCACAGTGCGAGACCTTCTACTCACCGGCGAGATGAGTACCTTAGTGTGAAAGTGAAGCCTGTGTTCTTGGTCAATCTCTTTACATCGAGGGTGTTTGTAGCAACACAAAAAGGTATTCCTCAATATGCGAGCGATGCACTTGAAGACTCGCCAATCCCGGCAACGGATTTACTCAACGATCTAGAGAGTCAGCTTCAGCTTCCTCTAGAAGGGGGTGAAATTCTACCCGAGCTCAAACTCATCAGCGTATCGGATTCGGGCTATATTAACAGCATAGCAAACTTCTGTAGCAAGTCTCCAGACTTCCCCTTCCAAAAATAACTGCTACAGGCTGAAGTCCGCCAACACCTCTCTAAAACGCTTAAAAAAAGCCTGCACTACTTCGATGACTTGAATGAACCACCTCTCAGTGTAGCCTTTGGATTACCCAAATTGACACCAGGACATGTGCAGATTGTCAGCGATCTTTTGGAATCCGGTCATGATCCTGAGACTGGACAAATAGCGAAGTCATCATCCCTATGGGAGACTTTATTCGGCGAATGTGCCTCAGAGAAGAAGCCGCTAAGTGATTCCACAATGCGGTCGAAAGTGGACTATTTCCCTGTTTCTTCGCTACAGTGGACGCACAAACACTGAAGGTGATGACGATACTGTGCAAACAGATACTTCGAATAGCGGTAAAACTGACGAGTGGTACATGACCCGCAATCGATATGTAGCTAGTTTCTCGTCTACTTTAATTCTCCTTTTTTCTATACTTCGTATTCTAGTGGAAAGGCACCAAGTTTAGTCAATTTCTATCATTTTCTTATCTAATATTATAGATATACATATACTTATATGTCTATGTGTCAACCACGGCCCGAAACCGTTGTAATAGGACCACGGTTAGAATTACTAGGACCAGGCTGATCTTCTACAACAGAGACGCTCGTCTGGTGCCAGATTTCGAGTGCAATTTCCTGGTTAGCCCCGGCGCTGTCATCTTTTATGATTTCCTGTACACTCTCCGTCCTCCGTAATGCAGACATTGTGAGTGAACCCCAGAGATTCTCTTTCTGTGTGCCCGTCTGTTTTCTTGTCCTACTATGTGTTCTAGTGCCGTATCCGTAGCGAGTGTGGTAGTAGGTTCGCCCTTTCCTGTGCGAGCTGCCAGTCCAGGAGCTCAGGCTGAAGATCCGACGGACGAGACTCCAACAATTGGGGATGTTAGCAACGATAACAGCGGTGCTGGCCTCTCGAATATACCAGAACATCCATTGTGGGCTGAAGGGGTCTTTGAAGCTTGATACTTTGCTAAGAGTGGCGCACAGGATCTATTGGCCATTAGCCGTGATATGGGGTTTAAACAAGAATACTAGCCTTACAATAAAAGTGCCCATGCTGAATATTCCAACTAGAATGAGTTTACTACAAGCTTACCGTTAAAAATAGTTGTCTATGATTTATGTCGGTTGGAACGTACCTGCGTAGGGGTAAACTGGCAGATATAAGCAAAGGTAGTGGGATGCCCATCATAAGGATATCAGAAGAAATATTGAATACCATAGTCATGATGAGATGGTGAGTCGCAGTTGAACATTGCTCTGGTAATTTTATGTCAGGGAGACAGTTTCGTTTCCAAGTGAAGGCGAGGCCATACCATTAGGAGTTGGCACAGCCCAGTAATTGGAGAATGGTCGACACCAAACTGCGAAGTAGAAGATTTCCAAGAGAACATATGAACCGACCACATAGCCGGCCAGAATTTTAACGGCCAGTTGTTGCCTTATACCTTCACTATCTCCTGCTTAGCACAGAATGGTTTAAAATGCAGTTTTTTTTTTTTTTTTTTTTTCCTCACGTCAACCTGGCGTAGAGGAGAAGAAGACAGCCCTTGCATCCCCATATAGTCGCTAGCATGCATTGCTCTGTTGCAAGTACCAGCTTACTTCCATACACGCGGTTCTTGATCGATTGCGCGGTTAAACGCCCAATATCTCCAGGCCGTATCAAATTTGTCTGTGCATGCTCGATCCGATTCAGGGTAATCACGAGTCCTGTGTAAAAGCACTATTGAAGTACTTGTCAGCTACTTGCGACTATCATCTGTCCTATTTTCACCTAAACGTACCAAGACAAGTAGCATCATACAGTCCTCCGCCTGCAAGTGTCTGAACCTTTCCACCAGCTGCAGTCGGGATATGCTGGATAGTGCACTGTTAGTCTCATTCGATGTAGTTATTAGGCTCCGATATATATACCCACAATCGCAGAATGATTACTACCACCGAGAACCCATACCAAATCCACGATTCAACTTGGAACCAGGACATGGTTTTTCCACATTGCTAATCAAGATACAGAAATGAGCAGCTACCCTAGAGGTTATTTCCATATATATTACTTCTGGATAAGGAGATTAGGGGAAGTGTGTCTGTGGAGTTGTCGTGTGCAACACGGAATGGCCATTCAACGCTCCACCACTTCCAGTGGACCCTATAATGCTAACTTTATTGTTCTAAATGGTAGCCATTGGCTTGCTGCAAGGTGTAGCTACGTATTCCGCACCTCACGATTGAGCTAGAGTCTATTTGAAACTACAACGAAGCATCATTCCGCACCACCGGTGAAGTGGTGCTTCAAGCCCCATATTCTGCGCCTTGCCATGTTCAGAAAATGCCCCCCAACGACTGATTTGATTTGATTACCCAAAACTATATGGTTTGCCAAGATTTGCCTCTGTGCCGTGCCTCAGGTCGCTAGCCAATGATGAGGCAAAATTCTGCTGGAAGCCCCTCAACACATACTATGTACTCGTGTTCGTAACTTCAGACACGAACTACTGCACCTAACATATTCCGAACTTTAGGTTAGCCAGTGGCATTGAAGCTATCATATTCTAATCTCCACTTTTTTATTATTATTTTTTTTTTTTTTTGCGAGTTTTTAATCGCCTGTACATTTCAATTTTTCCCCCCCCCCCCTTTTTTTTTTTTTTTGAGCATGATGTTGTGCATGAACGCAACAGCTAAGGAACCCATCAATTTAAGTATATAGCTAATCCAACTCTCCCAGCACTGATTTTGCATAGAAATTGCGAACCTCGATTTATTTGATTTGTCTGAAGCGAGAAGAGTGTACGGACTGCCATTCGACCATGCGACCGTCTTCAAACACAGTGACCCTGTTATGGTCGAGAATGGTATTGAGCTTGTGGGCGACTGTGGCAAGCTAGCCGTCTGAAAAGGTTAATTTCACACTTGGCGCCAGTTATAACTTCATACATCACGGCCCCAAGCTGTCCAATATCTGTTTGTATTGTGAACCCATCATAGCTGTCCCCATCTCTGGGTTTAACGGTAGAATGGATGCCTCACTGAAATCGCAGAGTTTGATGGAAAAATCTGAATCAAGGAGAAAGTTACGAGTACCGATAACTGCAACAAGGATACGCTTGTCACGGATTATTTCTTGTCCTCTGGCCACCTGACGGAACCATAAAGTTGGCGGGTACGTGGTGTTTTGCTGTGTTTTCCCAAGTAAGCCCGTAGGCCACTATTCTCCATATAAGCAATCTGAATGGCACCGCTGGAGGGATCGTGTTCATTGTGTGACTTTGCTGATGGTAAACTTCTGGTTAATGCTTGATAGCCCCCATATTTATTTTCGCATCCTCCTTATGATTCCAGGGGTGTATTGCTGGCTTCTTTAAAGCCATCACAGCATGATAAATCACTTCCCCCAACCTGCCATATCCCAGGACTTCGTTGTCAGGTTGGACTAGCCATCAACATAAACATACTAAAGAGACGATGCCATCACAACATCAACGTATCAAGAAATAAGAGCCTATGGATAAATTACGATTGAAAGAGAATATCTATTAAGATAACTACTCCGTCTCAGCACTGATGGGAGATACATCCATCGCAAGAGTCCCACACGACATACGCTAGTACTTGACGTTTACACTCTATCTTATCTTATCGCCGATAAGATACCTACCAAGGATAGGGTCATGTGCTCCTTACATAATCCCCTGGACGCCAATCTTTTTTGTCCGCAAACGGAGAATTACTTGAAGTCCGAATCCTCACAGTTAGACTAGATCCAGAACTACGCGGTAGAATCGATCATCACCGGCTCACAACCCCTCGCCATGGTGTGAGGTTTTCCCCGTATTCGAGAAGGGTTTCTTGTCTCCCTTCTCCTTCCTGCCTCTCGTCTTCCAGCTGCAATCCAACATGTGGACTCCCCGCAGTCTCGAATCCCAGCTGCTTCTCAAAATCGACTTCTTCATTCTCTCCTTCTGCTGTCTGACATATTTCTTCAACTATCTCGACCGCTCCAACCTATCCAATGCCTATGTGTCCGGTATGAAAGAAGAGCTCGCCTTCCACGGCAACCAGCTCAATGTCATCAACACCATCTTCACTATCGGCTACATCCTAGGGCAGGTGCCTTCCAACCTGGCCCTGACTTACTTCCGGCCTCGCATCTTTTTCCCAGCCATGATTCTCCTCTGGGGCGGCCTCACCATGATCACCGCCGCGGTGCAAAACCCCCAAAGCATCATGGCCATCCGCTTCTTCCTCGGCCTCGCCGAGGCCAGCACCTTCTCTGGAACCCACTACATCCTGGGCTCGTGGTACTCCGAGCGCGAACTAGGTAAACGAAGCGGTATCTTCACGGCCTCAGGACTAGCCGGTACCATGTTCGGTGGATTTATCCAAACAGGCATCCACTCCTCTCTCAACGGCGCGCGGGGTTTATCCGGATGGCGCTGGCTCTTCATCGTGAGTGGACAATCTCCCCTTCCCCTGTCGCCCAGATGTCATTCTTGACCACCACCTACTCCAATTCATATAACCCCTGTCCTGTTTATTCAATTGGCTAATCTATCCCCAGATCGATGGACTAATCACCCTTCCCATTGCTATCTACGGGCTCTTTCTCTTCCCCGACACGCCCACCACCACTAGAGCCCCATATCTCACCCCGTCAGAACGTGCCTTTGCAGTCTCTCGTCTAACAAACACCAACGCCCACCGCGCCTCACTCAATCGCGCATTTCTCAAACGTCTCTTCACCACTTGGTACTGGTGGGCCTTTGTCATCTTATGGGTCATAGCCGGGGAGACCGAATCCTTTTCATCTAACTCTCTCCTAGCTCTGTATATGAAAGCGCACCCGACAATCTCGTACACCGTTGCCCAATTGAACAATTACCCCACAGGCGTCCCCGCCGTCGGTATCATATCCACCCTGTTCTGGGCAACGTTGACAGATTTCCTGCGCGGGAAACGCTACCTCGTTGGTTACTTTATCGGGGTGACAGGTATTGCCACCGCGGTTTTGATTCTAACCCGCTTCGACTCCACCCCGACGGTCTTTGCGGCTTATTATTGGGCTGGCGCTGTGTATGCCTGTCAGGCGACGTTCTTCGCCTGGTGTAATGATGCAATGCGATCACAGGATGCGAGACAACGTTCTGTCGTTATTGCTAGTATGAATATGGGGAATAATGCCGTTAATGCCTGGTGGAGTATCTTGTTTTATTCCGCAGATTTGGCGCCCCGGTTTAACCGTGGCATGTGGGCGATGATCGGGTGTTCGGTTGCCTTGGTGGTTTGGACGACTGCCATTGTGTGGAAGACGGTAAAGGAGGAGAGGCGTGCAGAAATCCCGTCAAAGCCGGAGACTGCGGAAGCGGCGAAACAGGGATAGAGTGTGTATCTTTATCCATTACGTATGGGTGGGTACATATATAGATCATGTGGGTGTCTTGATTGGGTACTTCTACTGCTTCTTAGACATGGTGTATAGACTATACAGTGTATATGAACCCAATCTACTCCTCATCGCTCTCGCTGGTTTCGTCCAAGTCTTTGGCCCGCTGGATAACATCCTCCCAGATTGGCGGCTGCTCCCGGAGTTCGGAAGAGAGTTCCTCCACCTTCAATCCCCATTGCAACAGTCCCTCCTCACTGCCCCATTCGCCGTTACCCATCAATCCCACCGGCACTTGACCCTCGCCATGGGCTCCTTCCTCCGGCTCGGCAAAGCCTGCGGGCACACTTATTGCCGGGATGCCTGTGAAATTAGCCAGCCAGACATACTCCATCGCGCGCAGAGTTTGGTCGCCATCACTCAAACTCCAGGTCAACTCGGAAGCGGACTTGATGCGCCATCCAGCGCAGGCCGTCGTGGGCGTCACGATAATCATGCCGGGGAATTCCTTCCAGAGGGCTGCCAAATGTCGCATCAACACCTGGCGCAACTTCTGCGCTACAAGGTAGTCCGTCGCGGGGGTGGAGCGTCCAAGAGCAAGAAGAATGCGGTTGCCGGCAGAGAAATTGCTGGTTTCTACAAGAACCGCGGCCGCGTCGTTCAAGATCGTCAAGGCATGGGCGGCTTGGCCTTCCACTAAAAATGGGATCTCGATTGGAACAATGGAATAGTCATGCACAGAGACGAGTTTGTCAAGGAGCGGGCGACACAGACGCTGCACGTCCGGAGCAGCTCGCGAGAACCAGGTTTCCGATACACCCAGGTATCTCTTCCCGCGAGAAGATGGATTCAACACAATGGGTCCAGGGGCAGGGAAGGCAGAGTCAGGACCAGGTGCAGCCACAATGCGGTACGTTTCAGCCAGCGTGCGAATATCAGCTGCAAGTGGACCGATCACGCCAACAGTACTCGCGTAGTTGACGCCCGGATAGTGCGAAAGACGGTTATGTGTGGGTTTCAGGCCGACGACCGAACAGAATGCCGACGGGATCCGAACACTGCCGCCTCCATCGCTCCCTAATGCGAACGGAATAAGACCGGCGCTGACGGCATAAGCACAGCCCGAAGAGCTCCCGCCAGTGTAATACTGTGGATGGTGTGGGTTGAGAGGGGTACCATAGTGGATGTTGTTTCCGGTGGTATCTGCTGCGATATGAGCCAAAGCTACTCTATGGTCGTCAAAGCTGCCACATACCCAGTCCGAACTCATGCATAGCGAGCTTGCCCACAATTATTGCTCCAGCATTTTGCAGTTGCCTCACACACCAATTTGTGGTGGACCCGTCCGCCCTGCCGTCGAGAGTATAGTCATTCAACGAGCCAAGGTAGGTACGATATCCGTCGATATCAACTTCGTCCTTCACTGCAGTTGGGACCCCGTCAAATATTCCCAGCGGACGGTTCTCCTTGTAGCGACGGGTCGACGCCTGAGCAGCAGCGAGGATATCATCGACACGACTGTCAGCAAATGCAGTTGAGTGTTTACCGGGAGAAGAAAGGTCGCGGCGGATCAACGGCAACAGAGCTTTGACAACGGCGATTGGGGTGAGTTCGCCTGACTTGTATACGGCATGGTAGTCGGCGACCGAGTAGTATTTGGCCGGGGTTACGGCAGAGGAAGAAGAAGGGGAGTCAATTGGCGTCTCGTCCACTGGCGACGCGGACCGTAAAGGGATCACCGTCGGGTCAAATCGCGGCTCGATATGATCCAGATGGGGTCTAATGGCTCGCAGCGACCCAAACGCATTCACCCAGATAAGCCCCGGGAGAAACCACAGCCGTTCTATGCTAGTAACAATAATATGTTAGCGTATCCGTTGCATTGGGCTTGTATCAGGGGGACTCACAGCCAAGCAGCCACGCTAACTATGAAGCCTCGCAGAGGTGGATTTGCTTTCCGATTGTAGGTGGCAGGAACATCAGGTCTACAAACGTTGTCTCGGGTCAGCTGGAGGGGAATAGTATTTTCAGAGATATTCACGCTGCTTACCCCTTCTCCGGATAAGGGTAACCCCTGAACTGGTCCTGTTTATACAGCATGACGAGTGAGCGTCTCTTGTTGAGCTAACGCGGAAGTCAACGGAGAAGGCGGAAGGCGGTGAACGACAGGTCGCCAGGTACGCTATTTATACCTGAATATCCAGGCTTAAAATGTCATGTGAGGTGGTACTCTGTAGATGCAACCTGTACTCTGTAGGAAAAGTATATGCAGGTCCGAGCTGTATATTAAATCTATTACTGGATCGGTATGGTTTTGTAGTCTCCAGGATAATGACCCACTACTGCGGAGTATGCATATATTGCGCCGGAATATTCACATGTCAACCTTTCCAAAACACTCTTCCCTCCATCAAGCGTCGTGCCGTTCGAAAGACGGTGGCATGGCTCAGGCTACCATCATCCTTGAACTCCGCTCTCACTATCAAGCTCCCACTGGCATGGCCCAAAGTAATCCCTGCTGGATGCATTGGCTGGGGACTGGTAACCTCGGCTACTACACTAGTGGGCAGTTTGGCGGCCGCGGCCAAAGCAAGAGCCACTGTGATAGGTACTGCTCTATGTGGCTGGCCCACCGAGAGGGCACGCACCACGACATCCACCACAACCGTGCTATCTGGGGCGGACACCATGCCTATCTTGGGGACACTGCCAGGAACAAGCTCTGGTTTCTCTGCGAGCCCCATTACCACGCCTGCCTGTCGGCGGATGTAGTCCAAGCGGCCCAGAAGGGCGGGATGAGCCTCGATCTCGTCCGGAGTAATAGTTCCCGGGAATCCTAGTTCGGATGCTAAAACAAAGCAGCATGGGTTGCCCACATCGATGCAGGTGGTACGGATACCATCGAAAGTATTAACCACCTCGCCTGTTGGGAGCATCTGGCCTGTCCGGGATCCCGCTGGGTCTAAAAAGTCGAGTTGGATCTTCGCTCCGGTGCCAGCCACCCCGTCAATGGCGAAAGATCCTGAGGAATCTGCCTCGCCGTCTACCACGGGGAAGCGTGACCGGATGATTTTACCGGTATTGGTGTTAAGGATGCGTAGTTCGGCGTCACTGCGACCTTCAGAATTCACAGTGACCAACTGTGAATCCACAGCAAAGGGACCTACCGCACTTATCATGTTGCCACAATTGCTGGAATAGTCGACTTGGCTGGTTTTAACACCCAGCGAGACAAAGGTGTAGTCAACGTCTGCATCTAGCCGATCGGACTTATCCACCACGCACACTTTGGACAGACTCGAGATGCCACCCCCGAGACCGTCGAGCTGGCGCCCATTCGGGTCGGGGCTGCCAAGAACGCGTCGAAAGATCTCATCCCAGTCGGAGCGGTGGGGAGGAAGATCATTCTTCTTGAAAAAGACGGCGCGCGATGTCCCTCCACGGTAGTAGGCGGCCGGGAGACTGCGTTGCAGGCCGTGGCGAACAGAAGCTGTGGAGAAGGCTTGGGACGGTCGGTGACTCCAGGAAAGGTGTCGAGCGATGCAAAGATCGCGTCGGAGGAGTTTTGGGATCATAGGCCTCGCAGACTGTCTACACGGACCATTATAAACAAGGACGTCAAATGAGCGAAGCCGTTTTAACCAGTCAATACAGATAAGCTGCCAGAATCGGGGTTAAAGGTGGGCGAGAATCCGGGAGGTTCCATGTGTTCGCGAGGCACAATTCTCTGAATTCAAGGGGCTCAGGCGAGCTGACTATCTAGATGGGTGACTAAGTGAGGCCACGTGACCATACCGAATATGGTAGGTCCCTAACACCCCCCTTGGCCGAAGCGTGCTCACCCAGCACCATTACATACAGAATCGCGTGTAAAGCAAAAAGCCAAAAAAAAAATAAGCCAAAAACTAAGCTAAGCCTATATTATCGAGAAAAGCCGTGAATCCTTCAGATCAAAGCAGTTTAGTGAGACCGTCCGCAGCGTTTTCCTTACTAGGGCATAGCCGAATGTCAATAATGCGGTCCGCCGCGAGCTCGCGTGTATAATGATACCGAATATCAATATGCTTAGAGCGCTTGGTGGTAACCGTTGAACTAATAAGATCCTTGCAGCCTTTATTATCAACGTGGAATGCAATGGGGTCCAAAGGCGCAGAGTAGATCTCCATTTTGTTAAGTAGGCGACGAAGCCATTGGGTTTCCCGAGCTGCGTCCGACGCCGCCATATATTCTGCCTCATTGGATGATAAGGCAATGGATGTCTGTTTGGCAGATCGCTATAATATCGGGGCACCGGCTAAAAGTATGATATAGCCTGATACTGACCGACGATTATGATGAGGACCTCCCCAGTCTGAATTGGTATAAATCAGTGGTTGCGGTAGGGGTCTATTTAACATGCGAAAGGTGATACCCCGTGTACAAGATCCTTTCAAATATTGAATTAAGTATTTGGCCGCTCCGAATGCCTTTCTGGTAGGGGCCTTGTTAAATTGCGCTAGCAAGCTCGCGATACGCGCAATATCTGGACGGGTTCTTAAGGCAAGCCATTAAAAACTACCCGTAAGTCGATTATATTCTTTATTAAGGGTGGGATCGGGGTCGTCATCGATAACTAAACCCAGATCTGCAGGTAAAAAGAGACTGGATGGGCATCTGCGAGCCCTGCCGAAGTAACAAGATTATCAATATAAGAGGTCTGCATAAGCTTAATCTAACCATCAGATTGAGTAATCTCCATGCCGAGGAAATACTTAAGGTAAGCTGTCTTTTTAATCGCGAATTTTCGTTGCATTGCGCTTAGAAGCCATTCTGCGTCTGTTTTAAGCGCGGCAATAATAGTAAAATCATCTACATAAGCAGTCACATAGAGATTCTTGCGAGATTAATGAATCTATAGGCCTGGGTCGTAGTCGCTTGTTTTAAAGTCCAAAGCTTTAAGATCACTGCGGAGACGGTCGTACTATATACGTGCGGAAGGCGCGAGACTGTACAGGGTGTTATTTAGCTTGCAAACTATAGTGTTAGGATCACCCTTTTAAAAGCCGGTTGGTTGGCGCATATATATTGGCATATTAACTTTACTATTAAAAACGCCTGCACCGCGTCCGCCTGAGCGATATACCATTGGTGATAAGCTGCAACCGCAAATGGGATATTAATTGTTTGGGGATATACCACTGGCGAATATGTCTCCCCAAAATAAGGATCTTGTTTAACCAAGTTACCACGTATAACCCAACGTGCCTTGTATTTGAAGGTGCCGTTATTAAGGTCCTTAACACTAAAACCCAACGGCCAGGGATAGGCTTCAAGCCTTTAGGCATAGATTGCTTATTAATCAAGTCCCATGCCTTAATTTTATCGAGACAGGAAGCTTCAAGCTCGCAAGCTGCTAACCATCTATTTTTATCAGGTGATTTTATTGCTTCCTGCCAAGTATTTGGAATCGGGGGCCGATTTGCCTCAGCAGTGGAAGTAGGCGAAATAGGGGTAAATCCTGTAAATGGAGCAAAGCCTTTAGCAGGTTAAACCCAGTCAGATTGTCCGTTATCCTCCGCGGGAGAATCCCCATAAGATGCAGCGCTTCCTGCGCGAGATGTTCAGGGTCCGGAGGTACAGTAGAATTAATCAGTTTTTCCGTAGGCTGTTCCCTCTGAGCCTGTTCGTTGAATAAAACATGGCCAGTCCGAATAACCTTGTTTGTCTCTTTAACGTAGACCTTATAATTGGTTAAAGAATCGCTGCCGATGTAGACACCTAGAGCGCCGCAGCCAACAATCTTGTTAAAATCTTGATGTCCTGGGTCGTTATAATACCAAACACAACAACCAAAGGGACGAATGTGAGCAATCTGCGGATACTTGTTAAAAAATACGGAATGCGGTATAACATGTTGCGATAGTTAAATATCTGGATTAGTAGATACCCCCTGGAACTAAGTAATCTGCGTACAGCGTAGTAGACATAGGGATGTTATTTATAATATAGACTGCGTGCTGCATAGCATCCTGCCAGAGCTAATATGGTAATCCAGAATTATACAGAATCACGCGCGTACACTTAATAATAATCCGGTTGGCGCGTTCACCTGGTCCATTCTGCTATGGGGAATAGGGATTGGTTAGTTCTATCTTCGCACTATTTTTATTCGCCTATTTTATTATTTCCTCAGTCACAAATTCGTTATCGCAATGCACGAATGCAGGCGGTTGAAAGCCTTGGTTTTTATATGGCTAAGCCATTGTTCGAGATGTTAATGGACGAGCTTTCTATCTTTAAAAAATATAATCCACCGATACCGCGTTGCGTCGTCTGTTATCAGCATATAATAGCAGGAACCCGTACGAGAAGCAGGGTCGTTAAGCTGCTTATAGCATTTAGACAGAGTATTACCTCCACCCGCAATATCAATAAAAATGCGTTGAAGAGGTCTCGTGGCATGTTTTACCAAGGTATAAGATTGGCTGCGTTTCTGATTCGCCACATGGCAGATATCGCAAAAGGGCCGAGATTGGGGATCGGAAACCTTAATCTGACTGCCAGGCGTACAAGATAATCGTAAAATGTTGGGGTAATTTAGGTGCGCTAATCGTCGATGCTATTAGATTATAGTAGCCACCTGAGGATTGGGTGCTTTAGAGGCTATAGCCGCAAGAGCTAATTTCTCTGGTCGAGATGTCTTATATATCACACTGTTAATCTTATAACAGTTTGTCGTCGAAGGGACTGCAGTGATAGTCAAGCTATTCTTGTTAGTAAAAACAATATTGGTGTACGCGTCCTCTGGGATTGATGGTTTAAAACCTGCCTTTAAAAGTTGCGCGTAACTCAACAAATTCGCTAACAAACCAGGTACGTGGCGCACCTCTGGTATATCAAGGGTAATATTATTAAACGTTATTCGGGCCGTTCCCTTAGCAAGGGGAGGCTTTTGTCCACCTAAGGATCCGCCAATATTAGGCATACCAGTTGGTAGAATTTCGTACGTTGAAAAACGTCTTGTTAGGGGTTATATAGTACAAAGCGCATGTATCCACATACTATTTAGGTGGTTGCGTGCTTGATTCCGCAACATAATTCGCAGAGGCCGAGGGCTTCGGTGGTGGTGCATATGCAGGATCACCTTTTATAGCCCTATACTCGTTGATTCGCTTGAGAAACGCTGGTGTTGCTCTATCAGAGGGAATTGCCTCGGGATTCTGATACCAGCATATCCTCGTGAGAGAATATTATCTGTAATAGCTGCAAGATAATTTCGCATCTCTAGAAGAGGTAGAGTCCGGTGACTCGTTATCCGGCTTCTTTTAATGCTATCAGATTGTTGGTTTAATCCAGAAGTCTTTAAACAGCGTGTATTAGATTGTTGCAATTTTAACTGTCGTCTAATCTTAACTAGATCGGTATTCTTAATCGGTTGATTTCCTGCCCCTGAGGCAAGGAATGGATCAAGCTTATTTGTTATAAAATTCGATTGCCAATTGCGTAGGCGAATATAGTGGATATCATAAAATATGTTATCCACAGTCACATGGAGGTGTTTCACGCGTGCCTGGAGCATTAAAAGCTTGCTCTTGTAGGCTAAATAATCGCCATTATATAATTCGATATCAATAATTTCTCGCACTAGGTCATAGCGCTCCTGGGCCTTCGTCTGACCTATTGCCTTATAGATTCGTATATATAATGCAGCTGCCTTCGAGATATCTATCTTACCTAGGCGATCCTGCACTTCTCGTGACATTAATTAATAGATTCGGATAGCCAAAGCTTCATTCTTTATCTGCTAAATTGCTGAATTGAGCTCCTCACTGTCATGTGGTGGATTGAGCTCCTTGTTAATCAAAATTAACTCCGCGTTTATAATACGGGCGTCTTTAAGTAGATCCTCTTTCCAATCGGCGAAATTGGAAATCTTCAGAGATCTTAGTTTATATTAAAGCTTTCGACCAACATCCTTCCGCATGGCGCTGACTGCCTGTATTATACTCGCGCGGCCGGCGTCATCCTCGCGTGGTGGCGGTAGATCTGTTGACGTGGACTTCGGGTTCGGTGTGGGCGTACTTGAAAGGGGCGATTGACTGCAACGAATTAGCTCCATTATTTGCTGCAATTAAGTTTGCATTTGATTCTGCAATTGAGTCTGCAGTTGTGTTTGAAAATCCCTGAACTGGTCCCTTGATACATATTCCATGCGATCATCCTCTTCCTCCTCCGACGCAGTATCTCGTGGTAGTGGTCGTGTTATCGCAGGAGAGGATGGGCCAGGTGTACAGTATGGAGATTCATCCCTAGCAGGCGCTTTTCCCTTCTTCGGGCCCATTTTAATATCAATTCCTCGAGAGGCAATTGAATAGACAAAACAGGTGGTTTAAAACCACGTAATATCAGCTCTAAAAGGAAGATATAGAGGGTCTCATAACCTGTTCGCGAGGCACAATTCTCTGAATTCAAGGGGCTCAGGCGAGCTGACTATCTAGATGGGTGACTAAGTGAGGCCACGTGACCATACCGAATATGGTAGGTCCCTAACACCATGTCGCGAACAGGTGGGTCGGACTTGGCGTCATGGTCCTAGTCCCAATTAGGCCTTATCAAGTCATTTACTGATGACGGGAGTTTCTCCGACTGGCGCTACCTCTCTCTCTTTCAATACATTACAATTCTCTGGAACTTTTTTCCCCGTTTCTGTTTGCAGAGACCTTAGCCTATTTGACAGGAATATAGGATATCAAGTCTAAGATTTTAGTGACTGGTGCGTCTCTAGTTTACAACTAGTAGGAAATTATTTACCTTATTAATATAAAATATATCTTAATCGCTTCCATCATTAGGAAATTCATACTCGGAGAATTGGACTTGGCTAATAAGAGGACTATGGTATTGTAACTCGTTAAAAACTAATTATAATATAGGCGCAGGAGGTCTCGGTATGCATGTTCATTGGATTGTGGAAATCCACACAGATATGACAGCACAATCTTTTAAGTAGAGCTCGTCCAGCGTCCTGGTATTTATATATCCATCGTTACCTTAAGATGCTGATATAGTCCCTCTCTAACGCTGATCTGGTTCCATATGTCCAAGATCACCACGATATTGGCCACCCCACTGGGTATTTTGGTTATTTGGAGGGAGGGGTGAGCGATGATGTCATATGCCAAGCTAACTATCTCGACCTACATTAAACTCTCGTCGACCCAATCATTTCTAGACACTGCAGACTGTTTCATACTATCTCATGCAGACAATTCACCTCACAGCCCGTCGGAATGGCCTCGTACCTGATTACTGGATCTTCTCGAGGCCTTGGTCTGGCCATAGTCGGTCAATTGTGTGCTCGTCCAACATCGGAAGTGAGCATGATATTCGCCACGTCACGAAAAAACAACTCTCCACAGTTAAGAGAACTCTTGGTGCGATCGTCAGGGCGACTATCATTTGTTCAGCTAGACACGACGAACCAGGAAAGTGTCCAGGAGGCCGTCAAGCAGGTCGAGCAACAGCTCCAAGGAAAGGGGCTGGACGTACTGGTCAACAATGCTGGAGTGATGCCGATCACTCGAGAAGGAATTGAAAAGATGTATGCTATAGTCTAGACAGATCTTCCTATCCTATCATTCACTGATTTCCCAGGGATGCTCTCACCGAGACTTTCAACACAAACGTGACGGGCACACACATGGTGACATCTGCCTTCCTGCCTCTCCTTCGCAAGGGAGAGCGAAAACTCGTGACAAATATGTGAGTCGTCCAGTAACTATAGAATATATCCCATGCTGATCATGTAGCTCATCTACTATGGGCTCCATCACCATGGCCCCCATATACAAACCAATCCCGACACCAGAATACAAGATCACCAAGGCAGCGCTCAACATGTTGACGAAACAGTACGCTCAAAACCTAGCCGACGAGGGATTCACTTTCCTCTCTGTCTGTCCGGGTGTAAGTCTCTATATCTCCGTTTACATACATCTCTGACTGGGATAGTGGCTACAAACCGATATGGGAGGCTCTCGTGCGGACCTGCCCGTCGCCACGGGCGCCGAGGCTGTGATGCGTATCATGTCGACCGCTTCGTCAGAGCTGAATGGACTCTTCATGAACATCCATGTCCCAGGATGGGAAGAGAATCCAGGGCCCAACAAGTATGATGGCAAAGAAATTCCGTGGTAGATTGATATGGCTACTATGATATACCGTACGGTGGACAAATGGGTGAACAATCTATCACACTCAGCTATGTAAAAATAAATATAAAAATCGTATTTTATTTGCCCACAAAAAGTATAAATGGTCGCCTCACCGCAGCGCGAATCCCATCGACGCATCCCTCAATCTGATTGAATCTCCCCGCATCAACTACCCCACCTTTTCCATCTCATTCAAACATCCAGATTCAGCATCCAAAAATAATCCACCAGCAGCAATGGCTCCCTCACTCTCTGTAAAAGACCTCATCACCGTTGATCCAGGTCTACCCAACCAACACCCCACCCAATCGCACTGGCAACACATCCCCCATGCTCTATCGAACACCCAGTCTCCTTCACTGCCACAAAAAACAGACATCGCTATCATCGGCTCCGGCATCACTAGTCTCTCCGTGTGCAAAACCCTACTTGAATCCCATCCCTCGATGACAATAACTCTCCTGGAAGCCCGCGCGCTCTGCTCTGGTGCCACGGGCCGCAACGGCGGCCAGCTAGCCACCAATGCAGGAGAGGAGTATCAGCATCTAGCCAGGACACATGGAGCCGAGATGGCGGGCAAAATCGTCCAGTTTACATGGGATAATCTGCAACGTATGCGAACACTAAGTTTGACATATGCGGGGGAGACGAGCGAGCTGCAGGATGTTCAGAAACTGAGGGTGTTTCTAACGAGTAAGGTGTTCAAGAGGTTCAAAGACAGTATGGATATGTTGGAAACGGATCATCCGTCTTTCAGAGGCACATATACCATCGTCAGTGCGGAGGAGTTGAAGGTATGTACATACATACTTTACTATACATGCAGGCTGTGCAGTTCACGGGAACAAGGTAAATCTGACAGACAAAGCAAGAGTATAATATCTCCGGTGCCGGAGGTGCTCTTCTCCCCGCCGGAACCATCTGGCCCTATCGACTCGTGACTACAACATTCGCCAGTCTCCTAGACAAATATAAATCTAGAATTTCTATTGAGACGCATACCCCCGTCACTGCAGTAAACTACACAACGGAGGAGTCATCCTGCCATCCATATATCCTGCACACCACCCGTGGAACCCTCCGTGCCGGAAAAATCGCCTACTGCACAAATGGATACTCCGGCCATCTACTTCCCCGTCTGCGTGGTCTTATCTACCCATTCAAGGGGACCATGACCGTGCAGGTTCCCGGAGCTGCGGCTCCCAATCGGGGAGAATATCTCTCCTGGGGATTCCATTACCCTGCAGTATATGATGCATGCTCGATGCGGTATGCAGCAGGATTGTACTATTTGATGCAGAATGCTAAAACGGGGTACTACTATTTCGGTGGTGAGGATACACGTGTTGATCTATGTCTGTCGGCGGACGATAGTCGCATCGATGAGGATTTGGTGCAGAAGCTGCAGGCGAAATCGGTATTTGTAGGTGATGAGAGTCAGGGCCATGAGCCGCGGACGCTGGTTAGTGCGTGGACTGGCGTGATGGGGTTCTCGGCGGATGGGATGCCTGTCGTCGGTCAGTTACCTTCTTCCTTGACGGGTAGGAAAGGTGAGGGGGAGTACATAGCTGCTGCTTTTAATGGGTACGGGATGGCGAATTGCTTGTTATCTGGGGAGGCTCTGGCGAAAATGATGTTGGGGGAGGGTGTGAGTGAGTGGCTGCCTGCAGCGTACGGAATTCATGATGGCCGTTTGAAGGAGCTGCTGACGGTGGATCATGCGGTTCGGTCTTTTGAGCGGCATACATGATGGTTGCGTGTGAAGCACGGTATATGCAGGGTTGTGGTTATAGTACATGTTGGGAGAATCTGCATAATTAAGTTCGGACGCTATGAACCGATAATATCTTCATGCTAAGTGGGTATCAAGACTATAATATACAAACACAGTTGCTAAAAGAGGTATCGTCATTCCTTCGAGACATCGGCAACGAACTCCATCAAACTTGGTTGCTTCGGGGCTGTAGGGTCGGACGTCCACTTCTGCGACCGCAATGTCGGCGTCCTATCAACTATCCGCTGACCAAAGCCTTCAATGCCACGGATATGATAGGTTTCAGCCATCAAGTTATGCCGGGACATGCTCACTTTCATTTTTCTACATTGTCCTGTCGCCTTTGAACGGGCCAGGAGTTCTCCATGATGTGGGTAGGCCGCCTCCCAGGTCAACAGTCCCTCCCTCTTTGGCTGGGTGCCAATATTTTCTGCTTCAGTAGCCGACGAGTTTTGTGCGATGGCGGAAAGTATGTCCAACATAATAAAATGTGTCAGAACCCGGGAAACCTCGTCCTGCAATCCAATGCGACTCGGTGGCTGCACTGAGGGATACTGCGGCATATTGACAGAGATCTCATAGTGAGTACCGAAAGGGGGCGAAACAACATTGGTGCGGACCCGCACATGAAATGAGCTCTGAGCAGTGGCCAGCTTCCTAGAGAATATAGATTCAGACGGCATCAAGAACGTTTGCACCAAAGCTTCCACCTTGGGAACAGAACTGTCTGGGGATGGACGGCGGACCGACGAGAATGGCGCAGCTGTGAATTCGCTGCCCAGCCCGGCAGATTGCAGAACCTGGCTGGTATCCTTCATAAATGACTCAAGCCACCGTACATGCGAGCTATGTTGGAGGTAAGCCATGATCGGGCGCAGGATGTTGTACTCAGGGGTATGTCGGCGCTTGGGGGTCAGTGGTGGTGGAGGCTGCGTCCTTCGGCGCAGATTTTGACGGTGGGCATACGTGAGAAGAACTCGGATTGAATGGCCGAGCGCATCAGCAAGTACGTTGTGTTCAGTGGAAGTGATTTGCTCATCGTCGGGGAGTGCTTCGAGCCCGATATCCACCAGGTCTATCAGGATGTCTTGTTCATCAGATGTGGGGAACTGCACCAGGTTTCGTCGTGTGGTAACTCCCTGGCTGCCCATAATTCGAGCCTCGCGGAATAGCTCATGGAAAAGTTCCTCTTCAAAGAGCGTATCACGTGCCTGTAGAATGCGACCCTCGATGGTGTCAGCGTTGGATGCTGGTGGTGGCCGTCTCGAGCAGCCTGTCAGTTGACCACGATGTTTTACGCGCACGCGAACTGCTCGTGCAGTGGAAGGTGCTAGCCCTTTGTCCAGTACCAAGCTACCGTCGCCATCGCGCCGTAGAGCTGCAAGAGCCCGGTCGCGGAATATCGGTGTGGCTGCAGGTAACTGTCAGCACGCACATAGGATTAAGCCATTACAACGGACTCACATTCTAAGAATCCATATTGTACACCCAAAGCCTGTCTTTCCCGAGGAAGTCTGCACACTTTCCAACCCTTCTCTTTCACACCTAGGACGCCATCCCAGTATCTAGTCTCGGAGGCAGCTTCGGTATCCAGCCTTGACGCGCAGTCGAGTAGTTTGTTGGCCGCGGATTTGAAATTCTGCAACCGCCATCCACGCGACACTGTTTTTGTATCTTGGATCACAGATTCTGGTTTTGGAGGGAGTTCAACAACCTCTCCATTTATCGACCCGAGAGGCACAGCCTGTTTCAGATACGCGGACATGGACGTTTCCGCCTGACGAGGAGTGTATTTGGAAAGTAGGAGGGAGACAAAATCGAGAGCGAACAACGTTTCCATATGAGCTTGCCTGTAGAAACATCAGCATATGAAGTAAGAAGTTGTATACAAAGGAGGCCTACAGAGCGAATTGAGTAATCTCCGCACGCTTCTTGTACAATTGTTCCATGCGCTCCATGGTATCTAGATCGGTTGAAGATTTTTCATTCTCGTCTTCGTCGGACCAGGGATCCTTGCTTTTGTCGACCTCGATCTTCTCTCGAAGTCTGTTTTCACTGATCTGGCGGAATGACCCCCACTGGGCGTTAATTTGGGCGATCTCGACAGGAAGTGAATCCTGGCGGTCTTGCTTCTTGACCAGTGGGCGGAGAGGGAGGTTGAATGGTTCGGCCATGGTGCGACACTCACAATGGGAGTGGGTTGGATGAAACGGCAGGGAGAGAGAAAAAGACAGAGCTAAAGAGACAAAAGTCATGTTGATGGGGCAGATGGATTGGTGGTGATGGTATGTCACGTGATTATCACTCTTTGTATCCTTTGTTGCCTTACTGCCTAAGGTCTTCTAGTCTAATTACCTGATTAGGTAATGCTGTACCTGTTACGACGTAGGAGGGCCTAAGGCACTACGGAGATCTAGATAATCCTTTCGAGGTGATGCGGGTATGTAATCCTTCTGTTCATAGACCGTTCTGCCCACATATCATCCATGTTTTGACGTTCTTGCAGACACTATGGGCTCTGAGTGGAGCGGAAGGATGCGGATGTATTCCGTAAAAGTATAAATATCATATTTTAGGCCAAAAATTTCCTATGATAATTACTGTCAAATAATATGGCCGTTGGTGGACCAGAATTATGTGACTGGATCGGGGTAAAACCCCCGCAGAGCACACAACAAAATAATCAATCAAGAATAATCAAGAAGAGCCCAGCCAGCTCAATTCATTCAAATAAGACCTTCTTACCAATCGTACTCTATTTCCTCTTCGGGACTAGCCGTATATCTAACAATTACTACATGCTGAAACTGGAAAGGGTCTATCGAACCGGTTCTAGGCACCTCTACTAATATTTGCCAATGGAAAACGGCCATTGGCAAATTGACCACTGAGCAACCTGCTGATATCACGACCAGACCGGAAACTCACGAATGGCGTCACTTCCCCGCCAGTGCTCAGCACACGTGCAGCTACAAGCCCTGCCCTAGGCTCAAACACTAAACCCCAACAAGCAATTCACGTGACATTGATTGACCTCTGACTTCATTGTTCTTCCTACTGGAGTTGGCTTCCTTTCCCTTTTTTTTTAAAAAAAAAAAAAAATAAATAAATTTATGGTGCAGCGGCTCCATGATCACTTTATTTAAGTATTTAATACCCGCTATGCCGTTACTCTGTTTCTCATTTCGCACTCCTCTATTGACATCGTTAGTTGACTTATTCTCTAGGGTTCAGGTCAGACCGCATAACTCCGTCTGTGACGTACTGCCAACTCCTCTTTCACTCACCGGAAAAGTCTCCCCCACTACAAGTTCATTCCCCTCCAACTACCTCACCGACGAACTGTATTCCAGCTTCTGTCTATCCTCGATCCTACGGCCACCACCTCTGTCAATTCACTCGGTCCTCTTCTTCTCTGTCGCTCATTTTCTGCCGTTGGTTGGTAGCCCTTCAGGATGGCTACCACAAAAGCCCCCATCGATCCCACCAAACGCCGCCGCATCGGTGTCCTAACCTCCGGTGGTGATGCCCCCGGCATGAACGGTGCGGTGCGAGCCGTCGTCCGCATGGCTATCAATTCCAACTGCGAGGCCTATGCCGTTTTCGAGGGGTACGAGGGATTGGTTGGTGGCGGCGACATGATCCGTCAGCTACACTGGGAAGACGTCCGTGGCTGGCTGTCGCGCGGTGGTACTTTGATTGGTTCCGCTCGCTGTATGGCTTTCCGCGAACGGGCCGGTCGTCTAAAAGCCGCGAAGAATATGGTCCTCCGCGGTATCGATGCCCTAGTGGTCTGTGGTGGTGATGGAAGTTTGACCGGTGCCGATGTTTTCCGCTCGGAGTGGCCGGGTTTGCTGGAGGAGTTGGTAAAGACCGGCGAATTGACCCAGGAGCAGGTCAATCCCTATAAAATCTTGAACATTGTAGGTTTGGTGGGCTCAATCGACAACGACATGTCTGGCACCGACGCTACTATCGGTTGCTATTCCTCTTTGACGCGCATCTGTGATGCGGTCGACGACGTGTTTGATACTGCGTTTTCCCATCAGCGAGGATTCGTTATTGAAGTCATGGGCCGCCATTGTGGATGGCTAGCACTGATGGCAGCCATCAGTACCGGAGCTGACTGGCTCTTCGTTCCCGAGACACCGCCCCGTGACGGGTGGGAGGATGACATGTGTTCTATTATTACCAAGGTAGGTGGATAGCCCGATCGATCCACTGGTAAACGACCGGGTGTTGACGCCTCTGTTCCCTCCAGAACCGTACAGAGCGTGGCAACCGCCGCACTATTGTCATTGTTGCCGAAGGTGCTCAAGACCGCCATCTCAGGAAGATTTCGAGCGCTGCTGTAAAGGACATTCTCACAGACCGCCTTGGTCTGGACACCAGAGTAACTGTTCTTGGTCACACGCAGCGTGGAGGAGCAGCCTGTGCCTACGATCGCCAGCTTTCGACTCTGCAGGGTGTTGAGGCTGTGCGTGCAGTGCTTGATATGAAGCCTTCTTCCCCGTCCCCAGTTATTACCATCCGCGAAAATAAAATTCTGCGAACCCCCTTAATGGAGGCTGTCAAAGAAACCAAGAAAGTGAGCCAGTTGATTGAGGATCGAGACTTCGAAACCGCCATGGCCCTGCGGGATTCTGAATTCAAAGAGTACTATTTTGCCTACCGTAGCACAGCTACCCCCGACCATCCTAAGATGATTCTCCCTGATAATAAGGTACGAATATGGCCCTATTTTTACCAAAAAAAAAGTATTTGAATCCCTAATAAGGAGCAGAGAATGCGGATTGCCATTATTCATGTCGGTGCTCCTGCCGGAGGAATGAACCAGGCAACCCGTGCTGCCGTGGGGTATTGTTTAACTCGAGGACACACACCAATTGCAATCCATAACGGTTTCTCTGGTTTGTGCCGCCATCATGCGGACAAGCCCATCGGCTCTGTGCGCGAGGTGAAGTGGCAGGAAACGGACCTTTGGGTTAATGAGGGAGGATCGGACATTGGAACAAACCGAGGCCTACCCTCAGAAGACATCGAGACCACGGCCAAGTGCTTCAAAGAGTACAAGTTTGACGCTCTGTTCGTGATTGGTGGTTTTGAGGCATTCACTGCAGTTAGCCAGCTTCGCAAGGCCCGAGAGAAATACCCCGTTTTCAAGATCCCGATGGTCGTACTGCCAGCAACAATCTCAAACAACGTGCCGGGAACTGAGTACTCTCTGGGTAGCGACACCTGTCTCAACACGCTGGTTGATTTCTGCGATGCCATTCGACAGTCCGCATCATCCTCACGGCGCCGTGTCTTCGTTGTTGAGACGCAGGGCGGCAAATCGGGCTACATTGCCACCACTGCGGGCCTGGCAGTGGGAGCATCAGCGGTGTATATCCCGGAGGAAGGCATAGACATCAAGATGTTAGCGCACGATATCGATTTCCTGCGGGACAACTTCGCACACGACAAGGGCGCCAACCGCGCTGGGAAGATTATTCTTCGCAATGAGACCGCGTCTAGCACATACACAACCCAGGTGATCGCAGACATGATCAAGGAGGAAGCGAAGGGCCGGTTCGAGTCCCGAGCGGCGGTACCAGGTCACTTCCAGCAGGGAGGCAAGCCTTCACCGATGGATCGTATCCGTGCTCTGCGCATGGCAATTCGTTGCATGCAGCATCTCGAGAGCTACTCGGGAAAGACACCCGACGAAGTGGCGGCGGATGAAATCTCTGCCTCAGTGATCGGCATCACGGGTTCGCAGGTGCTGTTCTCGGCCATGGGGGGTCCTGAGGGACTGGAGGACACGGCGACCGACTGGCGGCGTCGTCGTCCGAAGGCAGAGTTCTGGTTGGAGTTGCAAGACACAGTCGACATCCTGTCGGGCCGGTCAAACTGGCGAGCTGGACGCCAGACCAGCTGGGGAAGCTATGAATCTGTGTAGTGCGTGCCCTGTGTAGTACATGCAGGCGTTGATATGATGACTACTACTTTATATCTTTCATGTTTACCTGGAAGATTTCGGGTATATCCACAGATGAATCTTGTGGTGCAAGATATGTATGTATGACGACTATCGGGTTACGGAATGATGATGAATCACATTATACTATATGAATTAGAGATATGTCTGCCGACGGATGTATAGAAGTAACAAACATAGCATCCTAACGCAGCACATAGAACCCTGACACAACCGACCTAACCAACGAATCAACCCAATAGAAAAGATGTCTCACCCCTCAACCTCCGCCAACTCATCCAACAACTGGACCGTCTCCGCCGGACTGGCGATCCACGCCGTCGTGCAAGCCAACCTCGCCTACATAATTAGCGATACAAGAACCAATGCAAGGGAAAGGTGGAGAATAGAATACCTTGAAATCATTAGCCCCCGCTGAAAGAAACTGATCGCCAACATGTAGAGTACGTGTTCGTTCGATCCCGCCAAAATACTGCTGACAGGCGCGTACACCCCATGATTTATCGCCGATGTCGACAAAGACGTCATTTCCACCTACTTTCTTTAGCATATATACATCGTAGGCACAAATATAACCAAAGAAGAATAAGGCAAAATGAAAGGGAGGGTATAGGGTAGATGTACCATTAAAAGCACAAAACGGCAATCTCGACCCCACCGCCGACCGTTCAACCGTATTCTGCACGACGAGAACCGTCTCTTCGAGCTGTTCCCGGGAGATCTTAGTCCCCGGTGGAGGGGAGACGCCGACCGCGCGATCCTTTCGTAGTACGGTAGCGGGGAGATTTAAATTCTTGACGCAGGCGCGCAGCGACGACTCCGCGATATCCAGAAGGGCCGTGATATCGGAATCATTCCAGGCTGTCATTTCAGGGAGAAGCCATTGATCACGCGGGACGTAGACAAGACGATATGGAGAGACGTGATCGTATCGGAAGAGGAAGTTACTTTCACCGCCCATGACGACCAGCCCCTCGCGCTGGGAGGGGGTCAGACTCGGGGAATCGTGCACGGCGTCTAGAAGACCTTTGAGTCGTGCGTAGTATTTTTCGGCTTCGGTGTAGCCTGCTGCGGTGACGATGCCGACTTTTCGGTCCTGGTGAAGGAGACGGAGAAGACGCGGGATGGATGGGTTGTCGGATGTTAAGCAGGCGCCGTCGTCGTAGAGGGTCACGTCGCCGTCGAAGGTGACCAGGCCAACGCCGGAGCTGCGTACCAGACCGAGGAGCTGCGCGGAGTTGAGGATGAGACGGATGTCGTTGAAGGATGGGGCCACGAATCGTCGACGGCTGATGAAGCGGTGGTTGTCCTGGTACTTGAAGGCATCTTCGAGATACAATGGCGTGTAGAAGGAGCCCACGGAGGGGACGAGATGCTTCAGTTTGGATTTGCCGGGACTGGCATCACGTTCATGGTTAACTGTGTTTGTGAATCAGTGTCATTCGGCATGAAATGAAGGAGAATAGGTAGGGCGCACTGTGGTCGCGGAGAAGCTCCTCGACGTCCCGGAAGATCTCCGTGTACCGCTGGTGGGTGCCGGCGGCCACCGCGGCGAGATTCGCGCTGTCTTCCAGATAGGTCACGGTGGGCTGCGAATGCAGCACGAAGGGAACTGCCAAGAGTCCCTTGATCCATTCGATCAGCTGGTCTCGACGATGAGACTAGGTACGGGTCAGCGGCCGGTCTACGGGATTCTTATGATCATTATTGTTTTTACTACCTTGAGGGCATCTAGAGACGCGGTCAGTCCACGTTGCACAGGAGAAGTCGGATTGACTTACATTCGACGCGATAGCGGGTGGTCATGATAGCTGTTTATGATAGAGAGAGAAGAACGATAATTGGGACGAAAGACGAAGACGATGAGAAAATTGGGGAATATATAATTCCCCGCAATGCCAGACCGCCAAGACTCCAGCAGAGCGATGAGCTAGCTCTACCGCAAGGGATAGAGCCACCTATGCCTCTTGGGCTCTTGCACGCTACATCGACTGCAGATCGTCCCGTAGTTGTTGCACCAGGACAGGAGTCAGTGTAACTACTCTAAACCCTGCTGTTTCTGCGGAGTATGGACGTGTATGATCAATGGCCACGGTCGCTACAGTCAGATATCCGCAAATCTAGCACGCTACGCATCAATTCTACAGGAAAAATCTCGATAAGAATACTTAGACGAGAAAAGAGGTCTCGTTACCATGTCATAGCCAACCATCACAGAAGCTCGTTGGTATTCTAAAAAAAAGAGCATAACAGACCATCTTAAGAGAACATCCAACCGTGGTAAAACTCGTTGTCAATAAATAAATATATAAATATAAATATACGATAATACCAAATTAACCCTCAGATAAAGCCTATGGTGCATTTTGTCGAACGGAAATATTCATATTCATAACTCTTACACCCGGGTCGTGCCATCCCCCGTTCGCTCGACTCGCTCCTCGCGCGTCCCTTCGGCCAGCGAGATTTTGTCCGACATCATGAGATCGCGCTGTTCCGCATCACGGTTGCCGTACAAACCGATCTTGTACCACGGCAGCTCGAACAGTCGATCCATACTCTCCAGGCTGCGACCTGCCGTCTCTGGCACAGTCACCCACACCCACAGTCCGCCCAGAATGGTGACCGCGGCGAAGAACCAGAACGTACCCATGGGCGTGATGCCACCGTTGTTCGTTCCCATCAGCATGTTGGGCACGGCGCGCGAGTTGCCGTACTGGTTGACAAAGTGCAGCGTCATGGCCAACGATGTCGACAGCGCCCGAATGCGAAGCGGGAACAGCTCCGCAGTCAACAGGTACTGCATCGAGTTCCAGCCCAGAGCCCATCCAACGCCCGACAGATACATCATGGCGATAGCGCCGCGGCTGGCCGGCAACTTGGCATTGGGCAGCTTGTAGCCCTCCACAACGCCCATGTCGGGCACACTTGAGAGGAAGCCGGCCACATACAGCATGGAGATGGCTTGCAGCGTGATGCCGATCAGGAGAGCCCGCTTGCGACCGATGACATCGACGAGGAACAGCGCACAAACGACAGCGGACACCAGCTTGACGATACCAAAGACACCAGTGACCAGGAGGGTTTCGTTATCTCCTGTGATGCCCAAGAGTTTGAACAGATCGGGCGCATACAGCGTGATCGACCCGGCACCGGACCACTGAGACAGAAGCTGGGCACCCGAGGCAATGTAGAGCCGGTATAGGTTCTTAGGGTCCAGGAACGCTTCCTTTAGGACCCCAATCGGACCAGTCCCCATGGTAGCTTCCATCTCAGCCTCGTGGGAGCTGCGGATGCCGTTCAATTCCTGTACAATATATTCGTGATCGGTGGGAAGGTGACGGATGCGTGATAGGTTCTCCAGAGCCTTCTCATGGTTGCCTTTCTTGACGAGGAATCGCGGGGATTCGTATTGCATGAACGACAGGAGGAAGATGAGACCTGCAAAGATAATGTGCAAACTGGTGGGTACCTCCTGCAGTGCGGTTAGGACGGTAAAGAATGGATTAGAAGAAAGGGGGACTAACCCATCGCTTGTGCGTGTTGTCTCCTAGATGGACTTGACAGCCATAGTTGGTGAAGTACGCGAGCACTATACCCAGGTAGACGAATCCGGTAAAGATACAGGTACATAAACCTCGAATGGAAGCCGGCGCCTATTTCCATCAGTCACTCGTAGTCTACGCGCCGGCAGGATACACTCACAATCTCTGCAAGATACACAGGTCCGACCACGACCGTTTGTCCAACGCCCAGTCCCGCCACAAAGCGGCCAGCATAGATGGCGCCTAGGTTGCCGTTGGCACCCAAAAAAATACCAATTCCCAGGATCCACAAGCAGCACAGTTGACGAGTAGCCCAGATGCGGCCAATGCGATCACATACCAGGAATGCACTATAATAGACAGGTCAGACAGGGGGTAAGTGGGTACTGGGATGCAAAGAAATAAGGGGAATAAAATCATACAAGAGAGCACCACCAACAGACCCAATCTGGACCATAGATGAGACATTGGCCTTGATGTTCGTCTGTTCCACCGCACTGTACGAGTCGAAGTTGATAGTCCTCTGAAAATCCTTAGAGTTGAAAGCACCCGAAATCAATCCCTCATCGACACCTCGAGCAGCGCCCATGAGACCGAAGGAGATGACGGCGAACCATAAACGCCAGTTGTAGATCTCCTTGGGATCTCCAAGATTTTTCATACGAAAAATATTGATAGGTTTCTTGGGACCGCCTGCCATGGTGGGTGACTTCTGGCGTAGTTCCCTCTAGTTCCTAGTGGTTGGACTGGCCGTAGTAATAGCCGCAGCAAGGACAAAGAGAGGAGGCCAGAGAGTGGAGGGACAACACGGCACCGGAGTAGCAGATGATTCCTACTCGGTAGAGGATTTAGAGGGATGTAACCCTGGTTAAATAGGTTCTGGGATGCATCTCTTCGTTTCGTACCCCGGCTTATGCCCGCGCCGCACACATCATGCGGGGAATGGTGTGGGGTGAAGTGCTGGTCATCCTACTATCATTTCACCCGAGGTCAGACGTAACATATTTTTCTCGGCATTATTCAATGGAAATTGCCTTCCAGAGCACTTGACACTCGCCACCGTGGTTCCATCCATACGACCTGGGCTGGCCTAAGCTAGCCAAGAGACCAGAAACGTTGTCGCCAAGAGAGCTTGGGGGGGCCAAGTTCACTTTCTGGAGATGGAGGCGGGTGCATCCCTCCACAGGAAGGTTATTTGCGCTTAACTCATTGGCCCAGCTAGGATATTCCAAGAACAAGAAAAAACATCGTACTCACCATAGGGCAAGGGAAAGAACGGGTTCAGAGAAGCATCCAAATCTTTACCCCGCATGGGATCATCAATGTTCTTGTTGGATCTTACTGTCATTAAAAACGAGCACAACAGGCTAAAACAGACTCCGCCGGGCGGAGGAATTCTCGTGGGGTATCCGGCCACCACATCGTGTGTTCTGCGTCTACCAGTCTCACGGACTCGGTCAACTTCCGAAATGGATTCTGGTACCCACACGGGGAAGTTGCTTGGCGTACCTGGGGAAATCCAAGGCTCTTCTCGAGTCGCGAGAGGTGATCAAGCCTTGATGTGGGGATTCGAGTCTCGTGTGTCCGCCGATCAGCACCAATCCAGCCAGGGCAGCCTGCATCAGCCGATGCATGGTGCAGCTGCAGAGTACGTGCCGATGCACTGATTAAGCCTAGTATGTGCAACCAGTTCCAGCTCTCTCGGTTGAACGTAGCTCACAGCATCCAATGGCCTACAATAAACTCTGCAGCATGTCAAATGGTCGGTAGGCGTTCTCTCGGACAAAGGGTTCCGAATGGCCTTTGCAGTTGGATCAACGGCCCCATAGTTAGGGGTAGTGTTGGCCGAATACAACAAGAGGGTGGACGGCCTGTAATTTGAGACTGCGCACTAGAGAACCTGCTGGGTTGATAAGAGCAAATTGGATTGGAGGCCATTGGAGGAGCCAGAATGTGGAGGACAAAAGGACGGAGTCGAGATCTTTAGGTCCGCTACCAAATTCGCCAAGATATGGGAGAGGCCAGTTTTCTCCTTCAGTCAATAGGTGAGTGACCTCGGAGAATTTTCTCTCATGGTGGGGGGGTTTCCAAGTAAGCCATCTATTGCAAGTCCAGGGTACTAGTCGCCTAGTCACAGAGACTAAGTCGACTACCAATTCACAACCCAATCGGCGGGTGTTCTACGTTGTCTCCGGCTCAAAATGAGTCCAAGTGGATCTTAATCAAGGTTATATGCGCGCACAATGTAGCAGAAAGCAAACAATCTCCAATCAATCCAAAAAGAAAAAAAAAGAAAAAAAAAAAGGAAGAATCCCGCAACCGCCAGGTCTATTTCCGCCATCGGAACGCCGGATTTCGCCAGTCTAGATCCTGGATCTGTTTCTGGGACATGCCCGCCAGGGCCTGGTCAACGTCTGTCTTCTCTCGTTTCATATTATCCCTTCTCATCCATAACCACATGCATATACCCAGGATCATAGTCAACGACGATGTTGCCAGGTTTAGGCCGTTCCCGATCTGGTAATTCGGTGCGTCGAACTGCAAGAATGACCATGTCGAGATAAGCCCCCCAATGTTGCCAAACATAACATTCGTTCCGATCGCGGCCGAGCGCGCTGTGTCCGATACCACGTTGTTTGAGACGTGGGCATTGCAAAGAGGCCCGAAGGAAAAAGCGCCACTGGCGATGATGAAGGTCGCTCCATAGCGCACCATGGCGTTGGTGCTAGCTAAAAACATAATATAGCCCGTCATCACCAAGGGAGGTGCGATAACAAGGAAAACCACCCGATTGTCAAAACGCCAACTTAGGAATGGGAAGAACACCGTGAAGAATGCTCCAACAACATAAGGGGGAACGGTGTGAAGTTGCTGGCTAACGACACTGCTGTCAGGATAAATCGTCCGAACAATAGTCGGGGCGAAGAAAGCTAAGCCCTGAACAGTGATATTGTTGAGGAGAAATATGAATGACGTCCCTAGAGTGACGGGACTAAAGATACCACGCAGCATCTTGGCTCGATCTATCTTGTCCAAGACCTCCGTAGTAGCAATACGCTCGGACTTGAGCCGGGCAATCGCCAAATCCTTTTCTTCCTGTGTAAGCCAGCGTGCTGTCTCGGGGCGGTCTGTCAAGGTGAGAAAGGCTAGCAGGCCCAATCCAATTGTGATGATACCCTCGATCGCAAAAATCATCCTCCAGGCTCGCAAACTGCCAAAATGGTCCAAAGTCAGAATCGCTGACGCTAGCAGGCCTCCCAAAAGCACCTGCGAGTGGTGCCATAACGACATAGAGAGCCAGGCGGAAAGCAAGCTCACTTCGTCTATACCATCGAGACATGTAGTATGCGATGCCGGGCAACATTCCCGCCTCAAATATCCCCAACAAGAACCGGACGCCTGAGGCGCTGTGGATATCATGGACAAAGGCCGTGCCAACGGAGCAAATGCCAAAGGCGAAGGTTGTTGCCGGAAGGAACCAACCAGGCCCCATCCACTTACACACAACGTTACATGGAATCTCAAAGATAATATAAGAAATGTAGAAAATGGACAAAACAGCGTTGTAATCGTTGCCTTCAAGTCGGAGATCTTTTTCAAGCCCCGCAAGTTTCGCATTTCCTATCCAACATGTCGTCTGTCAGTTCCTCCGCAGCTCCAGCAAGATTGTTAGCGGCATGGGGCGCGACTTACCGATATTGGCTCGATCGATGAAACAGAACAAATACAACAATGCTACTGTCGGAATGATATATAAGTCGATTTTTAGGCATAGACGGCGCTCGGCACGGCGATCGAACTCAACAAGCGCACGGCCATACCGGTCTGTTGCTGCATGGCCTCGTCCAGCGGCGTCAGAAACAAAATTTTCAGTATTCCGTATTCCCTTCTCATCCAGCATCACTTCATGCAATGCGCTGGATGTCATCTTGCCTTCAGTGCGCGCCCAACTTGTTGAGAAACCAAGACGGCCAAAAAGCGAATAGGAAAGAGATAGACCAGTCCCTTAGTCGGATAATATGCTTGCGATTCGATTGGGAAGCATATTTGGATATGGCTATGGGAGTTTAAAAGCTCTTTTGTATCGGATAGGGAGCTTGCTCGGATCTGCCGAAGAATAGGCCGGCAACGAAGCTCGGATGATCTGTGGAGACAGATGTCAAATCTGGGGTTTGATGAACCTCGAAAGGCGGGGAGTGGTGTTAGAGGTGATCGATATTGCACGACTGCTGGTCATCAAAGCTTTTGATTATCAATCCCGCTTGGGAGGGACGGCACTTGGCATGGCGGTCTAGCTCCCTAGTTGCTGGCACCATACACCAGAGTACGCAAAAGCCTTCGGTAGTGAAGGTGTCAAGCAAGCCGTGTAAAAAAATACACCGAGGCAAAGGTACCTTAGCACCACATCTGTGTAACAAATTCCAGACTGCAAGCGAGTCACTGACAAACACACAAACACCAAAAGCACCAAGACAATCCGAGCCAATGTGGGAAAGATAGACGACGTTTCTTGGTGGTCCGCTCTTTTTGTGGTTGTTAATACGAGATCTAGCCGTCATTTCTTGGCCTTGGCAAGCTGCCAAGAACCGTCCGTTCGCGTGGCAAGAAATGGGATTTGCCTTATTACTAAGTGTACATTAAAAGATGGAGGATACCTATGTGGTAAACCAAGGCGTAGAAAATGAAAGAAGACGAGGAATAAAAAAGAGAAAAAGAAACAAATGCTACATTTTCCAAAAGGGATCAGCCAGACTGACCTCGAAGCTATGAGGGAACAACATCAATATAATGCTCCACGAAGTTATCAACGCTATCGAGACCATTCTGCCAGAAGTTGGAGGGGTACATATTCCCCGCGTTTTGTCACTTCCCAGCCACCCCCGGATCGGCGAGCAGGATGGGTTGAGGGCGACGACGACATCGGGGAGAGTTGGAGTTTGGACGGCGACAAATCCCCCGAGTTGGCATCGTGGGGAGGCCACGTGATAGTCACTGAACATGACTTCCACCTGCATCCCTTACCGTATTATAACCTAATATCTGTTGCCGGAGTATCATCAATCAAAGTGTGGTTACATATGTCCCTCTCACCTGTGCAGCTACATCCACGACCCAAGGATCAGTCTAATCCGTCCTGTATCACTACAATCCCTTCCTAACTTTGCGCGCGTCTGAAGCATGGTATTTAAACCCCCCCCCCCCCCGGGGAATATGAGAAATATACTAACGTGACAAGGGGTATCTCATCACTGTGAGTAGGGCTGAATACTGGATGAAGATTCAGAAATGAGGAGGGTGAAATCAGGCCCCTGGGAACTGTATTGTCCCTGGATTTCATGAAGCAGAGTATCCGGATTATCTTCGTTTCATATCCCAAACGCCACTACAAATGATCACTAACATTGAAGGGATTCCGATTCCGTGGAGTAAGTCCGATTTCCTACTCCGAAATAAGTCGACATAGTGGCGATATTGGGATAGTAATATTAACCATGGTTAACATGTAGCCAGTACGGGGATAAGGCAAAGCGTTCCTTTTCTAATGGAGACACCCTCCTCAGATCAGCAGAACGTAGCGAATGCCAAGTCAGACGGAAAAGTGCTAGTTGATGATCTGGAATAGAGGCTCTTCCAATTGCATCTCCGTAGCCAAGACGAGCTATCCTCAACTATGTCTTTAATTTGGCCTGTTTTGGAGAATAGTTCTCTCGGCCTCAGACCGACTGGTCCTAGTGGTCCAAACACAACATCTGAAACTCTCTGTATGTTAAGGTTGTTGAACCATTCCCGTAGCCAATCAATGGGAAAGATATTCTAACCCAATTCACTGCCAAGTTGAACAAGTTCTCTGGAAACAGCGGTTCTGTTGCTTCTAATACGGATGCTCTATTCTCGGGCCCGGGCTTTGCTTCACGGCTGTTATAAGCTAGAATCTTAATCACTAGAAAAGTCATCCCAAGCTCTTCACTAGATTCCAAAGCGTGCCCTTGCTCTGGGAGGGTCAGGATGGTCATCCCTATGCCTTCGAAAATGCAGAGGCATTCATGGAATTAAAGCCCTCGGCTCGTCCTGGAGTCTAGGATACTCCTGAAGAAGGCATCCTATAAAAGGTAAAAACTATCTAATGTATTATTCTATAACCTCATTCAAGGTCTGAGTGATACAGGATTTCTAACTAGATGCAGCTCTTACAGCCAACCCCGACATCAGCATTTGAAGCTGGGATACCAGAAGGTTGACATATTCGGCACATCGGACAAAGCAATACTAGAGAACGCTACATTTAAACATCGATCGAGCTGAAGTCTAGATTCCCGGTATTCCACTGACTTTGCCGGAGAGGTAAAACATTTCACTCTCCCTACAAGATCTCAGATTTACTTTCATGAGAAATTCTCTCTTATCTATGCCTTGGATTCATGCAGAGATTATAGTCAAGCCAGAACTGATATGCAGCACTATAGTTAGGCATATAGTTTGTAGGCAAGGATCCTACGATTTGGTTTTCCATCAGTAGAAGATAATGCCGGGATTCTGTCTTCAGGTGAAAAGGCTACCAACGAAACCGGACTCAAACATCTCTCTCTCTCTCTGCTAACATTAATAATAGACCATTCAAAAGCTTCTGCATCTAGAATGACATCTAGATAGTTTTTATATAGTCGCTAGGTAAAAAGCCTCTATATACCTGCGAGTCGATGGATCTTTTTCTACTTTAAGACGACGTTCTCTGAGCTGGTCGACTATACTCTAGAATTTGTTGATAAGTCGATCCTGGTATTTCATCTACATGCAGGAGATGCCATAGCTAGGTTCAGGTTTGAGCGGGTCCTTAAGATATGGTATGTCGAAGTTGTCCTGGAGGACTCGTTCCAGTCAATTGACATGGAGCTGTCTCTAGTATGACTGCCCCTTGGCTGCTTCATAGGAGGCCCAATCCCACTTCCTCGCTTCCCCTGATACTTGGAATTTGAGTAAAGCGAGTTTAGCCATCGCTACCATTGGACATTAATTTTAATTAAGCTACCACTCTCTTCTTTCAGGGACGTTATTCAGGTCTCCTTGTCTAGGTGGCTGTACCGCCTCTCCGCGTTGTCTCGGAGATTCTGTCTCAACAGTATACGCCTACTGGCCACATTCTCGTCAGGTACATTGTTATTTTTGTGGGACAAGTGCAGGTCTGTGTTTTGTACCCACAAGGTGAAGGTCAACTACCGAGTATTCTCGCATATGCAACCCAGGATATACGCAGGAACACGAGATTTGAAGTAGAGGCATAGGCGCCCATAATTTCAACCTCGAAATATGAAGGCAGAGAGATCATAGGAGCTTAGAGTCTTGAATGGCTTTTTGGTGGTCGCCTGCAACGCATAGAGTGACAACCGCCTTTGGTCACTGTCACTGCTTAAAGGGGTGCAAGACGGCTTTTGGTCATGCCCAGGTCTCCAGTTCTGAAATCGTAATAATATCGGGTGCCCGTTAGCCCCCCAATGGGTTAACATGGGCTCGGGGGCGGTATGAGACTTCTGTCATTGTATTGCTTTGTAGCACCGGGGGAGGGAACTAACTCGTGGTTGGATACATACATACAACATGGAGTACATTATTTGTCAAACGTACCATTCGCCCAACTAAAAATGCGGACCTCAAGTGTAGCCATAATAGATGATTAGATAAGAAGTCTCAACAGTATTTTCACTGCATGACTGAGCAAATTTATATCCATCACTATAGGATAATTATAAAGATAATATATAAGTCCTGGAATTAATATAAGATGCACATCCTTAAATGAACATAGACTAATTAGAATTCTATAAAATTTAAGAGTAGATATAGACTTTGGATGGGTTTCTAGATAGAAATCAGGAACCCCATCAAAAGTGTCCCTCGGCTCTGCCTCAGGCAAATAAGGCATTCACACAGACAACCTTGTTCCCAAAAAGGAAATCAATCGGTCACTCAGACTGGAAGAGGATCCACAATAGAGAAGACTGCCATCGTTATTCGTTGGTCCAGGCCAAGTTCCGCCTTAGCTAGGACGGCTAGCAGCACTCCGCCTGCCCAATCCATCGCCGACATACTTGGCAGCGGCACTGCCACTCCCACTCCTGACATTTCTCAGGTTCTGTTCTTGCACAACTCCAACCTTTCTATCCACAGCCAGGCAGGTCAGAATGACGGTCGGTCTACTGATTGCGCCGCATTCAATGTCCGCAATTCTGGTGCCTTGCATGCCATATAACAATTGATCCATCCACGGTCGCGCGATGGCTCCCAAGCCTAGCTCGGCCAGGGAGAAATCCCCAGGGAAGTTTCGCGCTGGCGTCCACCCGCCCTCTCCCATGGGCTCTCGACACTCCTCCGATGATGGCCGGACTGTCTCATCCCTGGACCGGAAACTTTCATTGGAGGAGCAGGGCGAGCAGCCAGAGGAGACCCAATTTCACTTCTTTACGACCCATTTGAACTCAGTCATTCAAGCAGCCAGTATTGACGAGTTGACCTCCTTTTATAAGCCCTTTGACACTCTGTTGGAAGCCGGGGAACGCTCGAGAATATGGTGGTTGCATGTTACATCTCCATCCGATGCGGATATTGAGAAGCTGTCCAACATGTTTGACATCCATCCGCTCACGACAGAGGATATAAAGATGCGCGAGTCTCGGGAGAAGATTGAACTATTTGGGCCCTATTACTTCCTCTCGCTGAGACCCCCGCGCCTTATCGCCATGCCCGATGAGGTTCGAGCCTTGTCGCTTAATGTGTATGCCATCGTGTTTCGGGAGGGTGTGTTGAGTTTCACCTTTGGAAACAGCTCTCATGCGAGCCATGTCCTCCAGCGTATCGAAGAGCATCGTAGTCACCTTGCGCTGACAGGCGACTGGATCTGTTATGCCCTCATGTACGTGTTTTTGCTTCATAGTTGTATGTGATTTATGCTGATTCATGTAGCGACGATATTGTCGACGGCTTTGCTCCGTACATCGACCGCATCGAGACGGGCGTTGAAGTGATGGAGGATGGCGTCTCAATTGCCCGTCCTGATGATATTGGAGTGGCTCTGCAGCGTATATATAAATTTCGCAAGGAGGTCATACGCATACGACAGCTTCTCAACGACAAGATCGACGTCCTTCGGTCTTTCGCGCGGCACTGTGGCGGAAGCTCCCCAATGGCTGAAATTGCTCTCTATCTCAGCGATATCCAGGACCATGTGCTGACCATGATGGCCAACTTGTCTCAGTCGGAGGAGATGCTTTCTCGGTCCCAATCCAAATACCTGGGCCAGCTGTCCTGGGATTCGACGCGGATGCGGAATGAGATCGTTGCCACCCTCAGTCGGCTGTCCGTGATCGGGGCCATCATTGTACCGATGCAATTCATCACGGGGTTATTTGGCATGAATATCAGAGTGCCGGGCAAGGGAAGAGGAGATGGCACGGAACCAGGCACACCAGGACTCTATTGGTGGTTTGGCATATTTGGTGTGATTCTGAGTGTTATCTGTTCTTGTTTGCTGATAGCCAAGAAGATGCGGGTGATCTGATATATCGGGCTTCTGGCTCATTGCATGTCAAAATGTATGTCCCACTTTAGAATACAAGTACCCTAATAGAAATACGTTTAGCAAACTTCTCCCGGGGTTCAGAGCTCACACTACAGAAGCTATGCCTCGCATCATTGAAGCAAGGGTGGCTAACTAAGTAAATGAATAACTACAGCGATATTAGAGATGGCTAAACAAGTCTTGTTGAATTCAAAACTAAGGGCAATACGGTTGTCCATATCGGATAGAATATAAGGAGCTGAGAATATTTCAAAACTAATGTATACCGTAGACTTCACCAACGTGCCAATGAGTCAACATGTCCAGTCGCACAATTTCCCTAGAACCAGCCAGCATGCCGCGAAAAAAAAAAAAGAAAAAAAATACAATACTATAATAACAATCACCGGAATTTGAATACAAACTGGAAAACATAAAGTCTGACAACACAGGACAGTTGCTATACAACATGTTTATAACTCAGGAGCCCTTACTCGATCTCAATAGTCTTTGTAGAAGACGGCTCCCCGGCCTTGGGAACCGTAATAGACAAAACACCATTCTTCAAAGTTGCCTGGACACGATCATCATCGACGGGGCTGGGAAAACAGAAAGATCTTCTGAAATCCCCCACCGAGCGCTCGGAATACAGCCAAGAGTGCTCGGGGTCCTCCTCGGACTTGTCATGCTCGGAATGGCCTTTGATCTGGAGTGTATTGGGATCGGAGAACTGGATATTGATGTCTTTCTTTTCCACGCCGGGGACGTCCACGTCGAGATAGTATTTGTCTTTGGTCTCGCGGACGTCGAATAGTGGGGAGTAATTGAAGACGTCGGTGGCCGTCGAGGGACGACGTAGAAAGGTGTCGAATTCATCGAGGGCGCGGTTCAGGAAGGGAAATCCGCGGCCGGTACGTTGCATCAATGACATTGTTCTTGTGCGAAATTGAGCTCCGGTTTTACTGGCAGTAACAGTAGATATAGGAGGACGGGAGGTGGGCAATCTTCGAAAGGAACTTAGAAATATGCGTTGAGAATGCATTGTATCTCAGGTCTGTATTCTTTGCTCGCTTAAAATATAAACCCGACATTAAATAACAGGTTGTATTGTAGCATATGACATAATTTTGTCGTCAATTTAGCCCCTCATGTCCCTGCCGAATTTGGCATCTTGACAAAGTCACAAGACGTGAGTAAAGTGAAAGCCAGAAATCAGCGCATGTTTTGACGCAGCTATTAGTCGACGAATGGTAGTCACATGATTCTATCTGAGAGACTCTGGGATCATACGAGGGCAATCATTCTGAAGTCTATAGTGGCAAAATCATGAGACGAGGAATTATACATCACCGGCGCCATGATAACCATAGAACTGCGGTAGACCGAACCACCCGTTTTGTCTATACGGTAACTTGTGAACACATCATCGTCGATACAGAGGCTTTAGCTGCTATCATGGCCTGAAATAGGACAATCTGATTACTGTTCAGATTTGATAACTTCATAATGTGTAGCAACATCGACCATGTCGCTATATATTTTAAAGGAAGAATTGAGGCCCATAACCGTATGGTATAAGACCGTCCTTTCTCCATTGAAATACAGGGAATGGTGCGTTCCCCAGGCGCTGTTGGGCTTGGGAATGAGATACCTGATTTTTGGATCTGACAGCGTGATGCGAGAGGCAGAGGAGTTCACGTTGCATTCAAAGCCGGGGGTAGGTCATTAGTTGGCACCGTATCTCGCATTACTGTCTCCGCGCGTCTTGTGTCTCACAGGCGGTTGGCTAAGAAACAGATATAATGCATGATTCTGTGGTCGCTTTTCATCGGCTGGCAGTTGCTGCAGTTGGAGTGTGGAATGGCGCTCCTGGAATCCGGACCGACTCAAATGGGAATATTACGGTGCCTATGCTCATTTCCCACTGGAAAATAATATTGAAGTAGTAGGTTTGTTGAATCAGTTTAATCCTGCTCGAGTAAGTCTTTTAGATAGATTTTTGTTCTCATGTGGTGGAATGCCGATAGATTTATTTGCGGCTAGTTAACTGTGCGATACCTTTCGGTGGCTTGGTTGCACTTTATTTCAGGGGTGCTATCTTGAGTGTAATTAATTTGACTCCTATAGTACCGCTTCGCTATCATGACGTGGATGATTCTAGCTGGCCAATAGACAGCTATATTGATTTGCGGACTCAGGAGAAGATCAGGATCGCCTAAGGATGTACTGTCCAAGGTCGAATGTCGTCATTATCACGTAATGACTTGAGAAACCAAACGACGTTCGTCAAATCCATGGTTTTCATAACCACAACCTAGACTACTTTAAGACGTATATTTAGCTACAAAAGGAAAAGGAAGTAGCACCGTATTTAACACCATGTCATTCTGGACTTCAACTGCGCTGGTAAAACCAGAGCCTCGTTGAATCGCGCGATACCCAGCCAAGCTCAGATTCATACCCAATGCCCTTTCTATCACACGGGCGGGTCCTCGAGTTGAAAGAACAGCTAGAAGGAACAAGGGCCGAAGTTATTAGCTATGGGTCTCGTGATTATGTGCAAAGCATCCAGCGATGGAGTGAGACATGCGAAAAGGAAGCTGTGCGTTGCCACTGTTCTGCGCGAGGGCTGTTTGACGCTTGATGTATAAGACTATTGACTAGGCACTTACAGGGAGCCATAGTCCGGGTTACGTCCACGTCGGAGGTATCGACAGTCATCAATTTCTCCCGAAAGCATCATATCAATTTCGTTGTTGAGAGTGGCGGACATTCCACGACGGGGTCTTCTGCCTCTCATGGCGGAATTGTGATTAGTATGACCACCATGCGAAAGGTACTGACTGACCCAGCATCCAAAACAGTCTGTGTCCAGGGAGGTGCGACCTGGGAGGATGTCAACAACTCAACCACCGCTTTCGGGCTTGCTGTCGTAGGAGCAACTGCCAGTCAGACTGGGGTCGGTGGTTCCACCTTAGGAGGGGGATATGGCTGGCTAACTGGACAGTATGGGCTTACCATCGACCAGCTTATCAGTGTGAAGATGGTTTTAGCAAACGGTACTATAGTGGAGGCATCTGAAACCAGTAACCAGGACTTGTTCTGGGCAGTTCGGGGCGCGGGGCAGGCTTTTGGAGTGGCCACCGAATTTGTCTTTCGTGCCCAGTCGATTCCTTCAACTTTATTTGGAGGAATCATGTTTTTTACTGTGGACAAGCTGCCGAAGATTGTCGAGTTTGCCAACCAGTTCGACAAGAAACAGGAACCTAGAAGTGGGTTCTTCTTTGGATTCAGAGCACATCCCCTTGTACAACATACGGCAATTGTGGCAATTCTCTTCTACAACGGTACTCGCTCCCAGGCCGAACATTTTTTCGCGCCACTTCTGTCTCTCGATGCGGTATTGAATGAGACAGATATGATGTCTTATGCGCATCTCTGTTCTCTGGGTAACATGGAGACAGTACCGGCAGGGCGTAAAACCCAGAGCGGCACCACTGTCGCATTTCCATTGGAGGCTGAGAATGTCAGGGAGATATGGACAACCTTCGACAATATAATAAAATCTTATCCTGAAATGAGAGACAGTACGCTGGCATTCGAACTATTACCATATGCGAACCTTAGACAAGTTGCTCTTGACCAAACAGCCTGTGCTAATCGGGGACCATACTATAATGTGGGTTTGCTATTATGCTGGCGCAACCATGAGCTTGATGTCAAAATGCCTGCCCTGAAGCGGGAGATACTGGCCCATTTCAAACGAGAAGAAGGTGATAGTGATGAAAGCCATGCCGAGGTATACGCTAATTATGCTGGTATGTTTCTTGGATCTTTCGCTCCCCAGTTACATATCCATCATCAGATATAGTATCTAATTTCCGAAGGACACGAGACGCGTCCCAATCAACTGTTTGGCGACAACCTTCCCCGGCTGCTTAAGATGAAGGAAAAGTATGACCCGCATAATGTGTTTCGAAAATGGCATAACCTTCACAATCCCTTGTCGCGTCCGCCGTAGGCGGTTTCTTTGACATTATGCTTAAGATGTACAATGTTTTTTGAAAAGCACCACTTCATCAATAATATCAGAGGTAAATGGGACTGACATGAAAATCGCCATTGCACATTGAGAGAGGCAGTTCTGTTTTGTAAATTAGTGCTACATGTAAAAGGAACCATCGCAAATTGGTATCTTATAAGTACTTTAACTGCTAGTTTAGCGGATATTTCCAGAAATATTAATTAGGAGAAAAGGAATTATATTAACTTTCTAATTAGCTTAGGATAATGCTGAGCTTCACAGGAGCAAGCTGCGGATGAACTATTGTTATTGTAAGATCGATTCTACAGGAATATCTATTATGATACTGCTACATAGAAGACAGTCAGTGCGATGCTTATAAAATCAGACTACAGACATTAAATCAGTCAAGGTCAATCATGACTTCCATATTTTTCAGCCGCGATATTCCTCTTGACCCTCTGCGTCTGTTTATCCAGACCCACCAGCCTATAAACAGCCATCTATGCACTCCGCACATTGTTGTTCCAGCTGGAGGCAATCTCATCCATAATCTGAGAGAATTGGCCAATTAGTGCAGTATTCCTAATTCTATGGAATATACCCTCGGGTCGATCTGCATGGGGTCATTTGAGCAAAGTAGATGTGGCCAGCGGCGCTAGGCATGGGATTGTGCTTGCCGATGATAAAACAAAATCTGACAGTTGTTCGAGATGCCATAGTAATTCAATAAATATTTCTTCCCCCGCGTATAGGTATATTGGCTTTTTCATAAAGTTTCCCTGTTTCCCTGGTGCTAGCGCGTAGCCCAAAAGACTCTTACAATCTCGGACTGATTTGATAGAACGGGCTGAGTTGGAAGGCAAATTCACTGCGACCAACTAACATAATCAAGTCTTTCCAAGGCTCTGTTTTAAGAACTGAGTCGAACTTTAGTGATAATAATACTGGCCACGGCGATTGAAACAGTTGATGTTTTTATCACCGTGACTAACGTGCCTCTTTTTACCGTCTATCTAAAGGAATAGAAACGATTCAGGGGATGGCGTTGAGCGCTTGCCATGGCGCCAGGGGTTATTGAATCCCGAATACCGATGTTTCTTTATCAAAATTTGTTCTAGAACATGCTTCAGGTATTCAAATCCATGCGCCAAGGCTAAAACACTGTTGGCAAAACATGGACGATCAGTAGAAGTTCCCGTCAGCAATATAGTATAGACCCATCCTTAGTGGCTGTTTGCAGGCACGGGATTTGCATAGTACCGATATTTGCGGTCTGTCATCTTAGTTTAAAGCTGTATCAGGGTTTAACTCCCCTGGCTCAGGACAATGGTCATCGTCGGGCCGCTCGCTGTAAGATGCACTTATTCGCCCAATATTTATGACTGGTTCCAATACTCTGGCGGTTGTGGTCTAATGAACCCTATCTAGGAAATAAGATATTATTAGCACACTATAGAAGGGCTGCAGTAATTCTTGAAACATTCTGAAGCACAGAGGAATGTTGTTCCGATTAATGAGGAGCTAGATATCCGTGGTTTCGTTGACAGTCTAGATGTCACGAAATTCTACGACGTACACCAATTTCTACATCTCTGTTGGAAGAATGTAACATTTATCTGTTCGTTCAGCAACAAGTCCAGTATTGCGTACTCGAATTTTCTTTGCCATCATACGCTCACATATCCTCGGGGTAGGGCAGTGGTAAAGGAAATGAAGGAAAATGGACAAAAAACTATTTGATCGGACGTATGAGATAGTGCAGAATGCACAAGATACCTTGTAAGCGACGCAATAGTAATGGAGGGTTAGTTCTCGAGTTATGGATTCCCTGGAAACTAGGTAATCCGAGTCTTACAGGTATCCCTAGGACTCCCAAATTGGATATTTACATGAACCATGGCAACCTAGTATCATAGTGATCCTGAATACGAGACTCCTAGATTTTGGGTATTCTCGGAACCATTTAAAAATTACCAATAGCCAAGACTGCCGGTCGTCTCACTCAGCTAGAACCAAGATGAGGCACTTATAAATCCGCATAGCGAGGCTAAGCATATGGTTAGAGCTTCCCTGCGACTATAAAACACCTGTCAAAAATACTACACTTAAGTAATCTTCTATGAAGTTAAAAAAGTTTTGGACGAAGGAGCGAATGAGGCTGTATCATGTCCCAAATAAAAATCCCTCGTATTCGCATTCGCATTCGCATTTATGTGGAGATATTGACTATAAATGCAAATAACCCATAACAAATGAAAATGAATGTACAGAGTCGTATACTGATTTGTCTGCTAAGTGGGTATAATAATCTATTAGAGAATAATGCATTGCTATATATAGACTGCTAAGAGACATTATACGTACAAATTAAATCTACTAGACAGATTAGTATTTTAGTCTAGTAGCAGAGAGCAGAGGTCTCTGGTTTAAAACCAGTGCTGTAGATGGTTCTATTGGCAGAATGTATATAGTACAGACGATTGTTCTGTATTTGCTGAATTGGCTTCTTTACATGTACCTAGAATCAGAATGAGAGTGAGAATGAGGCCGTAACAGACCCTACTCATATTGGAGTACATACGCCATGTAGGTCTTTCTATTCTACCTCAATGGAATAAGTACTCGGTGCGTACCCAGTGGCATGCAGGAAGTGGCCCGAAGATCCGGGATTCCCGGATTCATTTGTAAAAGCGGCCCGCCACAACCTGATGTAATTTCTAATCAACATAAAGCTGCTCTATTATAAATGAAGCGATCTCAACACGATCACTATGATTCAGGGGAAAGGGGGCAGAAGAACACTATATCAGCTACATGTACGTAGCCTACTAAGGACCGTATTTGATAGTATCTATGATACCTCGAATGTTATCTGAAGATCGCCCCTCTTTTTCTATTGATCCTCAAGGAAAAATACCCCGCAGTGTGCCCAGGCGCTAGGCGCTCGGGTCCATATATTTCCACATCAATAAATAGCAAAGCCTATTAGTATTCCTCTTTGTCAAATCAGTAAACTCGCGGGATATTAAACACTCCCAATTTGCCTGTCCTTTTGTTGTCAAACTACTTCCAATCACTTTCAGCATCAATCTATACCAGCACGAACATCGCCGTGCCTACAATTGATCGTGGATTGCCATTTTATAATCTGCACCCTTAGCCAACATGGTTTCTACAATCATCCACTCAGTGCTATTATTCGACGGCCAATCCGTCCACCAAGATGCCACCGTCACCTTCGACTCCTCAACAGGCCAGATAACCTCAGTCTCCAGAGATAAGCCGCCATTTACTGAAGGAGCCACTGTGATCGATGGGAGAGGCCATACGTTACTCCCGGGATTGATAGATTCTCATATGCACGCTTTTTACCATGGACTGCCCCCAGATGCCCCAGAGGAGATCATCCTGCAACAACCGATCAAGGCTGGAGTCACCACTGTATGCGACATGCATTGTGACGCGGCATGTGTGGAGAGACGACGGGCTCAGATTGCCGATGACCTTAAACAGGCACATGCTGGAAGCGGGCGAGTGTTCGTGTCCGATTTGAAGACCAGCCTTCTTGGCGCGACTATTAAAGGGGGATGGCCAATTCCAGTTGTGCTGGGTCATAATCCTACAGATGAGGTCAGTATCCTTCCTATTTTCTCAACAGACATCCACACTCTTTGCAACCATTCTCTACTCTCTCCGGCTAACATTCACAAAGCTCAAAGAGTACGTCAAAAGTTGGCCAAATGTGACGGAAGATAATGCAGAAGAATTCATAAAAGACCACAAGGCACGCGGGGCGGACTACATCAAACTGATGCAGGAGAACTGTCATTCTTTAGGGGTACCAACAGATTCGATCCCCTCGGCATCTCTGTCCCTCCAAACAGCCATCGTTAAAGCTGCTCATGCTGAAAATTTCACCGTTGTTGCACACGCAACATCCCTCGATGGCACGGAGCTCGTGCTAAAAGCCGGGACGGACGGGCTGGCACACACATTCGTGGACCAGCCACCGACGCAGAGCGTGATCGATCTGTACAATAAGACGAACGCATTCGTTATTCCGACATTTGTGGTACTAAGTAGTGGGTCAGGTGAAAACCAAGACCTGCGAGACAAATTCGCCGACATCGCCCACACGCGAGGGTTGATCGACGCAAGCAGCAAGCAGACCAAGAGAGACTTCCTCGGCACAGGCTCGAGTAGATGTACCGTTGAGTATGCGTACGAGACTATCCGTCGTCTGAAGGTCGAGGGTATCGATATCCTCGCTGGAACTGACTCGATCGTCGGTCTCGCTGGCACCGCCCTGGGCGCGAGTCTGTGGATGGAACTGGAGCTGTTTGTGCAGAAATGTGGGTTCACTATCCCCGAGGCACTGCGTTCTGCAACATACTTGCCGGCGAAACGGCTTGGGTTTGACGACCGTGGTGTCGTCGCCCCGGGAAAGAGAGCGGATTTGGTGCTCGTGAGGGGTGATGTCACGCAGAAGCTGCAGAGTCTCTGGGAGGGAGAGGGTATTGTCGGAGTATGGAAACTGGGATTTAAAGCTGGTTAATAATGATATATTATTTATCTTCTTGTACTTTCTATATATATTCCTTTCAATAAAGTAGATCCTTCATGGAATTGAGTGGGGAATTGAATACTCTACTAAACAACACAATATACAGCCAGATTAGTATACAGGTATGAACATTACACCATATATCAATTTTTAGATGTTCTGACAATGATTGGCTAACTTTGTATTGTTGTCTGGAACATAGGATAGTGGATAATAAAGGCCCATAATGTAGTTATATATAAGCATGGTTTTCCCACGAATAGACAAAGATATATGATAGTGATATAAAATTGGTTAGTGTTCTAGACTCTCCTTAATGACCGTCTCTACCGAGTCATATTCAAATCTTTTGAACACCTCAGAAACTGTAGATTTCTGTCTTTAATGCCTTAGTATTATAGTCCAATGCGAAGAATCTTATCACGGAAGTATTATACGCTTATAATGACAGTTATGTGACTTACCATGAGGACCTTGGGTGATATGCACAAGCTGTTTAACCACTGTCTTGTCCCAAAAACGAGAAATCAAGTCAAACCTCTTTTAACTTATATCGAAATGGTACGTGCTGAGTGGACAAAACCTACACTCTGATGCCTCTTTGCGGAGGGCACCGCAAACCCTATCAGTTATCGCTGGCAATGCATATCTCTACAGCAAACAGCTCCGCTCTCGAGAGCCAGTGGACTCAGCCATGTATCGCATAGCTGGTGGTCGTGTCATGTATACTATCACGTAGCTACAAGGAGAAAGTCAATACTAATAATAAACAGATGGATATGAAGACAACAAGATCTCCGCGATTGCTAATACATCCACTGCATCCTAACTAAGAATCGGGATCACTGTTGCTTTGATATTCATCGATTCAATTTTACACTTGAAATTCTTTTTGGTTGTATGCATATCCGCTAAGTTTAAGGATGCATAGCAATGAAACTTCATAAACTTCCCTCTAATTTGATGTTTACCTACCAAAAAGGGTCAGTCACAAGCTAACATCGCCTATGATGATACCACGCAGCAGCAGTGGCAGTATAGATCTAACTTGTTAATAGACCACATGTTCTGCCTCGGTTTTCCACTTGTCCGCGGTATACGGAGTAATTTCTGTTAATAGGACGTTGCAGATAGTGAATTTTAAAATATAGATATATATATTTTTTTTGCGATTTTTTATTTTTATTTCCATTTTTTATTTTTGGATGATTGGATTTGCCCTACTTCAGATGCACTACTTAAACAGTGTAAATGTCGACCTATCGGGAGTCAAGCCCTTCCAACCGGTTTCCCCAACTCTATACCCCAGAATTGTATGATCTACTTATTTACTTTGTAACCATGGAATACGCAAATTATGGAGAAGACCGTCGTCACTCCGCCTCTTGCATAGGTTGGGAACCAAGGCCGATGAGGTAATGCGGGGGTGATGGAGTATTAAAACAGTGGCTGCTTTCCCGCGGTCTAGAAACCTTTTCATATGCATATTTTTTGAACGGTTGCTTCATCAGACGATTCCTAACTATGATGGATTATGACAGCTCTCTCTACCTTAAAGAAATCTGATTGGATACTTACAATGAATTTGTGACATTTGGATTCAGTTCTACATAAGTTTGTTGGGGACTAGTTGACCTATAAGAATGGTCCCTGGATGTCCTTCAGGATTCTGTTTTCATGGTAGAGATCCCTTTACTAATTTAGTCAAAATATCCACGGACTTGTAACGCTCAATTTGCCCTAGACTGGAACAGTTACTCGTAACCCAAGTAACAACTATGCCTGGCTTAATGGCAGGGGGATATCATCTCTCGCTGCCACCTTCCATTTAATCAAGAATGTGGACATGCCAGGACGCAACATTCAATTCTGGACCGACATGGCGAATTCGGAGGAGAAAGAAAACGCAGCGGAAATGTGAAGGATGTCTATATCCTCCCTGGATGCCTTCCATACTTTTATGACAAGTGCAGGGGCATACTCTCCCTTGTTCCGAGTTCCTAAGACCCAGACAAATCGCTCTTCCAGAAGATCCAGGATTTTGACACTGAGATCCCAAAGCCTCTTGCGGCCGCCAAAACGGGGCTGCTGAAACAGGGACCTGAATTCCCGGAGAGGATTGATCATACCGATGTCTCTCCTGGGCCGTATAGTCTGGAGCTCATCAAGGTCATGATAGAAAGTGAATATGCCCTGGATAGACGCAGTATCGAGGATTTTTTTTCGAGAATCCTTTTTCAAGACTAATTTCTGGGCTCTCTGGTCCACAACGTGAGTGTCACCGTGTTGTTCGAGACACCGAGGATTATGATGCTCATAGAAATAGTTTTATGCTCCAGCCGTCGCACAGTGTCATTGAGTTCCGGAGGTGTCTTCGCAAACACCTGGCGGATATTCATACTCTGAACAACGTGAGGTCGCTGGGCCGAACCCAGTATACTCTGTATCAGTTCATTATTTAAACTGGTTGAAAGGAGAAGCCGTCGACTTCCGATTTGGTATGAGAGTTATGGACCTGCAAATGGTTTCTGGAAAATAGTCGCAAGGCGGCCTCAGTGCTGTATCCAAGGTCCTTAAACAGGATGAGAAACAAGTAAAAGCCCTGGACATTGTTACCGACAATATTGTTATTGCTTCCGCTGACTCCACTAATTCCGGCCATCGACTGGGGTCAAATACAGAGCCACCCAAGGTTGTGTCAGGACAAAAGCTTGTACCTGAGGACTGCAGCTTTTCCACAATCTGGCACACAAGTTCCTTAGTTTCAGCTCCCCCGGAAAATACAGTTACAACAACGAAAAGACTATGATGGTGACGTTCACTGTGACCCTTCATGACTCTGAATTCATCCACCATTATCACTGATCCACGTTGCACCTGGGACAGGTGCACTTCTTTCCTTCTCCGACAGCAACTGGCTACTCATCATCAGCGTGTGACATCAGCCCGTCCGTTCCAACCAGCCACCAGATACCCATGTTATCTGAGGATATGGATTGCGTTTGGACCGCGTGGGAATCTCCGGTGACAAGCCAATGATCAAATGCACAGGGAAAGAAATCATGATGGCAGACCTCTCTCATTGCAACTTCCCCGTTGGCAGTCTCCTCCGAGGACCACGACTATCCCATGCTATCTCCCTCTAGCAACATCGGCGATCATGCGAAGGAACCCCCTCGATCGGCCCGAGGTCATCCTGTCTTCGACCGCTAACCTTGCCGTCGTTGGGCAGTTCGCGGAGATTCCCCAAACTACGACTCTCAATATAGAGTACGGCGCGTGCGGCGCTCAGTTGGCTGTCTATAAGCTGACGGGGCTGCATAAGCGACTGCAGATGCTTAAGAGGTATCTCCTTATGACTGTTTTCGATTGGTTGGCAGGTCGTTGAGTCTGAGCTAACCTACTGTGAGCGGAAGGCTTTTGGTCCTTAATTTGATAAGCCGGACAGTTTTTTTGGCCTTAATTTTTGGTTGAACTGTGTCAAGAATATTGTTTCTGTCAACCGGAAGGAAAATGCCTCACGTTACGGGGTACGTGCCATGCACTTAGTATTGAAATTGGCTCAAAAAGTGTCACTTTTGACTCGCAACGCAATTCACCATATCTGATATCTGAGCACGGATATGGCGGCGAAGCCGAGCTCGGCAGATTTACAGAAGCCAGAGGTCTTTTAATTTACATGCAAAATGCGCAGTTTACATGGACAGTGACCTTACGTTTATTCTTCATTTGATATACTTTAAGCATTTATAGTCTTTATTATTTCAACCTTCGTGTTCAACTAAACCTTCTCCATATCGTGTGCAACAGGCTCGGCAGCAGCCTCATCATTGATATCCTGTGATTGTTTATTTCGACGCCAACGAATCATTCCACCCAGACGACTCATGCCTCGATTTAAAGGTCGATACGCAGAAAGAACAGGCCTCCCCAAAAACCTGGCTGCAGCGGCAAACCATCTATCCGGAAATATGCGAACACAAATCGCCCACGGCCAGGATAGCGCTGCTACCAGAATACAAATCACCCACTGCACCCCATTGATAGGAACAATGCTGAAGGCTGTCTTCCCGACAAACGCAATCAGGATCTGACAACCGATCATGATACAGTTGATGACGATAAAAAAGTAGTTGCGGTGCAGTCCGGTGAAAATGTTGAATTTGTTGTCGAGTCGACGGTTGTTGAATTCGTTGAAGATTTGCATCCATACGAATGTGTTGAAGACGATAGATCGTCTTTCGATATCAGGATAGTCCAGAAATCCGGGCCCTTTGACAAAGTGGAGGATCAAGGTCACTGTGAGTTGGAATATGGCCTGTCCAATGATCATTTTCCACATCGTGATGGAGATCAAAGGCGCGCCGCCTTTGGGTGGTTTGCGGTCTAGGATTTGCTCTGTCGGAGGGTCCGTTGCCAGGGCGAGGGCAGCTAATGAATCCCTGTGGAGTTTAGTAAATGCCATACATTAAATATAGTGGAATATCTTACATGATCAGGTTGATCCAGAGCAGCTGAACAGCCGTCAACACAGATCTCATCTCCGAATCCGAGACAGACGAAATAAAGGTCAGGAACACCGCAGTAATATTGACGGTGATCTGGAACTGCAGAAATTTGCGTACTGCATCGTTCACTGCTCGTCCCCACATCAACGCCGTCAATATAGAAGCAAAATTGTCGTCCATCAGCACAATTGCTGAAGCCTCTTTTGCCACCTCAGTCCCGGCAATGCCCATCGAAAATCCAATGTTGGCAGCCTTCAGCGCCGGGCCATCGTTCGTGCCATCACCCGTGACGGCAACAATCTCACCCATTTCTCTCAGCTTGGTAACGAGGATCCGTTTGTCTTCTGGTGAGGACCGTGCAAGGACCTGAAGATTCGGCAGAATTTGGTTAAATTGTTCATCTGATAAGGTACGGAAATGAGGACCTTCCATGACCACGCCGTTGGTGTAGATCCCACAGTCGGTTGCAATAGCTTTAGCTGTGACCATATTGTCCCCGGTGACCATGCGAACAGTCACGCCAGCATGATGACACTTGGCTACAGCTTCGGGCACGCCAGGACGAATAGGGTCTTGTATGCCAACCACGCCTAGGAAAACCATGTCCTTGAGCAGTAGTCCGGGATCGACCGCTGCGGGATCGTCGGCAGAGATACCATTCTGTGGAGGCCAGACGGAGAAATCTCGATAAACCAAGGAAAGCGTACGGAGGGATTGTTTTGCATAGGTCAAAATGGTGTCTTCCAGCTGTTGCCGCTCATGTATATCGAGATACTCAACACCAGAGGGCTTCCAGATAGCCGAGCTGTACCCAAGCAGGATTTCCGAGGCACCCTTCACAAGGAACCGATGGGTGCCGTTAGGAAGTCGCATGACAACACCCATGCATTTGCGACTCGAGTCGAAAGGCATCAGTTGTACCACTTTCGCATTGGCGCGTTCCTCCGCTAACGATCTCATCCCAAGCACGTCGCGAGCGAACCCTAAAAGAGCCGTTTCGGTCTTAGAGCCAACGAAGCCGGCAACCCCGTTATCCTCGCCTTCGAATGCCGTCGAGTTGATGGCTATCGATTCAATCAGAAGGCGCTTATACTCGCATGTCATCTCCGTTGCGAACGAATTGGATCGTTGCTCGGTACCCGTCTCGTTCTTGTCGTCAAATCTCTGGCCTCCAAAAACTCCAGTGACCACGGCCATTCGGTTCTGAGTCAAAGTCCCCGTTTTATCGGAGCATACAGTTGTTGCGTTTCCCATTGTTTCACAGGACTTTAACACCCGAACCAGATTGTTAAGCTTGACCATGCGAGTAGTGGCAAATGCAAGTGCTAGTGTAACAGCGAGTGGTAAGCCTTCTGGGACAGCAACGACAATGACCGTGATAGCAACAATCAAAATATCCGTAAACTGAGATGCCTTTTTCGCGCTGCTTCGAGGATTATTTGACAAGGTACCAAGGAATCGGAAGAGCAGGACAAAAAATAATAGAATAGCAGCACTACTACCTAGTTTTGCGATGGCTCCGGCTAACTTGTCGAGTTTCTTTTGCAAAGGCGTGGGCTCCATGTCCTGTCGCATTGCCATGAGAATCTTACCATAGCTCGAGTTCACGCCGACTGAAGTGACAAGACATGTCCCAACACCTTGAAGGATCTTACTCCCGGAGATAATAAAAGGGTCCATATCTTGAAGTTTATTGTGGCCCTGCTCTAACAGAGCCATCACGCGTTCTGCACCGGTCTTTTTCAACTGATCCGACTCGCCAGTAGCTGAAGACTCGTCGCATCTCACATTGTGGCCGTCGATGAAAATTCCATCAGCCGGCATGATATCTCCGGGTTCTAAGTGCAGCACATCACCAACGAGCACATCGTACACGGAGATTCGAACTGTTTTCCCAGAACGAATAACTGTCACCTCACGATCCTCCTTCTTTGCATTCAACCTGACAAAGGCTCGCTCCTTTTGGTAGTCATTGAGCGAGCCAACGAGAACCACTATAATGATAGCGATAAATATCGCGCAGCCCTCAATCCAATCCACAGGCATGGGCTCACCAAGTTCATGACGAACTCCAAAGGTTTCGTAAAGCCCCAGTGCTAGAGATATCGCAGCTGCCACGGTCAAGAGATGTAGGACCTTATCGTTGTATGCCATCCATACCAACTTCCACAACGGAGTTGCTTTCTTCTCCGGAAGGACGTTCTTATTGTACACGCGGATCCGATCAGCATAGAATTCCGAGAACCGGCTCGCTGCTGACGAATCGTGGATAGAGATTGTCGTCTCATCAGCACCGAGACCTGACGTGGCATCGGTATGCAGACCCTTGACTAATCCAGGAAGCCCACCGAGGGCAACAAACGCAGACAAGGACTTCGGGTTTAACAGCTTATTGAGTTGACCTGGGGAAAAGTCAAACGGGTTGTTATCGACATAGAAGTCTTTCTCGTTGCCTGGATCCGGTCGAAGAGCGTCCTCTTGTTCTTTCGTAGAGAATATACTTGATCCGGATGCCGAGCTCACGGAACACTTTCGTTTCTCGTCTGGTAATTCTAGGTGCGAGCTTCCGGGTGCCATCGTGCTGCCGCTCATGGTCCGTTCTCGACCTGTATATTGGCTATCGACTGCTGTTAGGTTGCTGGATGACCTCTGTCGTGTGCATACTCCTAAGGATATCGTCTCATCTTGACCATCTGAGCCAGGGGCGGGGACGATTAGCTGCTGGAGGCTGTCAGACCCAAAGAACAAGACGAGAGAGAGTATAAGCCTACCGGAGCTTGAACCGTGATTTCAGGGATTGAACCTTGGCCAGCAGGTGGTTGGTAGCTCTCATCAGATACCATTTTGCTTTGACTGAATTAAACAATCATCTTCATATGGATAAATAATAGTATCACGAAATGATACAACCAACCCCTCTGAATTTGTACTAGAGTCCAATACCCTTCCAAACGAGCAAAAAGCCCCTGCACGGGACAAAGCGCCGTGGTGGCCGCTGCACAGCCCCCTTGGGTACGTCTGTACCGGAAAAGCCGTCCATCCCAAGAGCCATGAGCGGAGTGCCAAGATCTCTCAAACGTCGCTGGACGCGAAGCCAAGAGGCCGGTAATACCGACGAGCCTATCTTTTATTGTAATTATGATAGCCATGTGGTTTGCAGGGGATCCATCCCATAATGTGAGACGTCGTGGGGATCGTTTTGCAATGGAAATGGAGTCCCTGTATCAGGGTAACGGAGTGCATGAAGACCATGTCTCGGTAGCGTATTTCCGCTGATAAAAGCACTACCGTCTCTCTGACGCTGTCTTGAACTTGTAAAGAGCTTACGTCGCCCGTGCCGTAAAACTCCAAGAGTTGCATCGCCACTTCTATTGTGGGTCTCTAAGATAGGGTTTAATATTTCCCGCAGACAATAGCAATGACCCTTTGGAGGTTGTAATTGACGCGTCCCGCTTCATTGCCATCAGTTTGAGCATGGACACAATGCCAATGAAATATGATTCTGCCGAGGCTGAGTTGTTTGTTGACCGACCAGAGACAGTGACCATTTATGTGGAGATCTGTCTGTTAGTTTTTGGATGCTGACATTAAGACCTTAGAAACGTTATCTCAACAGTTTACGAGATTTCCCTCTTTAGGTCACTCCTCGCCTATGTACAGTGCGATTCAGCCATGAATGACAATTATACCGGCAGTTTCGGTCGTTTTGCTAGACGGATGGTGGCTTAGTGATCTACACATCTCCACACGTGAATTAACATGGACAGCAGTGATATTGCAGCTGCTTATAACTTCCCTACTACGTAATACCTCTTTGCTGTTGCCTCAAGAAAATCGATATATCGGGTACCAGATTGTAGCCTTCTTCTCAAGTCACCCAAGAGTTAATCTACCTTCCCTGCCAATACAGAGCACTGTTTGGATGTGTGGATGAGCTCTTATCGAACCCAAGTTGGGGCGATCTTGCTCACTCGTATTGATTCCCTACATTTCCTATTTTCGTAGGATGGGCTCAGTGCGAGCTATCAAATGTTGGTTCTATCATATTAGCACCTATAGCATTTCCCATACGTATTCTAGCACCTGATAGAACTACCATGACCTTACACTTCGCCTGGCCTATTTTATCGTCAGCAAAGAATGCTCACTTGGCAATGTATCTCATTGTCTCGAATATCTCTGTCATGTCAATTCAGAGATGGTATCGGAAGAAGAACAAAATTGTTCTTTAACTACTATTCAGTCAATTTGGTGTGGTGTATTCGGCCTGCCTTCTTGGCTTGGTCATGGCATCTCCGACTTCAAGTCTCTTATGGTCACTCTTCTTGGGTCTCGTGCACTACGGTTAGGGAGGGCTTGAACGATGAAAAAGTTGGAGAAGGACTTTCCGAACCATCAAACTCTCCATAGTAACTATGCTTCTAAATGGTTCCGAGGAACACGAATTATAGGTTAAAATTTGGTGGTGTGATATCGTACAGGGTGTTAAACCACAAGCATAAAATGTGCAGATGCTGATCCACAGCGACTGAGCATTTAAATTGCTAGTGTAAAATATATAATCCGAACGTAGGTATAGCTTGGACATGGAATTTTGTTGACTAATATCTCTTTGGTTCTGGACTGTCTCTTTTAGTCATCCACTAGCTGCTCATCCGCACGGATTCTAGTAGTCACTCTCGCTGCGCCCTGCAGCATAGGCCACCTGTACGATAATCAAATGATTTAATTAGTATTATATCGCAACTAAAAGTTCTTGAAGTTTGGTAAAATGTTCGGTGTCATTCTCTACAGTTTCTAAGCCTATTCTAAATGCTAATATTAAGTGATGGCTTGCATATAGGTAATGAGGGATATTCCTCTTAAATGTGAATCCCTAATGTATATAGCTAATATATAGTAAAATGTACAATAATTCTTGTCATATAATAGAGCTTTCAGATATAGATATTTGCGAGGTGTATACCCTAGATATCCTCGGAGGATACTTTATAGTTTGGATTCTAAGGCTACATTATCCTAGACTGTTAAGGTTCAAAACCAACTCCAGCGAGGTTGGGATAGATGAGATTATTAAATGAGATATATATTCCCATGGAGGTGGCATGCGGTAGTTTTGTCTGGACTATATTATAGATCACACCATTTCCCCTCCATGGTTGAAACTTGACAGAGAGCCCTGCTAAATAATGTATTGTCTGTCTTTCTCATAAGGTACCTAACTGATATTCATATGCATAAGGAAGCCAATCATCTTCGTTAACACTATCAGTAACGTACCGCTCTGCGCGCGTGCACTCTTTTAGGGTGGGGTTTCCCTGAATCCTACTCCGTAAATCGTGTGGAGCGGAGGAAGGGCAGAGCCAGCTGTCAGTGCGGGGCGGGCCGTGGAATCCAAGCTAGAATTAAAAAATATGGAACTAACTTTGTAACTAGGAGAGAATCACTATAGTAGATAGCACTTATGGTTGTTCGGGTTTTCGAATATGTAGAGCATAATTTATAGCATTTCAATTTAGGAAAATAGTAAAAATGACGGTCGACTCCTCTCTTCGGAGGGGTTGGGCTGCAGGCTGAGACTGAGCAGAATCATACTATCTCCTGATGCCTACCATCTGAGGGGTGTGTTGTCTGTGCGAGAGCCCTATAACCAATTATATAATATGCTCAGTGGGTTTATAGTGGGGTCATGCTATCTTTTGTCTAATTTATGAAGATTGACAAACTAGTGCATAAAAAGCACGTCTGGGCACAGGCCTATATCAGCTGTTACTAAGGAATTGATAGGTAGCTAGTTCCACTTAGGTGCTGATCAGGAAATTAGTACTCCGTAGCGTCATATAAGAAAATATGCCGGAGTCCTGAGTGGCCTAAATATTAGCCAAAAGCCCATATTACATCTCTTTTCCTATATTTTTGGAACATCTGTAAATATAGGAATAAGGATAAATATACTATTGCACTTTTAGAGCTGTCCCATTTAATATATAATGTCTTTCCTATTGACTATCTTCACCTCCAACAACCCCGCTAATGTATGTAAATGCATGTATTCTTCTTGACAAACTGCCCAAGAGTAGCAACTTCTAATACAATCCCAATACCTTAGTAGGTGGTCTAGGTGGGGTAGATTTAAGTATTCGAAATTTCACCACAATATGGCCCATTTCCTCGCTTTCAAAGCAAAAGAGTCTACCAACCCCGTCAGTTAATCTATAATTCCATTTACAGTCGATCCAGGGGATATAAGATTCCCATCCCTGGAGATATTGGCGTGCGCCCTGAAGTCACTGCATCGAAGTAGCTGGAACAATGTATCACATTTCTCTAAGGCCTTACTCCACAAGGTATGATTCATATTATATAATATAATATTATAATCCCTGTCGATTAAATCTACTGTTATAAGAATTCAGAGTCGCGCTGTTTTTATCTTAAAAGTCTAAATAAGCGACCTGCCTACTGACTAGTCCTCCTCCCATACCGCACTTAATATCCAACGATGATTGCAAAGTTTATCCTTGCCCTGGTGGTCCTATGTCTGTTCAAATGGCTTCTGACGCGGAGCCGACAACCTCCTGCCCCTCTACCTCCAGGGCCCCGCCCCATGCCTATCATTGGAAACATAAATGATCTCCCACCTCACAACTGCCAAGACTGGATGCACTGGTACAAGCATAAAGCTCTTTATGGTATGTTTCCTAGCAGTGCTCAGTCTTATACAGTAAAGTTGCTGACTTTAGTAAAAGGCCCTATCAGCTCGCTTACCGTATTTGGCCAAACGCTGGTCATTTTGAATGAAGCCCGCCTCGCTAACGAACTCCTGGAAAAGCGATCGGCTGTACACTCTTCTCGTCCGAGGATGCAGTTTGCTAAAATGTGAGTCGCTGCCACGACTTTCGAAGGACAGTATCAATGGCTAATTAATCAGGGCGGGCTGGGAGAATTTCATCAGCGTGCAGCAATACACAGATCCGAGATTTCGACTCACTCGGAAGGTTCTACAGCAACAAATCGGTTCTAATGCCTCTGTTTCGCGGTTTGATAACATCCAGGATGTGGAATCGAGGCGGTTTTTGCTGAGAGTGTGTAACTCACCGGGAGATTTGATTCGCCACATTCGAAAGTAAGCGAACTTCGCGTCCAAGGTCATCCCAAGGTAATGAAATGACTAATACCATTCCAGGGAGGCGGGCGCAATTATATTGAAAATTACATATGGCTACACTGTCGAGCCACACTCTCGTGATCCCCTGGTCGACCTCGCCGATAAGGCAATGGCAGAGTTCGCGGAGTCAATACCCTCCGGTACTTGGATGGTGGATCTTGTTCCTATACGTATGAGCCACTTGATGATCCTTTCTAGTTCCCATTCACTGACAAGGAATTAAAGTCAAGCACTTGCCAGCTTGGTGTCCTGGAGCAGGGTTTGTACGAACAGCACGGGCGTATAAGGAGACGGTTACTGAAATGAGCTCCAAGCCATATCTGTTCGTCAAGCAACAGATGCTCCAGCATGGAGCTCAACCATCAGTTCTCTCAAGCCTCTTGTCAGACTCTTTGGTCCAGGCCGGCTCAGAGGAGGAAAATGTAATGAAGTGGTCCACAGCAGCAATGTACGCTGGGGGAGCGGACACGGTATGTGAAATTTACTCTTTACTTTCCTGCGGCAGGTCTGATAACCCAACAGACTGTCTCGACAATAACATCCTTCTTTCTTGCAATGATGCTGTACCCAGAAGCTCAGAAACGAGCCCAAGCCGAGATCGATAGCATAGTTGGAACGGATCGCCTTCCAGATTATGAGGACCGCGACAACCTACCGTATGTCAATGCACTGGTGAAAGAGCTTTTACGCTGGCATCCAGTTGCACCAATGGCCGCTGCACATATGTCAATTCAGGATGATATGTGCGAGGGATATTTCATCCCCAGGGGTTCGCTCATATTGCCGAACGTTTGGTATGTTAATTTTTGCTTCTTTTCTCCTTTCATATACACGTGGCTTGAGAACACTTGTTTATAGAGTGAGCAGGTCATTTACGCACGACCCTGCTGTCTACCCAGAGCCTTCGGTCTTCAAGCCTGAACGCTTCATAGAGAGCCCGGAACACCCAGCTGAACCTGATCCGCGATACCTATCCTTTGGTTTTGGCCGTCGCGTCTGTCCCGGACGCAACCTTGCTGTTTCGAACGTGTTCCTAACTGTGGCGCGGTGCTTGGCCGTCTTTGATGTCACTCATGTCGTCCGTGATGGAAAGAAAGTGAGTATCGAGCCAAATTTCTCGCCGGGGGCAATCAGTCATCCTATGCCTTTTGAGGTTAGCATTAAGCCTCGGAGTGAGGAACATGAGAGAATTATCCGGTCGGTGGAGAAGGAGCATCCATGGGAAAAAAGCCAGGCAGAGGAACTTCGAAACTTGCAGAGCTAGACGTTCGTGGTCGGGCTGTTGAGGTCTCGTTTATGTAGATGTCACTTTGAGCGTTGACACGTTACTACGAGCAACAGACTGCAATGGACAGCGGATAGTGGATCTATGCAATATAAATTGGATAATATGTGGGTATACGGAGTCATACGAAATGCAACGGATTGCGTTATTAAGAAATGCACCTTTCATCCTCTTTCTTCAACTCAATGGGCGTATTGTCTTCGAATCTAAATATCTTGTCTTAAACTTTTGAAAATGAAGAATACTGAGAGCTCCAATAGGCACTGGCTGTTGTTGTGCTCAAGGGAGTGCTGGTCACCCGAATGCCGCTGGGGAAAGCCATCGTTGTTCCATGCCGGCAATAGAGGCTCCCTTTCTACTCGAGATCTCCTTGATGATCAACGCGTTGTCTGGATGGCGGTATCCTTATTGTTGGTCTCAGCTCCTGTAGGCGTTATCTTATATGTTGATGACGTAGATAAACTGTGAGAACGTTGTATTGCAAAAGTCTCAAGGAAGCGAGGCCCCTTTCTGAAAACGTGAATGCAGATGTCGCTTGAGGTTCTCATGTCGGGTAAAGCGGCTTTGACAGATGAGACACTGGAAAGGATGGTATGACACTCATCTACTGGCGTGGGAGACAGACATTAAAACGTGTCTGTGGCGTGCATCTGTCGGAAGGAAGAGCTGCCAAGGATGCAGAGAAATCCGGGGGGTCATCCCCGCACGAGGATCGGCTATAATTGGGACTTCCAGCTATTCTTGATGGAATCGAGCACCTTTGTTTACTAAGATAAGACAGCTCATCCTGATTAGTTGTTGCTATGCGTGGATTGGGATCTATCTATCTTATGGCAGGTCATTTTCCAGACTCCTACCGCATCTCATTCCTTTCAGACTTCCTGGATATTAGCGACAGTAAATACTTATAGTATGTAGCAATCATGGTTCACAATTAATAGTTATACATAATAATTTATATAAGTTCGTTGCTTGTAAAAAAAAATAAAGAAACATTGGATGTCCCGTCTATCCTACTTTCGGACAAACGCTTAAAAAACATCCTTCAAAAATATCCGAATAAAACGAAAGCCCCGCCATTGAAAAATGGCACGATAATTGTGTTTCCTCCCCGCCAATTCAGGGGTGCTGCTTTATATATTAGATAGAGTGCTATTAGGCTTGATATAAAATACCTGGTGATCAAATGTTGTTGTCTGTATCAGTATGCAGTATTATAAACACAGATCTCATGTGCATTCGGGCATTAAACAGCAAAAGAAATGTCTGGTATCTTTAATAGTAGATAATTAACTAGTACACTATATATCTATACTCCGTAGTATAGGCACTAATATGTGCTCCGCCATTAGATGGAGACATTGGAGCAATGATACCCAGAAAAACAACACCAGCGACTATTGCAACCCACTATGGGCGGGGCGATATGTTCCAGTGTAGCGCTTAGGAGGGTTTTTGCGAAGGTTGTGCCATTCGAAATTGCCATTGCGCTCTTTATCTGAATGTTTCTATTCGGAGGCCCAGGTAAGCGAGGCGATCAGTCTTTGAGATCTAGAGAATTAGTGATAAGGTCATCGATGCAAGCTCAAAAAAGCAAAGGGTGCAAACCTTGAATTTAATTTGGACTTGTCGCTGTCTATGGAGAACTAAACTGACGAATCCCATCGGAACGACTTGGACAGTGGCGGGCGATTATGCTTTCCCTGGGTTGTGGGGTCTTTCTCAGCAGTCATGTCGTTCGCCGTTTGTTTCGCGCGCGCGCGCGTGTGTGAGAGAGAAATGAAAATAATATCTCGTTAATATAATTCTACTGATCTAAAACGGGTACCAAGGCACGAATCTTCTGAAACATATTGGTATATATTTATTGCCATTCAGGCAAGGTATGCGTAGATTAATTAGAGATGCTGGGTGGTAGATTTCTCTGTTCGGATGGAAGGAATAATTTGTATCGTAACAGTCATTTTTGGATGAGTCTACTGCTTTGGGAAGCGATTTACAGACACAACCAAACTTCCTAATTAAGTATAATCACTGCTATTGAGACTGTAAACGAGAGTAGGTCGACAGAACATGGAAGGTAGAAACATTAAAGTCTAGATGGAATGTTGCAATAAAGTTTGATGATCTTTAACTCTGCTTTAATTCACAGTTCGTTTCACTGTTAGATTTTCAAACTCCTCGTGACATTGTTCTCTTCCACGTGGTGCTGGTTCGGTCTAGGCAGTTCGATGGTGAAATTTTCTGACAGCAATTTAAAGTTTTGTGATGGCCCTCGGCTTCTCCAAGCTACTGCTTGGGTCAAACTCAATTTCTGGCTTGGGCGGCATCGTACGTGAAACTCTGTTGAAATTGTGGACTGATCATTTCCATGTCCGAGAAGTATAGTAAGACAGAGATGCACTTGCAACATACCTGGGGGAGATTGACGTAACGTAGCATATAGTTTTAGGATGATATGGTCTCTATTGAACTGCTAGTCACTCACAAGGCTTTGGGAGTGGATTACTTTGCCCTCAACACCTACGTCACATATTTAGTTTCCCAAGACAGAGCATGATCGGCTCAGGGTATTTCATAGAATTTCCGGTGAACTAATGATAGTGCAACAGAACGTTCTAGGCTTGATAGTTTGCAATAGTCATGAGATTCGAAGTCTCGACGGACGTGTCCAAACATGGCCATGAATCATGTCATCTGAAACTCGCCCGTCGCCTTAATCCCCGGCCGCCACAGATAAAAAAATAATCTAATTCCTGCTCTCCATCCCTATATTGCCTCGTATGAGATTAAAATACTGAAACTAATTGAATATTCGAACTACATTTATTTCACAAACAGAATGCCAGTCGACGACTACGGCGTTTGGAAGGGGGTGCCGGTTCATTACGAGGTTGAAGACTCTATTGAAGACCCAAAATCCCCGCACTTATCGTTATACTACCATGAAAATAAAGGAACGGAGCCACAGTTTGACCGCAAGTATCGTCAGAAACACAAAAACAAACCAAGAAACCAGAACAGACCGAAAGAAATTCCTGGGCTCTTCCGCGCGGCGATCAACATCAAATCCGGGAACAAGGTAGAATCTCGACTTGTCTATTGGGTGAATTATAACGTCGTCAATCACCCGATTGTTGAAAAGTTAGCCAACCTGGATTTCGGCTTTCATCCTCTCGAGGGTATGGCTGGTGAAGGGATAGACTATATCCGAAGTGATCTCTTCGATGCTAAGAGCGGTCGTGTTCTTCCTCATGACATTCCAGGCCCAAACAACGATATTATTAATGTCTTGGAGCCTGAAGTACAGCAATCAATTGAAAAGAATGCAGAGGTTTACTTGTTCGGTTCCTGTTTCAGTACAAAAAACGGAATTCACAATGTGCATATGAATCAGGGCAACGTAAAGAATTTCCGTCATGATGATGGAGTTTTCCATGATGGAGGTCTTCTCATCCATTATAAAGACTCTGGAAAATGGACTGGGATTTTTCTCGCGTTTGCATCACAAGCTGTGCACACCGATGATCGTAGCGGTCACGCTATATCACCATTGACCTGGGGCGAATTATTACCCACAGAACACACAGAGAATTCAGTAGCAATCAAGGAGGCATATGTCAAAAAGGGAAAATCAGTTACTCTCGCGAACCTTACAAACCACAAGGTATCCCTGTCATCGTGGCAATTCCATAATTCAGCTGGTCAAGCCCAAGAGCTTCCTCGCGATGCAGCCTTGAACTCCCTGGCTACCAGAGCCTTTGAAGTGCCTAATTTACCTCTTTCTAACGATGGTGACACTATCACTCTTGTTGATGAACATGGGTTGAAGGTTGATGGCGTGAGTTATAACTCTCAGGAGGGAAAGATGGAAGGTCGACCAATTGTTTTTGCACATTAGGACTTAGCCAACATGAAAGGTTTTAGCTGACTAGGCTCATTTCTTGAAACTCCGGGCGTTGCACGGCACCTAAAATGAAGCCAAAACTGGCAAGAGGCGGACATACAGCTGTCAAGAAAGGGCCGGGAAAATAAACCAGAGCAGCACTAAAAGTGCTTGTTGAACTTATCATTATTTATATCTAATATGTCAATCCCTACGTTAACTAATCATGTGTTAGAGTTGTTCGGATACTGAAAATAAGAGAAAATGCTGCCCCAAATTGCTGATGCTCTCTTTCCTTTCAAATGTTTAGTAAAAGGATCTTACATATTTAAAATATTGCAATCAGTTACTTGAACGATACTCTAGAATGTCCCTATGATTATTACTAGTACCAAGATAAAAGATTAATCGCGCCGGCGACTTCGTCCGAGTTTCAACAAGGAGGCTTTTAGAGTAGATCTCCATGTCTGTACACGACGAGTTATCCCTCATCCATAGACATGCCACAATTAGCGCCGTTTCATTAGCATATTCTATATCTGAATTCATTGGATACTAGCGCTGACTCATTATTTTTCATATATATCAGAGCACGCGTCGACTTGTATAATAATAATAATATATGGCTACTCCGTACGGAGTCATTCCTACCCATCTAGTTCATTCGGAAGCTATTTAAAATGCCTAAGCTGAAGCTTGATGCAATTGAAGAGAATTATAGCTTAAAATCTATTTAATATACACCTCTTAAGCAGATCCAGTATACTCCTCAGATTTATCTTCCTTCTAATACTGATGTGGATAGTCCTTCTGCAATATTTAGTCTATTCTTTTCTAATAAGGTCATTTAGATAATTAGTAATTCTACTAATATCTATTGTCAGGGGCTGAACCCGTAGGAACTATAGAATAGTCTACATACAGAAGGAAATCGTTGAAGGGAAGAATGTTCCAAATTGTCTTACATACAGCTCATACGTCAAGACCTTCTCTTGGTTAACTTCGTGATGTGGTATGGTTGTATCGATATAAACTCCAGGCTGGGTGGTTGAGAACACTCAGTCCTCTTCGTCAACGTGAACAGCTCTAATCCTCCCTTTCATGTATATTTCCTTCCCCAGGGCTTGGGCCTCAGAAATCCTATTATTGTCTTTCAAGATCCAATAACCATCATCCTGCCGGCGTTTCAATGGCGGGCAAGGCCATTTACGGTCTTTGATAGAACTATGGATCATTTCTTCAGTAACATGGGGTTTACTACCCGAGCGTTTGTAAGCAAGCGGAGTACGATTTGATTTACCACCCAAGATGCCTTGTAGGATTCTGACTAGACTCGAAGTGCTGGTCTTGCCCAGGCTGGTTGCCCATGGGCTATTCTCGCTCTCCTGGTCAGCAGGAGGAATATCGAAGAGGTACTCGTCAATATCAAAACTCAGTTGTTCATGTTTCGTACACTGAGCTATCATCCACGCCAGTGGAATGTTAGATAAATGAGGATCATCCCCGCCACCACCGACATCTGTATGAACCCCAGAGAACCACATTTGCAGGAGCTCTTGCCCGTCAACCTTGTGTGGGATATGCCACACTATTGGTTGATAGACTGTTCTTTCTTCATCAAGGGCCAATGCGTGGAAGGCGTACTTGACATTTGGTGACAGGATGGTGTTACGCAACTCCAACTTCTCACCAGACTTTTTTCCCAGCCAGGCCTTTTGGAACCCAACTGTATCCCATACCCCGATAATCTTCACTGTAAAAGTGGGTAATGGATCGCGGAACCCTAGTCGTTGTCGCTTTTCTCTAGAGTAATCTTCCACTTGTTCCTCGTAAAAGTCATGGTAGACATTGGTAAAATTATCCATTCCTCGTGGAGTTAAGAGGCCCCATTGGCAGACAAGCCCAGCGACTGCACGTGCGGTGTATGCACCGCGGGAAAAGCCAAAGAAAAAAATTTCGTCGCCTTCTGCGTAGTTGTTGGCCAGGAAGCCATAGGCTGCTCTGACATTGGCGCTTACTCCCAGGCCAGCAACACCTGCAGTAGCAGCCATCACTCATTAGTGACCATGAACTAGAATGATCCGTGAGGGAAGCATATGTCTATAGTGTACTGATAAAGAACTACTTAGTAGATTCGAGGAGCTTACCACCCCAATATTTATCACCTAAATTTGTTCCAACCCCTTTTTGATAGTACACTATCTGCGGAATTGCTTTTTTCTGGCCATCTTGCTCAACCATCGCTGTCTGGCTTAGAGCTCTGCTAAACCGCGTTACATTCGTAGGTGGACGAGCTGAGTCGGCCGTAGAGTCTTGCCAGGTTCCTAGGACAATAATTAATTAAATGAGTATAGATTGGGGATTTTGGGCTATCGAAACCATCGCAGCAAACAATGAGTCGTTTTTGCAGACTTCCACTATTTTGTGACATTGTATGCAGCTAGATCAAGCATTCGCCCAGCGACTGATATCACTCTCAATGCAAGATAGATATGGAAGTAGCGCAGATTCGCCTCAGATTGGGGAGGGGAAGCTTTTGTTCAATTAATATATATAGTATAGGAGCTTCTAGAACATTTAATGTGTTAAGCATTCGTGATTTTGTTGTAGGGGCTAAACTGCCATTTTCTCGGTCATAGAACGTGCCATTGGTACTGGGTGGTATGAACATCTTTTCAGACTATAAAAGACTTCCATTGTTACTCATCTCATATGACACATCATAAAGGTTGACTCCGAAAACAGATGTACCCCACGCCATGGTTTGGATGTTGGGGTGGCAGGAGGCAATCTAACCAAAGAAATTCAAGTGGAAGGGAAGGGCAAAGTTATGTCGCAGAGATTAAAGTTTGAATCATGCGATCATCCTTACCCTTCGATCATAACCCACGGATAAGCGGCGTTCTGGCCAGAAGTAGCACAAAGGTACACAGATACATAATTATAGCAATGAGAGCAAGCGGCGGTAATCTGGGTGTTAGCCCACTGAAGTTCCCACTGAGATTAGAGTTGGTCTTAGCGTAACCAAGATAGGGAATGCATCAAAATGTCTCTTTTTGGTTCCCGAACTTTATTGTTAAGAATAAAAAATTCATATATGACGTTGCTTATCAATAATCTACCATAGAAACATGGATTTGACGTCACAATTTCCATAGCTTAGCTTTTAAATACAGTTTCTTTTACCTCTCTCAAGTAGAGAAAAAATAAAAAAAAAACAGGAGCCAACTGTACCGGCGAGGTTAGAATTATAAAGAAAGGGTAGCGCCGAAGGCTAGCTACACTTATTTTAGTTCTCTAATGTGGGTTACAGCCTCTCTGCTTCAAGCTACTACAATGCAGGCTCTACTTCTCACACCCTTTTTGAGTATCTCAACCAGTCACTTCCTGGGGGTATTGGACACCGAGCTATTGCCTACCAGGCAGAGAAATACTTTACTGATGATGGTCTCCATCTTGTGAATGATCTTGTTTCCAATAACAAGGATTATGATATTTCGGACGGCACAAAATTTTGCCGATACTATCAAATATAAACGCCCCCGTACTAGACTGGCACAAAGTTTATTATAGGATATAATCTAATTTCTAATGTATGGCCGGTAGGGTAGGGAGAGGCCTGGGCAGGGCTCTAGCCTTGGTAGAAGGTAGGAATAGGCCTCTTTATAGACAGACCAGATTTTAAAGCCGGTCTTCCCTAAAGGTTTACTGGGTGGCTTGTGTTTCTTGGAGAATGTGATCATGATATTAATCGAAGTGGCCGACGCTCCTGATTGGCAGTCGACGGATACTTTCGCACACTCAGCTCGGCATTTCGGAGACGGTTTCCCACAACCACTAGTATGTTTGGTTCTTTATCATTCTAGATGGTATCGACAATAAAAGCGTCCTCTGACCCGACCTTGGTTAACAAAATTGCGATTTGCGTCCTGTCCCTGATTGATTTGGGTGTGATGCCATTTAGCCGGTCCACTAGTAGGTAAATCTGATCAACGAATTCTCGCACGTTTTTGCACCATGTCTCGATACCCGCTACCTACAGGTTGACGGAGACAGGTATTTGAGATAGTATGATATGCTTCGGCTTCTCTTGTGCACCAGTCTTGGTAACGTTCATGCGATTGCACCTCGATGCTAGCCGCATCTCGAGGGCTCTCCGTCGGAGTGCGCGTTCGGAATCTTGCACAGGGGGAGGATGAAGTCAGCAGTCTGGTTTGGCATAGTTACTTCAAACGCGCAGTTGGGGCATTCTATATCGCTCGACACATGCCAGACTTGTGTTTCAGGTACGAGGTCATCATGATATTAGGAGGTTTCAGGAGGTTGGAGGACGAAGAGGAGACGAGAACTTCTTGGCGTCATTTTGTTGGGTACAGCTGTGGGCAGGCGGTCCGCAGCCGTGCCTGCTATTCCCTCTAGTCGATGCATCCTCGTTTTCATGGTAAGGCAGCTAAGGAACCGGTGTCAGCACGAAGAGGGGATGAGTGAGTGATGGGTGAGTGAAGGGTGAATGGTCTGATTGTTTCGGTTTGCGTCCAGGGGCTGCATTTTCACATAGAACATATGGAGGACACCGACAACGATGCCGGCTGCGAGACCGAGGAATGATAGCTCACCTAACCCCTGGTCCCAACCACGATGCTCTTGGCAAACAATGGGAAATGCAGCAAAGAGGAGGTAGAGCTAGACAGGTGAAAGCAATTCATTAACGTGGAAGCAAATTCAGCAGTAGCATGAAATAGCCAGGATTATTTGTTTTACTAGAGCTAATTCTTCAACTACTTATATCACAAGTGACGTAAAAGCAGTTATAATAGGCAGCATGGTGGCACCAAACACTTTTGTTGATGATTCCCTTTTCTCTGATGGTCCGACTTCACAACTTTCTGCGAGAAAAATGTGATAATTGAATGGAATAAATTCTCTTCCTCAGGGTTGAAAGATTATTGTTTACCAAATCACTTCAGAGGACGGTTGATACTCCAGACCACCGCGTAGGGCTGGGGATAGTCTCGCTTGAAGATGTGGTATGCACGCACAATGATTTTCGCATTTCCAGGAGGCAGATTCTCCCATACAACCTGTTCCACATTGTTGGTTCGGTCAAAGTTCTTGCTATCTCCCATGTTACCATGCTTTTCAGTGCCATCCGAGCAGACCACAATCAGGTCCAAGTCATTTTGAAGCTTCTCGCCGGGGTAATCCGTCCAGACCAGGCTCACTTTGAGCACAGCGCCGTGCGGCACGGTGGTGCTTGCCGCTCTGTCTTGGACATTCTCGGGCTTCTCTGAAGTTGGGATATTTATCTCAATCTCATCGACTGCGCCTTGGGCGAGTGGTCCTCCCTCTCGGTATCCTCCATCAAGTTTGTCTGGCAGGATGAATGAGTTGGATAGATTCACGCGACCAAAGCCGCTGTTGCCGTTGGGCGATGGTCCAGCTTCACTTGGGACATACTGTCCGGGAAGTTCAACCGCTCCATTTATCAATAACGCCTTGATAAGCGCTGCACTGGGCTTCTGAAGTTCCTGAAGCTCTTGAATTTTGTTTTTATCCACCAGTATCTCTCTCAGGATAGCAGCGCATCCCGCGACGAGAGGTGTTGCCATACTGGTACCGGCAAGGTACCACCACTCAGGATCCAGGCTTGTGCCAAAATTTGCCTCAGCTTGGATCAAATTCCTGGACCTGGCTGATAGTATAGCGGTGCCGGGCGCTACAACATCAGGTTTGATGCGGTCTTCTAGAGTAGGTCCGCGGCTGCTGAAGGCTGCCAGGCCCTCAGGATGGTCGGCCATTAGGTCCTTGCTAATAGGCCCTTTGGGCCATCGAGCACCGTATGTAATAGGTATCTCAGGGTGATTATTCTCACTGGCCCCAACAGTAATACAGTTCTTGGAAGCAGCCTCGGCGCCAATTTGCCTGGGGTCGACAATACCATTCTTGTCTGCATCGATTCCATCATTCCCAGCAGCGAAGAGGATTACCATATCCTTGTGGTCCCATACAAATCGGTCAATCTCTATGCTAGAAGTGTTGTATGCCAGTTGTTTCCTCCTGGGGGCAGATGATCCCCATGAATTGGTGTGAACACGGGCATCATTTTCTTTATATGGAGGGTAGAAAAGATGTTTGAGGTTGGTTGGGATACCTCCAAGTGCATTATTCCGGTCGAGAAGGGATTGTATCACAAGGTTGGCCTTTGGCGCTGCGCCTCTTATCTTTCCACCCATCAAAGCAGAATAACCGTCTCCAAGAACAGATCCACAGACATGAGTACCGTGGCCGTCTGGATCATCCGACTTATTGTGACGGCCTAGAGCATGAAGCTGTCTGACTCGGCCTTTGAAAGCAGGATGAGTGTCAACGGTGGAGCCTTTATCGAACCCCGTGTCCGCAACAGCTACTATCTGTCCTTGTCCCTCATACTCGGTACCATTGACCTGGACAGGGCAGCCGAGGATCTGTATTGCTTTACTATTGAAGAGACGCGGTGCATAAACTGGCTGAATCACCTTGACTTGATCAAGGGAAGCCAGACCATCCAAATTTTGGCTTTCAACATTAAGCCGAACTTTTCTCTGTTCAGCATCCAATGATTCCGCGTCCGCATGTGCGGCCGCAGCGATTGCAGACAGGATGTCAGGTGAGTTAGTATCCACATCTTTATGAAACAATATATCTACTTTTTGAGTTGTACGGTCTTTTGGCACTGTTGGGAAGATGGACTGTTCCATCACTCCAGCGGGAGACTTGAGACTGGACTCAACGACAAACAAATTCAAATAGACATTCACCCAAGAAACATAACGAAGTGTGCGAATAGGTTGCAGGTTAGCATCTTTAAAGCCACAAAGATAGGTGTTCTTAGAGACATATTCATGGATATCAACTCCTAGCTTCTCGAGCTCAACTTCCTGATCAATCGAAAGAGGTTCAACTGACTGCAGCAGAATATAGTCTGACTTGGACGCGTCCTCCAACTCAAGTCCAAGAGCCCTAAGGACCGGACGTTGAGCTTCAGGATCTAAATTGTTTCCATTAAATGATATCACGGACATGTTACTGTGATATGATAAGGACTTATAGACTATCGAGCACTGCAATTCACAATAAAGCTGAGAGACCAGAAAGCTATCTTGAAAAAACGATAAGTAAGATTGGCAGACAAATAGAATTGAACTTTAGTTCGACTAATGATACATGAGTCATGCCGCCAGTTCGCATGAGATGTTTCCTCGACTCCTTAAGTACTGAGAAATATCCTCTCAGCTCACCGTAGAAGACTAGATCAGAGAAACTTTGCAACGAAATTTCTAAAAATCAAAAAATAGCAGGATGTGTACAGTAAGTCCATAGATGTGCCCATCTAAATCATCTCCTTAATGACGTTCTTGTAACCTAGAGATGGTCTAGCCCTCTTCGATATGTCTTCGGCTGGGGGCTCAAACCTCTAGGATTGGCCACAACACCACTAGAAATAATTGACTTTCCCTTCTTCCAATGTACATTACGGGTCTTCAACATGAGGCCCGGCATCATATTCGCTTGATGTAGAGACTCGGTCTTACGAGCTCGATGTTGCTGGTCCCTGTCAGGCATGGTAGGTCACCTGAATACCCTAATAAGATCCTAGACTATGTTTGACTTTACAAGCGGAAAGTCAGATATTAGGCTTTAGAGCGGCACCATCATGGAACTACCTCGTAATGAGTATCCATGGAATAGACGAAGTTTAAGTTAAGTGTCCCCACGACAAACTGTTTGCAGAAACTATGGCATTGTTACACTAAGCAAAGCGGAAAATATGGTTACATGTTATAGTCGTGACGTAACTTATATTCTGGGCTCCCAGATGAAGTTGGTACTTATGTACCCCAAGCCCATATACCATCAAAGTGGGGTAGATAATCTAAAGTTATTGCGTCGACCGTGTTCATGCAAAGATCTTTTTAGGAATGGGAAAGGAAACTGACGCTGAAGGTCGATGGGTATCCTGGTCTAAACAAATACACTTGCTTTAATGGCCTAATTCATAATGTAATACTGGTACAAGTCACCTCTTCTACTATCTGAATGAATACACAGACCTATGCCCTATGCCCTCTTTTTTGCGCTCTAATTTTCACATCTTCTATTTGGGCAGAAATGCCTATGTATATTTCATGCTCTTAATTCCAGTCCAATTGACTATTGATACCGTTTAACTGATCCCATAAGCGGCGTCACGCCCTTATCCGCAACCTCCCACTCGCTTTAAATTATTTTCCTATCGTGTGGACGCCGTTCAAAAACGGCATGGTAGGGTCTAGGAACGGAAACAAATCCCGACTCAAAAGCCATACCATCCACCACCTCAGGCTTGCCGTCCGGTCCTTCTAGAGTGCGCACATTATAGCCCCAGAGGATGCGCGATATGAGAATATAGAGAGAGTTTTTTGCTATATGTCTCCCCGTGCAGATACGCTGTCCATGACCGAAGGGGCTAGTGCTCCTTTCTTCAGTACCATTCAACCATCGTTCCGGACGGAACTGGAGCGGATTCTCATAATACTTCTCATCTAGGCTCATCGACAATTGCGGATGTAAAACAGTGGCTCCGTTGGGAATTCGATGCCCCATATACGCATCTTCTTTCTGGTGACATGGGGAAAGCCGCCTGGAAGTATGGGTCTCCAACGAAGTGTTTCTTCAACCACGGCCATGATAAAGGCTGATTATCCTTGTCAGCAAAAGTAGGAAGTCGGTTCAGTCCGACCACACGATCGAGCTCCGCCTATCCAGTCGCAATGAAATGAGGATGTGTGACTGTTGCCAGCATGAGGATTCCCATCGCGGCCAATGTGGCCCCCATTCCGGCCTTTGCTAGAATTCCTAGATCATATGCAAGTTCAATCGGTGTCATTTCTTACGCCTGCTTGGAGTTGTAAACTTCCTTGGTCCAGTTCCAAGGCTCATTCGTCAGAACTCGATTCTTGTTGCGCATGTGTTGGCCGGATTCGACTCGGAATAGTCTTTCTGCTTCCTTTTTCCACGGTGCGAGGCACGCAGAAGTTTATTGAGATTGGAATCGCATCGACAGTCCAGGTTCCAGGCCGACCAGCGTCAACGAAGTTGTCCAGCACCTCCCGGGCGGATTTTATCTCCTCCTCGTCTCCGGTTTCCAATCGGAATCCGTAGGTCAGTACATAAAGAAGGCTGACACTGTATCGCTCGGAATCTTGTAGAAGTCATTCGAGTAGAGACGAAGACGCTGCTTACTCTCTAGGGCATTGTTACTGGAGGCAGCAGAACCATCTAGCTATCATGCAGTATTTGTCACAGTTATATAAATGGAGGGAGCTGCATGATGCTAATATAGCCTGTTTCCGTAGGAGCTTTTCCTCAGCGTCAATGTGCGGGTGTGGACTGCTAGATACGTTATTTAGATGATACATCAGGGCGAAGATCTAGACCCGTAAAATTCGGGCAGATCCAAATTAGAGGAAGTGCCTACATGGAAAGGTCCACACTTTGATTTGTTTTGATTAACAGCTTTTGGAATCCGTTGAAATATCACCGAAAAATTAGAGAACATTTAGGAGGTCATTGCAGCCGATATTATGCAGGGCGAATCGTCAATATATGTCGGGGAGCTTGGACGATCTTTGGTGAATTAATTGATGTCTGCGTCTTCCTATCAAATCATACACATAAATGCCACATTTATGACCTTATTAAACCGCCAACTTTACTGCTTAATCAGATACACCATTTCCGGAACACTTAACTATGTTTATTTTGCCTTTGCAACAAAAATAAGGCAGCGTAGTATTCATAAATTTATAGTTCAAACGTACAACTTTCAATTTGTTCCCAGCAAATCATCTATCTCGAGCACCAACCGAGCCATGAAACCGCTGAAATGGGTGCATGCTTACCAAGAGGAATCCTGTAAATTTATGATGTGCTGGGCTATGAAATGCCCTCTTTCAAACCTTTCAACACTATTTGATCAGCTTTATATTATTCTTCAATAGTCTAATGAATTTCAGAACAATACTGCGCAACAACATCATATATCCTAGCCCAGCCCGCTTATTTTCTTCGGCGGAGCCCCGGACGTCGAGGCTGTTTTTCTTCACTATCAGTGATAGAGCGCTCATCCTCTAAACCATCACTATTTTTTGTGCCTGTACCATCATTCCTTTTGCGCTTGTCAACTGGCTTCGTCCCCACGCCTGGTTGCTTGCCTTCCCCCAGCATCTGCACGAGAGTCTGGATCCGCTTGACTCGAGCTTGAGGGGATGCTGTCTGCACACGCCAGAGTACAGCATATCGATTGCTCTTGTTCAACCCCTGGAAGAATGCCGTGGCAGCTGTATCCGCAGCAAGAGCCTTAGCAAAATCGTCGGGAACAGTCATCGTGGCAGCTCCAGCGTAAGCCCGCGCCCAACGACCGTCGCTCTTGGCAGCTTCCACGGCAGCCATACCATTGGGGCGCATTCGACCTTGTTCGATCAATTGTTCCGCTGTCTTCGTATTCTTCTGCGACCAGATACTTTTTGGCCGACGTGGGGTATATCGTACTAACCACCAGTCCTTGTCGTACCGATTACCCCGGCCGTCGATCCATCCAAAGCATAATGCGACCTCTACAGCTTCTGGCGCCGAAATTGATGGAATGCCTGAAGATTTCTTGGCCAGCTTTAGGTAGAATCCAACGGCGGTCGAATGCTCTCGTTCGAGAAAAGCCTCGAAGTCTTTGGCGGATGAGAAGGAATAAATTGGAAGATCTGATGGTGGTGGCTTCATGAGCATTGTGGAGCTGAATTTGACGAAAGAATTATCCTTCGTTCCAAGTCGGAGTTTTGTTGTGAGACTACAGATGAGGTGAAAGTGGGCTCGCCTAGCCGCTGGGAAGCTAAACCACTTTCAGGTGGTCAGGTGACGACCCGCCTACACACCCACAAATTTTGGCTTAGCGGTTATTTTTCATTTCCTTTCATAACAAATTGTCGATTCCACGCGCCCGCCTGGCTGTCAACAATGGCGGATCTCTCGAAAGAGGTAAGATAATGGCATGAAATCAGTTTAATACTGGTCGGAGAGTAATATTTACCTTATTTAGCCCTGCTACAAGGCGTATCTGCACAAGGGAGCGAAGGGAGAAATTGACTGGCCTGAGTATAATGAGGTAAGTTTTCACCACATTTTACCAGTTCTTAACTAGTATAATACTGATGTCCTACTTTTAATTTAGGAGACATTTGAGGTCGATGACGGTGATGGTAATACAAAGACTATAACTGGGGTGGTGATTTACCCTCGGGAAGTGTTCTGTCGTGTAGAGGATTGCCCTTCAGGTTCTGTGAGTATATCAGTTAGATATCAGTTAGCAACTAGTTACTAACTAGTATTCTGAAACACCATGGATCTACAACCAATCTTCGCAAGCATGTTTCGCGTCATGGGATTATGGTTAAACCGGGCTCCGACGGGAAGATTAGTCTTGCAATGTACTCTAAGACCAAGAGTAGGAAAAAATATCTGACTGGTTATACACTAGTTACTAACTGGTTATAGAGTGGTATCTTTCTCTTTTTCCAGATGATACTTTTAAGTCGCAAAAGCGGATGTCTACTACGGTCAATACTACACCTAAGAAAAAGCAGGTTATTAATCTTACGAAGTATAATAATAGTCTATTACTAGTTTTATACTATTATACTAATTGTATTAAGTAGTTCATCTCCAACTGTTATTACTATACCAGCAGGTGGAACTGATGAGGAGCAGTAAGCTACTAGTACCCTGCTAACTAGCTACTAGTAACTAATTAATACAGACATGATGATTCTTCGCTCCCTGAGCTCCCACTCTTGATGGATAATGAGGTATGTGATTAGTTAGTAACTGGTTATATACTAGTAGCTAACTAGTATTAGCCTGATCATGATGCTATTCGTCGTTATGCTCGCTTGCATCATGGAAAGCGTTCCCCATGTGGTGTCTGCCGAAAGAGAAACAGTGGGCTTGGAATTAGTATGTTATAAATACAGGTTTAATACTAGTAGCTAACTAGTTTAGAATGTGGCCAACGCCCCTACTGTGAACACTGGAACTTGTTCAAGGTCACCTCATCTATTAACGGTAAGGGCGTTGACCAGTCTGGTACCAGTAGCAAACCAGTTCCTGACCAGTCACACAATGCTGAAAGTGACGATGGTGAGGAGGGTGCTGCAGGTGATACTGAATGTCATGGCGACAAAGAGTCTGAGGGCCCTGATGATGCAGATGCAGATGCAGGGGATGAGTAAGGGCTATTAGTTTCTAACTAGTTACTAACCAGTCAGCCACTTTATAAGCACTAATGTTGCAATTTGCCTGCTTGGGAACTGGCTGCAAGCTAGTTGGTTTATTCAGAAATAAGTTAAATACATGGACTTTAATAGCTACTGCCAAATAGCTAGCTGAAAGCTAGTTGTTGTTATTTAGAATATCAAAACCTTCGAGGTTATATAGTATACTTAAAATAATAACAAGCATATTATAAAATATATATCATAAGAATTTTCCCTACTAGTTATAAACCAGTAAATAACTGGTTCTATACCAGCCACCCACTCCCTGATGTGATTATATTTATATATAGTTACTATACACGGTAATTAATAATACACTATATAAATTTCTATTCCTCTAATTAAAAGACCATATTTGTTAGATATTCGGAAATTGACTAGATGGGCCCCTGACTAGTTCAATATCTGTAGGAGATGTAGCCTGTGCCTGGTTCACTTGTGGCTGACTCATAATAGCCTGTGTAGAGACCTGAAGAGGTGATAATACAGGTTCAGTACTAGTATATAACTGGTTAGGGACCAGTCCTATACTAGTAGGCCCTTGGTTTAGCAGGACACTTGGGTCTAGCCTCCCATTTGCCACTAGGCTTGTCAATAACTGATACCGCTCTAGCTGGGCTCGTTGCTGTAGCAAAAGTAAAATCTGCTTGTTGTTGCTGACGAGATATTTCGGCACTATTAAGCATTGCTCGCTGATGAAGAGATGAAGAAGTACTAGTACTACTATAAGGACTAAAACTAGTTAGTAACTGGTAAATAACTAGTATTGTACTAGTACCTTGAATTTCTTGATTGCCTGTTTCGGGGCTGTTGTCTGCGCCCTCGTCCACGTGGTGATCTTCTGCCTTGAGAGCTCGAATAATTTTCTGGACGAGGAGACCCTGAAGATGAGACTCTTTGAGATTGTGATAGTTCATTAGCAGTCTCAATAGCCTCATTTGCACGTTCTGTAGGGTGCTGCTGTCTTTGATGAGATTGTGATCTCTCCCGCTCACGTTTACGCTCTAATAGTATACTAATAAGTAACTAGTATATAATTAATTAATGACCGGTATTTACTTACGACCTCTTCTTAAACTCTCTGCGAATAGGTCTGACCCACTTCGCTTAGAATAAGAATGCCGAATTCCATAGAGATCTCGAGTATCATATTGTGCCATGTCTCGCTTATCAAGGTGATAGCCACTATATACTAGTTAGGTACCAGTTAGGTACTAATATAAAACTAGTAGTTACTTACGTTTGTACCGCCTTCACAATACTTAAAGCTCTTCCCATTGCTAGCCCCTTCTCATGAGTTTGCTCTGCTGCATTAGTATGAGCTGTAGCTTCATCAAAGTCTTCAGAATCCATGCGAGAGCGGGATTTATTAAGTCCTGCAGCTATAACTGGGTCAGCTTTATGAAGAGCCCAACCCTCCTGTTTTGAATCAGGATCAGCAGTATCTGTGAACTAGTTAATAACTAGTATTTTACTAGTAGGGAACTAGTACTTACGTAGTAGATGCTGGACCAGCTCAATATAATCCTCCTCACTCTCACAGTCTAGTAAAGCCATCATTCGCTTGAAAAGCTCTGTATGCTGTTGACATTTTCCAACAACCTCTTCAACTCCACGTAGAAAGTGAATACGACAGAAGATCATAACATGCTCAACATGCCACTGCCAATCTTCATTACTATTAGAAAGGGTTTGCAGAAAATAGCCAAGTCCTAGAAAGGTACTAGTTAGTAACTAGTTAATAACTGGATTTAAACTAATACTTACCTTCCATTTGTCCTCTGTCCATATCAGCAATAATACTCCGAATTCCTGAGCCATGAAGATATTTAAATCTTAAAGGCTGTCCTGTTACCTGTTCAAGAAGCTGAGATACTTTAGTAAATATTATTTGATACCCTTCAGCATCTTGACGATTGATAAAAACACGAAGTAAAGTAATAACTAGATTTAACTGGTTAGTACTAGTTATTTACTAGTAATATACTAGTTATGTACTAGTAGTAGGGTACCTTACTCTTTCCATGATCTCGTGACATGATCGCAAATACAACCTCTTTAAGGTTATTTGAACGTAGTCGCTTCCATCCCATATCTATCTCAAATGAAGAGACAGATTGAAGAAGATGGAGTTGTGAGTCCAGGGCACATATTATTATAATAGTATCCCCATCTTGAAAGACCTCTCGAACATAGTCCTAATTAGTTAGCAACTGGTTCCAAACTAGTTTTATACTGATAATATACTTTTATTTCTGGCCTTCGGTTTCTCATCCACTGTAAGCCCATTAAGGCCCTGTCCTTCTGGGTATAGAATAAGCTTTGCTTTTTGAATAATAAGAGTAAAGCGATCCATATTCACAAAGCTTTGATGAAGATCAGTAATATGATTAACATCATATCTCTGGCATAGAGCTTGGAGCTCTGGACTGCGCAGAAATGAAGCTAGAAATTAGTTAGTTACTAGTTAGAAACTAGTTGTATACTAGTAAGTAATAGAGTATACTTACACAGTGTTAGGTCTGGATTTTGCAGACTTTGGATCAATTCTCTAATATCTGCAATAAGCTCTGGTGGTGCTTTTATTGGTGGTGGAGGAGGATGCTCATGCTTTCCATGTGATGTTAGGAGTATATAAGGGCATTCATGGAGATTCTTTGGAACAATAAGATTAAACACCACTTTACAACCCAAATGGATAAGCTTTTGAGGTCGGATGGGTGATCAAAACCTGTTGTACTAGTAAGTAAGTAGTATAATACTAGTAGTATACTAATAGCTACTTACCACAATCATCTTTTCGTGTTATATTTGCATCCATTACTCCACACTCCTCAATATTATCATGGACACGCTGGTTAATCAGACTGACTAGTAGATCAATATCTGTATTATTAGAAAATTCAAGATTTTTGATCATATGGTCATCTACGTTAGGCCCGGATTGACGATTAATACAAGCAAGAACACGTGAACGTGTTCCTGAGGGAGGTTGATACTGGTTAAAACCAGTTAGAAACCAGTGTAAAACTATTATTAAAAGACTTACCTGCTCAGACATAGTGATAACTACTGGTCGACAGGTTGAATTCTGTTGGCGGCATATAGTTCCACGACGAAATGCTTTTAAAATACCATAGTACTTCCTAATATATATTAGTACAGTATCCCGTTAAAGAGTGCAACTGGTAGAAAACTAATATATAACTAGTATATAACCGGTACTATACCTATATGCCTGTTTCTTTTTTTCATTCCCCTATTAGTTCAACACTTCTTCGGAGTGCTTGTAGTGTAGACCATAGCTCATTATCTACCTTGTAGTGATGAAACTCTTTGATTCTTGATGGAAGATAGGGACAGATCTGTAATCCACGGCAAAAATACTTTGCTCGCCAGGCCCTAACACCAAGAAAAGGACATGTTGTCTCTACATCACGGTAATGCTGCTTTGTTGCATACTGAACCTAGTATATCAGTTAGCTACCAGTGGTATACTAGTTCCTTACCAGTACTACCTTTTGAAAAGTCTGTACTGGAGCATTCTTCAATTTTTGAGGATCTACAGGGATAATATATGTATATCCCTGCTCATTGCTTTGAGGATATTCTGGTACATCAAGTGCATACTCCATTTTATAACTAATCAGTGGTGTCTGATGTCCATTTGTAAGATAGCGTGGAAAATCTCCCTTAGTACTAGTTAGTAACTGGTATATAACTAGTACCATACTGATAGTGTACCTACCGATGCAATTTCATTTGCTAGATCTTCAAGTGTTGACTCTAGTGGGGCATCCTCTTGCTGGGGACTTCAGTTGAGAGTCCATCCTGTAGATTCAAGACAAGCTCCATGGTGATTAGTCAAATACTGGTATAAAACTGGTTACCAAGATTCAAAAATGTTTTGAAAGATGGTAAGAGGAATGAAAAGAGAAAAGAGCCACTAAACCCAAAAAAATATTTCCCTCATAGGTGGGTCCTCACATGACCTCTAAAAATGGTTTAGCTTCCCAGCGGCTTGGCAGACCCACCTTCATCCCGTCTGCTCCCTGTTTTGTTGTCCCTGCTCGAGTCCCTGCTCTCAGGAGAGTGATCGAAGATGACTTAGTCAGCAAATGTTTGTAAGGCCTGGGGCCTATGCAGGCGGGTGCCAGCTCGCCGTGGTCTAAAAACCTCGGCGTGGGCTAAAATTCTGCCACCTCCGCCACCGCCTTTTTAGACCACGGTGAGCCTTTTTCTTGGCATGGGCTCAGCGTGGTCTAAAATTAAATTTTCCGTACTTTTTAGACCATGTTGAATCCCTTCAGCGTAGCTTGACCACGCTGACCTTTTTGGCCTAGCGTCAGTCCCCGGTCGGTGCATATACTGAGCATATGCTCAAAACATTAAACTGCGTGAGATTATTCATTGCATCATCAATATATATAATCAACATATTCACTATATCAAACAATAGAGGCAGATTTTGCAACACACTGTGAATGATCCTACACCCAAATTGGGTAATAAAAATGTTGGCCGCGTTTGCATTTATTTTGGAACTAGAAGACCTAATTTTTTAATTTTTTTCTCTTCATTCTTTCTCTCTTCTTCTCTCTTTAAACTCCCCTTCTTAAATAAGTATCGCATATCCCTTCTTGGCATATACCGCATATATACCTTGACCGGAAGACTTGAAACCTCTCCTTCTCCCCTTTCCTTTCTGTATGCCCAGAGTATATAATTACAACCATTTATATGACCCTTTCTTTTCTGCATACCCAGTGCATATACTACCAATCTGTGACCCAATTTCTCTTTTTTTTGCATGTCAGAATACACTGATGATTTTAGTTCTTATTTAGGGGCCTTGTTCTCAGCATATACCATTAATATGCAGAGAATGCAGCTTTCGCGTGAAGACTTTGACAATCCAGAGGTCGCTGGGGCGGTGAACCCCCACCCCGACTACGGTTACTTCCACGGTGAGTATCTACTTAATATATTCACAACATGTGCTTAACATATGCAGGTCCCATCCCGAACCCAAACCCCACTTAGCGCCCACACCCGGACCCCGCACACCTGTGACCACCGCGAACAACAAGAGTATAGGGCCCCCACAGATGTGCAGCATATGCTAATTATTTACAGATACCCTAACTCCTGGTTCAAGACTGTCAGGTGTTAATAGCATGGTGTAAGTAATTAACATGCCTGGCACATGCTAAGCATGGGCTAACAACCTCGCAGATGCGACATCGCAGTCAATGGCAACCAAATATGTGGCCAGCCCGTCCATTCTTAGATTACTGTAGGTCGTGTTTTTAGCACATCGTTGGTATATGCTACCTATTCCATAGCTTCGCCGCCACATCCGGAACGCCCATCCCGGTGCCAGTGAGTTGTCTATTCCTTTATAGTCTAGCAGATGCTAAGGATTCATAGCTCTTAATCCCTTCGCACAACATTCCCCAGGCGAGGCATTGCGGAAAATTAGTATATAGCTTCTCTTGAGCATATGCTAATAATTGACAGCGCTTTAAAGCAATGGATCCTTAGCAGAGGATGGAGAACTGCCCGTTACGTGAAGGAGCCTGGGTATGTCCTCCCCTCCGCATATATATATATATACATTGGGCGTAGGGCTAACGTATGCTAGTGAGGGTCCTATGTACAGTATTATTCAGGATTACTGTAACTTCCTCAAGCAGCTGGCGTGAGTAGAGCATATCTGTATTATATGCATAGTATATAACTAAGAACCACTAGCCAGGAAGATAACAACTTTGCTCAGCAGTTTGGGACTGAGTTCCATCGTCCTGTATATGATCCGGGTATTTACTCTACGTATTCCCTGCGTATGCTAATATTTCCTAGAGGCTGGGTAAGGTCTCTGGTCACAAGGCATGTGCCCCTGGAAACTAAGCTCTTTATAATATACTAAGTATATGCAGCACAAATCTTCCCCACTACCCTCTAAGCCACCTACCCCACTGTCTGCCCCCAAGCGCAAGCGTGCTCCACCGAAGAAGGGTCACAAGGGTAAGTATAGCACATCCCCCTTATACTAAGCATCTGCTAAGAACTTGTAGCCACCGGTAGCCGGAAGCAGCCGGCGCGCGCCAAGAAGGATGCTGCCGAGTCGGTGCCGGAGACTGCGTAGGGTATATACACGGTTGGTTTTAGAGATAAATTATAGAGTCTAGGAATAAGTAGAGCAAATACTAGTCTAGCTATTATTTAGGGAATTAAAATAGCTTTTTAACATACTATACATCTACTAGGTGTATGCTCTGCACTTGCAGGGGTTTCCCTTTTTCTTCTTCTTCCCCCCTCTACCTCTTCCTCAAGCTCCTTAATTCGCTCAACTATATCTCTTCGTCGCTTAAGTCCCTTAAGCTCCTTTAAACACTTTTCTAAAGGGTCTATGTTTAGCATATACACAGCGGGTGATCTAACAGGGGTCTCGATAACACTATCTTCACCAACACTCTGTACAGTGCTAAGTGGGTGTGTTCGTTGACTTGCAGGTACATGCCTGGCATAAGACGAGCATGTGTTAAGGCTAGATACTAATAGGGAATTAGTGTCCTGCATGGCCACTCCGTCTGTATTTTAAAGAGGTGTATCATATGGATTCCCTGGATTCCATGGCAAGTGTGGCTTCTTCTGCCGGCAGTTCGCTGCCTTTTTTGCTGTTGATCTATGCATAGTATTAGCCTGGTATGTAAATAGCATATACACTGTTCATGTTAAACCATAGGGGCAATAGGGACAATAGGGACAATAGGGACAATAGGGACAATAGGGACAATAGGGACAGTAGGGACAGTAGGGACAATAAGGGCAATAGGGATAATATAGTAATTAGCTAGAGAAATTAAACAGGCTCCAGCCCTTTAGTTTAACATACTTTGCTTTCGAATAATCTTAGTGCGCCTTTAAACGTTCGTTTGGATTTTCCATAAAGGTGGAATACCCTCCTTAATCTGTATCTTATTCTAAGTAAAGGCCTCAAATGTAAACCTTCGCAATCTAAGTATATAGTTAGTATATTATTAACTATGCTCTGCATCTACCTTGGATATACTTTACTTTAAAACAGCTACCAGGAGTGACTGCTTCCGGCCAACACCTTAATTATTTTAAAAATAACTATTTTTACTAATTCCGGTATGTTTCCGAGCATATGTCCAGTGTTCAATCTGTATCTTTAATTATTCCGGGGTCAGTGCACTTAAGATCCACGGCCGTTTTTTTTCCCTCTAGCCAGGATTTAGTCTTAGGATATGTATTGCATATGTAGTCCATACACTTAAGCAAATCAGGTTTGGACGGTGCTTCTAAAAGGCTGTTAAGTAGGTGCTCTGCAGGGTGGTCCTTATACTTTAAGCAAAAAAATTATGCTTTAAGTGAGTTTGGCAGAATATGATCACATAGGGAAGGTGCTCAGACCACTCTCGGGATATATCTAGCGTATGCAAATAATCTCCAAGACCTAATATACTTAACAGGGTGCAAATACCGGGCATATATTTTGTTTATTACATACCTAGTGCTTGCTTCTTACACATATCGATAGTTATAGTCCAGATCTTATTCTCACCATGTTAAATATGGGGAAACCGTATAGGTGAGCGAGCCACATTTCCAAGTATCTTAAATAGCTTTGAGAACATTACAGCATATGCATCGCGTGTTTCGAGATTAAGAAAAGCATATGCAAAGGTATTGATTCCTAGTAACTTGCAAGTTAGTGAGCAATATTAAAAAATATACTAGATACATACTTCGCATATATAGATTCCACCCAGAAATTGAGAAGACATTCGTCTTGCCATTAACCATTTTGAATGAGAGGTCCATCTTAATATGCTTGATATTAATAAACGCCTTCGCCTGAGCATATGTACAGCATATAATAAGAAAATACCGTGGATCAAAGAAATAGACATCACGTATCCATTGCTGGTCGTCCCTCTTTTAATTGGTCGAAGGCGTATTTATATAATACCCCTAGTATTAGCTGAGCATATACCTAAAAGCAGTAGCTATTATCATACCAGCAATATCAGTTCCTTCAGGATAAGTTAAAAGTCTCTGTTTTCGGATCAAAGCTTGAACTCTATCTTGAATATTAAGACTTTGATGTAATACACGTAGTGTTAAGGGACCAAATCGATTATATATATCAGTGAACTGTGGAGAGATTATGAACCGTCCTAAATAGAGTAGATACTTAGTATATGCTGTATATATAGAGTAAATATACTTACTTGCAGTTAGGTTAAGGATATTATGCTGGGAGATTATTTGGACCACCTCATCTGCAATATCTTTAGGTAATCGTGTTGGAGGTGGTGGAAAATAAATATAATTTAATTAACAAATCAAAATTAAGAAAGGAAACCGTTGCCAGGATGTTGGAATATACAAGTCAAATTTAACCTTACACTTTGGAATGTAAAGCCTGCCGGTATGGTGAGTATATGCTCGAGCTAGATTAATCCTATACTTAGCATATAAATATATAAAACTAGAAATATACTTACTACACCATCTTCTTCAGGATGTTGGCTGAGCAATAAAATTATATTCTTCTATTTTTAGGCCTGTTCCATGTTCCATAAGAACTTAAAGATAAGTCTTATCAATCTGAGCAAATCGTCGAACTGGATGAGCATAATGCCAAGGTTTAATATCTGAATTCTTGGGGCAACCAAGAAAATAATTCTGGGTTAATTAGTATATATTTAATATATGCAGTATATGTACCTAAAGCATACCTGATTTTAATAAAACATTACCGGTGGTGTTTCACCACATGTCTTAATATCTTGATATTCACAAGGACCTCCATCCTGCCACCAACATTTCATAAAAGCATAGAAGACATCTTCAGTTTCTTTTTAATTAGTTAATCAATTGCTTGAGGATAAAAGGGTTCGGCGTAACGTAAGCGCTGTTTATTAAGTAAATCAAGATTAACCCAGTCATATGCCCGTGATATACTTAGTATATAATTATAGACCCGCTCACAGGCCTTTACCGAACCACATATATAAGATCTATGCCAAGCCTTGTGTTGTCCGTTATCATCAAGCTTGTTTAAAAGATCCATTTTGACGAGCTTTGCAGCCCCTGTATGGTTTTTTGCAAACTGAATCTATTTAAAGTATTAGTATAGTATAGAACTGATATATACTCTACATACCTTTAACATAAGTAGACTTCATCAGAGCCCACGAAAGCCCAAGCCCAACCCAACCCAACCCACTTGTGGGCTGGGCTTTGGGCCAGGTTCTAGGGCCCATGATAGGCTATAGGCTGAGCCCAGGGGCCCACGGCCCACAGATGGGGCCCAAATGGGCCCCCAAACTAGGGCTAAACAGTGCAAACATGCCCCGATCTTATGACTGCATAACTTGTGCTTCTTTTAGCTGTAATATTGAGTATTTCTCTTACATTATTTCTCTTAAAAATTGCTCTTTGTAATGTCTACTCCGCCTGGTTATATTTTACATTCTTACTCGCTGAAGCGTTCAGCATCGTGCAGAGTTTGGTTAACAAGATATTATTCAAAAGGCAGTAATTGAATATATTAATGATACTCAAACTCATTATCCTCCCTACTTTTCCGCTTTCTTCCTGAAACCCGTGTTTGCGTGATATTCTCTGGCAATTCAGGCTCTGTATAATCCTGTATCACTGCTACTGCCTCATCATCTTCTTGTTCCTCAGTATCACTAATCGACTCTATCTCAATCTCCTCTAATTTTCTCGTCTCTCTCTTCCTTTGCAGCCTCTATCTCATAGATAGAAAAGAATTCCTTGAGAAATTTTGCCTCTTGTTCTTCAAGATCAAATCTTGATGTACAAAGAAACATCATAATCTCCTCAATTGTCTCAGACTTCATCCGACCGCGGCGGTAATGACAGATATCTCGAGCAGTATTAAAAGTCGTTCAACACCAGCGCCTGTTGCTGGAATAGAGAGAATATCCCGTGCAAGGGCTGCAATAGCTGGAAATCGATATTCATTGTCTCTCCAGAATTGAAGGGGCTCCACATCGATAGTATCTTTTAGGAAGTTAGGATTAGACTAAAGCAATAAGGTGTTTAACATACCGCTGTTAAGATATTGAGTTATTTCATCCCTAACTGGCTTTGCCTGTGGTTTGTGCCCATTCAACATCTTATTAAGCCTTGAGCTTGGTCTTGCTGCGGTAGGGGTGGTTGCAGAGCCTTGAAGAGTAGAGAGACGTTCTTGATAAGGAACCAGGGCTTCTTGGAAGGATTTCCGGTAGAGGTCGCGCCATTGTTTATCCCAGTCATCAGATAGGAAGAATTGGAACTTATTATCGGGGGCAAGCATTGTACTAATTGCATAGATATGTGGTTTAACCCTATCTGTCTGCGAGTAGTACTCATCAAGTTTTAATCGACCAGCTTCAAGAGAATCAAGCATCTGCTTTTTCCATGGAACACACTTCCGCCGAAGCTGCTTCATTGATTTTTCTAGATGCTCGAAGAGTGCATTGTAAATCTTGAAAACAAGATGTATTGTTACCTCTCGAGTCTTTGATAGCTCGGTTGTATAGAGAAAGAACGGCTCAGTAATATAAAGAAGATAGTCAATTTGGCGCCACTCCTCATTATTTAGCAACATCTCTTCACAATCATAGTCGGCACAAAATCGTGTAAAGATATCACGGAGTCGTTTCGCGCGACGAAGCATGAGAAAGGTTGAATTCCATCGAGTTCTCACATCTTGGATTGGTGTAAGCTTTGGATCATCTGTTTGAAGATTGTTAAATGCCTCTCGACGTGAAGGGCTTCCGTGGATATAAATTGCAAGAGAGCGGACCTTGTTTAAGGTATAAGAAATCTCATGCTTCTGGTGTTGTGTATTTGCCTTGGCTAAAGTTGACAGCCGGTCAGTCCACTTTGTTTCCTCGGTATTATTTAGTGGAACTGCCTTGAGACGGTCAAGAAGCTGGTTCAGGCTAAGTTGGATAACATGAGCAAGACAGGGAGTTCGGATAATATTAACATTATTAGATAAAGCCTGCTGGAGGGAATCAGCCAATGTCTTATTATTCGATGCATTATCACTGGTTAATCCAAAGACTTGGTCTTGAATCTGATGGCTGTTTAGTGTTT